GTTTTTGCTATTTTTAGTATTTTTTTTTAGGTTTTTAATATTTATAAGCTTAATAACTAAGGCTTTAATAATATTAATATTTACCCTTAAAAACTTTAGTTTTAACTAGTTTTTAATAGCTTTTAGTACTTACTTTACTATTAGTACTTTTAGCTAGCCTTTAATTTTAGGTTTTTTATTTCCTGCCTTGTTAATATATAGCCTATTAATATTTAAGTTTTTATAATATATTTTATTTATTATATTTATTACTTATATAATGCAGGTACCTACATAGTATTTTAAAGTCTTATAGTAGTAGTAGTTATTATAAGGCAGGGGTACTTAAACTAAGAGTATTAATATATTATTAGGTAGGTATTATTATTTTTAGTATTATTAAGGCGGGTACTACTAGGGCAGGTGTTATTAAAATAAATATTACTAAAATAGGTACTACTAGGGCAGGTATTATTAAAAAGTGGCTTTAGTTTAAGGGGGAATATATATAGTAGTTTAATATATAAATACTTAGGGGGGTGGTACTTATTATATATTTAAAAAATAGGGGGGCTACTATGCCTGTTAGGTTATTATAATTTTAAGGTTTAGTTATAATACTTTAATAGCTTTTATAATTTTTTAAAGGTTATTTTAAGCAGGGCTAAAGTACCTTTTTTACTAGCTTATAATTTTATTAAATAAGACCGGGGGTTTTTTAACTATTAAGATACTAGTTATATACTTAAAAATATTTAAAATATAGTTTTTTTTTTTTAGCTTTTTTTTTTTAGGAATATGATAACCTTTTTATTAATCTTAAGGTATAATTTTTTTATTACTAGGGTATTTAATATATGCTTTTTAATTACTTTATATTTAAGCTAATGGTAGCTTTTTACCTTTAACCTAAATTTTTTAAGGACTTATTAGGCTAGGTTACTTAAAAGGCCTTATATTAACTAAATATATTAAGTATAATTATTTAATTTACTAATTTATATAACTTAAGCTAAAATTATATTATATTTTATAATATAGCTATAAAAGTTATTAGTCCACGTGCATGGCTAGTTTTTAAATTTTTTAAAATACTAGTATAATTACTTAATTTAACACTAGTTAAGGTGCTAGTATTTATTTAGCATAATAATTTTTAAAACCTTTTAGTCTTATTTAGCGTACCCTTTTAAATTTTTAATAATATTTAAAATATTATAATTGTAGTAGCCCACTATTTAAGTAATTTTTTTTAGTTTATTATAAATATTTTAGTTCTTGCAGGCTTACTTATATATTTTTAAAAACCTAGTTATATTTTTATTATTAAATATAGGCGCACCTAAAGTACCAGGAATTAGCATAGGGGTAATTAATAAAAAATAATACTTTTTTTTTATTATACCTTTTATATTTTTAAAGGTGCTGGTATTACTACCGCGGGAGTTACTAAAAGGCATGTAAATTTTATTAATAATACTACTAAGCTTACCTTTAGCTATAAAAAATATATTATTAAAATTCTTAATTATAAGTATAGGTATTTATTTAGTGTTTTTACCCCCTTTTTTACTTAAAAACTTAAATACATGGGATATTTTTATTTAATAGTAAAAGTTAGTAAGCAGGCAGTAGGCTTGTATATATTAAAAATTTTAAATAATTTTTTAAAGGGCTAGGTTTGCAAATACTTAGTAAAAAATAAAACTTTATAATTATAAAAAAAAACTTATAAAATATTTTTATTTTATTATTAGGCACCTAGTATAACTACCTGGGTAAGCCCTTAAAAGCTTTACTTTAAATTTATTAGCTATATTTATATTAAATTTACTAATTTTACTATTTAATTTATTATATTTATTAAGTAATTAGTATTTCTTAGGATTACTAGGTTTATTATTTTTTTAAAAATTACTAGGGCGCTTTATACGCGGCCTACTTACCTTACTTACTAGGTTTAATTTATACTTATTATTTAATTTTTTTTAACCTTTAGGCCTTAACAGTTCTTTACCCTTTTTTTTAATAATTTTAGGTACCTAAGTTACTAAGGCGTAGCTATTAATATTAAAAACTTTTAATTTAGGGGTTTAGCGGGCGCCCTTCTTACCTTTATAATATTAAAAAAACATGCCTTATATTTATTACTAATATATAAAGGGGTAGTACTAGGGCATGGGAGTTAAAAAAGCTAAATAGTAATAAAAACCTAGGATTAAATAGTACGTAATATAAATAGGAATAATAATAAAAAAAAAAATATATATATTAGGGTAAATAATAAACTAGGTACAGGAGGCCGGTAGCAAGGCTATAAGTACTACAGGAATCAATGTTGGGGTGCAACCCCACTACAATAGTGCTTAAAAAGAAATACCTTTTTATTAATAAGTTAATAATTTTTTTAGTATATATAAATAATCTTATTCTTATAAACCTTTTTACTAAGCAAGGCTGTTTTATAATAACTATTTTTAAAAAGGAACTTTTAGTAAAGTACAAGCTTTAGTATTTTAGTAAAGCTAAATAATTTTTAGAAGTTTAAATTTTTTAAAATAGGCCTTAGTATAAGCTTTAGCTTTTTTAAAATTTTTATATTAAAGCTATTATAAATTAATTTTATTTAAACACTATAATTTAACTATTTTTTACCCTGCTTTTATTACCTAGCAAGCTTTATTTAAACTTTAACATGGCCACCTTTAAAAATATTAAAAAAATAAGATTAAAAATTAAATTTATTAAATATGCTAGTACCCTTACTTATTTAAATATTTTTTATATAATAAACTACTTATTAAAACACCTTATTAATCCTGTAAATTATTATTAACATATAATAAATTAATTTATTTTTTATTTTTATAATACATGCTTTCTTGCTTTTAAATACTCTGGTTTAAATATCTTTAAAAATAAGGTTCTTATTAAGGAATGCAAGATTTATAAGTTATACTTTAATATAATATTTATAAATTACTTTAATTAATTTTTTAGCGTAGGTTATATTTATAAGTTATATAAAAAACTAATTAAATAAAAGGCTATAAAGCAGCGCTTAGTTACTATTTTTATTATTAAGGTAAAGTTACTTACTTTTACCAAGGCTTTTAAAGTAATATACTAGTAATAAAAAGTTTTTAAAGCTATGTAATTTAATTTTTAATACTAACTTTTAATTTAATATAATAATAAATAAATAATTAATATTTTTACTAATATTAATATATAACTTTACTTAAAGCTTTATTATATTAATATTTATAATTTATAGCTTAGGCAGGAAGTTTAATATAAAAACCTTTATATTAAATAAACCCTTACTAACTAAATAATTATAAATAGCCTTATAAAAGCACTTACTAAGTAATAATACTAAAAATTTATTAAAATATTAGGTTTGGTAGACATTTCTAGCCTTATTTTTAATTAATTTAAAAGTAAGTAGGCGTTAAGGGGGCGTGTTAGCTAATAATAAAGTTTATTTAATTTAATAAAAAAGCGCTATAGCGCTTTAATAATACTTAGGCACCTTAAGTAATTTTAATTAAAATACTATAATACCTACTATTAAATTACTTGCCTATATAACTGTGATATCTGCAGTTTTTTAGATATTATAAAGTGTTAGTAAAAGTATTTAGAATTCTTACTATTTTTAAAAGCTTAAATTATTTATATAAACCCTAGTTAGCTCCAGCTTTTAAATATCATCGTGTTTCTTATTTAATTCTCCAGTATCTATACGATCGACAGCTTTCCTTTGCACGGTATTCGAAAGGCCTCATACCCGGGGATCGAGATCGATGTATGCGCTTGCGGTAACGGGTACGCTGGTATATAGGTAGGTAGCTAGTTCAGTTCCCACCCAGCCCAAAAGCCCCAGGAGGCACCGCCACGAGGCACAGATACCGACACCGGCATAGCAGCGATGCAGATAGGTAACAGAAACGGAGTCCAGTGCAGAGTCTGGGCTCAGCTAGTGGACCGACACTGATGCGCTGGGTGGTACTGCCTTAATCTTAAGGAAGGTCGCTATCATATTCCAGCCCGGTCCAGCGGTAGAAGTAGAAGTACACACCGATGCAACCCGAATGCTCGCTACAATGCAAAGCTAAGGAGAGCGAGACCAAAAAAGAAGAGAAGGGAGGAGAGAAGAGAAGAGAAGGGAGTATGGAAATAATGCATTAAATCCTCACTCAATCGACCAAACAGCCAGCCAGGGCAGCCACCAGGCCAGGCCAAGCCAAATCAGATGGATAAATGACGACGCCTAAAAGGTATAAATAGATAAAGCAAGTAAACCTGGTATGGTATCAGGCGAAAAAACTTTTTTGTCTCATGCTGCAAGATCGTAACTGCGTTTCAACATCATTCCGGGATCCGTCCTATCTACTACCAAACAGTAGGATAGTTGATCTCCGACTCCACCCGCCATGCATTGTGAGTAGAGAATGTTCGTTAGTCAAGCATTAAATAGGTGGTATTCTTTTTTTGTAGGTAGGTAAAGTGAGGGGCCCGAGGACTAGCCCAGGAACCGCGGACAGCCCCGGGTTCGGTAGTCGGGTAGATAGAGGAGGGTGGTTTCTCTGGTTTTGGTTTGATGATTGCTCGCTCCAAGTGAGGAAGATAGGATAGGTAGGTATAATAATAAACCCAAGCCAATTCGCCATTAATGCATGAGAGAAATTGCGCGATTTAAATGTCGTTTTGTGTCAGACGGAACTCAGGTGGTTTTCGTTGGATGTTGAAAGAGGATAAGGTAAGGGGACAAGGTGCGGTAGAATGCGACGGCTGGTAATGCAATCTCCCTATCGGGCCAATCGCATGAAGGCCCATACCAAAGCAGCGATAAAGAAATGACCGCAGCCCGTCGCTCACCGACTGAACTGAGCTGGGTGCCGTGTCACGAACTCGCAGCGCTTGGCTCGAGTCGACGTTTTCGCGGCGCACGGTCGTAGATAGATACTGCGGTCCGAATTCCCGATTGCGCTGCCGCTCGATTTTCGCTCCGTCTGTCACAGCATCCAGTCCAGCCCGTTGGCTTCTTCTTCGATGGGGAAGACCTCGCGCGCGTATTCTTCCATGTCTCGCCAGCCTGACCACAGCTTCCGGGCTTCGTCCGTAACACGCTGTGAGATTACCCCTCCAGGGCCCTGCATCATTCCGGCACCAGCGCCCTTGCCGTTGGCTGGGCCTAACCCCTTGGGAGATCCGGCGGCAGGACGGGAAAACTCGGGCAGAGGGTAGTAGGGGGCCCTGTACTGGCCAAAGACCACCTCGATGGCCTCGAGCTGTTCCCGGTACCCAACAGGGATGTTGACTTTGATCTCGACCTTGGGGACGTGAACGTACTTCACCCGGCGGTTAAGAGCGCGCGAAAAGGCCGCGCATACTTGCTCGGGAGACAGCGTTTCAAATGTGAGCGCAATCCTGCAACCGTCAGCAAGGTTGCAATCAGTGCCCAGACGGCAACCTACCGATGACCGTTCCACTTCTGAGGGCCGTCCTTGAAGATCTGCAGCAGCGCCGGACCAACGTCATGCTCCGCGTCAAGCCAGGGGAGAGGAATGTCCGGGTCAAAGGGCGCATGCCACTCGAACGTGCCGTCGGGCATGAGTTCCATCTGGAAGAGCGGGTACGGTAAGCTTGTGAAGTTGTTGTTGTAGATTCCTGTGTAGACGAAGGTTGAAGGCAGGCCGAGCTGGCGGACGTAGTTTTCCACGGTGAACTTGGGCGCCCACATGGGCACCGCCGGGTAGGGCCCGTAGAGCGAGTGATCTGGCATGCTGCTGTAGATGTAGTGCTGGATGGTGCCGGCGCGTTTGGCGGCGTCGGCAAGGTCCTTGCCAATGGCAATCTCGTCGCCGGCTTGCGAGGTGGTGTTGATGAAGGCGAGGTTCGCGCCCTCGAAGAGCGTGTCCATCAGCGGGACATTATTTAACAGGGGGCCCTGGAATAATGTGACGTTTGGGATATCCTGGAGCTCTTCTGCGATGAGGCCTTTGAGCGAATGGACCTGCGCGCGCACATGGTGACCGACGGCCGCGGCGACGCGGATGAGCGAAGCAGCCTGGCGCCCCGTCGCGTTGACGACGGCAATTGTCTTCTTTGTCTGGGTCATTCGGACGGCTGGCTCTCTGTCCTCCCAATCCTCGCTTGTGTAGGACTGCGACAGTTGTAGAGCAAGAGTCGGGAAGATAAAGGGGGAAAAATCGAATAAATTATGCGGGGTAGCGGACGAGCGAAAGCAGGAGGAGAACCCGAGGACCCAATGGAGAAGGAGGGCTCGGATGGAATCTGGAGAAGGTCAGGTGGAATCCGCAGGGCTTTGACGCTTGAGCTAGTGACGATGGTCGCAAGAAAGTCGCTGAAAAGTCGGGCGTTGCAGAGAGCAGCAGTGGGGAAGCAGACGTGGTACAGTTGGGAGATAAAGGACGATAAGAGCTCACCTGGAGGAGGTACCGCAGTAGATATACGGTATAGGAGACTCGGGCTGAGAACGGGCGATGGTTCGAGAATGCCGCAATCGCGAAAACGGATGGTGCAAGGGAAGAAAGCAGAAAGCTTGGAAGCAGCAGCAGCAGCAGCAGCAGTTAGCAGGTGATATGATCTCCGGTCTGCCCAGTGCCTCCAAGGTGCGAGGGTTTTTGTTAGCTAAGGCCGCCGACTATGAATAATGGAATAGCAGCCCAGTTCCCCAAGTGGATATGCAATCCTGATTAAGATTCGCGGTTGAAAAATTTTCGAGTGCTTGACTTGATACTCTGGCTGGGCGTGGAGCAAAGTCTGGTTCTGAACGTCTGGTTCCGAGAGATCATACAAGCTGAGGTTCCGATCTTGTTCCGATACTGAGGTTATAGTCTTGTAGTGATAGTAGAATGGAGAAAGTGATACTAATATGGAGAGATCATGCTGATCTCTGCTGTGTCTTCCGATCTGTACTGTTCATACTACAGGAACTCTTCTGTAGTCTACCCTCAGATGTCGTGACTCTTCACTGACCCTGACCATCAGAGCACCTGAACTGAAGAATTCTCACCATAATGACGCCAGAGCAAGACAATCTGGAGTCTGGACCTTAGCCCAACGGGAAGATCGCACGCACGCCGACAAGCTGGCGGCCTTTGGGCCATTGGTTTCTTTTCTTTACGTAACACATGCTGGCCTAAGGCACAGCTGGATACTTGATGGATTCTAGGGGTTGACATCAGGTTAGGGGTTTTTTGATACATCCCGTATGATCTGCAGTGTGTTTTTGTATGCTGCCGGATAATTGTTGCGACATCTAGATAGCGATAGCGATAGTCGATACTGTTCATCACGGACGTCAATCATGCCATTGGCTAAACTGCATCAGGAAGCTCTAGTCGGGCGGATAAAAAGCAAAGACAAACACCCCCGGATATGACACAATCCCTGCAAACCTTGTCAGAGCTAAATACCAGAAGCAGAAGGTGAGATGAGAGAAAAAGCAACGTCCAACGACCGGCTGCAATCCCCATCCAGCAATCACATAAAAGGCCTCCCTTGTAGGCTTGTCCACAGCGCTGTCCACCTCAACCCACGTTGAAACTTGACTGAAAGCAAATGCCCCCGAACTCCATAGCGGCCAGCCAATCTGTGCCCCGCGGCTTTCCACGGTGTCGCCAAGCCTCTCCATAATGTGATTCTGGGGACCTTGACCGTCCCACCGCTAGTATGGTGCGCGTTTTTCAGTTTTCCATGTTGTTCTGTGGGAAATCTATCCTGTCTTATTTGATCGTGGATATTATGCATACCATAGGACAAGGACCTTGAGGATGAAGCTATGAAGACTGAAGATAGTAGAGTCGAGCAATTCAAGGCGGGGTGATCTCCTGACAGAAAGTTGGAGGGATGGGTTGCGGAGAGGACAAGCATCTCCGCGGAGAACCAACGATGGGAGTTCGGCTCGCTTTCCGTGCTGAGGTCATCCGGTCCGTCAGTGCTCGGTTCCCCTGCCGGTCAGACCCCGATCCCTACCTGGCTCTGTACCAGTCCTGTCCCCTTGCTTCCTGTCTTGCGAGGATACCCTATCTATCTATACAACCAAAGCACAAGGTTATACCTCCATCGGTGTACACATATGGTGTAGTCTATGCGATGCATTATGTATGTATGTAGAAACGAGGTCAGGGCGCAGATCCCGCCATCGGCCAGTGCGACGACCCCGCGCGGTACTCATCCTCTTCGATCTCCTCCATCTCTCTGTCGCTGACTTCACGTGGCCCAATCCCGGCCAGCCCCCAGGTCGCAGGCCGCCGTCGCGCGAGGAGCTGTGCTGCCGTCCGCTCGTCAGAGTGCAGATGCGCTCCCGACTTGCGCAACAGCAGCACGTGTTCTGACAGCCCGGCGTTAGCCGCCAGGAAGAGCGGGGTGCGTCCGTTGCGGTTGCGTAGATGTACCGACCCGCCCTGAAGCAGCAGGAACCGAAGGATGTCGACTGACGGTGATGTCGCTGCCAGATGCTACGTGGTGTCAGCGCTGCTTGGAAGAAAGAAACGAAGGAAACCTACCACTGGAGTGTTTCCGGAGTAGTCTGCATCGTTCAGCAGCCAATGATGCTCACTCTTGATGAGTTCCTCAACACGAGCAAGGTCCCCTTGCGCGATGGCGTACCCTAGGACAGTAAGCGCCTGAACGCGCTCGGGCAGAGCTCCATCGGGATGACGGAAGACTGGTTGCGACGACTCGGTCAGCTCGCCACGCAGGGAGACGGACATCTTGTTCGCCACGAGCTGGGGTGTCGACCCGGGGAGCGCAAGCAGGTAAGCAAGCTTGGTCAGTGCGGCTTCGGTGGTCATGTCCAATCCCGCGACGACGCCGGCCTTGGAGAGACTCATGCCAGTGGCGTACACCGGGCTGACACTACCGGTCAGACCTACTCAAGTCAGTAACTCGATCGACTCCTCACGCCATGGGTGCTCACATTGTGTGATATTGACAATGACAATTCCTCGAGCGATCGCGTCAGCGAATACCTTGGTCATCGCATTGTCCTGACCGTGAGGCGCATTTCCAGCGCCGAATGTTTCCAGAACCAATCCACGCAGGCCCTCCAATTTCAACACGGCATCCACCATCTCCGGCTTGATACCCGGGAAGATACGGAGACAGGCGACATGTGTAGTGTCTAGGTTGGTCTGGATGCTAAAGTGCTCGAGGCTCTTCGGCCGGTTCACAATCTCCCAGTTGACGTTTGTACGCATTGACGTCGTCACAGCCAGCGGTGCCGAGTTGGGTGAGTTGAACGCATTGAAATCGCTGGCCGATACCTTGGTGGACCGGTTGCCTCGAAAGAGCTTGTTGTCAAAGTACAGACAGACCTCCGGAATCATGAAGTGGCCAGCCACAACCAATGACCCGAGCAGGTTATCTGTAGCGTCGCTTTGCAGCTGCAGCATCGGAGCTTGGGATCCCGTGAGGATCACCGGCTTTCCGAGGTTCTGCAGCATGAAGCTCAGTGCGGAGCAGGTGTATGCTAGACTGTCCGTACCGTGAAGCACGACGAAACCATCGAAAAGTGTGTAGTTTCGCTCGATGGTCCGTGCAATCTCCGCCCAACCTTTGGCGTCGATAGAACTGCTATCGAGGAGCTCATCGAATTCAAAGACGGTGTACCTCACCCGCCGGCCATACGCTGTCAGCGGAGTCCGCAGACTTGGATGGGCTTTGATCTCTCTAGAGCCGTTAATCACAACGTCCATCATAGTGGAGTTGGACCTATCATTGAATGAAGGCACCGGAGCCAGGCATTGCTCCTGGAAGTTTCGCGCAGGCACCAAGCCGGCTGGCGACGGTTGCATACAGATGGTACCTCCAGTCATGATGAGCAGCACCCGTGATTCAGGAACTGGGGGTTCCATCTGGCCTTCGGCCAATTCTGGGATGACATCGTCGGCGGCGACCATGTTGGCGATAGGTTACAGTAGACCACTGCGACAGACGAGTAGCAAGATCAAAAGATCTCAAAGCGACCAGCAAAGCAATCCTCGAGTGACTTGCAAGTTGATCCCAAGAATAGCACAAATAAGGTATCGCGATGGGTCCAGGGCTGAAAATCTTTCCGGCACCTCAGACGTAGTCTAGATCAGTCGCGATAAGAACCTGGACCGGACGGTATCGGATCGCGGGGTTGACGTCGTCTTTTCCTCCCTTTGAGGATGAAGGTAGCCTTCAAGGACAGTTCTTTATCGTCTTATGCCTCCTCGTGACGTTGAGAAACTTTTCAGCAGCGGTCTATTACGTACGGAATGCGCTTTCTGTGGATGCCGGCAAGGAGATCCTGGAGCCACTCCGTGTTAGTGTACCGCTGCGAGATTTTTGTCCGCCACTCTTTCCTTACCAAGTTTCTAAGACAAGGACAACGTCCGTGCCTGACGTCCGAAGTCGGCATCGCAGCATCATTTAGACTTCAAGGAATCAGGGCGCAGAAGAGTCTAGATGGCCAAGTCAAGTCACGCATTGGGTTGGCCTACTAACGAAACAGGGCGTAGCTCAATCACCATGAGACAAAAATTGAGACTCGACCAATATATTGACCTCGGGCTGACTTCGGGAACAAATAGCGAGATTCAGACGCTTGAGGCGCTTCAGATGGCTCAAATTTAAATGCTGGTCCGGTTTGGTGAGGAATCCTGGTGGTCAAAATAATGTGGTGGGAAAGAAAGCTTCTAGGGAAAACACAAAGCCAAATAGGTATTGATGGTCTCGTGATGTCCAACCCCATATCATTGTCCTTCCCTCGCGTTTGGTATATATACTCCGAGAGATTTTATAGGTCTATCGCTTGTTATATGGAGGAACGCCTCGCATCCAGCAGTAGCTTAACTGCTCGCCACAATAATATTAGCGCATTGCACACAGTCTTCTCAGGTACGGAATGGCAGCGATATTTAGACTGCAACGTTTAATACATATGCCTCGTCCTCGTATCCTTAAACTAATAATACCGCTCTTAATTCTATATCGAGGTTCTTATAAGGGCTTTCTTGAGCCTTCTCCTGTGGAAAGCACGCAGATATATATATATGGAGGTTCTCAGGTTATTGACCCGATGAGACAACCATTGTACATTAGGAAAGCACATACAAAGGATTTTGAATAGGTATAGACAATTTACTTGTCTGGGAGTCTAAAAACATTGCATTAAAGATAGGATGGTCGAACCTTGGAAGCAGGGCAGTTCAACCTATATACTCTTGAGCCAGCATACTTAAGGGTCACCTGTTTTCTTAACCATCTCATGGCAAATTCAGAGGCAGTTAGGCTATAGAGACATGCAGACCACTATCACATGCTTCTTTACATGTAAACCCATCCCTCGCCGCCTTAACCCAAACGCTTTCATTAAAGCAGCGCGCTCATCTGCTCTTGGCGCCCAAAACGGGAAAAGAGTGACGAAACCACGGCAGCTCCGTCGGAGTTAAGTTTCTCAGGCGACGCGGGAACCTGGAGGCGCAATTAAACAATTTTCCAGTCGGTGTCGCAGAGCTCAGATTTTTCGTCTCCTCCCCGGCCCCTGATTAGTGATTGCTTATCTCACTGTCTCACTGACAAGGATTTATCTTCTGGATTTGTTTTTTCTCTACTTCTCATCGATTGCTTTTCCATTCCTACCAATACCCATCCGTACCAAACGCGTTCAGATAAGCCTCACCATGTCGAACGACCAGCAGATTGATCTCGCGGACCGCATCTCCGAGCCTGTTATGCCTCAGGAGGTTGCGCGGGACATTGCTGTTTTGGAGCAGCAGTTCATTCGCGCGGAGGTTGAGCAGTGTAAGTACCTTGTGTTCTAATCGTTGATTGGCGCATCGCATCGCGAGCGCCATGCTATCTGTTACTCTGATCTATGCAATTAAACTACTATACATGCTAACATGAACTGAACAACAGTGCGCCGTAACATCCTCGACTTCCGTCCCCTGTATGAGAAGCGCGCTAAGATCATCGCGCACCCCGAGGTGCAGAGCAACTTCTGGGTTCGCGTGCTGTCAAACGCGTCCGGTGAGATCGATCAGTACATCACGCCCGCCGATGCGGCGATCCTCGGTTCCGCCCTGAAGGACCTGAAGGTCGAGCGATTCGAGGTCAACGAGAAGGGCGAGGGCGAGCCGCGCAGCATCCGCCTCACATTCGAGTTCCTGACCGGCGATGAGAACCCGTTTTTCGAGAATGAGAAGCTGGTCAAGGAGCTGTACTGGCGGAAGCAGGTTTTCACCACCGCTAGTGGCAAGAAGAGCACCTGGGACGGTCTTGTGTCCGACCCCGTGCGCATCAACTGGAAGAAGGATATGGATGTCACCAAGGGTCTGCTAGATGCCACGTGCGACCTGTTCGAGGCGGAGAAGAAGGGTGGCTCCCGTCGGGACCTGCCCGAGTTCAAGAAGCTCCAGGACAAGCTCGTCGAGGTGGAGGCTCTTGAGGTCGATGAAGAGGAGGAGGAGAACGACGATGAGGATCCTTTGGGACAGCCCTCGGGCCAGAGCTTCTTCAACTTCTTCGGTTACCGTGGAGGCGACGTGACCGCCGAACAGTCTGCGACGGCGACCCAAGAGGAGGAAGAGCGACTCGAAAAGTCCCTCAAGGGCGAGAAGGTTGAGTATGACGAGGCCGACGATGACGAGGATGTGGATGATGACTTCGATGAGATCGAAGCCTTCCCCGAGGGAGGTCAACTGGCCATTGCGCTCGCCGAAGATCTCTGGCCCAACGCGCTGAAATACTATAGTAAGAATATCCGATCTCTCCCCCAGGGTCACGACTAACCCATCCAAAGCTCAATCATTCGAAGAAATGCCTGATGATTTCGACATGGACGAGCTCGACGATGAGGATGACGAGGAGGAAGAAGAAGACGAAGAGTCCCACCCCCGCAAGAAGACCAAGGTCTAATCGCGCCAAAAAGTATCCAACAAACAACCGGTCCCATCTATAGGGCGATGACTAGTATTAATAACAGAACGAGGACGAAAATAAGGAGCCCGATGCAGAACGACGACATCGTATCTAATTCTTTAGTTAGCAGACCACCACTTAACGCAGACTGAATAATGCAATGATAATACCCACCTTCATTCTTCCTGATGATATGCTTCAACCTCGACATCCCATTCTGTAGTTTCCCCCCAACCCGATCAGCGAGTGTATCAATCTCCCCAATCATAACCGCCTGCTCCTCCAGCTCCCTCCCCATATCATCCGCTTGCTGTCTCAGGTTCCCGACCGTCCGGAACACCCCATCCAGCTGCTCATCCTGTTCATGCATAAGCTCCATCTGCCGCTGCTGCTCCATCTCCGCATAGTAATCATCCCCATGGCCATCGGCATCGTGGTCGTCAAAATCCGCTGGATTTGGGAGCCCGGAGCCCGTAGCTCTCGCATCGGCATGGTCGGCATGTGTAATGACCTTCACCAGCTCCGCCCTCATCTCCTCGATTTCATTTCCCACATCGTCGACGAGCTTGCGCCGCCGCGAAACCTCTTCGATCTCGAGGCCGAAGCGGTAGGGATCTTGCTCGACTGCTCGGACACTCTCGACTAGGTCGTCTAGATCGGCTGTGAGGTCTGTGAGGGTTGTTTCGAGCTCGGAGCGTGCTTGTTGAAGCTCAGGGTTTGAGGGGGACTTTGCGAGAGAGCGGATGCGGAGGTAGGATGAGAACAAGGGCCTTGTTGTTCCAAGTGTCGAAAGCACGTCGCTGTTGCTGGATATTAGCTAATGCGGCCGGCTGATGGGACGTTGGGTGCTTACGCTTGGACTTGGATAAAGGGGTCTGCGTGGTCCATCGTTGCTGCTGTCGGAGATCTGTTATACAATGGTCATAACAAGGAGTTCATAGGTTTAGAATCTGAAAGCGGACGATGTAGATGCGATAGAAAGCTTGCGGCCTGTTGATGCTACGTAATGGGAAGGGGTGGGCGGTGAGTGCGGCCATCCGGCTATCGAAACCGATCTATACAGGCTCCGGAGCACTACACTTGATTTGCTGTCTATACGTTGATCTGATACTAGATTTTGAAACGCAAGGAAGGGTAATCTTATTCGTAACTCATAACATGCAAATCCAACATATCGATCGTATCCAACCCAATCACGCTGGGCATAGGTATAAGATCTCTAACTAGTACACAGTACTTCCAATAAAGATGGTCGCAAAGATAGATAAATCTATGTCTTCGGTTGCGGGGGAGAAATCCACTCCCCGTCTTCGAGCCAAATTCCGGGGCCGCCGTACGTCCCCGCTTGTGCGCCTTTCAAAAATGAAAAGCGGAAGAAGAGGTCTTCAGGTTTGCCATTGTCGCTAAGATCGATCTGTTGCGTCTCCACTTCTGAAGATGAGTAGGCGTCACCGTCAATGGTGGACATATGCTTTAGGTCAAGGCCGGAGTGGCCACGGCGATGCCAGGTGAACTCCCCGTCTGGATCCTCATCCACGTAGCCACGCCAGCGCTCGACGTCGTTGACCAGCACCGAGACTCCATCTACGCCTAGCTTGTTCATGCGTTCCTTTTCCCAGAGAGAGAAGGTGATGTTGCCATTGCCGTGATAAAGCTCACCGGAGTCCTTACCAGGGAGGGATATGGTAACGCTGCTGTTGTCGATGTTGGGCCAAGTGGCTCCCCACCAACCGTGTGATCCGCCAGCTCCGGGGGCTAGTTCGCCCAGCGCCGCGGGCGTTTCGATGATCGAAGCAAAGCCCCACCGAGCAATGCCATTGATAAAGAGCCCAAGTAGCAATCCCTGGTAAACCAATGACGGTCGAGTGGGGAAGGCCGTTCCATACATCAACAGGATCGCAAGGATGTAGTGGTGAATGCGAAGGCGGAGCCCTGGAAGTGGCAGCAGAATCAAAAGAATGAGTGCCATAGTCCCGTATACCTTGAGATAATGGGGCATCAAACCGCCCATGCGGATGTGGTGAGCCTGGGTCACAATAATGCAGATTATGGTGGGGATAACCAGAGCTAGCGCGAGCTTTGCGCCAGGTTGTTGCTGAATATCATGTGGGGTCAGACGCTCAAGAGGAATCAATCTTGCGAAAGTGTAGTTGTTGAGGCCGCCAAAGAATGCAGGTGGCAAAAAGAGAAATGTCTTGCTGAACTGGTAGATAGATGGCGACAGCGGGGCCAGAAGTGGCCGTGCACAGTACCTGTACAGGACATAGGCCACGAATGACGCGGGAAGGAGGCGTGCGACAAAGACGGACATGAGGGCAGCCAGCTGAGCCCTAGGTGGTGGATCGGATACTAAACCAACTTGACTGAAAAGCATGAAGAACGTGCTGAAAAATAGTACTGCAGGAGACGAGCAGAAGAGCCACAAAAGAGCGAGCGCGCCGATAGTGATGCCTAGTAGAGGCCATCGCGGATCTTGCGGGCAAGTGGCATCTGATGACGGCTGGACAAAGCTGAAAGTCTTTGGAAATGTTGATGGAAAGCCGATAGACTTGATGCCATTCTGCTTTGACGCGTGAAATGAATGCGCTACCCCTTCTAACCGGGCGACACCACAGCCTCCGTCATTGTCAATGACTCCTGCATGGATAGCGGCTTGACAGATGAAACTGTCAGCCCGATATACGCCATGCTCGTCGGATCCTGATTGGGGGCCTCCAATGACAAGACCCCTGTAGCTGACTGTTTCATTCCCGACGGTATAGGGTTCAAGCATCTTCGCGTCTCGGCAGTTGGCAGGGCATCGGAAGGCGGTCGCTTCGCCCGTGAATGGGCGGCAGTCGTTCCCGTTGAGTCCGCATCCATTTCCAGACGACCTGAAGTCTTCATTAGCACTGTGGGAATTGACCTTAAGATAGACATACCAGAAGGTAGTCGAGCATGATAGTGTGATAGGCCGCCCATAGCCTTCAATGTAACCCGCAGAACGAGAGTGTAGGAAAAGGATGGTCCACGGCAGGAACCATGCAAAGTATAGGAGCAAAAGGAGGGTTATCTTATGCTTGCGCTTCGGAAAGAACTTGTCTAGATAGCGGGCTGGCAGTTCTTGAACATGCGGGAATAGCGGCGCCAACAAAAGCGGGTATGGCGGGTCTGGACCCTTGACGAAATCCGCTGTCGCGCGAGCTGCTTTTCGAATCGGTAAAGGAACCCAACCCCAGCGAAAAGACTTGGAGGACTCCCGTAGCCAGACGGGGAGGACGGTAGGGCCGGTGTCTACATCGCGGAGCAGATCGGCTGCGTCGGGATCGTCGGATTGGTCTTCAACCTCGACCGCAGGAGGTACATATACCCGAGAGCCATCACTCGGACCTTCCCCAAGCATTCTGAGGTGTAAACAGGGGCAGCCGATGAAAGAGCGTAGGAGAGCGATGATAAAGATCCGGTAGCGCGAGCGGCGGGCTTGTCGGCTGGTCTAGAACAGACCCTTTCAACCAGCGGAAAGGCCTATCCTAGCGTCGAAAAGAACGTAGTCAATACGAACTCGCGGCAACGGGCTAACGATAGCGGATTCGATAAAGATAGTGAGACAAAAAGGAATGAGCGATGGATGAAGGAGGGAGACGAGGAGCAGAGATCAGCTGCGAAGGGTGGCGCCTGGCACAGAGCGTGATTATGTCATTCGGCCAACTCATCCCGAGCCAGTCCGGAGGGCGAAACATGATTTGATGGGATTGCTGGTAAGAAAAGTAAATATAAAAAGTCTATAAAATTCATATAACCTTTGATCTGCAAAAACGTGGGCAGGAAATCGTTCAGGTCCAGCATGAGTGGGGAGATTTTCCGTACGTACTTTGGTTCGCAGCTGGCTGTCATATTAAAAGCTCTCCAACGGCTATCCGACCTTCGAGTCCACATCATTCTGCTCTAGCCCTCGAGCACTATGCTCCATAGTTCATACCCTGCCTTCCTTTGATATCATGATGAGGGCCACAATCAGCCCCGCATTCTCCTTGTCCTTGTTGATAAGCTCAATGGGTCTGGCTAGCGAGATTGTACCATTGGCTGTGGAAATGAGCCGTCGATTGGTTCCAGTCGCTTATCAAGCAAGTTGGAGATAACAATCCTGCCTGCCGTTATATCTCGAAGCCAGAGAAGACTGTGGTGACAACAGCTATTCAGGCATCATTCACAATGGCTTCCTTGTCATCCCCATTGGACTTGTCCCATCATTTCAGCGTCACAACCAAGCGCCGTGCTCCGAGTGCCGTTAAAGACTTTTACAAGTATTTTGTGATCCCCGGCATCGCCAATCTTACTGGTGGTATGTCGTAATCTCACGTTGACGGGGTCCAGTGCTTACCTGTGTGGTATCTGTAGGAATGCCACATGCTTCTTATTTTCCATATGATACTCTAGAAGCGTCTGTCGCCCATCCTCAGCGATTTCCGACTGTACCGGGTGGAAAGAAGGCCAAAGGCTCCGAATCGAGCGAAAGGATAGTCGTGCCTAAAGAATCCCAGAGCGCGGCTCCGAAGAAGATTGATATCACAACAGCCTTGCAATATGGCACCGCTGAGGGTCTTCCCCCTCTGGCGGGTTTTGTCAACCAGTTTGTTCGCGAGCATCTTCACCCGAACGTTCCGTACGCTGGCGGTCCTGGCACCCTTCTGACCACGGGCGCTACTGACGGCTTCTCCAAGGCGATCGAAGCTTTTACTGAAGTATGGAATCCTGACCGTGACGGGGTAGATTCGCGTCAGGGTCTTCTCTGCGAGGAATTTGTGTATATGAACGCTATCCAGACCGTCACGCCAAGGGGGCCGAACATCGTCACGGTAGCTATCGACGCCGAGGGTATGTTGCCACACGGCCCGGGAGGATTGAACGAAGTTTTGGAGAACTGGGACTACCGCAGAGGACGTCGTCCGCATCTACTATACACCATCACGTAAGTTATTCACTAGAAATAATTGTTCGTTGACTAATTGTCCGTCAAGCATCGGTCAGAACCCGACCGGAGGCACATTGTCTGTCGAACGCCGCAAGCAGATATACGCGATCTGCCAGAAGTACGACGTGATAATTGTTGAAGATGACCCGTACTGGAACCTGCAGTATCCGTCAGCCCAGGAGCTGCAAGCACAATATCGCAAGACGCCAGTTAACCCAACTTTGTCAAAGCGTAATTACAACGCGGGGAAAAAGTCTTCTGGGTACGAGTTTCTTGACTCCCTAGTACCGTCGTACTTGTCCGTCGACACCGACGGCCGAGTGGTTCGCTTGGACACCTTCTCCAAGACCATTGCTCCGGGATGCCGTCTTGGGTGGATGACGGCACAGCCAGCTGTTATCGAACGGCTGTCGCGGATCGCAGAGTCATCGACTCAAGCACCATCCGGCTTCGTTCAGGCCATGGTCGCTGAACTGATTCTCGGCCAGCAACTGGACGACAAATCCACAGCTTCTCAGAAACACAGCGGCACCGAGAAAGCCTGGCAAATGGATGGTTGGGTCCGCTGGCTCGAAGGTCTGCGAGCAGGGTACGAACATCGCATGCAGCAGATGTGCAGTGGTCTGGAGGAGGGTAAATACGTTGCCATCGGCACCGAAAGACCGGACGAATTCACATCGAGCGAAAATAACGAAGACTCCTGGGAGGTCTTGGATAAAGTTCAGATGTACGACTTCGCGTGGCCCACTGGCGGTATGTTTGTCTGGGTCAAGGTGAACTACGAGAGCCACCCCTTGCACCAGAAGTATGGAACTGCAAGGCTGGCCAAAGCGCTATGGGTACACTTCACACAAAAGCCGCATCTTTGTCTTCTTGGCCCAGGCACAATGTTCTCGCCAACAGAAGAGGTGCGAGCTCGCGGGCTCCGATATTTCCGGCTGTGCTTTGCTGCAATGCCTGCAGACGATGTCGCCCCGATCACTCGACGATTAGTCGATGGCTTCAGTGCTTTCTGGCAGAGAAAAAACCTTGATGGGCTTGAAGACCCTGAGAGTACAGCGCAAGCCATGGAACGGTTGCAGATGGAACCTTCTGTTAACTTTCTGGGAATGGGCTGTTGAGTAGATTGGATGTTTAGCGTTGGATTATTCTGCATAGAGCAATATGGACCGCTATCATGAGGAAACGATGAACATATAACTGGATAGTCTTGGAATATCTATCAGAATGCGATTTGGATTCGATTTTACTGAAATGAGAGGGTGTTTCTCACCGTACATTAGGTCGTACGGGGTTTATGCCAGAGTTAATCCTTAGTAAGCACGAGCACACGGTGTGCACTCTCGGCATTATGCACTGCGGGGGAGTAAATCTCCAACTCCTCCAACTTCTCGAACTCATCAGCAACTCACCATCACAATAGACACCTTCAAGAGCACTCTATTGACGTAACATAGCTCTTAGTCTACGGAACGCCCTAGCATAAATTGGGTTACGCAATTTAGCCTCAATAGGGTGCTACTGAAGGTGTCCAAGCTGAGCTCAACCGGACTCAGCCCACCAATATGTCCAACCTCAATGTCGCGAACACGGACCTCGCGGAAGAGATTGAAGCCATAAACGCCATTTACGAACCCGATACAATCACAATCTCAAGCACATCTCCGTCCTCCGCCGCCTCAACACTAGACCTAGGAGCCTCGACCTCGAACACTACGACAGCAGCAACAACAGTCAAACTCCAAATCCCGAACCACGCGCACTTATCCTTCCTCCTTGCATTCGAAACGAACTACCCAGATACACCGCCGAAGATACTAGGGACCGCATCGACGGCCGCGCGCGGGGAGGGGAAAATCGCTGTCGACGTGCTGGAGGATATACTAGGGCGCACGTACCAGCCCGGCGCGGTGTGTCTTTTCGATGTTATAAACGAGGCGACAGAGGTCTTTGAGGAGTTACGCATTGGAGGAGCTGCCGATGACACGAATGGCGCGAATGCAAGTACGAACGCGAACACAGAAGACCCGTCCGACAGCGTGGACGATCTAAGTGCAAACGCCGCCTCCCTCACATTACACGAGAGCTTGGGCCTCTCTGAACCCCCGCCCTGGATTATATCGGACGTGATTACCGAGAAGAAATCTGTTTTCGTGGGACGCGCGGCACATGTTACGAGTTTGGATCAGGCGAAGGCGTACCTGGACTACTTGCTAGCGAGCGACAAGAAAGTTGCGTCTGCGACGCATAATATCAGCGCGTGGCGGATCAAGCAGCAGAACAAAGCGTCTAAAGAAGGAGGGAAGGGGTCATCTAGCGAGATGATAATCCAAGACTGCGATGACGACGGCGAGACGGCTGCGGGCGGACGACTGCTCCATCTCATGCAGCTGATGGATGTGTGGGACGTTGTCGTTGTTGTGACGAGGTGGTATGGCGGTGTTTTGCTGGGCCCGGATCGATTTAGGATTATCAATGCTGCTGGGAGAGATGCCTTGGTGAAGGGTGGATTTGGGAAGGAGAAGGAAAATCAAGCTGGTGGTGAGAAGGGCAAGAAGAAGGGGAAGAAGTGAGCGCCTGGTCAACCTGGTCTGAGACCCAGAGTACAGCAAGGCTGCTCCCTCTTCTGGAGGGCAAGTCAAGCTTCTTCCTAGCCGCGCAACGCGATGGTCTGAGAAACGGAGAGCCCGAGAACAGCCCTCACGGGGGATCTGGCAGCCTAGCATGGTGCGACTGCCAGCGTCCGGTCGATTGTCAAACCAAGCTTAGGCTCACTTGACAGCGGCTCGAGGGAGCTGAGAATGAGACCTCCGTCGTTCGCTCGGCCGTGTCAGGCTCTCAAATTAGCGAGATGCATCAATACGGACGAATCGCGGGCTCGGAGTCAAGGGACCACGAACTCGTCACGCTGACATCGTCAAAACGATACCATTTCTCTCAGTCTGTGTCGCGAAGATAAAGATATACGGAACGACCAAACCTCGAAGAGGCAGCATTCGAAGCGGAGCCCGTCTCGCCGTCGCATATCTGGATGCCTGAAGTAGTTCGAGGTCGAGTCAACACCGTTCAATTCGATAACATGGTTTACCTAGACTACATTAATAGAATAAAGTTCGCCCGCCGAGTTTCACCATATTTATGCTCGGCATCGCCGCGCCACACAGACCACTTCGCAAAGAAGGACCCGAAACGCATTATCTAGTTTACCCTCCTCGAGTGGCTCAAGCGTCTACTTGCCATTATTGGCATCAGCTGATTTAGAGCAAATGCAACGCTACGTTACATGATCGTCAGGGACAGTGGGCTGCTGACTGTATCAATCCAACCGATTTCACCATCGCTTACTTTCTTCAAAGTTGTGTAGCGTCGTACGGTCCGGCCTAGACTAGGGATCAGAAACACTGTGCGCCCAGGGATAATCCTGTAAGAGAAGGACAGCCAATAGACTGTGTTTTGCTTACGGATCTGAAGGTGAGGGTTGGTATCCCTCCTGTCAGCATTTCGGAACGAGTTTCTGCCTGGAACCCTATGTTCCACAGGCGCTTATATCTAGCTTCAGATTCTATATGTGGTTATGTACATGACCGCTGACAATGTTCTAGAAACAGCAATATATACCGACGTGTAAACTAGGCAGGAAGAGATCATTTTCATGGTCAATGGTACGGAATCCCCAACCGCAAAGGCGTAACATAGCCCGCCTCACCAAAGACAGCTTTAACCCCCTTATAATCATCGACCTCACCAATCTGGACCCTTTTCTCACCGAGTAGATTGGCCCGCTCGTCCGCGTCGAGCGGATCGTATTCTCGCCCCGTTAGGGATAAGTAGGGGTTATTATACGTCAGGCCAGCGACCGGATCAAACATATTCGGCGCCATCGTCTTCATCCGAACGCAGACCCCTGCGACTCCCACTGCAACGAGAATGACAGTGGATACAATGAGGATGACTACCCAGGTGTACTCAGGGCGCCAGACCTCCGTGTAAGTCGTCAAGGTGGCATTAGATGAAGCGCCAACGAACGGGGCCAAGTCGTTGACCAATTGCCAAAGCTTCGCTGGTGGGTTCCACGCTGACCGATTATGAGACGTGTACTCGGATTCGTTGGTGACAGCCAAAAGCCCCTGGGCAGGTATATGGGGAGGCCCGTATACGCTTAGATTGGTTGGTAGGTCGCCTGCGAAGGCGGTTGGGGCCATTATGGCCTGCATGCCGGTGTTTAAGAGGATAGAAGCCCTAATTGCGAGGAGATCGGGGTCTATTTGAGAGATATTCACCTCCCGAGGGGCACCATTCAGGCCGGATTGCATGGGAAAGGCGCGGGAGTCGTTGAAGAATAGGAGCGAGGAGGTCGAGCCCCAATTTACCTCTCTTGCTAACTCTTCGGAATTGGCGTCAGTCATTAATTCCAGGAGAATGGATCCCCAATAGTCGAAGATGGTGTAGTCCTTAGGGCGGCGATCTGTGGTTGAAGAGCGTATCTTGGTAGCAGCACAACTCCCATTCACGCATTCGATCGAAACTTCCACCATTTTCTGGGTTACTTGACTCGTTGCCACCGTGGTTCCATCGCCGATACTAGAGTTAAATCTTAGGGTACGTGGCTGGGTGTAATTCGGTGTATTCGGATCGACCCCTTCTTTCTCTAAAAGAGGAAGCCCAAGGAACCTCTGGGAACGAATCAGAAATCCATTCTGGGATGTGGTCTCATAGCAGTCGGTACAATCTACTGTCATCCCAGTGAGCTGGTCGTGAAAATTGGATCTCTGGTGCATAGAGGCTGTCGATAACTCGACATATGTCGTCTCAACAGTGAAGTTGACGTCGCCTTTCTTTTTGAGCTCCGTCAAGCCCACAATGGGCATCCCGAACAGGGACGTGAACGCCTCCACCTCAGGCGCCTCTTGAACCGGCATCCAGCCATTCAAATCAACTTGTGAGGCATTTCCAGTTTCAAGGCGAGGTATTTTCACATTTCCCCACTGGTCAACCGGACCAGTTTTGATCGCAATGCTCTGCATCAAACTAGCGAGGTAAATATCGCGCATGGTTCGAGGCCAGCTGCCATCGTTGTAAACAGTGATGCCCTGGTAGACGAACATATTTCCCAAAGGGCCGTTGTCCAAATAACGAAGTTCAGTGTGGGTAGTCTCAGTTATGTTGGTTTTATACATTAGTCGAATAGCGCTTTGACCTCCGAGAGGTGACATGACCCATAAGACTAACAGACCCCATACAAGGATTGAGGCAGGCATGCTGACGAGATGAAGGATGGGGTCCGCTGTAGCGTTGGTATTCATGAGAGCCCATAATGTCTGTTGGAAATTAGAATAGAGAAAGCACACGATTCGGGATAGAGAGCACCCACCGACATGCGGACAGATCTTTGAGCGCAAAATCGGCCAATGCTTTTCAGAGAGCGCGATAGCAAGGCCGCGAAGAGGATAGGATATATAGTAGGGCCCTAAATGCACGTAATTAGATGACGTTGTGCTGTTAAGATTCTGTATATGCATACTAATCTCATGGCCTGCTCCATAGCGGAACCCAGGCTATCGCCTGTCGGCCTGTCTCTTATACATAGAGCCACGAGTGCGAGTGCTATTTGGTAATCAACAATTGAGCCTCAGCAGTAATAAAAACTAGAGAATAGAGACATACCTATGAAGCACAAGGCGACCAAACAGAGGAACCCTTCGAAGACAAGCGCTACTATGGACCCTGCTGGCTGCCTCAATGTCTTGCCAGAGTTACTAGATAAGTCAACAGAGATTTTGTTGGAAAATATCGCTTTAAATGGAGCTTCAGGCCGTAGGGTAGTCGACCATAGATTCGAATTGTTGCGGATTGTTTGAGACGCGCCCCTGGATGGTCTTTGATCTGCATTTTCAGCCATCGTGTGAATGCGACGAGTAGCTTCGACAGAGTGACATCCACAGCCATGGGCCTCAATCCAACCTTAAATAACACATAGCACGATCGGCCGCCTTGCAGGAGCCAGTAGCTTGACAAAGAGCAGCTGCATAGTATGAGATGGTGAGGCTGGGCGGCGGTTAAAGACAGACAAGAGTCCTCAACGCCCAATCGCATTCGAGGGCGATAGTGTAGTTACCGCCGACATTTCTGCAGCAGGGATCATGACAGCCGAAGAAATGGCAGAGTTCAAGCTCTTGCAAAAAGCAAACATATACAGAGCCAGGTATAAGCATAGGGCAGTGTTCTCTCTTTGTTGGGCGATGTTTGGATGAAATGTCCGGAAGTTGAACATAGAAAGGTACGATGTGTCCGGAGTAAGGTTGGCTGTAACCGCTGCTCCTTCCGGTGTGTAGTGGAACTGCCTGGCAGGGAATGAGCCTATGGAATTGCACGCTGTCCTACCTTTGTCCCACAATTCCTACACCGTGCGTTGTGGTAGGCCCAAGCTCGTCAAAAGCCCGATGCCTACCGCGCTTGATGCAACCAAAAATACATATCCATCGTGGCAATGGTATGGACGCGGGGATCTTTCTACCTGAAACGCGAAGTCCACCAAAGATGTCGCTTATGCCTGGTCGAAATCCCGACTTCTGCGAGTAATGCTTCTAGCGATCGGTGATTCGGCTCATGCCATGTTCCGTGCAGCACAATTGAGACGACATACTGTATGTACTAGTATGGGGTTTCTGAGAACTATATGATGTGTCATTTCAGACAATTGAACCGGTTCCCAGATTTCGGGAAATGAGGTATAGATGCGGAGAGGCCAATTCATCGGAGTCCTCCGCAAATTGGATTCAGGCACAAGCTCGAGGTTTAGGACAAGGTTTACTTTGCCGCCCTTTTGGCTCGATATCCTATCTTAGGTCGCCCGAGACCTGACAGCAAAGACTCCAGTGTGATGAATATGCTGGCGGTCATCAATGAATGTTTGCGAAGCGTCATTGAGTCGATGGCGGTAAAAAGTTCATGTGGGCTGGCCTCGTTCGCCACACACTGACACAGGCACACACAAAGAGTCAAAGACCCGCAAAATCGATTGCGGTTTCATCTGCCGAGGCGAGGGGCTAAGTCACCTTGTCAGCCACATCGGATCGGAGGAAATCGAGATTGACTCCTGATATGGAGTAGTACTTCGTATATCGTCGACGGAACTTGAGTAGAATACTATTCTCTCGGCAGTCGGCACCCAGAAGAACCCCTGGGATATTGAGTATACACGCTCAAGAAACCGTCGTCTCTATACGGAGTTCTCTGTTCACTGGCCCGAAATTATTGACAGAGAGCCCACCAGCATGAAACAAAAGGGTTCCCCGTCTGAGAAATGTGATGCCTTGAGATGGAAGGAGGCCATGTCAAGTGGCTGCGACTTTTGCGGGGATCGTCTCAACGTCCCCATGCCTACTGCTCGGTACCGAAGCGAACTGCCTGCCAGAGAGTTTGGGCCTCATGAACCCACCATTGAAGGCTTTGAAGCTGCTTGGAAATGGCAAGCTCTGATCACGTAGGGTACCGAGGTCGCTAGTACGCTACCAGAGTTGTTGAAGCTCCTTCATATCATTGCAGACCCATCATTATGGATGTCCTCGGATGATGAGCGAATCCAGTGCAAGTAGACCTCGCGATTTATCTAGTACTCGGAGTAGTAGTGGGCTTGATAATCTCGCTTCGCGAAAGTTTAGTTGAAAGAAATATAGCCAGCCATGGACGCGAATGTGACGGCTGACCGACGGTGCCTGGCGAACGTAACACAGGAGCTGTGGTTACTGGTCTCAAGATTCAGAGCAGGCCGCGCAAAGTTTGTCGCCTCCTTCAGGAGAAATCAAGAGCTGGATGTGCACTTCGGGGAGCTGATTGGAGACAGATCAGCCGTTGGATGGGCCAATCTGGTGTTGAACGTGGGATGCTGACCCGAGTCCCTGGAGCCCAAGGCCTGATGGTGCGGCAGCCCAGCCGGAGAATTACAACTCGTCATACGGCTTGATACGTAGCTGCTGCACTGCAGGGACCCTGTCTTTACCGCAGCTTTACCATACGAGCCTTTCCTGGTTGGTCGAGATTCTTCAGGCGGTTGAGGGGCTAGTGCCCAAAGCGGACTAGCGGATATCAAATGTGGTCGAATAGAACTGAGATGCTCCTCTGCTGCTCTTTGACCGACGCAAACTCCCCATGACCTGCAGTGGACCGCAAATGTGGACTGTTTCATCTTTGCCGAGATGTATCCAGTCCGGATGCAACTCAGGGTCCCTGATGGCTACAACCCTCCACCTCGAAGCGCTGAGGTCGGTTGCGATCTTGGTCTGTGTGCCAGCGAGGGCAGCGAGATGCATATAAGAATCCCCTGGATGCCAGTGCTGTGTTATCCTTTCCTCCTCTCCATCACGCTGGTCCGTTCTAGTCCTTCTTCCTTGAGCTTGTTCGACAGTTACTCAGGCTAGTTCCTGTTACATTCCTTTAAGACACCTTTGGTGCATTTCACTCGTCTATCTATACATTCTGTTCGTCTGGTACGGTCAGAATACACACTCCTTCAACTGTCGAACAGTTTTCATTTACCCAACTCCTCCAATCTACTCAAGATGTTCGCCAAATCCCTTGCGGCTGCTGCCATCTTCGGCTTCTCCCTTGTCAACGCTCATATGATCATGACCAACCCCGTCCCCTACAGCAAGGATTCTTTGAACAATTCGCCTATCTTGGCAGATGGAAGCGACTTTCCTTGCAAGAATCCTGGTTACACCGTCTCCACGGAAAACCACTTGACGAAGGGCCAGCCCTTCAACATCGAGTTCCAAGGCAGTGCTACCCACGGTGGTGGCTCTTGCCAGATCAGTATCACCTCGGACCGAGCCCCTACAAAGGACACAAAGTGGAGCGTCATCCAGTCAATTGAGGGTGGCTGCATGGATGAAAGCGAAGGCAACAGTAACCAGGCCGGTGGTGCAGGCATGAAAGCTGCATTCTCGCCCAGCATCACCATTCCCGATGATTTCGAGGACGGCCAGTATACTCTTGCCTGGACTTGGATCAACCGCATTGGAAACCGTGAATTCTACATGAACTGTGCCCCTGTTACTCTGAGTGGAGGTTCTTCTGCGAAGAGATCGGAGGTGGCTACTGTCGAGAAGCGTGCCGGAGATTACCCTGATATGTTCATTGCCAACATCAACGGCTGCAAGACCAAGGAGAACTACTCCCCACGCTTCCCTAACCCCGGATCGAACGTTGAATCTTTCAACGAGGCACACCTAATCGGAGCGGACGAGGATGTCTGCGACGGGGGATCATCACCGACCTGGGGAGACGCTGGCTTCAGCGACGGCACTAGCTCTGCGGAGCCTACCATGGAAGGTGACTCTTCCGGAGCGTCTACCACCCCAACAGCTCCCACCGATGCTGCTGCTCCCACCGATGCTGCTGCTCCCACCGATGCTGCTGCTCCCACCGATGCTGCTGCTCCCACCGATGCTGCTGCTCCCACCGATGCTGCTCCCACCGATGCTGCTCCTACCGAATGGGCTCCTACCACTGTCGCCACTACGCCTGCAGTTAGCATCGGAGGAGCCGTCGCGGTCCCCGACTTCACCGGTGCACCCGCAGCTGCGCAGACCACTGAGCCCGTGGCCGTTGTCCCTACTCCTTCCTCGACCTTCCAGTCTGTTGCTGCACCAACCGCCGCACCGACCTCTTCGCCCAGTACTGGTTCCACCTCCACTACTGGTGCCCTTTCTGGCTCCTGCACCGACGAAGGCTCCTGGAACTGCATCGGAGGCTCATCCTTCCAGCGCTGCGCCAACGGAGCCTGGACGCCTACTCAGAACATGGCTGGCGGTACCGAGTGCACTCCCGGCCAGAACGTGAACTTCGCGGTCAAGGCTGTCAAGATCAACTCTCGCATGCAGAAGGAGAAGCGTTCCCGCCGACGCGCCCACGGCCACATCAACATCCACTCGTAAATGACAGTGTACTAGGTTTCATCCACTGGCTGGGTGGAACCTTGAACCTTCCCTTGCGCGCGCCTACATTCGTTTCCACTCAGTCACTACTGCTTATGCTGTGATGGACCCTCTTACCTTCGCTTCGTTTCATGCATTTACCAATTCTGGCGGACGGCGGCGGTTGTGTGATTTCCACTTGTCAGGTTGGATAAAATCTATATATGGCATTGGGTGCATTTAGGTAGATACCATCTCTTATCCAATCATCCTCTCTTTCATGTTCCATCCTTTGAACTCTATCCCGTGTAGGCCGTAATCAGACATAGAACGGTAGGCGATCAACCATAGCACCGGTGACCTCAACACTGCTCGGACCTCCCCAACCACGTCAGAGCCCTATCCCAAACAAACTAACTAATCCCTGCTGCATTCCTTCAGGCATCGAAATGCTGCGGAACAACACAAACCAAGTCTTAACCGCCGTATTTTTCCCTCCGAGCCAATAGCCAGCACCAGCCACAAGGTAGGTCGCACCCGTTACGGCCGAAATTAGAACTCAGCTCCCGACATCTCACCGCTAATCTATACAAAGATCTGACTGCAGTGTTTTCTGCATGCCGGCCGTTCCACGTCAGATGTCAGGATTAGCGCCGGCGCTTAGATATGGCCCAGTAAGGACTCCTAGCAGCATAGTATAGAAGTAGGGACCTTGGATGGTGATTGCTTGGTACACGAGCTTCTGAAACGGTTTATAGTTTGTTTCAGGCGTCTACCTTTGGCGTTTTGGTGAGTTAGGTAGCTTTAGTGATGCGGCCACTCGGGTTATGGATCCATGTACCTACTGTTTATAGTTACGGCCTCGGCTGATTGAGGAGTAAACTAGCGCGGTGTTTGGCTTTGAATTTCAGGATATCGAATATCGATATTATTTATGCAACAGTCGTTAATTTGAATGAGACAAGTGTGATGGTGAGCTGTAGGAATCTATATAGGTAGACGGCACGTGACCAGCCGGGACAATTACCAGCCATCCCACTTACAGAATGCAATCATCAATTCCATACCAACGGACACTTATTCCATCCCTTTCTGTTACTGGGGACTCAATACTACTGCAGGATATGAGCACAGGATGAAAGGATAGTCAGTATTATTGTCATTTCATGCCCAATGGGGTCAACGGCATGGTGCTGCAATCCCTTCAGGATAGGCAACTCGGACAGGCGCCCCGCCCGGCCTCATCCGGTCTCACGTCATGCGGGCCAAGAATGCGGGGAAGCCACGGCGATTTACGAAGAAGCAAAGGGATGTCCCTTTGGTTGTTCCGTACGTGATGCCCCGGCAAGTGTTCTTCGGCGACCTGTGCCTCACTGCTTTCCCTCAAGAACTGGACTCCAAGTCCAAGTCACTCAAGCATCGGTATACTTGGATCTACCTTGGCCATTCAAGTCAGCTCTGACACTAAAGCCGTGTGCTTTCTCGATATCAGCGACGTGCTCTTTCCGCCGCAGTTCTGTACCAAGTTCGACTCTGTCGAGTCGGTATGGGTGAACTGAATTCTAGCGGATGAAGCCTGTAAGTCGCTCATTGAATTCAGATTTAGCCAGCCGGGCGCTATTCTTGACACGAATTACAGATTTCCATAGCACATTGGCTACATCCGCTTCATACGTTGACTTCTACCGTCGGAAGCCAGGGATATCCAGTGCTTGCCAAATCTAGCCGCACACTCCCGTACCTTCGGCATCATGAGCAACCCAAGAAAGACAGTGTTGATTGAATTAATGAGCACGCTTGTCCCCATGCCCTCGGACTGCGACCACGTGTCGAGGTACAACCCGGCATTGGCATTACAGAGGAAGCCGTCGATCTAATCGAGCTCTTCGCTGATTATATTTGCGAACGCCTGCACAGAGGCGTACGTGCATGTCCAAATGGCGTACCTGCATACAATGCAGTGGTCAGTATTTGTTCAAGCCTGTGATGATCTCTGGCCAACGTACCTGGACAACCCCCTGACGCCCCGTTGTCCTCTCAATATCAGCCTTCGCCGCATCCCCAGCCTTAAGGTTGCGCACGGCCAGAACAACGTACTGTGCTGATGCCGAGACAAGATGGCGAGTGGTCTCAAGGCTCAGACCTGAGTTTCCGCCCGTGATTATGTACATCTTTCCAATGCATGAATGCTTGCCAACTAGAAACGGCAGACTCCGTTATTGCTCGGCGGTTAGGCGCAGTATCACCATCTTGATAAGTGATTTCTGAGAATGTTGCCAAGGGTTCAAAGAGTCGTACAAACGCTCTCGCTGTGCCTAGTAGTGCGGTTTGCCTGAGTATGGCACTGGTATTAATACAAAAAAATGAATCCGAAATAGCGCAAAAGCCGCGAGCGAGATCTTGATGACAGGAGGACGCCCGGGCTTTGAGAGTATACCTTCGTTATCTCCTCCTACATACAAGAGGCTATACTAATTAGCGAGCTTCTTCTCAGGAAACCATCCTCGGATTGGCCAATAGGATATTAGCACCTTCTTTCAGATTAAGCGTTGGTGGGCTCATCCTTCGAGGTTAGTTGCACAACTCATCCTCGCCAACCAGATATTAGGCTCCCATTTAGGGATCTATATTGGGCTGAGCGAGAGAAAGTACGGGCTGGGCTGTTAGCCTGTTACCATTGATGGGATTTGAGCCTATGATGGCTGTGGCCGAGGGCTAGCGGGTGTTATGCACTGAGCGATTCCACCTAGAAGGTCAGGGCAACGGACAGTACTTAACTTAGGTGGAGTTGTACCAAAGTTATAACTTGGGATGACTGGACTGACAGCACAGCCGGTCATTGCGAAGACGAGCATTGGATAACATTCTCCGGCACCTACAGCTACGGACGGGCGTTCCGCGCCCATAGACCGGGTATAAGTCCCCTGCTCGATCTTCTTAAGTGACAGCCACCGCACCTCACCGTCACCGACACTCAAACTTTAAGAACACGATGTCCAACACAGGAGTATTATGGATCGACCCCTACAAAGACTTCGTAAGATGCATCCTCTGTGGATGCGCCACGATTGTCCCACCTCCGGCCCCAGTCTGGCTGGACACCGTTCGAGTCTGTGAGTTGTTCTCTCCTGCCAATTTAACCGCGCAGTCCATTCTGATTGACGGAAAGTGTACCAGTCAAATTGCGGCGCTGTGCTGCTCTCCAGACCGTACAGTACACACCCTAGGTTCAACTCGCTGGTGACTCGCAAGGGCAGGACAGTATACTGGAACTACGCCGGCCAAGACCCCTGGGAAACGCGGTATTGTTGCAGTCCCCCATCGGGGGAGTTTTTCGTCATGCATGATCACTGCTGGCTGTATGCCCGAAGATCGTTGTGTCGGGACATGGGCAAAAGTCCGCACTTGCGAAACGCATCCCTCGACCTGCGGGCCTTTTACAACCTGCTAAAGGAGGTACCGCCTGCTAGGGGTATGTCTGCCTGCTGTTATCTTCTGCTTAAATCATGCGAGCCTTTGTTGTTCACAACTAACGCAAGAGATGATGCATGAAGATCCGGCATACCCAGACCCGGCGAATTACCACCCGTGCATATCCCAAACGGTAAACCAAATGCTTCGAAATGCAAAGATATTTCCGCAACCCACCGCAAAGGTGAAGAGTCGTCTGGAAAATGGCCATAACCCAACAGATTTGTTTGGCCGATTACCCCTTGAGACCCGCGAAGAGATCGCAATGATAATGTGTATCCGGGACTTTTTGAACCTCCGTCTGGTCTCACGAGCGATGAGCGCGGTCTTCCATGACAGCCACTTCTGGAGGTCTCGGTTCAGGGAAGCAGGGGACCGATGGTTTATAGACACTGATGCTTGGCATGGTGGGAAAGGCCAGGATACCGACTGGCGGCTTCTATACCACGCTACATCAAGGTTCGCAGATAGGTCCGAGACCACAAGCAAGGTATGGGAAGTGGTGCGCTGGATGAAAGAGACTATTGCCGCGAAGAAAGGCCTACGGCTACCACCTTTGGACTTTTCCGGGCGGGCCTTGCAACATTACCACGGAGACTCATCTGCCGAGGGAAGACGGATCGAAAGAGCCCAGGTCTTGCCCAATCTCACCGCGATTGGAGTCACGTTTGTCACTGGCAACTCCACGGGTAAAGACTCAGAATGGCTCATGTCAGAGATCGTCGCACTGGAGCTGATTACCAACGGTCCTCGAAGTGACACTATAATTCTTGGCTGCCCGAGGAAAAAGGCGAAGACTCTTACATCCCTTGGGATGCAACGCAAAATGGCCATGTACCGTAACTCCGGCAGGAGGAAATATCGAAAGCAGCCGCCCGAGTGCCCATTCACCGGCAAGGTTGTCCGTGTTATGTTAGAGGCCAGGGGTTTCATGGGTTTCCGGATCGAATACTTCGTCGAGAAGATCTCGTCTATAGGCGTGTGGAGGAAGGGCGACCTTGGAAGTTTGAACGAACCACAGACATTTGGCATAGAGGACTACGACAGGTGTGTGTTTGATATGGTCTTGGAAGACGTGCTTGAGGTCGTTGCGACGTTCGAGGTAGGATGCTGTCTCTTTTCTCGTTGAAGATGCTAATATGAGTGCAGGGTCAGGCGTTGGTAGACTTGGGTATCAGAGGGCATCGCCCACTCCCAGTTGAATGAGTCCCTTGAATGCCCGAAGACACCCTTTGAATGCTTTCTTCCACGGAGTGAAATAATTCTAAGCCGAGTCAGCTGCTGAAGGAAAGCACAGCCGACGACAATGAGGTCCCCCAATATAATATGGATGTAGTAGTAATTCGCCCTGTACATAAGCGAGTAGTGTTAGCACAGAATACTATTTATTCTTACCCAATGTTCACAAAGAGCAGCCTGACTTAGGGAACACTGTGTTGATATTTGGTTCTTGTCAATGTCTTCTCATTTTGTTGGCTGAAAGTTGCCTCCGTAAGATCAACCATGATCAATTCCGAGCCAGGATAGTTGTAAGTCAGTCCTACGGCCAACCGTTCCGAGTGAGTCAAATCTTGCACAATGTTTCCTCAGAGTAACCTCCTTATCAGCCTCTCTCACTTATCCTTCATTGACCTCCCTCCTCCTATCAATCATCTCAGCATAGATCCTTTACCTTCCGACATCAAAACCCGTTTCCTCATCATTTCCGACACCCACGGCCACGAACTCCCTACCGGATACTCTCAGCACGAGGCAGACGTCGCCATCCACTGCGGAGATCTAACCGACGGAGCAAAACTCGACGAGTTCAAGACCGCTATCACGCTTCTCCACAGTATCAAAGCGCCGCTCAAGCTCGTCATCGCCAGCAACCATGATTTCACCATGGACATTCCCGTCTTTCGCGGAAAAGTCGCCGAGATAAGACCGCCAGTTGAACGAGAACTAATCAAAAAGGAATACGGAGATTACGGCGAAGTCAGGGAAGTATTATTCCAACAAGCCGGAAGCAGTGAGATCATCTTCCTAGATGAAGGCTCCCACACCTTCACACTACCAAACGGCGCTTTACTGAAAGTCTACGCCAGCCCGTACACCCCATCCCTCGGCAACTGGGCTTTTGGAAACTGGGGCTTCCAGTATCCTCCGGAGACGGGTCATACATTTGACATTGCCAACGACGTTGACATTGTGATCACGCACGGCCCGCCTAGAGGGATCATGGACACCACATGCACGGGAGTACGGGCCGGTTGCCCTAGCCTCTTCGAGGCCGTTGCCCGAGCTCGGCCTCGTATGCATTGCTTCGGTCATGTCCATCAGGGCTGGGGAGCGAAGCTCGTAGCCTGGAGGCCGAAAATCAGCGAGAGACCTTCGAATCTCACCAATATCGACAACGGGAGGTCGAAAATCATACGAAATCTGTCCCAAGTTAACCTTGGAATGAGCGTCCTCGAGACCAGTCATTGCACCCAAGATGAGTATCCCCTAAAGAATAAATCTCACACGTTGTTCGTTAACGCCGCCATCGAGGGCAACCATTCTCACCCGATATGGCTCGTTGATCTCGAGCTTCCACCGGCCGTGTAAATGCATTTGATACTTGGATATCTTTTACTCTAAGGATAAGAAATCCCAGGAGAAATGGAATCGAGAAAAGTAAAAAAAAAAGAGGAAGCAAAGGTAAAAGATACCAACGCCGCGCTTGGATCAAAAGATAGTTGTGCTATACCTATACAACCCTCCTTACTATGGATACATAGAATACGCAATGTTAGAAATGAGATTAACGCAGCCTTCCATGCCAAAACTATTCAGCTTATCCAGTAAGGCCTCACGCCCAAGTATGTCCGGCATAGCCATATCTCCACGACATTGAAGCCAAAAGTGAGGACATTATGTCGAATATATATATATATAGCTGTTGCTTGCTTGCTGAACCAAATACAGTGAACGAGCGGATTGGCCAAGACCGATGTACTGCAGAGCATTATGAGCAGGAATCTTCCAAACATTTCATTCTGTAAGCTGCTAGGAAGGAAATATATAGATGCTTAGTTGGATATGTATGGCGTTCAGGAAGCAATCATCTTGACGGATACACCAGGATTGAGATACTCTCTCAGGCTGCAATCATGTAAATCTATAACCGGTAGAGGTACAATTAAAGGAAGGATACTATTACTGCTCATATGTGATTGACGAGCTCAAGCGCCATCGACGCAGAGTGTCTGGCGTCGGGTAATACGGGAGCTAGAACAGGACAGCAATCCGATTGACAAGATCGAGGGTCAAGCGAGAGTCAGGCAATAGCATGCTCTGCTGCGACTGACCACTGCGAGACGAATATTGAACAAGAGAATCCAGAGAGGACTTGAACTTCATGGTTGTGCAACCACTCATATGGCCCGGGTAATATGTGGCGAGTAATCTGCAGCCCCCTTACCTTCTAAGGGCAAGGTCGTGAGAGAATCACAATTCATAATCTCTTCAACCTACTGTCAGATGCTCCGAGGCAAGAGTGAAGCCAAAGTTGAGCGTTCTTGATAGCTGTTGCGGATGCCTGGGGTACCCACCGCGGCGCCAAGCCACGCTGACCCAAAGCGGACAGGGCTTAGGGCATTCCCGCACAGACGGGCCGGAGAGCAAACTAAGCGAAAATTTCGATCACTTCGTGAGCGACTTCGATCCGCCCGCAACCTCGAAAGCCGACAACCAGCCTCACGTCGACAACAATGGCCTCTCGTCCTACCGTCTCTATCGCCTCCGGTGAGGGCAAGCCCACCGGGGCCACTGCCCCCCTGCCGGCTGTTTTCAACGCGCCCATCCGTCCTGATATCGTCCAGTATGTGCGACCTTTGTTTTCAACGTGGGAGGATTGAGGAAAGACGATTGGAGATGGGGAACCAATGCGAAGAAGAAAGATGGGACTGACGGTTGGATTATAGGCAGGTTCACACCGGTATGGCGAAGAACAAGAGACAGCCTTACGCTGTGAGCGAGAAGGCTGGTGAACAGACCTCCGCTGAGTCCTGGGGTACCGGTATGTTTGGATAAAGACGCAATTGGAAAGCAAAGACGGCGTATACTGATTTTTCACCCTCAGGCCGTGCTGTCGCTCGTATCCCCCGTGTCTCCGGTGGTGGTACTCACCGTGCTGGTCAGGCTGCATTCGGTAACCAGTGCCGTTCCGGTCGCATGTTCGCTCCCACCAAGGTCTGGCGCAAGTGGCACCAGAAGGTCAACCTCGGCCAGCGCCGCTTCGCGACTGCCTCCGCCCTGGCTGCCTCCTCCGTCCCCTCTCTCCTCTTCGCCCGCGGCCACCGCATCGCCAACGTCCCCGAGGTTCCCCTCGTCGTCGACTCCAAGACCTTCGAGAACGCCGCTGTGACCAAGACCAAGGCCGCCGTTGCCCTCCTCCAGGCCCTCGGTGCCGGCTCTGAGCTCGTCAAGGTCTCCAAGTCCCGCAAGCTCCGCGCCGGTAAGGGTAAGCTCCGTGACCGCCGCTTCCGCCAGCGCCGCGGTCCCCTCGTCGTCTACAACCCCGAGGTCGACGGCAAGGAGCTCGTCCGTGCTTTCCGCAACATCCCCGGTGTTGAGACCTCCCCCGTCTTCAGCCTCAACCTCCTCCAGCTCGCCCCCGGTGGCCACCTCGGTCGCTTCATCGTCTGGACCTCCTCCGCCTTCGAGGCTCTCGACACCGTCTACGGCACCACTACCTCCCCCTCCGCCCTCAAGAAGGACTACCTCCTCCCCTCCAACCTCGTCGCCAACGCCGACCTGGCCCGCCTCATCAACTCTTCTGAAATCCAGTCCGTCCTCCGCGCCCCCAAGGGTGAGGCCCGCACCAAGCGCGCCAACGTCCAGAAGAAGAACCCTCTCCGCAACAAGCAGGTTATGCTCCGTCTTAACCCCTACGCTGCTGCGTTCTCCAAGGAGAAGCTCGGCCAGAAGGCTGTTGAGGGTGAGAAGCCTGCTCCTCTGGCTGACGGCTTCCTCAACACTCTCCACGAGAACTAGAGGACTCGCGCTTTCTCTCTTTTAAGGTCATGTTGTTGATGGTTCGGGATTCGGTTTAAAAATGGTAGCAATAAGCAAATGAACGGATTTGCCAATACCCACTTCGTCTTTATTTAGGTCTCACGTGTAATGGATATGTAATGATTCACAAGAGCTGGTGTCTTGTAGCTGTTACCCTCAATGCTCGAGTAGTATCCTTACTATAGACTCCATAGCTGGCCTGGGCAGCTGCAATCCCTTGGCAGTGGACCTTCAGGCCCAGCCCTCTGCTTATTCATAACCCACCTACGCTGCAGGCCTCAGAATGATCGACTCGCCCTCAACGGCGCCGTTTCTAGACCAGGCCACTGGCCTGTGAGGTCGTCCAGTCTTTGACCTAACCTCGCAAGAGTATCTGTGTTCGGTCTAGCTCCAACGAACTATAGCACTAGATCTCTATAACGAAATGTCTCATATTTCAACCGGCAATTTATCAATGGACAACGTGGAGCTGCTAATGCTATACCACCCCATAATATTACTACGCTACCTACCCCGTAGCTTATCTTCTCCAGTCTTCTTCCGACTCGGCCGTAGGTAACCGTTATGTACTCAGCATGACCATGACGTCTCCTGCACACCGGTGACCTTGTTCTCGGAATATCGGGTGTTACATCCATATTGTTCGGCCAAGTCAGAGCCTCGTTGGCAGCTGGCGCTGATGGTCTAGCCTAGCCCGGAGGGAACTGGACACCAGGAACAATTCTTTCGGGTGGCGATATACGTCGGCGAAAGCCTTGATGACACCAAAGCCAGCTATTCGCTGATGTGTCCCGCATCAGACGTCAAGACCGTCGTCCGAATGTCGCTTTTCTGCCCGGTTTCTTCTTTCGGGGTTATAAAAGCCGTGTATGAAGCAGTGGTATGGATGGTATAGAAGGGGCGTAGTTTGTAGCTTGGGCGACTTGGAGAACCGGAGAGAAACCGGGCAAAGAGGTGTTTGGATCACCAAGCCGCATCTTTGTCTCTTTGGAGCAGGTGAAAAGCCAAATACACCGCTCATCGAAGTGAGGGTGCATGATCTGTATCTAGGATGAGCGCTGCGTCAAGCCTTCCCTTTCTGAGAGCATGACCGAGGGCCTAACATGGCTAGTCGGCTTTAACTTGAAGTGAGGCCATTGAGAACAATTGACAATGACTTGTTTTTTCCCGTGCCCTGTGGCGGAATACTATATCAGTCATTTTTGTTGACCGAAACCAAATTTGCAAGGCCTGGAAGATACGTATAATGACGCCTTCATCAGATAGACTAATACGCAAGCGGTAGTGAAGAATGGGTGCCAGGTCTTCCATGTTGATCGACAGGTTGCCTAGAAGATCTAGATTTGAAACCGTTCAACCAGCGCGGCCTGTATTCGAACAATGGACATTATCATGCTAGGTAAAACATGATCCACCGCCAAACTCGCCTCGACGCCTCTCAAAGCCTAAGCAGATTTTGTGATGCACTAAGACTAGCTTAGGCCTAACCACGGAGTAGGGCATTCATACCGAGAGCGAATCGGTGTAGGAGTAGTAGCGCACAGATTTTCCCGATGGCTTTTACCGATCCTAGGCCGTTTGATTTTGGAGGGTAACGTCGCCGCATTGTTGAATTTGAGCTTCAGAACGGCTCATATATTGCTCTATGGCGGAGATTTGATGGGTCTTCGCGAAGAAGCGACAATGTTCGAGAAAATGTATAGCTGAGCTATTATGTAGCATCGACTGGAGCGACGGGAATCTTCGAACTAATGAGAGTCGTATCCGTCTCCGTGCGCCGGGTAGGAGTAGTCCCTGTACGACTTCGACGATGTACCCTGCGTAGGCTGTGCTCGGTACATATTACATGCATCCGATACAATCAATTTTCGCCCATAGTTAATCGCCAAGGAGCAGGCCGCATGATGTCAAGGGGATTGGAAAGCCTCACAAGTCAACAAGGACGAACTCAACGGGGACCGGACCGGTGAGACCGCATCGGCCGTGTGCGTTTTTTGATGCGCACAAGTACCTCCGTAAAAATGGTATGTTGTGACCTGATGTCCAAATCCCGAGCGAATCCGACACTTGAAGGACATATGGACCTAGCGGCGAATGACTACCGTCTAGCTCCACCCGGTACTTGGTAGGATCAGAGCCCGTGCATGGGGAACCCAGTTCGTGCGGTATGAGGGAATTGCGAACCGCCCCTGGGCTTGTATATTAAAGTCAAGACTCCAAGAATAAATCTGGCGCCCACAAACCATTGGCGCATAAGCGCTTACACTAGTCCTCGGGGCCATAAAATAAGACGACTGAAACAGCTTACCAAAGGATTCCACCCGCAGTCTCAAAGTGCCAATCCGGACATCTTCTGGCTTTAATCTCAACATGTCGGAAATCCCGGGCGTATGCTATACTGACGACTCATGCAGGACAGGATTGGTATTGTGCCGGTACACTCTCCCCTTCGAAAAAATGTCTTGTTTACTTCCCTGCAGCTGTTGATTCCTGTTGATTCGCCCCATATGGTGTAATGTAGCTGCCAGCGATGTTGAAAGACAATTGGATTGATATTCCGTACATCATACGTGAGGATAAGGTCCCGCAGTGTGGAGGTGCGTCCTCTGTGTTTTCTCCACTCGTGGACCGCCGTGTGATGATTGATAGGACGACCGACGGTGTCGAGACCTAAATAGCCTTTTCTCAGCTTCATGTCCTCTAAATTGCTAGAGAAGGAAAAACGAAGTTCAAGGTAAGGTGGCCATACACTTACTGCCATAATGTGCCATTACGAAAGACGGATTGCGCGCCTTTTTCTGACATGAGTTAGCCTCATGGAGACCCACAAGGACCGGTGGCTAATGCTTATGGGCACTTTCTTGTTTAGTAAGGTGACAATTACTCGGCATTTTGCTGCGAGTCGCCCATACCTAACTCTGTTGGGGCCTAGCCACGGCAAAGCACCCCAGTTGGATGCATCTCGATCGAGGAACAACGAGCGGTATGGGAGCGCGAAGAATCAATGGCTATAAAGGGCTCACCGGTAATAAGCAGGGGTAGGTTGACAGCGCAACCAGGAAGAGAGATGATTCCTGCACGACAAGCGGGGACCAACTTTTGAGGAAGACGGAGGAGGCTGAGGTGTTTGTCGCTGTAGAAGGAAGGCACGTGAGGAACTCGAGCATTTCCACCTCAGCAACAACTGAATCCAACAACCCCGGCACCAAATGTCCGGGATCGCAATTAAGGCTGCCAAATGCTATTAGAAACGAATTCCGGGTGACTTTGCTGCCACATTGACTTGTTGGTCTCGTTGCTTGTCAGTTCGAAGATCCGGTCGTACAGACAGGGACCATGCATGACCAGCCTCTCGAAATTACCCTCCAGCACTCTCTCGCGAGTCGCGCATGCAGCCCGGCGGGAACCTACAGCTCGATCAGCCAGCATTCCCTTGCAGCGCCGCGGCTACCGACCAAAACCCGGTCGAGCATCGAATTTCGCGTGCCGCGGAGGTTGATGATGTGGTCCCGAAACAATCTTCCACAATACCAGATCCTTGACTCAAAGTCCAAAAGGTCAGTGATCTACATCCTAGTCCTTTAGGATCCTGGCCTTGCTCGGTGAGCTTTCGGGGGCCAGTCGGTATCGTGCTGCTTTAGCCTCTTTCTCCTGCTGCTGCAGACCCCTTCTGGTCCAATTTTTTAGCGTCAGTTAACGAGCGACTCGGAGCGAGTGCCCTGAGTACAGAGGTAGACTCGCTGTTTCGTTTGCTCCTCGGAGTTTCAAAGACCAAGGGTTTACTGATATTAAACCGTCCCATGGCATAGCTTTTCGGTCGGAGTTGAGCCAGCCGACCAGACTCCAGAGGCCGACAAGGGGATAACGGACGCCGTTGGCGCTAGGGCGCAACGCCGCAAACCAAGAGCAGAGCGGCCCCGGGGCGGTTTACTCGATTCTTGCGCCTGTCAGCACGATAGCGGAGACCTTGGCCTCCGCGTTGCTTAAAGGAATAATCCCGGCCGCAGAGAGGGACGGCTGATTGGTGTGAGCAGTACTTTTTGACGATGATCAAGATCATAGTTCACCCAGATTCGCTCATCTTTATACCTCCGTACCGGGCCTAGGTCCGAGCGGAGACATGGGAAAGCTGAAGGAATCAGGGTGCATGATGCTCAGCCTAAGCTGCTCCTCTAATTCGTCGACTTGTCCCGACAGGGCTCTCGCGAGGTCCAAGGGATGGAGGAGCCGGGCCTGATAGGACGAGTAATCTCGCTATGCTCCGTACGCACGGATAAATTGGATCTAAACTCACATCGCACCAATGACCTTCCATACGGAGATATTTCTATTCGTTCGCTGGAGCGACGGCGACTCTGAGAGACTAGGACAGACTGGCACATGCCATTTTTGGAGGTAGTAGTCCACCCGGAGCGGATCCTGACTCGATGTCACCGAGAGCAGCGCAAATTATCGGCAGACAAAGGGGTGGTATACGGGGCCAAGATGGAAACAAAGAGATGCTAATAATAATAATAACGAGACTGCAGATCTGATCGCCAGGGCTCGAGACTCGATCCGGTAGGCCAGCAGCATAGAATCGGCCGTCATCGAGTCGTGAAACCGGGAGTTAGTCTCACCATCCCAACTGTGCTTGCAGGAGCCGACCACGGGTGTTTCCACTTAGCGCAGCCATCCCCGCGAACGACCAGGACGAACTGCGAAACAGAGCTAGTCTCACTCTCAAGTCCTCGGTTCTCTGCGCTTGCGGTTGTCTTCAAAGAGACAGTTACCCACTCCCTTGAAGCTTCCAGGGGTCAGATAACGAATCCTACATGCACAAGTGCCAGCTGGTCAAAGTTTATCTTCAATCACAATGCCGCCAATGAGCTAACGAGGGGATGCCACCGAGAAGCAGTCCAGGAGAGTAATCTCTGACCCTCGATGACCTGAGTAAGAAGCAATCACTCCGCAAATGATTGGTATGGCTGAAATCCTGTCAGTGCACGCAGGAAGGACAGACCAGGGCCATACTGATGATCGACCGATGGGCCTAGCGGGTGAAACAAATGAAAGGAGCTCAAACATCACGGGGGCATCCGCCGTTCTGACATTTGGTCAAGACCAGACAAGGTTATTTTCATATGCCGTCCCGAGGATGAATCCGTCCCAAGTATGGTCAGATGGAGAGGGAAGGATCGTTTGAAACGCCGTCAGAAAATCCTGGTTGCGGGGCGCAGGTGGACCTCAGGCCAGCCAAGTCCGAAGCGGATTGATAGAATAGGGAAGAAAAAGCAACGAGCAAGGGTAACGGTGAGCGGCGGCAGCTCAGTTAAATGAATCCATTGCCGGACACTCAGAAGTTGGGCGCAGGGCCGACTGGCGTGGCTCAAGCAAAACATATGGTGGTGGATCGACATCCAGGTGGAGACTGTATCTCGGTAGGGGAGTGTCCGAAAGAAAGTAAATGATCCATAGTCGAAACACGACGAGTCTGAATCAGCCCTGGAGAGCGCTGTCACGGGTATGGGTGGGATTGGGATCATATCGTGGATTCAGATCGCAGACACCGTCAGTCAACCTGTTCTGCTTGTCTCGAGCTCCTCTCCCTCTCCGCTCTCCCTCACCACCACCACACCACTCGCTTCCATTTTCTTCCCCTCAGTTCTCGTTTCTTGCTTCAGTTTCTTGTCCTTCAAGCCTAGTCTGCCGAGTGTTTCTTAGTCGGTCCGTCCCACCCGTGTGTTCTCCGCGCTCCCCCTGTCTTCTGCAGGGTTCTTGTACCAGGGCATCCATATTCAGCGTCAAAGGCGACACCGAACCTGGGCATCATTCCCCCGCGTCCAAGCCCTCACGCAAAATACCAGTCGCAGCCCTGACAGCGAATCGCTGATCCTCGGCCTGGCCCTTGTTCCGTCGTGATTTTGTCGCCGGCATGACATCTCTCCCAGCATTCATTGTTCTTCTCCGTTAGCGGCTGCAGCAACCTGGCCGACATTAGACCTCCTGGTCCAATAAGGTACGTACGAGCGGCTCCTCACTGTTGGTTGTGTGTCTCCCCTGTGAGAGTACATTACTCAAGCCGAACAAGGGGAGTGGGAGAGAAGAAAAGCAAATTAATGGGTGTAATTATAGAAACTATCCACCTTGTCACCACCCCGGACTGGTATTTGCCTCTTACTGCATTCGGATGTGGAGGCTACATCTGTTCGGCAAACGGGCGTCTCTCTTTTCTTTTTGCCTCTCGTGTTCATGGCCCCCAAGGCTTCCCACCCGCTCTTTCTCTGACTGAATTGCAAGCTGGAGCCCCAAAGCTACCACCCTTCTTTGTCATCAGGATCTTGCACAAACCATTTGCTACGTGACTCGGCCATTTGCGGCTTGGGGCAAATCACGACTGTTGATCCCGCTGGAGTCCATACCAATCTGGATAGACGCCCGTTGCTCAAAGGCCTCTGGGGGCTCCGGCTGAGATCCTGCAGTACCCAACCCTGCTGTGGGAAGCTCGTCCCGAGAAAGAAACTAAGAAGAACGAGTTTCAGGGCCGTTTGCGCCATGAGTTTCCACCTCTAGATCTCACTCGTGTCCCCACTGAGGCCCACTCACGCTCGTCTATCCTATTCCTAGCGTACGGGAGGTTCCAGCAATCCGCGTGGCAACGGCCTATCCTATTGTGGAATTTCTTTCTATTGGTCTTATTGTGGACGACGTCCCTATCCGGTATCACGTTCTGTCCCTGCGCCGGATTATATACCGAGCCTTGACCTGGGGGCTTTTCTTATCTCCAAGCCGGATCCAAGGCTCTGACCCGACTACCTGGATTGCGGCCTGCCACTTGCGTTCTACTCCATCCTTCCTGCAGTCCTTACTTTGTTAACGGTCTGAACGTCACAAAAGATCCTGCAGAGTAAAGTTTACCAACGAAAAGCAAGGTGTGTACTTCCTTGATCGGGTAACCTCACGGGATGTGTCCACAAACTTGTCTACATCAGTGACTAACCATGCGCCTTTTTCTCAGATTGCCTCAGGTCTAATTAGGGCTTATTTCACGACTTTCACTCATTTAATTTGGATGCCTCAAGCCTTCTGGTAAGGTCAATACCGACGTTCGTCCCCGGCGGCGCGTTCCTTCCCGTTCGTTAGAGGGTTCGGCAGTACGAAGACGACATTTGTCCTACACGAGAGGAACCGAACCGAACCGCCATGTCATCGGCCTACTATATTGGACCCTTCGGGCGTATGTTACCTGTTGCCGATGGGCCCGCGGAGCAAGAACCGGATCGTCCAGCTAACCTATCAGTTTCGGGATCCCATCCATACCAACTTCCACCTCCTCGCACTTCAGCACCATTACAGTTTGGAACAGACCCATTTCTGCGTCCACGAAACCGGGGCGAACGGGTCGACGAGGAAGAGGGCCCTTCCGGCTACTCTAGGAATTCTAGGTATCAACAGCCACAGCCGAGCGAGCAACTTCCCTCAGTCAGCCAGCTTCTTACGCCCGCCGCGCAATCAAGCCGGTCGCCGTCACCCTATAACCCAAGGGCTTTCGGAATCTACTTGGCACCAAATGACGGTAGAGAGTCCCCCGAGCGATTACGCTATAATGGAACAAGCACACCCCGACCGCAGGCGCGTGCAGCAGGCCTTTACGAGAACTCTAAAACACATTCCGATCTGATAACCTCGCCACAGTCTCAGAATCTACCTCCTATATCCCACATCTCTACGCACGCGGGTGGCAACGATGTTTCTAGGTACTTAGGCAATAACTCGAACTCATTTCAACCCAGACAGCCTGCTGGTTTCCATGGTTATAATGAGGAATCCAACGATAGGAACACCGCGGCAATCCCTTCATCCAGTCCAGCCGAGTCGACCCACCTCACTGCTACTGGTAAATCAGCAAAGCCTCAAGTACGCCTGCACGTCGTCGATGAACGATACATTGAAGGTGAAGGTCTTTGTTACATATACGCCGATGGATCACATTGCCCTAAAATAGTTGATGGCATGCCGGTTAACGCCAATTGGGGCATTACGAAAGCGGGCAAGCCACGAAAACGACTAGCTCAGGCATGCCTTACATGTCGCGAAAAGAAGATAAAGTGCCATCCAAACCTGCCGAAGTGCGACCAGTGCCAGAAGTCTGGGAGGGAGTGCAGATTCGAGAGTGCGTAAGTATTTGACCAACAAAATGGAAGTCACGAACCGAAATCCTGACCCCTTACTAGGCCTCGTGGTCACCGCGCAGCATCCAGGGCGACGCAGTTTACAAAGAAATACGATACAAGAGATAATGCTGCAGTGGGGAATCCTAACAATGCAGGTACCTCCAGTTCACTATATTCTGTTGCAAGAGCTTCAGGAAGCTCTACCTCTCTCCCAGGAACCAATTCGCAGTCTCCCCTATCTGATGATTCCATGCTTACGCCTTCTGCTGTGGATAGCAACCTTGAGAACACCACGGATCTCGACCATCGTTATGCAGCAAGGCTGCAACAGCCTCCTGTCGGACATGGACATTTTTCGCGCCATTCTATGAGCAGCGCCGCCAGTTCAGCTTCCACTGACTACGCGGAAATATTGACGGAGATCAAGGACCTAGACGCCCATGATCCGCTGGCTGCTGACTGGAAAGCAGGCCCTTATGCTATCGATCCAGAATCCGCAAGCCATTATACCGAAATGTACTTCTCATGCGTGAACGACCGCTTATACTATATGTTTCCTAGGAGACGGTTTCTTCTCTGGCTCAAATCATGCCATACAAAGTCTCTTGCTGATAACATGCTTCTTTACTGCATGATGTCTCTGGGTTCTGTCTTCTCGGACCGCCCTGACAAGATGGCAGCGATGAAGAGGTTCTCCCGCACTGCGAGATATGCACTCGAGCATAGCCAGCACAATCTTTCCTTGCAGCTTGCTCAAAGCCGTATCATAATCAGCCTCTGGTACTATGCGGTTGGTGCACTCGTGAAATCCTGGGATGCTGCAGGCGCCGCAGTGCGAACAGTATGTGGCCTGCGGTATAATGTTGAATTGGGTGGAGTCATCGTAGAGCAAACCCAGCCCTGTGAATACGGCCTACATCCCCAAGCGCTAATCGAGTGTCGCCGACGGACCTTCTGGATTGCTTTCTTGACTGATGTGGGTAACCTCAATCTTTCCTCTTCTCTCTAGTCTCGGTATAGCCCTAACTAACCCATAAATGCATAGCGCCTATCATGCTTCTACGCCCCGTCAACAACCTTCATCTCCTCCCAAACCGCTTTCCTTCGCCTCCCCTGCCGCGAAAAAATTTACGAAGCCCAGGAATACACCACAGTTCCATTTTTCCAAACCTTCCTGAACCAAGTTCCATCGCAAACCCACGAACTCTCCAACCTAAGCTCCATGGCCCTCCTCATCGACGTAATCTCAATATGGGGCGACGTCTCCGACCACGTCTTCCGTCTATCCTTGATTCCCGCAGACTCTTACAACAAGCTATTCGAGGACTTCTACAGCACCATCGTCCACCGCTCAGACCAGTGGCTCTCGCGACTCCCAACGTACCTAACCTTCACAGCCGCGAACCTAGAGCGCAGTATCCAAGCCGGCAAAGCCGACCCCTTCATCTCCATCCATCTTTTGTACCACGCCGCCCTCCTAAAACTTAATCGGTACGCTCGCGCGACCCTTCTCAGACCGGGCATGGCAAGGCAGTACGTCCACACAGCCCGCAACCACGCGGCCGAGATCCTACGCACCGCCCTCGCGCTCGAACGCTACGCCTTCGATCCCAACGTCTCGCCCTTAACAACGGAGCCAATATCGAAGATAGGATCGCCCTTCATCGACCCTTTCGTAGGCTACGTGGTCCTCTCCGCAATCGACGTCCTCAGCGCCGGCGGGCTTATCGCCGATCTCCCCGAGTGCATCAACCTGATCCGCGGCGGCCTCGATCTCGTGCGTGAACTCAGCTGCTGTTGGGGCAGCACAAAGCCGCTCGTGTCGCTTATTGAGGCGCGGATCGAGGCGTTGATCGAGGCTCATCATGCCGTGGGTTATCAGCAGGGGAAGGTGGCCTTCCTCTTAGATGGGCCGTCGCTGGACAGTCAGGTGCAGAACGGTGTACAGAAGCAAGATTCATCTGGTAATGAAGATTTGCTGTATGGGGGGTTGCCGCGTGAGCAGCTGTTTCTGGCGTTCGGGGTCGTGGATGTGTCGTTTTCGTTGGGTAATGTGGTTTGGGTGAGGGGGGCTTGAGATGCGTGGCCTCGAGGCCCTCTGGCGCACTCTGTATTGATGGGTTGATGTAATGGATGGATGATGCTTGGAGTTAGAGAGTCCGTTTGATATCGGCAGGCCGGATCTCGGACGGCTTGGGATCATGATGATGTGAAGCGGATACGGGTTCCGACTGAGCTGTATATTAATAATTTACTCCAAACTAAGGACATATAGGTATAGTTTAATCTGCACTGACATATCGTGCAATCGTCCCCTAAAATCGCTGATTCGTTGAAACCCTAACTGGTATCCTTCCACCGGAATTTCATCCCAGCAAAGATCCTATGGGATGGGACTTAGCCCGTTGGACCACCCTTGCACGAAGAAAGCATAAGAATCAATCGGACAAGAACCCCTCAGTCCATCTTTTCCCCTCTGGCTCAACTTCGACTCACCTTGATTGATCCATATCCGCCACCAGGATGTCTCTCATCGACATATTCGACTACGAGGCTGCTTCGTCCGACGAAGAATACGAGTCTGAAGCTAGAATGGACGAACCCGCTGTAGAGAGGGCATCGTGGGGCTCGGATTCCACCGATAAAGCGTGCACAGAGACCGGTAACGCCACGCCGGATGAATCGTCGCCATTTCAAGTCGATGAGATGCCTCAATTCATTCAAGCTGAGAAGGCAGATACGGAGGCGTTCAATACCGACGTGTTTTCGCCAATTAAGTCTACCGAGATATCTCAAGTCGAAAAGGTAAAAACGGAGGTGTCCATGGCCGATTTATGGTCACCTCAGGCTGAAAAAGCGGGCGCGGGAGCATCCTACGCCGATGTCCTTATGGAAAATATCAGCTATGTCATTGATCCTGAAGGAGAGGTGATACTCCTGCTGAAAGACGGCGATCGGCCGTTCGCTGTTTGGGGTATGTATCGTCGCCGTGTTCATGCACGCTGTTTGACCCTGGTCAATTGAGGCTAACGATGTCACCACGGGGTCAAGAGGATGAGCCGGTTGTCTGGAGTGAATACACTGAGGATATACCACCACGGCCTGCGCCTCCAAAAGAACGCTCCAAAACAGTCTCCTACCGAACCTCAGAAAAACACCTCAAGTTTGCATCACCGGTGTTCCGGTGTATGTTGGAGAATAACGGATCTCAAGAGTCGGCAAAGATGATTGTTGTGCGCTCTTTCAGCTCCGAGGCGCTCTTGATATGTCTGAATATCATCCATGGCAAGGTTAATACAGTACCGCGCCGGGTGAGCCGCGAGCTTCTAGCCAGAATCACTGCTGTGGCGGAGCACTTCGAATGTCTCAATACACTAAGGTTCTGTGCGGATACGTGGTTCAAGTCGATTAAGAGCATACCTCGCACGGAGTATTCGCGGGACCTCGTGGTATGGCTCTGGATAACATATGTCTGGGGCTGGACCAAGGAGTTCGATCATACAGCATGGACAGCCATAAATCATGGGTCCTGTCCAGTGCCCTCGCTGGGACTCTCTTTCCCAGGCGACTTAATTTGTAAGAGACCCAGTTTGAGCAATTGGCTCTGCTTAGCTGAATCGTTCCAGGCGCACTCAATGATTGCAGAGAAGCAGCCATTCAACGTACCATCGATTTTGTGCACGACAAGCTCAACCACAGTCTGGGCGATGGCTATTGGAGACTCTGCACGGCTCACAATAGTCGATGTAGGACGATACTGGTGGGCGGCTTGCTGCGGTATATGCACGAAGCCGGCATGTATCCGAAGCCCGAGGCGCCTTTCCGGGGAATAACATGCGAAGGTCTGAGAGAGAAAAACGCTGACGCTTATCAGACCGCCGAGAGAATTGACCTAGGCTGCAAATGCTATCGGACTTACATCGTGGAGATGGAAGAAAAGTTCAAGAATTTCGTTGATGATTTCGCGATCTCTGCTAGGAACTAGGCGCGGGGGTTGCTAGGCTAGTATTGCGTTGTAATCTGGTAGGGTCTGCTTGGTAGCAAGAGATCAGGGAACCCGGTCACTTGTCAATCTTGGGGGAGATAGGAGCATATGAATATTAAGCTTGAGAATTTGCAACCGATTCGTAAGAAATAAGTCACTCTGTAGATGGTTGTAAGAGAAAGTAGCGCCGATCCCACCTGCAGGACCAAGAGTCGGAGACAACGTCACCTGCAAACCGGTGGAGCATCCGCCCGCCACTCCCCGCAAAGATTCAATGGAAAAAAAAAAAGTCGACGTTGATCACCAACAGCGCCCACAGCACGTCTAACCGGGAAAATGAACCGCAGAACCGTATGAGTGGAAGGAAACACTATTGAGCTACCCAGCGTCGGAATTGCGGTGCTTTGATACATTCTATGCCGGCGTGCAACCCCTCGAGTACTAGGTAGAAGACGCCGACACCTCGAACTCGAACGCGATGAATCATACCAGCGGACGCACAGCCTCCGATGGCGCCGATAACGACGCCAACGATGCAGAAGCGTATTCCCTCCTGATGGCATATCCCGAAGAGTCTGACTACTACGCCCTCCTCGGTCTCCCCCGCGACCCTCCCCCCACAGATGGTGCGATCCGGTCGGCATACCGGACGCTCACGTTAAGCTTCCACCCGGACAAACAACCGTCGGAACTGCGCGACGTGGCTGAGCAGCAATTCAAGCGCATTCAGGACGCGTACGAATCCCTTATAGACCCGCAGAAAAGAGTCGTGTATGATCTGTTAGGCGCAGAGGGAGTGCGCAGGGAATGGGGTTTACGGGGATCAATGGGACGAGGCGGCGAACTGGAAAGGCAGGGGAAGCAGGCTCAGGTTGGGGTCAGGGCGATGAAGTCGGACGAGTTCCGGGATTGGTTCCTTGAAATGATGAAGAGGAGAGAGAGGACAGTGCTTAATTCTATGGTTAAGAGTAAGGTATGCTATGCTGAATACCCACTACTATTCTACTATACTTGTTGCTTTGAAAAGACTACTTGCTGTGACCGCCAGGACTCTTGTCTAACGGCTTAAAGGGATCTTTGGTTGTGGGCGTCAAAGCTACGGATATGATTACCGTGAACAAGGACGGCGACGAAGTATACCTAGAAATGCCTTCGCCGAAACTGTCAAATTTTGCTGTGCGGTACTCCTTTGTGACGCCGTTCCCGTCGCTCCAGACTGTTTTTGGGGAGGATGAGAAAGAGGATGATGAGATGGAGAACGGGGAAGAGGCAGGGAAAGCAGATAAAGCTACTGGCAGGCCCGAATTGGAGATATATGCTGGTGTCGCGGGGGGTTTCCAGCGCCTCTTCAATCAGGTCGAATTTGAATACGAAGATGGCGAGACTGAAATGCGAAACGTAAGTCTGCTAGCGTCCGTGCTGTTAGGAGCTGCTACTGATAGAACCTCGAGGTCCCTCTCCCTTTGCTTTTAAGTACACAGAATATCACCCTCGGGGCCAGCACCGACCGAGTAATTACCGACCGAAACCCCAAGGGCCTCCTCAGAAGATGGCCATTTTCATATTTTCAGAATACGCTCGTCTCCGTTGGTGCTACTGCCCTGCCAGAAACCACGTTACAAGCAAACGTGACCAAAAGCATCGTCGTTACGCCTGGGACGAAGCCTTTCAACGTGGTTCTTGGGACTACCTTCAGTCGCTCAATTTTCGAAGCTCCACCGATGCTCAACTTGCAAGTGACTAAAAGTATTGGCCAGAAAAAGACTGCGTTCTGTAGCTGGTCCAGCGGATACCTTGATTGGCCTCTTGTGATTCAAACATTGTTCTTACCTTTTGTTGGGGAGGATGTCTTTCTTGAGCATCAGGAAGTAAGCCAGCTCCAAGTCGGAATTGCCTCTCAATCACCGAAGCTTTCGCCTGCCTTTGTTGAAGATGATGAAGAAGACGTCGCGCGGTCTTCCGAAGACGAAGAGGAGGACGAATACGAGGTAATCCGCGCAAGGAAGCGCGAAGAAGAAAAAGCCGCGGAGGCTTGGACTGTTGCCATCAGTTCGTCACCAGTCACGAACGGCATTATTCTCAAATATTCTCGGAACATCTTCTCCGGATCAGCGGCCACTGATGCTCTCTCCCAATGGAGCTCTGAAAAGCACTATGCGTTGCCGCCAGCCAACGAGCCGCGGTCTGTGCGGCTCGATGTCAATGCTACCGTCTCTATGAACTTATCGCTCGGCTGGAGTATCCACGGTTCTCGCCAGGTCAGTGAACTGACCCGCATGGGATTCGGGGTTAGCATTCAATCTCGGGGTCTCATCTTGTCCCTATCATGGGCCAGACTAGGGCAGAGGATCAGACTTCCGATTGTGATTTGTGCTATGGATAATGTCACAGCAGACTCTGCTACCCTGGTCGTTCTTCTGCCATGGCTAACATATTGCGCGGTCGAGTTTGGGTTCATTCGACCCAGAGAAAGGCGCAATCGCCGAAAGCTGATTGCCAAGCGGCAGAAGAAGCTGAGGCAGCAAATTCCCCGGAAGAGGTTGGAAAGCGCACAGGCCATTGAGATCATGGCCGACCAAGTGCGACGACGGCAGGACAAGGAGTACAGCCGAGGGGGTCTGGTCATCACCAAGGCAGAATATGGCCACTATCTTTCAAAACGGAATGCTGACACGGAGCCCGCAGTGACTGATGTCACTATTCCGGTAGCCGCGCTGGTGGACCATGGCCAGCTCAATATATCCAAGAAAACAGCCAAGGTGTGTCTCACTATTTTCCCTTGTCAGTCTTCAAGACTCAGAATATTGATTTTCATACAGTTCCACATTCTTGGATTTCACGACCCGGCCCCTCTACAGCAGAAGACGTTGAAGATATGGTACCAGTACCACGGAAAGGAACATTACGTCGAGGCGAACGACGCAGAAGGCGTAAATTGCCCTATGCGGTCTCATCTAGTTGCTGCTTGAAGCATCTTGGAAACATTTAACCTTACTTATATAGGGCTGCGCGAATCAGCCTGCCTACAACAACCCTTGTATAACATCTCCCCAATTTGAACGGCCAGCATGCGAAACTCTTCTCATGATCTTGTATTATCTAGTTGGATTTTGAACCACCCATCATGTATCCTGGACATTGGTATATTTCCTTGGGTGAATTAGCGAACTATTAGCATATAGATAACACTCATAAAGCATTACTAAAGCAATATGTTTTCTCTTCCGCTCGGTATTGTTGAAATAATTCCGTGAAGCAGTAGGGGCCTCACCTACTCCGTAATTATCCTCAGATGTACCGACGACGGCTTATAGCGGCGCCCCAGATGTCCCCTTCGGGCCGTTATCTAATCGTACGGCGTACGAAACCAGCCAATCCCGCAGTCCGCCGCCAGTCCCATCGAAAAAAGCATCAAGCAGTCGTCACTTCATCAACAACGTCTCCTTTCCCACTCACCTCTCTCTTCTTCTTACTTCATATTCACAATGACTTCCATTGCAGAGGGACTATTCAAATCATTACCGAAACCAAAATACACAGGTGAAGAGGAGGAGCTGCCACAACATGCCCAGCGAGGACCGCGCATAGTCGGGCCGGGCCAGCTTGATGAGACACAGATTGTTCTCCGCGTTAGTCTGCCCCAAACATCTCTACTAAGCTACAATGCTAATATTTGACCGTTAATAGAGGACCGGTCCCCCTCCATACGGCAACCGAGCAGGATGGCGTCCCAGAGCGCCCGAAGATTTCGGCGACGGTGGCGCGTTCCCCGAGATCCTCGTCGCGCAGTATCCCCTCGATATGGGCCGGAAGGGCACACCGTCAACATCAAACGCGCTCGCCGTGCAAGTCGATGCGGAGGGAAAGGTCAAATACGACGCTATCGCGCGCCGCGGACACAGCGATGACCGGATCGTACACGCTTCATTCAAGGATTTGATCCCGCTTCGGCAGAGGGTGGACATGGGCGAGGTATCGCTGGACAGGCCGTCAGAGGAAGAAGTCGAGGCGCAGATGGAGAAGACGAAGAACGCGCTTGCGAGTCTTGTATCGGGAGCTGTCGCTGCGCAGAAGCCGAAGAACGTGAAGGGGGGCAGTCGGGCCGAGCCTACGTTTGTGCGGTACACACCGGCCAACCAGATGGGTGACACGAGTCGGAAGAATGATCGCATTATGAAGATTGTGGAGCGCCAACAGGATCCCATGGAGCCGCCGAAGTTCAAGCACAAGAAGATTCCTCGTGGACCGCCATCGCCGCCTCCGCCAATTATGCACTCGCCGCCGCGCAAACTTACAGCAGAGGACCAGGAAGCTTGGAAGATCCCGCCGCCTGTGTCGAATTGGAAGAATCCTAAGGGTTACACGGTGCCGTTGGACAAGCGATTGGCAGCTGATGGACGAGGTCTACAGGATGTTTCCATTAATGACAAGTTTGCGCAGTTTGCAGAGGCGCTGTTTACGGCAGATCGACATGCTCGTGAGGAAGTCCGCCTCCGAGCCCAGATGCAACAGAAACTAGCAGAAAAGGAGAAGGCACAAAAGGAAGAGCACCTCCGCGCTCTAGCCCAAAAAGCCCGCGAGGAACGAACCAGAGGCCAAGCGTCCCGTGCCTCTCGCTCCCCCAGCCGCGATCGCAGCCGCAGCCGCAGCTACTCCGACGCCTCAGTTCGATCCCGCACCCCCGATGAAGACGAAGAAGCCGCACGAGAGCGCGAACGCATCCGTCGCGAGCGCCGCCAAGACGCAGAACGCCAGCTTCGTCAATCACGCATGGGAACCGAGCGCCGCATCCAGGCAATGGCGCGCGAGCAGAACCGTGACATTTCAGAAAAGGTAGCCCTCGGTCTCGCAAAGCCGACACAATCTTCCGAGACGATGTGGGATTCCCGCCTCTTCAACCAGACCAGCGGAATGAGCACTGGATTCAACGAAGACAACCCGTACGACAAGCCGCTGTTTGCCGCGCAGGACGCCATAAACAGCATCTACCGCCCCAAGCCGCAGGCCGACTTTGACGACGAGGCCGACGCAGAGGGTGAGATGAGTAAGCTTCAGAAGTCGAATCGGTTTGAGGTCCTTGGGAGAGCAAAGGAGGGATTCAGGGGTGCTGCAGATGCAGAGGTTAGTTTCTTCCTTTCCTTTTACCCGTCTTCGCCACTTTCACGCAACAAGTGCTAACTATGTCGTGTCTATAGGAACGAAGTGGCCCCGTCCAATTCGAGAAGGATACAGCCGATCCCTTCGGCATTGACAGCATGATTGCAGACGTTACTGGCGGTGCTGGTGGAGCAGGGCAAAAACGTTACGGTATCCAGGAAGCCGAGCCTGAAAGCCGGGGGTCGAAACGAGCAAGGGTGGATGAGGAGGATTAAGTTATCTGTTATCTGCATTGATTGGCGATCTATCTACATTGCTGGTGGTACACATTGGGTCTTGTTGCAGCACTCATAATATAGATGGGAGGGTAGGGTAGTATGGCCACGTCGATTGTGAGCCTGGTTACAGTTAGGGAATCAAATACCCGATTGAATAAATATAAATGCGATATACCCTGGCATCTGTTGTGACCCCTTATTCGGCGTTGATTTCAGCTTGGTGAAGTGTTGCTTACTGGTCAATGGCTCGGTCTTCGTGTCCGGCCGTTGGCGTTGCATGCATGAGCATAAGGTCGATGTAGAATACCCGGGGTCCGTTCGGACATCAATTGGAGTCTGCTCTGCTTGGGATTATACTTGTGCGACGCACAGGCTGCAAGCATACATTATTAGCCTGCTCTCGATGAGCACAACTGCAGAATGTACCCCAGAGATAAGGTAGAGGAGATAGAGATCTTTGCTACGGGGCTAAAAAAGCCATTGGAGAGCACTTATCTCTAGACTTGACCTCATTTTGGCTATACTTACATTGAGTATTAGCACGGTTGGAAGTGATCCCGGCGTGCTATTTCCAATTCCCTTGGACTCGTATGACGTCTAGCATGCAAGGGCTGCGGGTAGAGGCAGGACCCTGGACACCATAGGTATGCACATGCCTAGGAAGATAAGGAACTTGGAGTCCGTATCCCAATGGATCTGCATGGCATGCAGCGGAGGTCAGGAGATTATCCACATCGAAACCAGCATCATTGCATCTTAGCCGGTATCTCTCTGCGGCGGTTTTGAGTCAACTCGTTACCGTCCATTGCGCTCGTCTCCCCTTCGACAGGAAGGTGTGGAGTGTACCTATTATACTTGAAGACATACAATTGTCCGAGCAATTTAGGCCGGGGGAACGGGCTATTTCTCCAAATCGGGGCACATAGTATGCCAGATCGAAGTAGCGTATACGTAGGCTCGGTGCTAGAACGTCTTTAGAATAGGCGGGAAAATCATAGTTATCTCAGGGCGAGCATTGATTTGCTCTTTGACCTGCAGATGTTGATCACGGACCATGGGTCTAGAAATATCTTGTTATCTAGCTGCAAGCAGTCGCAGCAGTCGCTGTACAGGACAGTTGATGGCGGAAATGTCCGTCGGATGCTCGGACTAGATATGCCGTTGGAGATATGTAGCAGCAAAAGCTGTGCCGCTGCACACAACGATGCCTATTATCCGGAGACAGGACATGACGACATGATGCAGCTGTCCGACTACAAATCGCCTCTGAAACGCCAAGGTGCAATACATTACATCGAGGTACTTTGTACGCAGATGTTCCGTACTATCGCAGCCTGCGCAGGTCACGATCTCGAGGAACGATGGCCGGCCCGATAGACCAGGGTCAGCAGATTATGTCTCCCTGCGCAGAGGCTGAGCTGAAGGAGAGCCGCCACAAGCAAAGCAAGGTACCTTTTCGCTTGCTTGGATGTTCCGATGGTTAATTAATAATTTCCAAGCCCTTGACGAGGATCAGGAGGCTTCCTCATCCTGTCACTATGACATACAGGGATTCCTATAATATTCGACAAGGGTTAGTTGACTGACAGCTTGACTGATTGGACAGCAAACGGAATGGAGGGGGTGATCATTTGTTTGCTAGCTTGTCTAGGCTTTGGCTGAGGGAGGAGCGTGGTCAAGGGCAGGGTAACAGATCGCCAGCCAACCAGAACCTGGTCTTTGCGACTTCTAGGGCACAAGCCTGGCTCTCGGACCGCTTTCTGACAAGGTCATGAGAAGTTCCAGCCTCCAGGATTTTTGGGATTCTAGACGTAGCGCTGCAAGCGCTGGTCACAATAAACCCTGGATTCGCTGGAGTTTGGGATATGTATTTTGAGTTGCCCAGGCTCAAGCTGATCTTGATGAGTTGGGGTTCGGCCGATAATAAAAGGCTTCATTAAGCGGGGACTATCGTGCTGATAGCGCTTGTTGACGGTTGAGGAAGGTCCTTAGCTGGTCAGTTGTGGGGGAACAAGGTTTGGGGTTGGAAAAAGAAAAGAACAAAAGCAAAGCAAACGTATCATGGAGTGGTGGCACGATCCGTCGCGAGCAATGTACCCCGTAATCCGTGCCTATCGCCAGAACTCAAATGCTCCTTTCCACGGCTGCAGCAGAAGTCTGAGATGAAGAGATTCAACTCCGCCTGCCCTTGAAATGTTGGACAGTCTCCACCTGGCTCCATGATGCCACCCACCCTTTCCACTTCGTTATCAATCACCAATCACCGCGAGGCCTTAACGACGACGGAAGCGGGCATTTGAATCTCTCAGAAGTGGCTGATGCCACGATACGCAGGATCGAAGGTGTGTGTGACCGGGTAGGTTGATTTGCAGCGATGTGCCTGACTAGCTCCCACAGGTTCACCATACGCCTACGGTACGGAGTATCCTTGTCCAAAGTGCGGGGAGTACACGAGCTTCTTCTGCTCTGGCCACCGCTGGCTCCCTGCTAATAATATAATGGATCTGAATGTCAAACCGAATGCGCGCCGGAGGAATCGATCGCTCGCCGAACGCTCAGGGCAGCTCGGTTCCGGCGCCTAGCGCGGAGTGGCAATGGGGATGTTGGTGATAAGGCCATCGCTGGTGGAGCACTGGAGAACCGAGCTGGAGATAAAGTCAGACGAACGGCTAACGTAGGGTCCGTGAGGAAGATTTCGAATTGCAAAGCAGATTAGGTAAAAAGGTCGCCTATACATAAAGACCGTGTTATCATCGCCATCTAAAGGCAGTGGAGTGCCTACCATAGTCAAGCTTTTCGTCCTCGTCGACTCGGAAAGTCCTTACATCTTCTGCTAGGTACTACTCCGCATTTCCCGGTATATTTCTTTTTTCTCGAAAGGCTTTCAGTGGAGCTGAATTGAATTGTAGAGGTTCGGAAGAAGATTGCGAAGGGACAAGACAAAGGAAGACAAAAAAGGGAGGAGGCAGCCAGTCAGTCGAGGGTTGAGTCACCTGCTTGACTGACAGCACACTCGACACCTCAACGCTTCTTCCAGCTCCAACTTCCATTCCTCCATCATCCCCTGCGTCGACGCCTTCTGTCATAATCCCTGCCTTGGATAGCGCCATCATCGACAGCTGCCTGCTACATTTCGAGTCCCCGTCCACCAATTCTTAGACCATCTTTCCGGGAATGGCGTAGCTCCAATTCCAGAGTTACGAGGACAATGAGGGCGCGAGTCTTTGTGCTCTACAAAAGGTTCCGGCGAAAAAAGAAACAAGGGATCCGATTCAGCTGCATTTAGACAGGCGTCTTACTCGCTCAAACACACTCAAACGTCATTTACTAGCCCGGCTAGCCTTGCCTATACGATTACCCCATATTATCCTCCTCTTCTTAGATCTACTCCGATTCCTATTTTGATCTCCTCGACTCCTCGACAGCCTTGTGAGTTGACATCTACTCTTTCCATAACTCATTCTAATCCCATGCAGCTTCTCGTTTAACCGGGACCACTCTTTCAATTCAAAGCCCTTGTACCTCTGTTCTGTCGCTAGACACCACAAGTTGGAACACTGCCCGACAGGATGGAAAGCTCACTGTCTCTGATATCTGCGCAGGTCCAGTTTATGGTAAGTCTTCTCTTATCTATTTGCCATTGCCTTCTGTTCCTTTGCGAGTTGCCCGATGGAAGCGACTCGAAATCTACTTGCCTCGCTAACCGCTGTCATCCAACTCCAGGAAGACCGACTGGCCCTGGTGCACATCCCCCTAGATTTATACCCATTCTTTATGGACCCCATTTTGCAGGTGCTGTTCCATGAAGTTGCTCCGATCAATGAGATTCAAACTGAGTCTCGTGGCTGTGATAGCCCTCGCGAACTTCCGCGGAATGTGCAGCCCTCTTTCCTGAATCTGTCAATCACACCGGTGGAATGCTCAATAATGTGTCCTCGGCAGCTCGCTGACGAGTACTTTGCACCTTTGCTCGAACGGTTCTTCCAAGTTAGTTTGTCTACCCAGAGCCGCCTATCCATCAGCCACGACGACTTTATCGCAATGCAAGTGTACGGTGAAGGGTTAGAAGCAGGTCAACGCGTCCTCGAATTGACCACACCATTGGCTATGGCGGGAATGTACGTGCAATGACCCCGTTCTACTTTCGTTGTACGCGCTAACCATCATGATTATATAGCTCAATATTTTTCATATCGACCTATTATGCCGACTATATTATAGTACCCTTTAAAAGCAAGGCACAGGTTATCGAAGCTCTGGAAAACCGTGGTTTCAAGTTCGAAATTTCGACTGAGGCCTTCATCAACAATAACCAGTCATCAGCGAACAGTCCGTTCAGCCCTATCTCGTCGCTTTCCGCTAGCACCTTGAGCTCTCCACCGGCCACACCTCCACCATCCTCCCTCAACGAACTGCAAAAGCGCACTTTCTCCTCATTACGCCGAAACAATATCATACCTTACGTCGATACTTCACTACGTTTAGTACAATGTGCGGCCCATCATCCTTTCAGCAACGACGAGAGCTCTATCGCCATTCTGCGCGACGCCCTTACAACAGCACTAGTTGTTGATAAGCCTCGATTTCTCTCTCTCACCTTGACCGCCGCAGACCCAGCAGCGTCGCTGCTCCTGGAGCAGCGCCTTCTACCTCGTTTCTCAAGTGACCCAACTTCTCCCGCGGATGAGGACGAAGATTCCAGTCTCCTCCTCGGCTCAAAGGAGGATATTCTCTTCCCTATCATGCTAGATCTCCGCAAGCTCCCACTAGAAGCTACCGGCATTGTCTGCGGGGTCGCCAGTCGATTAGCTGACGCCACGCACAACCGCAGCGAAGACAGTCTTACGGCATCATCTACTCTTTCCGTCGACAGCTCCAGCCCTACATACGAAAGATCAACCCAATACGTCGACATCCCAATGCCGAACGGCGCTCGCGCTGCATCGAAACCTAGCAAAAGTCACAGCCCCGGTCGAAAAGTGAACGGAAATGGCATCAGCCCACCCACCCATCGTCTCCAGCCTGATTTCGATTCAGCCTTTGACGCCGTCGAGATAAGTTTTCTGAGCACCGCGCGCGCGGGAACCATCATTGTTGGCGAGCACGAACTCCACCGCGCTATGGATGCCTTGGAGGCTGAAAGCCACGAGCCTGAGAAGGGAATCGAGGCGTTGGTGATCTAATAATAGCACATATTGTGCCTATGGTCGCCTTTCCTTGACTTTGTCCGCATTCGCAAAAGTTCTTTTTTTTTCCCATTTTGCCTCAGTTTTCTTTCTTTCTCACTATTGTATTCCTGAATGACCCTGTCCAAAAAGTTTAGCGAGAGAACACCTTTGTATGTTTATTTCCTCTTTCTTTGTTCCTACCTACAATTACGACGATCTACGCCACATCATTGGAAGCGAAGCGATTCTGCATGACATATCAGTCGGTCAGCCCATTTTGTTGAAGTTCTTTTTGTTTTTTAATCTATGGCGCTTTGTCGCCTCATCTCCACTTATGTAGGTACCGTTGGTTTTCTGGGTTCATACGGAAGCTGGAAAAAGCAAGGTGACAGTGCACAGCGAGGTAATGCAAAGCGAGGCGTTTCAGCCTCAGCTGGGAATGCATGCATGTATCTAGGGCCTACTGGGCAGCCCAGTTACGGAGTACGGCGGATTATGATGACAATTGATAAGATTACAATACATGCATTCTACTTCATATGATTTCAATGAAGATAAACAGGGTTAGGAACCACTGCGCGATCCGCAGGATGCCAGGATTCAATCATGAGACCCTATTGACGAATTATTCAAACAGAATTACGTAGATCAATCGATTACTCTTGCCATTGACTGATGTAAAACCATAATAATATAATGACATCAAGAAGCGAGCAAGCAACCAAAGCCTATTCAGCTCACCTCAACCCCAGCCAAAGTCAAATTCAGCTAGCTCACCTTGCAAACGAACAGCAGTTCATGACGAGATCCTGCATTGTGTAACCTCAAGCTAGAGCTCAACGGCATTCATAGGCCAAATGCCGTCGTGCCAAGTGCCGAAGGAATGGGGCCGCATGCCATATCCAGCCACAATGCGGAGGACAGGGATGGGTATGGACATGTCTCCGAATGTGTCAAGGCTCGAGACTCGAGACTCAACAGGGTTTATTTTTGTTGGTGGCGTACGTAATAGCCATGATACACGAAGCCTAAGCGAAGTGTGCCCTGGTGATTCATGAAGGTCCTTTGCGATGCGGCATGACTTCGTCAAAGTAAATGGCTCATGTTCGACAATAGGGCAATTGGTATGATTGGCGAGTCAGACTTCAGGCCACCAAGCGCACGTGGGTTGATGGCTGAATGGCACGGGTTTCCGGGCGTGGTAATTGGATTATTGGATTGCCGCGATAGCCTCAACGTACTCCGTACAAGCCCGGCGGATCCTCCGGAAGATATCAAAGTCATTGGCAATTTGGCATGCGTACCGTGCTATAGTCTAGATGACTCGCGACTTGTAGATAGTCCGGTAGAATTTCGGCGGAGAATACTAATATCTCTCACTGTGGATACTGTAGCCTCTCGACTCTCCGCGTTTAAGCGCCCCATTCTGATTAGCGGTCATTTTTACCGATATACTTTGACGGTTCCTGCAGGTATGTTAGCGCAACACGCAACAGAAGCATACATAAATGTTCCATCTTCAAATGCCACTGCCAGAAAAGGATTTACATACCGTCAGAGCATCCACCTGCCCAGCATTTCCCTTTCTCGTTCCACGCTACACAGCTTACAGCCTTCACCCTTTCCCCAGCTGGAATCGACGCAATGACATCGCCACTCAGTATGTCCCAGGCGAAGATGTGTGCCTGTGCGGAGCGATCGTCTTTATCTGACTCACTGCCGCTGAGGACAACGGCGTCGCCTTTTGCGAATACGGACCGAATGCGCAGCTCCATGTTGCGATACGGAGCAGGCTTTTCGCGTGATATTGGTGACTGTTTGGTGCTGTCTTCGGAACCGAAGGCCTTCAAGAGCTTCCCGTCGTCGCGATCAAGCATCCGGATTCGACTGTCGAGTGTAGACATTAGAAGCGCGTTCCCGTCTGCAGAGCACCGCACGCTCGTGATCGGGTTCCCGAGGACATCCACCGTGGTCCGGCCCATGCGGATGTCATAGACTCGCGCACGGCCATCATAGCTCCCACTCGCGATAGAGTAAGTGGGCATATGCACATGTAGCGACGAGACGGTATCGCCGGCCTCGGTAAGCGTCTGGATTGGTTTATGAGAGTTCGAGCGACCGTCCCAGATGTTAATCGTAGTATCTGCGCTGCCTAGACCCATATAGTGTCAGATCCAGCTCTCAGGGTAGCGGGGGTTCTTTTGGAAAGATACCCACCAGACACAACAACCGCATCATCTTCCCCCGCAAACTGCACCGCTTCCACCCTCGCGTTATGCCCACCCCATCGCCTCACGGTGATTCCCTGCTCAACATCCCACAGAAAAACCTGTCGGTCTCCTCCGACGCTCGCAAATTTCGAATTGTCCGAAGCAACGGCGATGTCTAGCACCGAATAACCGTGGGCCTCGTACTTCTGAATCGGCGATGTCGTCTCGACGACCGAGGTATTGCTGCTGTTCGGAATGGCGCGGGTAAGATGCACGGCGCGATCGGTTGACCCCGTTAGAATGTACGCTCCAGGGCCACCTGAAAATGTCACGGCGTTCACGGGTCCTGCGATGGGAATCAGGATTGGCCAAGAGTGAGCTTGCGGCTAAAAGGACCAAACTTACCATGATGTGTCTTGAGGGTGTGGACTAACTGCGAGGGGAAGCTCCCTGTCGCAGTCATTGACGAGCCCTTGGGAGATTATAGACTGGTGGATTAAAAGGCCAGAGCTGTTCAAGTTGTCATTTGATCGGGCCCGTGGTAGTAAGCGGGAAACGAAGCGCGGTCATCGCTCGGGGAGAGTGGATACCAAAACAGGGCACTAAGCCGGATGTGACCTATCCTCTGCTAGTTCCCCGGGCCCTGGCTCAGCAGAGCGCCCTGTGTTCATAGCTATTAGACCAGACATTGACTGAATTACTCTATGTTCAGTTACCCAAAATTGAATATTAATGCGAATTAATGGCCAGATACTGTATTAACCTAACCCGGTAGTTCCAGGTTTATGCGCAGGCCTTGAGGTCAATTTGCTGTGAACGGCCCTCACATGATATATAAACAGCATGTCTGATGAAAACGAGTCTGTAAAGTTCTCCGCAGACAACTGTATGGCAGCAACCCAGATCAACACCGACTGATGTCAATGCTTCGCCAAATTTACAGGTGATTTTCGCAATGCACAATTAAATATGTATTTATTGAGATGCCGGATACAAGAGGGCTATTATCAAGACGTAGACAAACCATCGCTAGCGACTAGCAAGCAAAATCAGAAAACAGGTCAAGCTGGACCGAGTGAAAAAGCCGATATTGGTAATAAGCTTGAGTAGAGAACATGATCCGGAAAGAATCACGGAGAACGTCAAAAGGTGAATATTGATAGAAAGAAAAAGAAACCGTCAAGGGGTAGTCGAGAGTAAAACCATATTAGTAGAGATGAATGCACCCTTCTGCTTTTTCTACCGTGCGTAAAACAGCCACTACCGCCTGCCTCCAGTGGTATGAGAAGATGTTTAGCGACGGCCGTGGCTGCGGGTCGATGAGCCCTGGAGGCCTTCGATTTCGCCCTCGAGTGCTTTGATACTGTTGCCAAGTTAGTCCTACATACTTTTGATAAGTGAAGATGGGATTGGGGACATACGCAGCATGAGTGGCCTCGAGGTCCTTGTTGAGGCGGTCTCTCTCGGCAATGAGCTTCTGCTCCCACTGTCGGAACCGTGACTCCTCCAGCTTGACTTGGTCGGTGAAACGCTTGCGCAGGTTCTCTTCCTCCTCCTTGAACTTGGGGTTGTCAAGCTTTCTAGGCCGAGCCTCGCCGAATTTCCGGGTCTCCATCTGTTGTGCACGGTATGCTTCGTAGTGTTGCTCCTCGGTTGTGTGGATGAGATCGAGCATGTGGGTACGGATAAGAATCGAACGCAGCTTCTTGAAGTCGCAGTGCTCCTCATCCTCGACTTCGGCAACACCCCAAGCGTACTGGCGACCCTTGACCACGCGGCCATCGTTTGTCTTCACATCTTTCTCGGAACCAATCACGGCAAACGGCATGGCGGCCATCAGGCTGCGGGCGTGAGTGGCGGCAGTCTCGTCGTCCTCTTCAATGGGAGGGGTGTAGATCTTGATGCCTTGGGCTTCGATAACGGCTTGAACCTAATGCCACAAGATTGATTAGCCTCAACCTCCAAAGCAGACCATAGCGGTACAAGGCGGCGTACCCTTTGCTTGTAACGAGCGAGATCAGCGGGACTGAGAGTATCGGCCTTGGCGATAACAGGAATAAGGTTGACACGAGAGCTCAGACGCTTCATGACCTCGATATCCAGGGGCTTCAGGGTGTGTCCGGTAGGGCGAATAAAGTACAAGCAAGCGTGCACACGCATGTCGATCTTGTCCGTACGGCGGGGTTGCTGCTCCTGCAACATGTACGACTCATGCTGGTCGTCGAGGAACTCGATGATCGGTTGCCAGGAATCGCGGTTGTTGACGTAGTCACCAAATCCGGGGGTATCAATAACGGTCAAACGGACTATGTGGCGGAATCGCTGTTAGCCAACCGCCGCTGAACCGGGACCATCGATTATGTACCTTTGAAGAACTTCTCCTCCAATTCTGCCTTGGTGATCTCAATCTCAACAGTTCGGTCAACCTGCTTCTGGTGTCGGCGCTTGTGGTCGGCGTAGTTCTTGATGGTGGTGGAGAATAGTGTGTTGATGAACGTGGTCTTTCCCAGGCCAGACTCTCCAGCAACCTAAGACAATCGATTATTAGCTGGATCCATCAAGCCAACTTGGGGTCAATTGAGCGCACCATAATAGTAAAAGCCGCACCCCGCTTAGCAACGATCTTGTGTCTGGTGTCTCCATTAGAACGATCCCACTACTCCCGATCTCCGGATTCTCGCATATTGTACATACCGCTGGTTTGGGAGCTGTTGAGTGGGAAAGCATGGTCAGCATAACATTCATTTCACGCGTAATAGGCCTGGTAGTCGAACTCACGTTGGCAATGCCAATGGGCGAAGCAGTCTCGTTGATGGGGGCCATGATGATAAGGGGTGACCGGCAAAAGCAGCTGGGTCAATCGGATCCGGAAAGGTGCAACAACCCGAGGGTTTCTTGAAGTGTAAACGAGGGTATAAAAAGAAGAGAATAAAAGAACACCCTTCAGAAGCTGAGAAAGTCGGAGGCTGATGCGCGGTCGTCAAGAGAAGAGTGGGAGACAAGAGGACAGCAGCCAGAGCCTGAATCTTGTGGCGCCTGGTTGAGTCTAGTCTGGCTCCTGCTGCCCCTGAATCCACAGTTCCGAGCCCCCCAAAGTCACGTTTTTCTTTGGAGATCCTCCTTCCTGAGGCCGCTGCGCTAGTGTCTTCTAGGCTAAGCTTACGGGGCCGGAAAAAGCAGCTGATCCGAGCTCTTATCGCAAGGCCGACTTTTTTTGAGGATCTGGAAGGCGTGCTAAGTAGACGCTGAGGAGTAACCTTCTGGCTATTTACCATGAAGACCGATTTCAAGGTGGGTACAGCTTCTGGACTGAGAGTTTAGCTCTGAATTGGCTCTGAAGCCGCAGCAAGCTAACAAAAAACAGTTCTCGAACCTCCTCGGTACGGTATATCGCAAAGGAAACCTTCTCTTTACGCCCGATGGAAATAGCTTGATCTCGCCCGTGGGCAACAAGGTCACGATATTCGACCTGGTGAAGTACGCTTGCCAAATCCGGCCATCGCAATGTCAATGCGCAATTTCTAATGCAGACTGTCTCCAGTAACACTTCCTATACTCTTCCCTTCGCGCATCGAACGAATATCCATCAGTTAGACCTCACTCCCCGAGGCAATATCCTTCTTTCGGTGGATGAACATGGTCGTGCTATCTTGACGAACTTCCACCGCCGGATTCAGATCTACAACTTCTCGTTCAAGGGCCCCGTTTCTGCCCTCAAATTCTCCCCGTCCGGTCGTCACTTCGCCGTCGGAGTGGGCCGCCGGCTGCAGATATGGCATACCCCGGAAACCCCTACTGTTGGTGGCGATGGGGAAATCGATTTTGCTCCTTTTGTCTTGCATCGTGACCTTGCCGGCCATTTCGACGAAGTTCAGCACATTGAGTGGTCAAGTGACTCCCGCTTCCTTCTGACCGCTTCGAAAGACTTGACGGCGCGGGTATGGAGTTTGGATCCAGAGGACGGGTTCGAGCCCACGACTCTCGCCGGTCATCGACAAGGCGTAAGAGCGGCGTTCTTCTCTGCCGACCAAGAATGTGTAGGTGACCCTGTGAAGGTGGTTGATTTCCTGCCCTAACTCAAACCCTAGATTTACACGGTCAGCCGTGACTGCGCCCTTTTCCGATGGGAGTATGTCTCCAAAAAAGACCCAGACACGATGGAAGATGTAGCGGAACCACGCTGGAGGATTGTCAAAAAAGAGTTCTTCCAGCAGCCTCATGCCACAGTCAAATGCGCCGCCTTCCATGCGCCGTCAAGCCTGCTCGTCGTTGGCTTTTCGAACGGATTGTTTGGCCTTTACGAGCTACCAGAGTTCAACACAATTCATATTCTAAGGTAAAGATCTTATGATTATGTCTAGGGGGTAAAGCTGACTGAGCTTGCAGTGTCTCGCAAAGTAATATTGATGTGGTGTCTATCAACAAATCCGGCGAGTGGTTGGCGTTCGGATCCTCAAAGTTTGGGCAATTATTGGTTTGGGAGTGGCAGTCCGAGTCATACATACTGAAACAACAAGGCCACTTAGATTCGATGAATGCCCTTGTTTACTCGCCCGATGGCCAAAGGATCGTCACCGCTGCCGACGACGGCAAGATCAAAGTCTGGGATGTCAAGTCCGGATTTTGTCTGGTTACATTTACAGAACACACTAGTGGAGTGACGGCCTGCGAGTTCTCGAAGAAAGGGAACGTTCTGTTTACGTCATCGCTGGATGGGTCTATAAGGGCCTGGGATCTTATTCGGTATCGGAATTTCCGCACCTTCACCGCGCCGTCGCGTCTTTCATTTTCCTCCCTTGCTGTTGATCCTAGCGGTGAAGTTGTTTGCGCCGGGTCTCCGGACTCGTTTGATATCCACGTATGGTCCGTGCAGACCGGGCAACTCCTCGATCAACTGTCTGGCCATGAAGGGCCCGTCTCGGCCTTGGCATTCGCCGCGGATGGCAACCATTTGGTTAGTGGAAGCTGGGATCGTACCGTTCGTCTTTGGAGCATCTTCGGGCGGACTCAAACCAGCGAGCCCTTGCAGCTCACTTCTGACGTTCTGAGTGTGGCGTTCCGACCAGATGGAAAGCAGGTTGCAGCATCTTCATTAGATGGACAATTGACATTCTGGTCGGTCGCTGATGCCGTTCAACAGACCGGTATTGATGGGCGCCGTGATATCTCAGGTGGCCGCAAAGTCACAGATCGTACGACGGCAGCCAATGCCGCCGGCACGAAATCCTTCCACTGCATTACATACAGCGCTGATGGCAGCTGTATCCTTGCAGCTGGTAACAGCAAATACATCTGCTTGTATGACGTACTAACGGGCTCTCTGGTGAAGAAGTACACTGTCTCCGTGAACACTTCGCTGGATGGTACTCAGGAGTTCTTAAACAGTAAAGACCTGACAGAGGCTGGTGCCCGAGGCCTCATTGATGAAACTGGAGAAGCGTCAGATCATGAGGAACGAATTGACCGGTCTCTCCCAGGCGCCAAGCGTGGCGATGCAGGTTCTCGAACCACTCGTCCTGAGGTACGTGTCAGCTGCGTTGATTTCTCTTCGACTGGCCGCTCGTTCTGCGCAGCATCCACAGAAGGTCTTCTCATCTACAGCTTGGACACCGAATTTGTCTTTGATCCTTTTGACCTTGACATCTCTATCACTCCCGACACCATCCTTGCTACCGTGGAGGGTGCTAAAAAAGCCGCTGCCTCTGGCGATGCAAACAATGATGACACCTTCTTGAAGGCACTGGTTATGGCGTTCCGGCTAAACGAGGCCAAGCTCATCCGTGCTGTTCATGAAGCTATTCCTCCCTCAGACATAACCCATGTTGTTCGCTCCGTGCCAACTGTATACCTTCCTCGTTTACTCCGATATGTTGCCCACGCTTGCGATGAGACACCGCATCTCGAATTCAATCTTCTCTGGATCGAGGCTATGTTCAGTAGCCATGGCCGTTACTTCAAGGACAACGCAGGTACACTGGGCCCTGAGCTTCGTGCTGTCCAGCGCGCTCTTGATGACATCAACGAAAACATCAAGCGTCTCTCTCAGAAAAACCTCCACAACCTCAATTACCTTCTCGCCAAGCCTGTTCTGGCTGGACAAAAGGCGCCTGCCTTCCCTAAAGCCATTGACACTGTCGGCGTGGCCGCCACCAATGGCGACGCGACTATGAGTGACGCCGGCGACGATGCGGAGGGCGAATGGCTCGGTCTGGAATGATGGTCCTCTTTCTATAAACCTTTCTCTTCTTCCCCACTACCCCTCTTCGTCATCTTCCTTCATCTTTCGCATTTGCGCTTGGCGTTTAATTTCGTGATGCTATATACCTTGGAATAAACCGGGACAGCTAAAAGTTCTCCTGTCTTTTGTGTACATAGACCATGTAATAACAACACCCTAGTTGGGTTTCTTGAAGAAGCTCCCTGTTTATTTTGCACGTGGGCATTCGTCTTCTGTATGGGGAACACAATCCATTCGATTTCGAAGGCTGGTAGTAGGTCCTCTGTGCTTTGCTAAAATGGATGTGTGCTCACTTCGTTAGGTAAGGCTTGAGAGCCTATAGGCTGGGAGGATTCAATAACAATGTGCTCTGGGCACTGCATATCTCGGTGTCTCTCTGTAGGATAGAACCATCCCTTCGCAGATGATACAAGCATGCAGCCTAACACGAGAAGGCCACTTCGGGGACTAGAAGTTTTGGAAGCACCATGGATAATCCTGTCAATCTTCATGCGATATCGGTGGTCGTTAGCCATAGATTGAGATTCTTGCAGGGTTGTGTCTGCATGTACGAAGCCCGAGTTGGAGCCAGCGCAATATCTACCGTGTTGCCCGCCGGATCGGGAAGGTGATGGCGAGCTAATCACGGCTCATGGCCTGATACTGAGGTGACTCACTACCCAGGTGAGCTTCGCAACTTGAAGATTTGATCATCGAGAAGAAGAAGTTCGCCTAGTGCAGTATGGGATGAGAAGTGGTTGGATTACTGGCCTGGGACTCTGGGAGGAAGAATAAACTCCCCCCGGCCCCCTCCATACCTGTTCCCGGGCTGACTTCACTCACAGTCCCCACCGACCTCCAGACTCCTGCATGCCATGACTGCTCCCTGAAGCTTTCCTGTCAATCCCCATGACAAAGCTGGCCTTGGCTTTACTGGCCTGAACAGTGGCGATAATACCTAACCACGCTAGCCCTAATTGGCACATGGCTAAACACAGGTTTATACTCATATTCACTCACCTTATTCACTTGCAACTTCACTTCATGGCTGTTCCTGAACATGTGGAACTTGACTATATAGCTGTGTCATCACTGTCATTCCATTTCTTTCTTTCTTGCTTTCCCAACTATTTCTTTATGTGTTGGTTTCAGCCCAATTGCATCCAGTTAACCTCTTAACGCATATCACACCCACCAACCTGAGGCTGTGCCAAGCTGATCAGGATTGTTCATGATGTCTTCTGTTGTTATTTACGTTTTACTTCTTGTATTACTTGCTTGGCTCTTGTGCAAGTCTCACAATGACTCCACGGCTATCAATGTACCCACCGTGACCCTGGGTCATTTTGTCCCTGATTTCATCAACCGTCTACTATTCCTCGTCAAGGCTCGCGATCTAATTCATGAAGGCTACAAAAAGGTAAGACTGAGTTGCTCTAATCATTTTTCTTGCTAATTACTGACTTGGTGCGCTTAGTACAAGGATGTCCCTTTCCGCGTCCGCAAAGTTGATGCGGATCTCATTGTCCTCCCAGTCAAGTATTTGGATGAGATTCGTCCTCTTCCTCATACGAGGCTCAGCCTTTTGGATGCGCAATTTGGGGTACGTGGCCCGTTTCAGATGGAGTGGTTCCAAACTAACTGTTATGCAGAGCGTCTGCGGCGACTACACCAATATCTTGAATGATAGTTTCTTGCCCGCACATACTGCTTCGAAAAAACTTACCCCGGCGATTGGTAAGTAGATCTTCTCTTATTCTTGAGTGTTCCTGACTGACAGAGTAAACAGGTCGAATCATACCCAATATGATTGATGAGCTCAAGCACGCCTTCGAAATCGAGGTGCCCGAGTGCAATGGTACGTTCTGGCCCAACTTAATCTCGTTTGACCAGGAAAAGGCTAACTTGATGTCACATTACAGACAAATGGGTCTCCGTCAATCTCTACTACATGATCCTCAAGCTGATCAACCGCTCCACTTCCCGTATCATCGTCGGCGATGTCCTATGCCGCAGCGAAGACTGGCTCAAAACCGTGGTCGACTACACCGAGAAACTGGGCATGATTCTATTTCTTCTTCGTCCGTTGCCTCCTTTTCTTCGACCCTTGGTCGCCCCTCTCCTGCCCCCAGTCCGTTACTTGAGAAAGACCCTTGAACACGTCATGAACGATATCTTTGTCCCTATGATCCTCGAGCGCCGCGAAAAAGAGGCCCATGATCCTACCTACCAGAAGCCCGACGACTTCATGCAATGGATGATGGATACCGCAGATAATGAGTACGACAAGGAGCCTGCCAACATTGCACAGGGACTTATGATTATCATGGCCCTGGCCGTTATCCACACATCCACCATCACCATCACGCAGAGTCTCTACGACCTCATCATCCGTCCTGAATACGTTGAGCCCCTCCGTCACGAGATCATCGACACGCTCACGCACGGATGGGCGAATGCTACCAAGGCTGACTTTGCTAAGCAGATCCGTCTCGACAGTTTCATCCGCGAATCTCAGCGCCTCAATCCCACCAGCGAAGTCAACGTTCAGCGAATCGCCAAAGAAACCCTCGTTTTCAAGGACGGCTTGGTGATACCCAAGGGCACTTACATTTGTTTCGCGGCTGGCCCCCTCTCCCGCGACCCAGAGCTTGTCGAAGAACCCGAGACCTTCGACGGCTTCCGCTGGTGCAATGACAAACAAGACAATAAGTACGGCCGCAACCACAGTCTCGTCACGCTGAGTAAGTTGAACCTCCACTTCGGATACGGACGCCAGGCTTGCCCTGGGCGGTTCTTCGCGGACAATGCCTCCAAGGCGATTCTTAGCCGTCTTCTTGTTGAATACGACATCAAGTTTCCCGAGGGTAAGGAGGGGAAAAGGCCGTGGAACGTCCGCAATGGAGAGCAGATATTTCCCAATATGTTCACCAAGGTGCTAATCAGAAAGCGCCCTGTCAATCTTTGAACATCCAATGGGCTTACTGACTTACGATTTCACGAGCATGACTTGACGGCTGGTAACGGTCGAAGATTCTCCACTCTGGATAGATGATGGCATTTTTCATGATGTATTCTCTCATGTATGCATTGGGATAGGTTACTTTGGGAAAGTTGTGTTTCACGCGGGAAGTCCAAATGGTATTTTGATTAAATGGAGGCAAAAATTGCTTGGGTCCTGGGAATTTGTACAATAAATGGGCTGAACTGACGTGGACATATGACTTCCTACATACATACATACGATTTCCAGATAGGACAATGAAAACGAATACGCTTCAAGTAGGCCTTTAACACTCTTACCATGCTTACAGATCTATATAAACCCCTGTCTCAGACTCAGAGAATAGCAACCGCATTCGGCGGACTAGCCACACCCCCAGGAACCTGCACATCATCCCATTAGCAATCCAAACACGACCCGGCAACAAAAGAAAGCATAGAAAAAACAAACCTTCAGCGGCACACTACTCAAAAAGAAACTCCACCTCCCCTTCTCCATACAATACCTCGCCAACTCCTCCAAATCAAAGTACTCACCAATGGGCATCCCCCACCCACTAAGACACCACTGATGCAGCGTAACCTCATGCCCAACGCCCTGATCCGGCCGATACAGCGGCGCCGGCTCAAAAGACGGAGTATCGCTCGCAATCGCCGCAAACTGGTTCCCCCACAGCCAGCGCAGCGTCTTCTCGCCGTTCTCGACGCCCGCAAAGTCCGGTGTTGGCCGTGCGGCGAGGGCCGCCTCTTCCTCGACGCTGAGCTTGTTGTATGCTTCCGTGAAGCCGGTGCGGATGAAGAGGATGTCGCCCGGTCGTGGGGCCAGCTGGGTTTCGGCGATGATTTGCTGGATCGAGGAGAGCGGGATTGTGGATGTGCGGAATGGGGTTAGGGGGATTGAGTTGCGTTGGGCCCAGGATGCGTAGTCGATTAGGATGCCGCGGCCGACGATACCGCCGGTGTTGGACCATGCTGATGGGTGGGATGTTAGTTTTGGACAGGCTAGTAGGTAGGTAGGTAGGAACTTGGAAGAGTAATGACGGACCGTCGATCCCGATGACCCTTGACTCCTTCAGCTCATCTAGTGTATGCCCGTTAAAGTAACACCCATGCGTCTGGTTCCCTGTATGGAACAGTATCAGCAACATTGCCCGATATAAAATGTAGTCTAGAAAGTAGGTCGCTCACCATAATGCCTAAACCCATCCCATTGTGTACTGGCCTGCGTATTGAACGTCAGAGTATCATCGTTGACGATCCGTGGCGCTTTATTGTAGAGCTCTTGGACAAATGGCTTCCGGTTAAAGCTCGGATGCGACAGTCGATTCAGCGGAAGGTCAAGCGAGATGCGGACGCCGTCGCGAATTTCCTCGGATGCTGCTCTCTTAACGACCTCCGGGGTGAGCAGGTTGAGCATTCCAAGCTCATTTTTGGGCCCGAAGAGTCCCCATGCGTTGCCTGGGGGCCCGGTGGGGTCAAGGGTGAGGTTGTCGAAGGTGGGGATGGACGAGGGCATTCTGGGTGGAAACTGGAAAGCTTGGGTTGAGCTTGATTCTGGGAGGGCGGATTACGACGAATAGGCCTAGGACGGGGGATATTTAACTACATGAAGGCCGGCAACCACTATACCGACGGATATTTTTCCATTGTCTGTGTGTACTAGTAGACTGGAGATCTCGGAGATGGACCGCGATGGAGTTGGAATGCGGGGGAAAGGTGGGGAGGGCCCCTGTTGATAACTTAACTACCTGGGTATATCATACACAAGCGGGAGCGCACTATATTGGATACATAGAATGGCTACTCCTTCTCTTCGCAATTATTCCATAAGGACACCTCACTGGCCACGAGTAGCAGCGGCACCCCTTCCACGATTGCCACCCCGACCTCGGTGTCCATTTCCTCGATCCACACCACGGCCTGCTCGGCCTCGGCCTCGTCCGCGTGACTCCAGGCCAACAGGCGGTGGCACTTGGGAATAATTCTTTGGCCGGAAGTTCGGGTTATTTTGGACAACGCCGGTATTGGGGTCACTGTTATCGACTGAGACATAGCCACCTCGTCCACGCGCCATTGCCCCGCGCCCTCGACCTCTACCGCCACGAGCGTTACCATTCGTATCTGGGTGCGGTCGGAAAGGTAGATTAGTGGTGGCGCCGTTAGTACCGCCACGTCCACCTCCACCTCGCACGCCGGACAATGCTCCTCGGAAAGAGCCTCGAAGGGGTGCCGGAGCGGGAGCTTCTCTCAGCTGCCCTTGACCACCGGGACCCAGAGGCGCGCCGTAGCCTGCTACTGTCAGAGGAGAGGGCTGGTTTTGTTGCTTTTGATTGACTGCCGCCCTAGTACTGGCAGAGAGCTGTCGATGGGAGACGTTTAGCACAGACGACGCCGGTACTGTCTGCCCGCGGAAGGCAGAACATCGGTCTCCCAAAGTTGTACCGCTCATGAATGCGACGTCAAAGACAACATCAAGTAGGATAGCTCGTGGAGTTCGAGTAAGTCCGACCACCGTTCCTCGGGTGGCGATGGGCACTTTGCCAGAATCCTGGGCATACACAACACGATCTCCAAGCTTGAAAGTCTGGTTTCCAAGTCGATGCTCGACGTCGGCTGGTCGAAGGAGCGCACTTCGAGGAATATCGCGGATCTTTCTTACTTCCATAGGTGGTTGGCTTCTCAAAAGTTGGTCGGCGTCCTGCTCGATGAGCTTGACAACATCTGAATCAAGCTGCTCCGCCTCCAGCGGAACCCTCTCAAAATTTTTCGATTCAATCTCCTTCAGCCATGCTTTGATCTCATTTATTTTGTCAAGAGCGATATCTGCAGGATAGAAATCGGTAGGCTGGTACCTGTCATTGCGAGGGTTCTGCTTAAGGGCCAGGAAGAAATCAGGGAATTTCTGCATGTACTGTCCAAGCAGTTGAATTGCCTTCACACTGAATTCCCAGCCAGACTCTGACCGGCGGGAATAACCAAGAACCTTTTGCTTCCTAGCCTCGAATTTGAGGTTAAGACCCAGGTTGACGCGCTGGCCACCGACATCCACGGTGAACGACGAGGTAATTTTGGCCAAAACCAGGGGATTCAAATTCAGCATTCGAGCAACTGCGAAAGCTGGCGTGTAAGGAGATAGAGCCTCCGCGCTACGCGCACGCTCTATTCCAAACTCAGGTTCCCGGCCCTTGATCGCTGCGACAAGCCCATTCACTTTACCATCATCATGGCCGGTGATATGAACCGGCCTACCGTAGTTAAACTCGCCGAGGAAGAATGCGCGCGAGCCTTCGGGGAATTCTTCTTGGATCGGAAGAGCTTTTCGTTCGATGAATCGCTCATCAGGGTTGATTACTTCGTCGACAACAAGCTGCAACGCATAATCCGTTTCTTGCCCGGGAATGTCTGCAAACTCTTTGACAGTAGCACCTGCGTCAGTCTTAATGAGACCCTTCAGGAGCTGAACATGCACCATTGCCTCAACTGGGCCGATGATGGTACCAAACCTCCTGCTGTAAATGCCTTCAATTTTATCGGCCTTCTTTTTCCACTGCTCAATTTGCACATCGGAATGCGGTGTGGCGAGAGGGTGTTCTTCTCCGGCAGGAAGGGTGTAATCAAATAGTTCATCGGACACGCGGGTAACAAGTGCTTCTTGCAGGAACGGATAGCCCACAAAGACTCGCTGGCCGATTTTCTTTTTAGCCAGCTCAGAGCTCGACCGACTGCCCGGATCAAGCACTGTAATCACCATACTTTCATTGCGACTCTCTTGCTGAAAGACACAAACACCATGGAACCCTAGTTGGCCGACATGAGGCAAGGTCTTCAAGCTAGGAAAACCGGCAAGAGCTGACGCTCCAAGGTGCACTCCGTCAACAAGCCCAACATAAGGCTCCAGGCCGTCCATCGTTGGCAGGTCAAAGACATTTTGGATGCAGCGGCAGTTAGGGATATCCGGAAAAACTCCAGGGAGGGAAGACGGATAGATAAAATCCATGCCTTGAGAATACGTGAACTTAAGGCTGACTCCAAAACCATTTCGGGCCTTCTCATCTGGTGTCAGAAGGTGCTCTCTCGTCGCGAGGGCATCTAAGAGACGACGTTCGTCGATGAACGGAATTTTAACGACAGCTTCCCACTCCATCTTTTTCCCGTTCATGTCCAGTTCAAAATCACGAGGGTAGAAGTCGATGATAGGGGAATCCGGTGAAGACATCAAATCGTGATACGCCTTGGGGACAATTTTCTTGCTCCGATCGGGAAGCACACCCATGAGCTGGTCGTAGGGCCTAAATGGTCTCCCGAGTCGGAAGTTCGTATCCGCTTTCAAGCCCTTCTTGACATCTAAGTCGTGTCAGCAACATTTCGTGATAACTCAAAGCTAGGAAAAGAGCATACCAGAAATCATTGGGGCGTAGTGAGAATTAAAGAACCATGGCCAGGAGGCGATGCCTCGATAATAATAGAACAAGACCCATTGAAGACCTTGTACATAGTTTTCCGTCAATTTGCGCATCTCCTCGTTGTTGTCCAGACCCCAGCCAAATTTATCCATGTAGTATTTGTCTTTCCAGTCCTGGAACTTCTCTTCGTATTTCTTCTGAGCGGCCGCTTGGGCTTCCTCAGGCGAGAGCTCTTGGACTTTGGCGTTCTCATATTTGCGAATAATCCTGCGAACCGCCATAGAGGCTTCTTCGTCCTCCTCCTCTTCACTGTCATCGTTCTCACTGGGTGGGAATTGAACTCGAATGAATCGGTCTCCATCATCATTCGAGATAGTACTCCAGGGCAAGCGCAGATCGCCCGCGAGCTGTTCCACAAACTTTCGGTCTCTAGCTGGGAGCGTGGGTGGGAAGTCAAGAGGCTTCGCATCCGCTGCCTTTCCAGGTCGATTCAGAACGTACTTCTTGACGGTCTTCAGAATGTTTTTCTGCTCGGGCGTGACCGTGAAAGCCTTGGGCTTAGCATCCACATCCACACCGTTCTCATCACTGCTCTGTTTTGCGCGCATCCATGCCGCATCTGAGTACTCGGCCTCAAAAAACCGGTACTCCACGTGACTCAACCCATCAAGAAGCATCCCGAGACGTTCTAGGTTGATTGTGCCCTGCTCGTTAATGTAGCCGCCCATCTTGGGCAAAACCTCCTTGTAGATTTTGAACATCAACGATAAGGCCCCCTCGTTGATATGAAGGTTAGGCAGGTTAGGTAAGAAATCGTTTCCAACGAAGAAGGCCATCAAAATAAAATCGTCGATCACTCGCTCAAACTCGTAAGGGAAATCTATGATCCCCTTGCCCTCCAACTCCTGGAACTCCAACTCCAAATACTCTCTGACCATGCATAGATGTAACAGGTAGAAGTTCTGATGTTCTAGTTCCTTGGACTTTTTCTGCACCTGGCGACCAAAAGTCACCTCCTCCCGGAGAAGGCAGAAATGAGGGTCGTGGCTGAGAAGACCCAGCATGATCAAGTCGGCATCGAGACCATACAAACAATGGCGAACGTTCGGATCGTACCCGGGCTGCGCTTTCGCGTGCCGGATGTATTCCATGATCTTGTGTTCACCTTCACCTGGCACTTCATGGCCGGAAAGTACAATGTCCACCCCCTGCCAGTCTTTATCCTCGGAAATCTTCTTGCTAATGAAATACTTCAGTTGTTCCGTAAGCTTCGCCATGAACTCCGTGCCCGGGGTAATGCAGTTGCTGTCAAAGGGATCTTCCTTCGGCATTTCGATCCCCTGGGCAATAGCTTTCTCCTTCGCCTGTTCGGCGTCCAGTGCCGTTCGGAATCGTCGCGCGCGCTGTTGATTCATCTTCGCACGTGGGGCAACGCCGTCCACTGCCATGAAGAAGAGCTTCTTTGGCTTGATCTTGCCGTACAAATGCTCGATATAGTTAAAGATGGCTATGAACATCTTATCCTCGGTCATTCGGAAAGTTGGCGAGTCACTGTCCTTGTGTGTGCAGTTATGGATAATGCCGTTCATGTCAAGATATAGGTTGTCGAACTCCGGTATCCGGTTCTCCGCAATCAGCATGGAGATCGCGGGATACCGTTCGCTCAGCCAGCGGAAGAACTTGGGAACACCCATTGTGACTCAGATAAAGTGGGATCTAAGAAGATAGCGTAGCAACAGAAAGAAGAAGCGAAAACCGTGCGGTATATCGTGACCGTCGTAGTCGTCGTCAGAAACCCAATAAATAGGAAAACCAAGCTTAGCTTCAAGCGCAAACTATCCGATGAGATAATGGACCAAAGAAAATGATCAAAATCCTCAAGGAACGTGGGCTAAGAATACAAGTAAGGAACGATGAGTCTGAGCGACAGAAATAGATTAGAACGTTAAAAGAAAAGGGAAGACGGGCGTTGCTCGTGGTTGTTGCTGTTGGGAAGATGAATCACTCGAGGTGGCCAACCGCAGAGACACCGCCCGCCTCGGGCTCAGCTCGAGTGGGAGTGGAGAGCCTCAAGGGCGTGGTGTTTTGGGACTAGTCTGCCAAGCCTATAACTTCCTAGACAGGACTAGATCAAAGCCGCCCATTAACGCGCTGCCGGGGAGCTTCTGTCGAAACGCGACATCACAGTCTTGTCCGCAACGGCAAAGCTCTCTCTCGTCTGTGTCAAACAGCAAGCCGCCATCCATTCACCTCCTCTTTCGTCCCAACACAACTGGTGGACACTATAGTACTACGCAATCAGCACAATGGAGGCTTATGAGGATGGTGCGATTTTTCTCTCCCACCTGCTTTGCGCGCAGCCATTTAACTGACCTTGCGCCTAGGTTTCATCGAGGAGCAGGAGGAGCAAGAGGAGGAGCGCACCGAGGAGAAGATCATCAATGAAGGTAATGAGCTTGACGCATTTTTGACATCTCGACAGATGGACTAAACATATCACGTCCAGAATACAAGACATGGAAAAAGAATGCTCCTTTCCTTTACGACATGATTCTCAGCACGGCGCTAGAGTGGCCGACTCTTACAACACAATGGCTGCCCGACAAGCAGGAGTATGTATAACGGGCCGAATAGAGGCGATCGACTGGCTAATTCTTTCATGCAGCGCCTCGGACAAGCCGTATTCTACTCATCGTCTGCTTCTCGGTACTCACACGTCCAGCGACGCACAAAATTATCTTCAGATTGCCCAAGTCCAACTTCCCAATCCCAACGCTCCCAATCCCGATGATTACGACGAAGAGCGTGGGGAAATCGGTGGGTATGGCGGCAGTTCCAAGAAAGCTCCGATGGAGATAAGCTTCAAGATTGTGCAAAAGATCGATCACAAGGGCGAAGTAAACAAGGCTCGGTACCAGCCGCAGAACCCCAATATAATCGCTACGATGTGTACGGACGGGAGAGTCATGATCTGGGACCGCTCAAAACACCAGAGTGTCCCGACGGGGACAGTGAACCCTCAGATGGAACTGCTCGGACATAAACAAGAAGGATTCGGGCTGAGCTGGAGCCCTCATGTTGCGGGTCACCTTGCAACGGGAAGTGAGGACAAGACCGTCCGCCTCTGGTAAGAAGCAGTAGCGCTTTTTGTAATGAAGGCACTAACAACGTATAGGGATTTGACCACTTACACAAAGAGCAACAAAGCTCTCCAACCGGTCCGAACCTATACTCACCATTCATCTATTGTCAATGATGTTCAACACCATCCCCTTCATTCTTCTCTTATTGGAACCGTCTCAGATGATATCACTCTTCAAATTCTCGATACTCGAGTTGCTGACACCACTCGTGCCGCCGCATTCGCCAAAGGTCAACACCGTGATGCCATTAATGCTATCGCTTTCAACCCGGCCGCCGAAACTGTTCTAGCTACAGGTTCTGCAGATAAGACAATCGGTCTTTGGGATCTGCGTAACCTGAAGACCAAACTACACACCCTCGAAAACCACACCGACTCTGTCACATCAATTTCTTGGCATCCATTCGAAGAAGCTGTTCTGGCTAGCGCAAGCTACGATCGCAAGATTATGTTCTGGGACTTGAGCCGGGCAGGCGAGGAACAAACTCCCGAAGATGCCCAGGATGGGCCTCCTGAGCTGTACGTGCAATCCTCTTCGTTGAAACATGGGTACTCGATTGCTAACGTCATCTCAATTGTAGACTTTTCATGCATGGTGGTCATACCAATCGTATTTCGGACTTCAGTTGGAACCTCAACGATCCCTGGGTGCTCTGCTCTGCCGCAGAGGATAACCTGATGCAGGTGTGGAAGGTTGCTGATGCAATTGTTGGTAAGGATATGGAGGACGTCCCGACTGAGGAGCTGGAGCCTTAATTTGGTGTTCTGTGGGGGATTTCTTATGTTTAGCCATGCTGTGGAAGCGGATTATCTCTTGCCATTGTATTGAAGTCTTCTTCTCTATGTATCTTCGTCGCCGCTTTACGGCGCAAACAAATTATGAACAAAGTCCTCAAGATCAGTCTCTGCTTAAAATGTAATATGTATACATCAGGTAGTCCGTTCGCAAGGTTGACCCTAAGCACTCGGAGTAACTTTGCGAATCCTACGGAGTCCAATGATAGCTAGCTGGCCATTGTCGATCACCGTTATCCCAATTCTATGTACTCAGCTCCGTCAGCCGCAGCCTGCATGCAAACAGATGGTTCTGCGTAGGCTGAGTGGTTGTCTCTGAGGCGGTGAGAGCCCTGCAATTGACTGCATGTGCGGCGTGCTCGGAGGGGCAATCCAGACTCCGAAAAGAATCGCCTTCTCCGCCGTCATAGCGTCCTTTTCCCCCTCGTCTAAAGAAAATCTGACTGTGAATTATGTCCTAAACTCCGGCAGCCGTTTTCTCATTCTCTTGTCCCAATCGTTTGTCAAACAATCCGGTTCCAGCATCTTTAAACAATCGCCGTGAGCTGCGATCTCCGCTCCCCGTCTTCCCCGCCACAATTTTCAGTCAACTATGGGTTCCGGTTCTCCTCCTCCCCCGGGCCCCAAGCCCAAGGCCATTCCTTCTCACCTGCTGAATGGCGGATCGCCTCTTGCCGGATCTGTTGCTTCGAGGGATATCCGCGAGCGAGAAAGCTTGAATACCTCAATTCGCTCGTCTTTCGCTCCTCGCGTTCCGGTTGAGTTTGATCAGCCTGAGTCAGAGTCGCAGTCGACCGAGCATGCTAGCAGCTACGACAGCCCTCGTCGCAGATCTTCCGTGACCAAGTACGTCCTTTGGTGAGCTTCGGCGACATCATTTTTTAACTGGTGGAGATAGGCCTACACTGAATGACCCCGCCCGCGATCCGAGAGACGAAGCTGCTGCTCTCACCCCGCCGGCAATGTCCAGCCGTCCCACCAGCCCGTATGCGCTGACACCTGCGATCGATTTCGACGGCCTAAGCTGGCCCTGTGAGTACCCAACATTATCGATGCGTGTCGCTCTCCTAATATAATCTCCGTCTGATAGGCCCCGGAACGCGGGCACGGCTCGAGTCGACACCCGAAGAAAACGAGGAGCGAATCAAGAAGCTCTCAGGAGCTGTACGAACAATCCTTGAATGCCTCGGGGAAGATCCCGAGAGAGAGGGTCTCAGAGAAACGCCCGATCGGTATGCGAAAGCTATGCTCTACTTCACTAAAGGCTACGAGGAGAACGTGCGGGATCTAGTTAACGGCGCCGTCTTCCACGAAGACCATGACGAGCTGGTTATTGTCAAGGATATCGATGTGTTTTCACTGTGCGAGCATCATATGGTGCCGTTTACCGGAAAGGTAAGCTGCGCCCAATCCTCATTAGCATTCGGTCTAGTGCTAATGAATATTGCAGATGCACATTGGCTACATTCCTGATCGCCGAGTCCTCGGTCTTTCTAAGCTGGCCCGTCTGGCGGAAATGTTCTCTCGACGCCTCCAAGTGCAAGAGCGCTTAACCAAGCAAGTGGCCCTCGCGATTTCCGAGGTTCTCAAGCCGCGAGGTGTCGGCGTGGTCATGGAATCGTCGCATCTCTGCATGGTTATGCGCGGAGTTCAAAAAACCAGCAGCACTACAACGACCAGCTGCATGCTCGGATGCATGCGCTCCAGCGCAAAGACCCGAGAAGAGTTCCTGACCCTCCTGAACAGGAAATAATGTCCTTCATGATTCAACCCATATGTACTTCAATCTCAACATTCCCCGCAATTGGTTTACCTCTCGTTTTAACAGTGGACGGTATTAGATATTCATATACGGTGCAGTCGTGATTTCTGGAGTTTTGGCGGTCTACCTCTCAACAGGTCAGGTTATGGGTTGAATTGGCATTGTCTTTTTTTCTTTTTGGCTTCAACATCTCAACGGGACAGTGTCGGGCAGTGGCCCGAATACTCTCGTTTAGCACCCCTGTTCCGTTGTCGGCTTTCATTTTTGTCTGCATATATTTTTTACCTACTATTGTACTCACATAGATTTACTTGCCAAAAGCCCCGATGGCAAAAAGCGTTCAACTTTAGGGCAGCTATCAGTGCCATGGACTCAAAGCGCTGTGAACCAACATTACAGACACATTGAAATAATTCAACAATCCTCTCAGACTACGTGCAGTGATTCTGAACTGGAGTTCACTTTTGATGGTTGATGGGGCAAAGGCAGGTCTGCATCAACCATGCTCAGCTCTTCTGCCCTTTTCTTTTCTTGTACAATCATACAATGTCAATTCTGGTGAAGTACAGGATATATTAGCAAATACCATACTTTCGCAACTGGCGCATCTAGCATCAATGTCCTCAACAAGATCTATAGATCAGATGCCGCTATTTTCTGGCCTTTCATTCCAGCCATTGTGTCAGTGGTTGAGGCAGAGTTAATGTGTGCAGTGAATGGAGGACCCTTCTGTTGCGTGGTCACCAAGCAACACAAGCCCAGATGTGAGCACACACTGTTAATAATAATATGCTCTACTGTCCTCAGCATTTTTTTTCTTTCTCTTGATCCGGACCTCTGTCTACTCTGTGTTTTATTAATCTTCTCATTAACACCACATCTTGTCCCCTCTCCCCATTTCTCAAAGTCGCCATTCCTTTTGCACATCTTGGTTACCTTATACTGTTTACCCTCTACGCCTATTTAGGATGGCCCATTCCCATCCCAACCCTCGTGAAATGGATGTGGCCCGTTCTCTCGTCAACCTAGCTCATGACTCTGAAGGAAACAGGAACACAAACCAGAACGTCAACGAGAACGTGGGCACCCAGACTCGGTTTTATCCCCAGCAGCAAGCTTTCAGCTTGAGAACCGCAAGGCGCGGATCTCAGAATAGAGTGATCATGACAGAGCCCGGAGAGGGGCCAAACGGCGCACCCCTCGGTCATGCACATAGCAACAACTACACCGGACAGCGCGCCCAGGCGATAAATCCTGTGCCCGCTCCGGCTCATACGGCAACTGGAGGGAGCGCCCTGCGAGGACACCTCATACGACAGCAGCTCCTGGCCGGCATTGCGCCGGAAAACGTCGTTACCATTGACCGGCACCGTCAAGCAAATCCCATTGCCAACATCAACAGCCAAGAGACTCCTTCGTTGATCCATATCACCAATCAAGGCGTGTATTTCCCTCCTGTGCCCCCTGCGACCTACATACCTCCAACTGCCTACCCCATCCCAGACAACCCTTTGGTGAAAGAAGAAATACCCGTTGGGCAGCACTTGCAAGTACCCCAGGAGAGGCATTTCAGACAAAGACCGACTTTTGAACGACCTCCTGCTTTTGCTGCAAATATGATAAGAAACAACTTTGGTGCATACGGAGCTCAGGAGCACCAGTATGCAGGGTCTATGAATAGCTTCCCTGCAAACGTTGGTGGTTACCCTCACGGTGCATACATGCCTCCAGGATACTTTCAGCCCCCTGCGGATCCATTCAACCCACACCCAGGATACTATGGTCATACCACGTTTCCGCCCGTGAAGACTGAGCCTGATGTAGAGTCCCACTGCTACATGCCTCCAGATAACCAGACACATATCTTTGGTCCGGCGTTCGCTGGAAACGCCCATCTTGCTCACGGTATCCCCAACATGAAACGCGAGAGCTACTCCCGGCCGACCCCGATACAGAGAGCTCCATTCCAGTACCCAGTCCCGGGTTACGGAATGGTAAACGAGCACGGCAGAGGTGCGCCTCGGACTATGCAAAGTGCTAACCAAACTCATTTCATCGGTGGAAGACATCTTGAGCAGCCTCAGGCACTTACACTTGAACGTCCATCTGGTTCCACGCAAAGCACTAAGACCGTCATTAAAGAGGAACCTATGATGGAACCTCAAGGAGTTATGCCAGAAGTCATTATTCAAGAGGCCTCTCACAGCTTCAACATCCTAAGTGCTCTTCTCAAACACCCGGAAACTGCCATACTTATGACCGGCGAACTCCGTGTCCAGGACCTCATCAGCCTGCAGACAACATCCAAGGCATGCAATGCGTTTGTGATCAAGTACCTTCCGAAGATTATCCGCCTCCAAACCCTACGCCGGTCCCGTGTGGCGTCTCACATATTCCCCTGGCGCTGTTATCGGAAGCTACTGTTCAAGCGAGTAGCTGGACAGGATGAGAATGTCCCAGTTCCCGTGTCAAATCCGGATGGCTCAGTCCTCGCCTATACCGCTTCATTCCGCTGGCTTCAGATGGTTAGATCCCGCGACCAAACAATCCACACAATCCTCATCGCGCTTAGAAACGCTGGATTTGGCTTTCCTCCCCGGTACAAGTTTGCCATTTACAAACTGTGGTTTCTGATGGACATCCCTGATACACGGCGTCGCGAGTGGACCGTCGCGAATCGGAACCTCTGGACAGACCTCGATATCTTCATGGCTATTTTCTTCATTGTTCGCATTGACATGTTCGTCAAGGTCGTGCGCGGAAACCTAACCGGCGGCCAGCGACGTCTTATCATGGCTCAACGCAGTCTAAATCTTTGTCGTGATATGTTGACTGGCCGTGCCGTAAGGGACGATATAGAGCTTCTCAGCGAGCTCATTCGCTGGCGGTACAATGCTTACCCTGGCGAAGAGCTTGGGGATGAGGTCCTCGGTGTGCCGGTTGCTGAGATCGGTTCTCTGCAGTATGAAGGATACGGCAAAGGTCGCGAACAGAACAGAAAGATACGACGCCCAGATGAGATTATCCTCAGGGAGGCTCGCAGGAGGCGCCTTGACGCCCATCAGCTGTACGTGCGGATCTTTGTTCATGGCCAGCCTCAGACATTGACCACATGTGAGCGTCCGCTTATCCCTTGGGATCTTGAAGTTCGGACTACATTCCAGGGTACCGACGAAGATATTGAGGCATTTGTCCACTTGGATTAAATGCGCGCTACACCCCCACGTTCTCTGTTGTTAGCTCTGACGGGTTTGTGGACACCCACTAGGTATCACAGCTACATGTGTTTATGGGGACGGTATGGATTGAGTAAGATTTATCAGGCGATCTACGATCAAGGCGAGATAGCTCCCACCGATCAGCCCTTTGCGCGGTGCAAAATCGGGATACATGAAGAGGTGGTTGGTTCTTCTGTCAATTCATAGCCTCAATCTAGACCATGTGGGCCTTGCTCTTGAATAGCCCTAATTGTCGATGAGCATAACAAATTAACAACGGATAATCATGGTTGATACTTGCCCTACATGACTTTTTCCTTTTCATTTAATAGTAGTGCTTGAACATATAGTCAGTCAGTAATTGATTAGCGGCAGGTTGACAATTTATTCTCCGATCGTGGCTTTTCTACCTGGGCAGGTTCATGTACTTGAGAGAAGCGCATCACGTGCTATTCTGCCCATGTCACGTGCCCATTCGATGGACCCTGCACTTCGGAGGCCGTGGAAACCTTCGACCTGTCATCAAAGCTCCCCTCGCGGATGCTGCTGACAACAATCCTTCATCCGACGGTATTCTGACTGTGACAAAACGAGCAAATATCTTCTTGCATTGAAAGTAATCTATATTTATCTGCTCGTTTGAAGTGCACTGGTCTGCGCCGGGTTCTCCTGGTTGAATCAGATATTCTGAAGGTGATCGATCGACTCCCAGCCCCCCACCGCCTTGCCTGCGCTCCAGTACGACTATCACGCGGTCGACCGCCATGGACAGATACGATACTCCCCGTTCACGAGTTACGACCTTAGATATTTACGGGATGCGCTTCTCAGACAACAGTTTGAAGTTTCCTGTATGGGCTTAGTCGAGACGTATGTATTCGTCCGACCTAACGCAATAGGTATCTCCGTCCGCGGTCATCAGGTATGGGTCTATGGCGACAACGCTTCGTCTTTAGGGATAATGCCATACTGCGCATCAAACCGATTATTCCTAATGACTAGGCTCAAGAGTGCTTCTTGCGACGCGCAACTGACTCGCCTCTTCTCGAATTATGGACTGTCATGACAGATATATTGGCGCCTGCTTTTATTATATCTGACAATCCCCCGTAAAGTGCATGGGGCTGGATTTCAGGTTCTCCCGTGGCGCGAAGACTTTTAGCTTCTACTCTATGAAGATTCACAAATTCTCGACACCGAGCTGTCAAGCCAGTTTTGCAAGGCAGGCCCGTATTGCGCTGGTCGCTTCGCGGTCATCCTAATACGGCGCCACCCCTGCAGCATTCGTCTGGGGAGTCGGCCTATTAGTTGTGTCCCTGCTGGCTGGCGCTGGCGTTGATGTTCGTTTGACTATTCCTGAACAGCGATCCCATTTCCGTTGCACCACAACCACAACCTTGACGTCGTCATCTTCTTCTCAGTGAACACCTCGGCTTCAGTCCATGTTGTTTGTTTTACTATCTGTAGATGGGGTTTTCTGTGACTGAAGCTTCGGAAGCCATATCTCTCGCCAAGATGAACGGATAAGCCGTTTTTTGAGGTAGCGGCCATTGCATTGGATGAGACGCAGAGTCGCCTACACAGGCTATGGAAGCGGCGCTGAGAAAGCATTGCGGATTCGGATGAGATTTCATACTGGCAAAAGCGAACTGCCCAAGAGAGCGCGAAAATAGTGGGCGAGAATCGTGTGAGGGCGATCTAACAAAACGACGCAACAGCCATGCGACGCTGGGCATTTGGCAGTTTCTTGCGGTGGACCCCCTCGGTATCAAGTTCCATCTGATCAATGACTCGAGTGGCTCATTTTCAGCTGGCTCTGAGAGGGAAGGAAGGATTCAGGAGGAGGGCTTTGTTCTCTCCAGCGACTAACATTTCCAGCGAGGTGTCAAACCACATTTGCGTAGTAAGAGCCGCACTATGGCACAAGAGCCCTCAACCGGGTCAAATCACGGCCCAAAGTAAAACTGTCTGCCAGCGGAATGGCTCTGCCGCTCTGTATGCCACCCGAATATTACCAGTATGCCTGTAGAAGAGAGTGATCACCACCCTCTCCTCATTAACTCTTAAACTACCATCTCCAGGTGCGTGCCCTTTCCCAAGCTCTTTACTGGCTGCCTTTATCTTCTTATTCTGCCTTGGGGTTCTTCTTTATTGACAGCACCACATCTTCAGCCAGAGAACCTTGCCTCACATCCAACCCGGAAAAACCACCGTTCCGCACCACCCAATCCCCAAGAAAGACTCAACAGCAACTCACTCGACAATCACGCCGAACGAGGACTGCCGCAGAAAGTCATCCACTTTGTTCGTCTGCAGAACTCGCCACTTTGTCGCCGCCTGGTATCTCGCATCATCGTGTCGGTAGTTGATTATCCCTCTTAAACCAGATGCAGCAGGAAGCGACGACTACATGGCTGGGTCCCATAGGAGTCCGGTGCTAAAAGACCAGTGGAGAGGTACGGGCGACGTTGGAGACCAGCGTGGCCGCGAGAGACCTAGTCGGCCTCGGGGCTCTCACCGCGACAGGGGGAGGGATAGATTTCGCGATCAAGACCGTCACCATCACAATCGGCCTAAAGACGACCGACCTGATCGCTCGTCGCGGTCGCCGCCACCGCGTTCTTTCCCCGGTCCCGATAACAAACCTCAGCATCGTGATTTTTCCACTAACGTCTCTTCCACCCGCGCATCATCGGGCCCGTCACACCCGGAAATACGCTCGAGCCAAAATCCAAATCGTCTACACTCCCCTGAACGCACTGGTCAACGCGACCCAAACACACACATGGGGCCGACCGGTAGAGACTACCGCAGAGAGGATTCTCCTTCAGCGCCTCCATCGAAACGACAGAGAACACACAGTCCTCCGCCGAACGGTTTCCAAGGCCGTCCACCTACCCATCCGCGTGGTGCGCCCCCTAGACACGGCTTTGATTTCGATCGGGGGCCACCACACAGCAGAGGGCGAGGAGGACGTCCGCCAGGCCGTGGCCGCCCCGGTCGGAGACCATCGCCTCGTAGGGGAAGGGACCGACGGAAACACGAGAGCGGACCTCGAGATTCGTCAAGGCACAGACATTCTCGGTCTCCTGACTGGGAGGACAAACCGCCCATGCATCCCAAACGACGTTATCATAGCCCTCGTCCTGACGAATCAGATCGGAATCTCTTCCCCCGATCGCCTTCTCGTGTTTCCGCAGGAACTTTAGATTCAAAAACATCAGCACTTTCTCGCCGTGGATCAAAAAGCGACATTGCTATGCAACCCCCTCCCTCGCCCTCGCGACCGAACCTAGACCATGCCACAGAAGGACATGGAGCTCGCATCTCTGAACGAAACCGAGCATCCCGGTCCCCGGACAACTCATATCACGGTTCTACGCGTTCAAGTTCGCCTTATCCTGCTGCGCGCGGCGGGAGAAGCGGGCAGCACTCCTCACAGACCGGCCAGCATAGGTATGTAACTTTTCTGCACTGCCCCAAGTCGTACATGGTTTATGCTAAGAGACGGTCTCAGGTCCAACAATCTCCCCGAACGGGGCTCACCAAGTAATCTCCCCAATAGTCAATCCTCCTCATTTCATCACGCAGCCCCGTCACTTTCTCATCGGGATGGCCAGCCAAGATATCACGAAACCCACCAAGATCGTCGCTCTTCTGGACTTGTTCCTACCGCACCTCTTGCTCATGGCAGAAGTCGTTTCAGCAGCCCTCAGCGAGATACATTGGATACGCGACGTAGAGCAGCGCCTCCGAGTCCCCCACCGCTAGGGCCAGCGGCAGACAATCCTCCGCCGCCACCGCCGCCTACAGAACCTCGATCGCATCGTGAAGGATATCAGAATTTTTCTACTCACCGACCCGCACTTCGGGAGACCCGAGGAGCAGATGAAGGGCAAAGGCATGATTCAAGCGCTGGATCTGGTCAGACAACTCAGCCGGATACGCGTCCGCCAGAGCCTCCTACCGGTCCTAGCAAAGGCGGAAAGATTAGCTTTGCATTCAAGGCGAAAACCGGACCGCCATCGGCTCCAAAGCCTGTGCCTGATTTGGCTCAGCGAATGTTGGCTCGGGAACCGCCCCCGCGAGCAGCTGAACCTCCCCGTAATAAGTTATCATCAGGGCCACCGCCCAGGTTCAAGCCAGAGCCTCGCTTTGACCGCCGCGATCGGGATCGGGATCGTCATCGTGATAGGGACCGTAACAGAGGCAGGAATGATCGACGAGATTACAGAGATCCGCGTGGCCCCCGCGACCCGCGAGATTACCGCGATAGCAGGAGAGACGACAGGCACGTTGATCCTCGTGATAAGCGGAGAAATGACCGGCCGTCAGACGTTCGGCCAGATCGTCGTCATGAGCGCTCCCCCGAACCGGTCAAACGTTCGAAGATCATGCTTCGCCCTAAGCCGCGTCCCACCATATCAGAGGAGTTTGCCAAGTCGGATTCTGTCTATTTCCGGAAGCCTGGAAACGAGTCTGTGATCGGGGCGGGTACGTACGGAAAGGTATTCAAGGCAATCCATGTCTATACACAAAGAAAGGTTGCCTTGAAGAAAATCCGCATGGAAGGTGAGAAGGACGGCTTTCCTGTCACTGCAGTCCGAGAGATCAAATTGCTCCAACACTTGCGCAATCATAATGTCGTCAGCTTGCTGGAGGTCATGGTGGAAAAGAACGAGTGCTTTATGGTCTTTGAATATCTCTCGCACGATCTCACAGGTCTCATCAACCACCCAACCTTTGCCCTCACTGCTGCACACAAGAAGGACCTCGCAAAGCAAATGTTTGAGGGTCTCCATTACCTCCACCATCGAGGCGTCTTACATCGGGACATCAAGGCTGCGAACATTTTAATCAGTAACCAGGGCCAGCTCAAGTATGCTGACTTTGGTTTGGCCCGGTTTTTCTCAAAGAGTCGCCAGCTTGATTATACGAATCGTGTCATCACTATTTGGTACCGGCCTCCAGAGCTCCTCCTAGGCGAAACGCAATACGGACCGGCAGTGGACGTCTGGAGTGCGGCCTGCGTTTATGTCGAGATGTTCACGAAGAAGGCAGTGTTCCCTGGAGAAGGGGGAGAGATCAGTCAGCTCGACAAGCTTTACAATACCTTAGGAACTCCAACGCGCGCCGAGTGGCCAAACATTGTCGAAATGCCTTGGTTTGAGCTCATGCGGCCGACGGAGCGGAAGAAAAGGATATTCGAAGATGTCTATAGGGATATTCTATCCCCAGCTGCATTGGACATGATCTCTCAGGTATTCCGATATGATCCAGCTAAGCGTCCCACAGCCGAAGATATTCTCGCCCATCCTTATTTCCATTCTGAGGAGCCAAGCCCTCAACAGCCATTTGAGTAAGTGCCCAGCAGTACTGCCTTGGTGCATTCATACTAACTATGTCTATAGATTGGAGAACATCCAGGGCGATTGGCATGAGTTCGAGTCCAAGGCGCTTCGGAAAGAAAGGGACAGGGAAGCCCGGCGCGCGGAGTATCAGAAGGATAAGGAGAAGCGGAAAATTCTCGCAGCGCAGGATGAACGAGATTCCAAGCGTATCAAGCCAGATACAAGCGACGGGTTGCCGCCCTCGGCGCCTCCGGCTGAGCAGTAGGCGCTCACCCGGACCTCTCACGGTCTCAGCATTCTCTGTTTCGAGTAATATAATGGTTTTTATGAGCACTTTTGCCGGACATGTCCTGCATTTACCGACTCCTTCCTGTTTACAATACAATTTTAACTTCTTCGACATTACGTTCATATCCCCTGACTCTTTTCAGTCGTCATGCCACGTAAGAAGCATGGCCCTCATGCCGTGCAAGAGAATCAAGGCCCAATAGGTGGTTGTTGTCTACAAAAACAACGTCAGTGAGCGAGTCACAGAACTGAATCGTAGAACAAGGCGAATGTGAGGCAAGTCCCAGTCAGAAAATGCCATGAAACCTCAAGCTCAACCAGCAAGCAGCAACCTGAAAAGTTGTACAAGCGGTTGAGTACATCGGATTACCAGAGTATGTTATATCATACAGTTCATCTTGGAGAAACAGTGCACGGACTAAGGACAGTCAAACGCACCATTAATCAGTCTACTTTGCGCATGCAACACAGCGCAAGCTAGCATTGATCGTTCTAGTTCATGGTATACAGCATTACTCATGAAAATCGAGTGGATGCAAGAGTTGTCCCGTCATACAGGTCATCACCGCATCATGGAGCAGGGGAGCCCTCGTGATGATGGTTTTAGAAGCGGGCTAGTTTTTTCTCGACACACTCATCGGAATCGCTGGTGCAGTGGAAAGGTAACAAATCTGCAGGCAGCGATGATTTGAGTTGGTGGTCTTGGGTTTGTTAAGAGAAAAGAAAAAGGAAAGAAGAAGCGCAGAAAAAGTTGCGAAGAAAAGATACGGCGATGGAGCGGAGCGGCAGAATAATGATGCGGCGAGCAGAGAGCGGGCCGGGCGCTGATTGGTCGCGTGCCACTGGAGCTCGAAGAGAAAATAGAAGCCTCAGGCAAGAAAATCCGAACCTTCGACTTTGCAGTCACGATCAAGTTTCTACTATCCATTATTTCCAAGTTAACTATTAATCCCGCCTCAAAAGTCCTCTTCCCTTCCAAGTCCTCTCTCTCTCTCACCGTTTTCTTGTGATCTATCTATCTCTACATTCTGTCTGACCTCTTATTTCCCGCTGTTTCACCATCACGATTACGATTCTGCCACGATTCTTCTCACTCCCCCTCTCTACGGTCGTCACTCGAAACCGCCGCTCGTCTTCCGCGCTCGTTTCTGTTGCATCATTTGAACTTTTGCATTGCTTAGCGTTGGTCTTGTGTTGATTATATATTTGGCATATCAACGACTGTACGGTTGAACGGTATCGGTTCTTTTTTTTTACTCTTTTCCTCCGATGAGAGCTCCCGCTTGAGCCGTATCAAGCCACCTGCCCGCCATGGAGAACGCAAACCTTTGGACTCGCCGAAACAAGTATGTCCTATTCAATCTTTGCTCGATTAGTCGCATTCATATTCAATTCCGGTCAGCGCTAACCCCGCCGCGCTTTTAGCACCTCCAAGCTCTCTCTGTCCATGACAGGGACCGACAACAAAGAGGGTGGCGCCAGAGTTGACCTCTCCCGCGCATCAAAGCGATTCGGCCCCGACAGCTCCCACGGCCGATCCAACCCCTTCAATGCTCTTTCTCCACTCTCTGCCGGCGTTTCTTCCCCCTCTACAAATGCGTCATCTGCCTTCGGTCTTGGCTCCGGTGCGTTCGCCTCGTTCGGAGCGCCCAAGACTCCCGGGGCCGAACTGAAGACTCCTGGTGAGAGGCGCGATAACCCGACAGACCGGACCGTGGAGGGTCTCAAGTCGAAGCCTTCCGTACCGGCGCTCAAGGAGCACACCCTGCGATCTACCTGGATCATCTGGTACCGCCCCCCCACACCCAAGTACTCCGACTACGAGAAGTCCACGGCACCGCTCGCCTCGATCTCTTCAGTTGAGAGCTTTTGGTCTATATACTCTCATTTGAAGCGGCCTTCGCTCCTCCCTACCGTCTCCGACTATCACATCTTCAAGAAAGGGATCCGTCCAGTATGGGAAGATGAGGCTAATAAAAAGGGAGGAAAGTGGATTGTCAGACTGAAGAAGGGTGTGGCAGACCGGTATTGGGAGGACCTTCTTTTGGCCATGATCGGAGACCAGTTTGCCGAGGCCAGTGATGAAGTTTGCGGTGCTGTTCTTAGCGTGCGAAGTGGCGAAGACGTCTTGGCCGTCTGGACTCGGATCGATGGTGGGCGAAACATTAAGATCAGGTACGTTTATTGCATTCATTATTGGGGTCTAGTGTTTTCTTACTAATGCCATGCAGAGAGACGATCAAGCGGCTGCTCGCTTTCCCCGCAGACACCAACATTGTGTGGAAGAGCCACGACGACAGCATTGCCCAACGCTCTGCTATCGATCAAGCTCGCCAGGAGAAGGCCGCTAACAACCATCATCACCATCACAACCACCACAACCACCATCAGAACCCTCACCATCAATTCGGAGGGGACCGCCGAAGGCCAGCGGCTGACGACGCTGCGGGCGACAAAGGCAAAGGGCCGGCGTCTTGACATGCTTTTGACTAAGTCTCTGTTACGATCGTGTATAGTAAGAAAACACAAAATCATGGTATGATTTGGGCATGGGGCATTGGGGCGAACATTGCGAGTGATTTTGGCTTGGGGTTCTCTGCTATCGTTCTTGGATCTTGCGCTATTGCTTGTTGTCTCATTGTTGTCTCATCTTTAGGGTTTCCTAGGTGTCTACCCTACTACATGCGGCGCACCTGGAAGGCGTGGACCTAATAGGTGATGCTCGATACTCTCACAAATAGAAGCAACGCCTTCGAATGTTCATTCCGTTAATAATGACTCCTTGTAACCAATCCATCTGACTTGGTTGCTTGGTATGTGCTAAGCATAATTCAGACAATTTCTCCCCGACGACCTGAGCCCGAAACTGTCTTACTTATGATGTCTTACTATACGAGCCCCAGAACCTTAGTAGATAGGCGCAGATCATACTTTCCTGCGGGCAGAAAGTAGCCTGACCGCCTTCGTAGATAGGTATCCGTGGGCGTTGCACCTCATTCTACACCTCGGCCATGTGTTGTGTGTGAATAATAAGTCAAGATGAAGGCCGCGCAATGAAATTCTCAGTGAATACATGCAATTACTCAAGTCAATACCAAGCCTACTCTTTTCCCGCCCTTCCTCGCTTTCCCAAGAGTCTCATCCTCCTCCCAACCCTCCTCCGTCATCCAACACGGCCTCCGATCATCCTGTGAGGAATGCCCTCGCACCCGCACCCGATCTCAAACGCCCGCAAAACACTCCGTTTGACTTGTCAACCCACCAAAGCGTAAGGGAACACTTGCACAATTCTCACGTTTGCCCCTCTGTTTCACTTGGGCACTGTTATACCATCGCATCCTTTCTCTTCCTCGTACTTTGCTCCGAACCCACTTTCTAGTACTCCGTACCCTTATCGCGATCCGCCCGCCGGTACTTGATTTTCTTCTCCGAGCCTGAGGGGTGCTCCGCTAACACCGCCATATAGACCCCTCATAGCTATGCAAAGAGCTTCAGATCGGACCCGGAGCCTGAATCTGCATCTCGATTATTTCGCAAATCCATTCCTCGCCCAGGATTAGGGATGCCTAGGACGTGAGTAGGTCTTGCGATAATAGATTGGCGCAACGTTGACAAATGGCGTGCAGAAGCCAGGATAGGGATCCAATGCGCGAAAATCCCTCTTCGACCGTGGCGGACGAAACGAGACTCTTTGGCGGCAACAATGTGTACGTGTCCCCAGTCTTCAGAATACAGAGAGCCGGTGTTAATAGGATCCGTTTCGTATCAGACGAGACCCTAATGCGGTGAGGATAAAACCAGGGCAGACCTTTAGTTTAAGACCTGTCAATACATTAGCAAGGGGTGTGAGATCTAGCGGACCGGTACGCGCAAATGGCAAGGAAAAGAATGGAAAGGGATCGTTCTTCACCAGCCAGGCTCGCTCGACTCGTTCTGCAGACGCTCCGGAGAGGTCGTCGAAACGCCGACGGATTGAAGGTCCAGAGGAAAGACAAGACTTGATTACGATCTCTGATGACGACGCACCAGGACCTTCATCTGCAAGGATATCGCCTGTCACTACTCGCTCGAACGTCAAATCTCCTACACCGAGTCAGCACTCAAGCAACGTGAAAGGGCGGCGGAATTCCAGTAGCAGTCATAAGTCGGAATATCGGGAGGCTGACAGGGAGACGAGGGTCACCAGGCCTAGCCCTAAGAAGAAAATCAGTTTCGCCGACCGTTACTCGTCCCCCGAGCTTAGTTTTACCATTGATGCTGCCAACCAGAGGCGAAGAGAATCTGTCTTGCCGAGCGGAGATTTCGATAAAGCCTCAAGAAAAGTACCAGCACAAGGGTCCATTATGAGCGTTGAGATACCGAAGAAGCTCTCAGTGCCTAACCCTGCTGAAACTCCTCCGCCACGTCACGCCGGGAAATCGCGCGCCTCATTGTCAAGAGATAGCCCGGATGAGTTACAAGGCGATGTGACAGTTGGACCTATCCCTTTGACTCTGAACAGGCCTATAAGAGACTCGCAGAGCGAACCCTTGCCCTCGGACATTCGCCCCGCCGTCTTTACTTCTCAGGCAAAGTCTAAGTCCAGGAATAAGAAAGCAAAGGCTAAGAAGGGCTTACTAGCTCCGCAAAATTTCAAGATCATCTATTACCGTGGCGGCGGCATCTTAGCGGGCGATTTAGGACATAAACACGGTTTGCTTACCGTGAAGCCTGACAGCGACGAACCGGGCGAGATTACCACAGTTGCTGGCCCTGGAATTATCCATTCGATTCCTCTACGGAAAATCTTAAAGGTCGTGGTGGGCGAATCGCCCAGCCGAAAAGTTCGGGCTGAGTTGTCTAAATCAGGGGTAGATGATACCAAAATCGACATTGAATTGTCCTCATCAGACCAAAAGAACCAACTTTGCTCCTTCCTAAGCGAGCTCAAGGTTGAACTGCAAGAAAAGAAAGGGTGAGTTCCCTCAACTTCCTTCTGCATAGATACATGTCAGGTGCTTACATTTCTATCGGTGAAGGGATCATCTAGATGGTGCATTCAGGAAAAGCGCCCGAGAACATCAAAAATCTTCTAACGGCATCAAACGACCGCTTGGTCTGCTCGACTTTGCGGAAGAGACGCCCAAGCCGCCTGCAGGTTCGACAACTAAGAGAAAAAGGCTTTCGGATCAGCTTCAAGATAAGAACGAAGACATTGCTGCGCAGCGGAGTCCGGACACCGCTCTCGGGAGGCGTACCAGCCCCTCGCCTCCTGCTACAAACGGCGAAACTTCTGCCTCTAATCGCGCTTCAACTCCTCTCTCTGGCCCGCAGCCCAGCGTAGGCGTTGAGATTCCCGTTAAGAAATTCTATACCAATTTGCAGGCGCCTGCTCGTTCTACGAGATCCATGTCGCGACAAACACCGACTACTCTGATTTGGTAAGTTTCCTTTGCTTTTAAGGAGAACCATGGTTGACGAACGGCGTTCTAGTGACGATGATGACGACGGTCATGAAGAAAAACAGATATCAAACTCCAACCTAGATGTGGATCCGAAATGGTACGAGTATGCTCTACGCCTATTTTCGTGCAACCATGCTAATTACGTAGGACTCTCATGTACCCGCGATCTGGAAAGAAAAGGGCAGGAGTGGATGGCCTGGATCTGAAGAGACTTGAACCCGACGAATACCTCAATGACAACCTCATTGGCTTCTACATACGCTTCCTCGAAGATCATCTTCAGCGGTGCAACCCGGAAGCAGCAAAGCGGGTTTATTTTTTTAACTCGTACTTCTACGAAGCGCTCACCAAGAACAGCAAACGCAAGGGCAATATCAACTACGAGAACGTCGAGAAATGGACTCGGAACGTTGACATCTTCAGCCATGACTATCTGGTCGTACCAATCAACGAAAGTCATCACTGGTATCTTGCCATCATATGCAACTTGCCGTATCTAGAGGGTATCAAGACAGAAGAGAAACCATCGACATCTGACTCGCCGGGAGAAGTTGAGGAAGTGCGAGAGACACCAGAACCTCAATCTGAGGAGGGAGCATCTGCAGACCCGCAGTCCATCAAAGAGGAGTCGGCTAGGCAGTCTCTGGCTTCCATGAGCCTTTTTGAAACGCAAGAGTCGCAACCGGATGGATCAAAGTCAGGTGAAGATGAATGGCCTGAGTGCGAGGATTACCCAGGTGTAGCCCGTGCGAAGTTGGCTGACTGTTCGAGTCAAGTCCTATCTGACTCTCAGAACGAATCCGGGCAAGCTGGGACGTCCAAGCAGCCGCGCAAATCCAAGAAAAAGCAGTCATTCGGGCAGAAGTATCATTCCTGCCAGCCAATTATCATTACTTTTGATTCATTGAATGTAGGTCGCTCACCGACCATCACCACTTTCCGCGAATATCTATTCGCGGAAGCCAAGTCCAAACGGGACATCGAAATCGACAAATCCCTGATTAAGGGGATGAGCGCAAAGGAGATTCCTCTCCAGCCGAACTTTTCCGATTGTGGCCTCTATCTCCTCGCCTACCTTGAGAAATTCGCTCAGAATCCCGATGAATTCGTGCGGAAGCTCCTCCGAAGGGAGATGCGCGCTCAAGAAGACTGGCCTCCGCTGAAGTCCGGTCTTTTACGTACTCGTCTGCATGGATTCTTGGAGCTGCTATACACTGAGCAAAAGCAGCTCACTGAAGGGAAATTGGACGAGGACGCGCTGATGGTAAACCAGCAACCAATTTCGTACCTACTCGGTCCACCAAGCACAGACGACAAGGAGGTAGGTGAAGAGAAAAAGAACCCGCAGGTCCAAGTACAAGTCGGTCGCTCGCCAACGCCCAGAGCGAAGTCGAAGACCCCCGTCCGGAGTCGTGAGCCCTCAGCCCAGCGCGCCAGTCCGAAGCCTGAGACTAGCCATGACATGAACCCTACTGAATTTGAAACGCAAGGATCGGTGCAGTACATTGGTCAGACTTCTGGCTCGCAACCCAAATCACCTAAATTGGAGGCACAGAATCGGCCGACCAAAGGCGTGGTCGTTGAAGTACCAGATAGTCAAGATCGGGTTCAGGCGAACGCTCCACCAACTGCCGCGCTATCAACCAAATCTCGTTCTCTTGAACCGCGTAGGCAGCGCGCAGACACTGTCGCGGTGTACATCGATGACACCGATGCTGTAGAGGAATCCGCTCCGCATAAACAAAAGAAGGGTCGACGAAGAGCTGAGGAACCACAAGTTCTGGAGACGCCACCAGGGTCTCCTAATGCCTGGTAAACATTCCGACGTTGACGCGCTTGAAGGGTGGGCAGTGATTTCGATCATTTTTTTGTCTCATATAACATCCTCCCTGCATAACCGCATTTTTATATTTCCTAGACTTAGAGATCTACTTTTCAGGCGTTCGGATGGTTGGCATATTTCCTGGAGCATGAGATACCAAGCATCACATCGCATATTGCATTTTACCAACACAGCATGAATACTCAATACCCGTGGACGCTTGTTTGCATACTAGTACTTGTACATGTTCTTTTTGTCAGAGTGCAGAGCATCATTTATCCACTATCAAAACCTGTATGAATCTATATGGCCCGGCCCTGCCAAGTCCAGCAAACACCTCACACCAGCAGGTAGGTAAACACACATCACCACTCACTCTCATCCGCAGCAACCCACCACGCCATCTTATCCCTCTTGAAAGCCTCAAAATCCCACTCCGCATCCTCCAGCATCCCCCTCCCAGCAATCCACACATACGTCTCCGCCTCAACCTCCTCGCCCTCATCCGCAAACTCCGCCCCGGCAGCCTCCAGCACATCCTTCAAATGCCTGTCCCTGTCTATGTCCGCACTCGAACCCTCGACACCGTTCCCATTTCCAGCCCCGTCCGCACGCTCCTCATCCTCCGCGAGCGCCTCCCGCAGTATCCGCACAGAGACCTTCTCCCGCCTATACTCAGAGCCCTCGAATATATCCAGCCTGTGGATATCGCCGTCTGTTAGGCCTGAGACGACGGTGCCGAGGACGCTCGCACCTGCGGCTGCCTTTATCCCTGGGTCCTTGGTTGTTTCGGAATCTAGTGTTTGCGTATGCGCTTCCTCACGTATGATTCCTGGGTAGTCGGCCCCTCGTACACGATGTCTTCTGTACCCGTGTAGGACTGCGGGACGGAAGCGGAGAAGGTCCCTTTGCCATTGTTGGGGTGTTGGCGAGCCATGGATTACTCGGTGTAGGATTTGGGGGGCCATTAACGTTCCTGCTCTGTTGTTAGTATCAATCTAGCTCTCGGACGCCAGCAAGATGGATGTTTAGAAATATTGTGGGGTGCAAGTGCAGATATATATTGCTGCGGATCTGGGAGATGTTTAGAGAGGTGGCATGGTACCGTAGAAGAACAGGACGTGGTCACCCATCTTGAAGTCTCTCGAGTGATCGCCTGTGCTAGAAGAACTGGGATGATGTGAGAAGGATTGCCGAATTACGACTTGGAGATATGTACTCCGTAAGTATAGCGCGGGGTTAGCTAAGGTGGAGAACGGAGCTATCTCCAACATTTGAGGTGTTGGGAAGCTAGGTGCGCGCAAGGTACAATGACTGGAACGTAACTGATATACTTGATAGAGCCTTAGATTCCCAGATCGCTCATTCAATCATAAGCAACTCGAGGTTATAGAACTATACATACTTCCATTCTCAACCCCACTGTAGAAGCCATGTTTATCTTATCGATAAGAAAGCTTATCAGTATCACCGCCCCCAAATTCTCCGGACTGGTCGCCGCCCGGGGACATGTGGCTTTATCCGCATCTCATCATCCCTCTAGTCTGACAGCCAACTCTCCAACAGTTGAGGGGAATTAACGAAGCAGGATGCACTCAGCACTTAACCGCGCTCAAGCGGTCTTTGGATTCTTCACGACAGTTGCGCTCTTCGTCGCGGGTTTCGCTGCCCTCTCGGTCCTCCTGTTCCCGACGGATAATGTCACCGCGGAGGTGTCATTGAAAGATGTCAAAGTGTACGCTCTCTCCATCGCTAACCTAACTACTAATTTTACTGGAGCCATCGCTAACCTAACTACTATTTCGACAGAATCAAAGGCCGACCGCATTACTACTCCACCAAGAAAGAAGAGTACGCGCAGATGAGGTTCGACTTGGATGCTGGTACGCCCTCCATACCTTCTTGCCAATTGCAACCCACGATGCGGAGCTAACATTATGAGAACAGACCTCTCCCCTCTCTTCAACTGGAACACGAAGCAGCTCTTCGTCTACGTCTACGCAACCTACTCGTCCTCTGACAAAACCTCCGAAACCTCCCTGACTCCGCAATCCCAAGCCATAATCTGGGATTCGATTATCGAGGCCCCCGAATCGCCTTACTCGTTCGCCAACCTGCGCGAGCGGTTCTTCCCCAGCAAGAGCAAGTCAGTGTCATCGCGCAAGCGCTCTTCGTCCACGAACAAGAAGACTGGTAGTAGTAGCAGCAAGAAGGAAGTTACCCCCGGCGTCATCCGTCTCCGCGATCAGAAGAGCAAGTACCAGATCAGCGATATCACGGGGAGGATGGCGGAGCGCACGAATGTCACGCTGAGCGTTGGGTGGAATGTGCAGCCGTGGGTTGGCGCGCTGTGGTGGGCTCCTGGGACTGGGGCTGTGCCTAGGACGGAGGGGAATACGGGAACGTCGAAGGCATTTGATTTGCCCGCGTTGAAGGGGTCAAAGCCGAAGACTGAAGGGCAGAAGACGGCTGCGGTTTAGGTAGGGAATCCAGGATAAATATGATTGAATGGAATACGCTTGTAATTACTGCTTCTCCATCCATGAGTCGTATTATAGATAGTCTATACTATCCAACATGCCAGAAAAAAGAGGCAAGGACGCCAGATACCCGAAAACAAACATCTGTAAAACCAACCAAAGCACTAATATGCGAAGCGCAACAGTCAAGGGCGCAAACAAAACTGCTTTGGACAAACTCAGTCCAATTCGAGCAGCTCAGGGAATCGACCCGTAATTCGGCTGTCCTCCCCGCTGAATGCGATCTGAGTAGACGCCCGGTGCCGGATCCGCCATCACGGCCTCGCGATTCTTGTAGTAGACATATTCCAGGTAGAAAGCGTGAATGTGACCGGGGAGGTAGCTGAACAGACTATTAGCTCAATGCGCAGAATGAAGAGGAGACAGTGATGAACCCCAAGATAGTAAGCATGATATTGATGAGGAAGTCGGCGCTGCAGCCTGAGATGAGGAACACGCCTAGGGGCGGTACTATTGGGCCTAGTCAGTAACCAATCGCAGGGGAATAATTCATTTAGTACATACTGAAGAAAGTAAGGATGATCAAGCAGAGCATAGAAGCCGATCCGGCCATGTTGATCAAGTTGATGCGACTTATGCGTGAGCGGCTCGTTCAGCACGTTCGTTTGTATCTGAGTATGTTCCGAGGAAGCTCAGGAAGAGAATAGTGAAGAGAAGGATGAAGATGTAGACGGGAATATAGTCATCGTGGTCGGAGTTGATGCGTTTCATTTTACGAGGCGGCTGCAGGCGAAACGACGTCACCGGACCAGGATGGATTGGCGGGGAGTTGGTGGTGAGAACGGACTAAGAATTTGATAGTCACACAGAATCTCTAACGGATGGTATTCTCTAGGGTGGTATTGATAGAGCGATGACAGCGAAACGCTGGCGGCGATTTGATTAGTTGACGTCATTCCGCAAAACGCCGATAGGGTCATAGGGCTGGCTAGACAGCATGATAAACCACAACCGTGGTACAAAGTACGTGCCGAGGCTGAGATATCCCCGATAAGAAGTTCCTGAAATTTGGTATATAGATATACGCCGGACGATACGTTGCTTAGTATGCCAGTGAGATGGGGTCCATCACACGGCATCAATTGCTGCTCTCGTCGTGACCTGCTCGTTCTTGTTGCCGAGCTTCGATATCTGGAGGAATGCATCCACGCCGTAGCCCTCCAAGCTGTGCAACTCCAGGCTGCCTGCCCAGTACTCCGCATAGACTCTGCTCATTGGCAGTCCAATTCCGAGTCGAAGGTCTGGCAGTCGCGAAGTCAGGGTGTCGAGTGAGCTCTCGCGGAACGTCTCTTTATCCGCGTGCTTTATCTCGCTGGAGACCGATAGCTCCTGTAATGTGGCCGCCATAGCTGGGACCTGCCCTAAGTTTTCGAGTCGTACTTTGCTGTGGGGTCCCTTGGTGAAAGACCACAAGTAAGGCAGAATCTCTCGAGCTATTCCTCCTCCTTGATCAGAAAAGCGCATAATAACATGTTGAGGCGCTTCACAGATCAAAACCTCAATAGGCGGTGGAGTCTGTTGCAGGGTCTGATACCTCTCACTGACCGCCTGGATTGAATTACGCAGGAGTTCGCCAATTATGTACTCCAAGTGACTGAGCATGTACGGAAATGTGGCGTCCAGGTGCCCCTGGACTGATATCTCGGGAATCTTGTCTGATCCAGAGCTCTGCCGAATCATGTCTTGTACAAGCTTGCCGCAGCGCTCTACGACCTCTTTGGCGTTGCACTTGAGGAATACCTCACCAACAAAATCGGCGTTTAGATCCGTTCGGTCTTGCGATCCCGGAAAGTGCCACGGCGAGTTGAACGTTTCCGTCAATGCCAGATGTTGTTCCGCAATGACTCGACGCGAGATTCTCTGTGCATGGTTAGACCGGGCTTATCGACTGCATGAGATGCCTTACCGCCCTGAGCAAAGTGTTCATAAACCGGTCCATCGCATCTGCCGGCAGAAGCCCACGACATTCCAGCACTCCCATGGCTAGCCTTGGTATCACAACCAGGTGCTCTTTGAGCGTCTTCCGTAGGATGTCACAGAATCGATCATTGTCGTCGAGTGATCGTATCTCGGGGACCGTGCGGAACCTCTCAAAAGCTTTATAATATAGTTCGTATACCAGCGAGAAGTGAGGGTTAGCGACCACAACGTACGGCAGCTTCTGTATTTCCCGGAGACGGTGTGCGAGTCTGCAAGGACAATTGTTAGCAGAAACTAAGCCGGCAGATTTTACTTAACGGACCTAGTCGGAAGTTCGGTGCGCACATAATTGGCAGAGCTTATAAGTCTTGACTCTGTCAAGGTTCTCCCAAAGAAAGTAAGCTGTCTTAGACTGATAGGTCGGATCTGACGTTCAACATATCTATGGCCATTAGCAATGATGACCTTGAGGGTCTGAGACATCTTACTCGTCCAAGGCTGAGACAGGTCTCCACGGTGGAGGTTTGTGTACAAAGGTCTCCGAGTGCAAGGTTCGTATTGAGAGAGGAGCTCTCTGATTCTGGAGGGTGCGCCAGCATTGAGCTGGACAACTCCGCAGCATCTCGAGCGGAATATGTCAACGACACTTCATGGATTGGTCGGGGGTGCTCCGGGATGAGTAATATCTCGAGGAGCCAAAGGGGAGTCTAGGATCGTATGATGAATCTCGTACATGACTCCCTGGTGATTGTTGAGTGATTGTTGCTGCTCGCATGATGCCTGAACGCGGGCGGAGTCAAGGCAATTCCCTGGGCGGTGAGAGCTCTGACTTTTGACATGTGACCGTCCTATCATGGATCTCTACAATCAGCTTTCTTACACGGCTTTTGTAGGGAATATCGTTTTGGACATCTTAAATATACGGAGAAGAAGAAGCTTGGCTTGGATCAACAAGAGATTGGATTTTGAGATATAGCGCAGCTGTCAGCCCTAACTATTATCAAGCAACTGGTTGTATAGTTATGTTCGATTAGTGTTCACAAGTGCCAAGGACCAAAATATTATGATATCACTGTGCGCTGCCCTGGAATTGAATTTTGACTCTTCGTCCGAACGAACATAGGTATCAGAAGCTGCACCTAAAGGTAGACCATAATATAGAGGAGAAGAGCATGCACTGGGTCATCTTAGCATCAAGCAGTAAAGCGTCCTTGCCCTCCCCTTGCGGCCTTGCTCTGCAGCAGTGCCGGCCTGGCTGTCTTAATAATCCCACTCTGTGTCCCGCAAGCTGCATTATCGGCTATCATTGGTGTCTTCGAGAGAACGACTCCGCCACAGGCTTCAACTCCCTTTGACGGAACCTGGAATAATATCTGGTTCTGACTTTGCATCTCCGCTCTCTCACTCTGACCTTTTCGTTTCAGGTGGTGGATAGATCAATCTTTATTTTGTCTTAGATAACCGTCCTCTTTGGCCCAAATCTCGAGCAGCGAACTTTTGTAGTTCGAGTGCTCGAGCGCACTTTCCTTCCTTCATGGACAACGTGAGTTCTCGCCAGTTTTCTCGCTACAGCAGTAGCGGAGTTTAGTACTCAGCCAGGAAGCCTTCGCTAACATGTCTCTCGAGCCCGTTAAGGTCGCAGATAGTGAAATGTTGGTTGATGAGTACGAACAGTTCCAACATGATAGGACCGATGATGTCGTTGTCTCGCAATCCGGCTCCGAGGAGCCAGACGCAGAACCCTCCGCGGATGACTGTAAGGGCCTCCCCACAACACCTCCCTCGTCGCCGGCGATCATACATTTATTTTGTCAAATCATCGGGCTGCTCCGGTTGATCCCCGCAGCAGTTACCTGCCAGCGACCGCCCTTGAATGCGCTCAATTGGTCTACAAGAATGTGCTCTAAGATTTGTTCGTTTTGCAGTCCCGGCTATGATGGCTCGCGTCCTCCCGAAAGACCCAGATCTCGAAACCGCAGACGAAACTTGGAATACATGGTCAATCAAGAACTGGCGGAAACTGGACAAGAAGGAGCATGGGCCTATCTTCCAGTGTGGAGGATTCCCATGGTGAGTGGAAATGGGCGCATTGCTGTTCGGACAGCATGCTCACAGCTATCGCAGGCGAATTCTTTTCTTTCCTTACGGAAACCACGTCGAACATGCTTCCTTCTACCTAGAGCACGCATGGGGCGAAGAGGTCCCAGAGAATTGGTACGCCTGCGTACAATTCGCACTGGTTCTATGGAATCCGAACGACCCAACGATTCAAATAACCCACAGTGAGTTGTCTCTTACCAGTGCAGAAATGCTTCGCTAACTGCGATATAGCTGCGACTCATAGATTCAACCAAGACGAGGGTGACTGGGGTTTCACGCGATTCGCCGAGCTGCGCAGACTATTCCATCTGCAATTTGAGGGGCGCGGTGTCCCTCTTGTTCAGAATGACGAGGCTAATGTTACCGCTTACGTGCGTGTTGTCAAAGATCCCACGGGTGTTTTATGGCACAGTTTTCAGAAGTAAGATTCCACAATCCTGTATTATGGCTTTGCTGACGATATGTAGCTACGACTCCAAGAAAGAAACGGGCATGGTCGGATTGAAGAACCAGGGAGCGACGTGCTATCTCAACTCACTTTTGCAATCATTATATTTCACGAATGCCTTCCGAAAGGCCGTTTATCAAATCCCCACGGAGGATGAGGCATCGAGAGAAAACAGTGCATGGACCCTGCAGAGGTTGTTCAATAACCTCCAAACCAGCGAATTGTCTGTTTCGACGACAGAGCTTACGGCATCGTTTGGTTGGGAGTCGAGGCAGATTTTCGAACAGCAAGACGTTCAAGAATTGTCTCGAAAGCTGATGGAGAGATTAGAGGAGAAGATGAAAGGAACTCCGGCAGAGAAGGCACTTCCTGAATTGTTTGTCGGGAAATCAAAAACATATATCTCTTGCGTTAATGTTCCATACGAGTCATCCCGGATAGAAGACTTCTGGGATATCCAGCTCAACGTCAGAAACAACAAGACTCTTGACGACAGTTTCCGGGACTATATTCAGGTGGAAAGGCTAGAAGGAGACAACAAATACGATGCGGGCGCACCATACGGCTTGCAAGATGCCGATAAGGGTGAAATATTCGAGAGCTTCCCTCCTGTGCTGCATTTACACCTGAAGCGGTTTGAATACGACATTCACCGAGATGCCATGATGAAGATCAATGATCGTCATGCATTCCCGATGGAGTTCGATGCCGCTCCGTATCTATCAAAGGATGCCGACAAATCTGAGTCGTGGACCTACCAACTACACGGTGTCTTGGTCCATAGCGGTGATCTGAATGCGGGTCACTACTTTGCTTTCTTGAAGCCCACTCGAGACGGATTCTGGTACCGCTTTGACGACGACCGCGTGACCCGAGCGACAGATAAGGAAGTCCTAGAAGAAAACTATGGTGGCGAATATGAATTACCGAACGGTGCAGTCGGAGTGAGACAGCCATACACCCGGGGACTGTCAACCAAACGATCGACGAATGCGTACATGTTGGTGTACGTCCGCAAGTCAAAACTGGATGAAGTTCTCCTTCCCATAACGCAGGATGATGTGCCGTCTCACATTGGTAGGTTCACTCGTATACTCTGAATGATCGTTAGTTAATGTGTTTCTAGAAAAACGGCTTGTCGAGGAGCGTGCCGACATAGCGCGCAGGAGAAAGGAGAGAGAAGAGGCTCACTTGTACACCACGGTTTCGGTAATATCTGATGAGACTTTCAGATGTCATCAAGGCTTTGATCTGACTAGCTTTGACCGGCCGCTTGTTCAAGAGGCGCTTCCGAAGGAGTATAGGATTTTGAAGACCACGAAGGTTGGCGAATTTGCGGAACTGATCGCACAGGAGAAAAAGCTCAACCCACTCCAGCTTCGATTCTGGGTCATGGTCAATCGCCAGAACAAGACAATGCGCCCTGATCAAGTCATTATGGACACAGGAATGACAGTGGACGAAGCATATAGCAAATATGCCACCAAGGGCAACATGTTCAAAGTATGGCTGGAGGTTGCGCAACCGTCCCCCGATGGGACAGTCTCTTTCCCGGATCCTGCTACGCACGTGCTTGTTTTTTTGAAGAGTTTTGATGTACCAACACAGACCCTGACTGGAGTTGGCGCGGTGTACGTGCGCAAGAACCAGAAGGTTGGAGAGCTGGCGTCTACAATACTCGCGCTGATGAACTGGCCAGCTGGCACGGATCTTCTCCTTTACGAGGAGATCAAGCCCACCATGATCGATCTCATGAAGCCCAAGCAAACGTTCCAGCAATCGGAAATCCAGGATGGTGACATTATCACATTCCAGAAGGTCGTCAAGGAATCAGAATTGCCTCCGAACGCAATCTACCAGGATGCCAAACAATACTACGATTATCTTGTTAACCGGGTCACTATCAATTTCGGCCCCGTCAAGTCGGACGGAAACGACACTTTCAATCTCGTACTTAGCAAAAAGATGACCTATGATCAGATTGCGAAGAAGGTCGGCGAGTACCTAGGTGTGGAGCATACGCACTTGCGGTTTTCAGCGATCATGCATAGTAATGGGCGAGCCAAAGGATACATCAAACGGAACCCTAATCAAAACGCCCAGACTCTGTGGAGCATGTTAGGCGGGCAGTTGCCTGGCTATGGTGCCAGTATGATCCGGCCAGACGCTATGTACTATGAGGTGTTGGAAACAAGCTTGAGCGATTTCGAGTCAAAGGTCTGCCTCCGCCTGACATGGCTTTCCGAGGGCATCACTAAAGAGGTAAGTTCTTTTCAAGCCATTGGATATGGATGAGGACTGACGGATATAGCAAACCGTGGAGGTTCTGGTGCCCCGAGATGGGACGATTCAAGACGTTCTCGCTGGCTTGCAGAAGAAGGCAAATCTGGACGACGACACTATCAGCAAAGCGCGCGTTTATGAGGTTCATAATTTCAGGATCTATAAGGAGTTCGCGCCAGAAGCCAAATTTGGTGGCTCCAGTGACTTTGTGTCACTGTACGCGGAAAGAGTGCCTGATGAGGAGTTGGAGCTGGAGAGTGGCGCGCGGGTCATCAACGCATTCAACTTTGACAAGGAAACCAACAAGCCACACGGCGTGCCTTTCAAGTTTGTCATGAAACCGGTATGTGTTCAGATGATTCTTACAGTGCATCTGCTGACTCCAGCAGGGTGAGATCTTCAAAGAGACCAAGGAACGGCTCTCGAAGCGGACAGGCCTGAAGGGCAAGCGATTAGAGAAGATCAAGTTTGCTGTGGTTCCCCGCCAGCTTTACTCAACACCGCACTATCTTCAAGATGGTAAGTCTCTTATGCCGCCTTTGGTATTGTCGCTAACCTTTCCAGACGACATACTGGCAGATATAATTGGTGACTCCGATGACATGCTGGGCCTGGACCACCCGAGCAAGAAACAGAGCTTTTGGAACAAGAGCGAGTCCTTTTTCATCAGATAGCCGGATATGATGATAAATAAAAACCCGATCATATCGCACGGCTCGATAATTTTGCAGCTGTATCAGTGTCTATATGTTGAGGGCGACGCATAATTATTCTTAGGGTGTAGACGGCTGCTTTCTTCTGCATTGATTATGTTTCAAATCAGGGGGTTACATATTTGCCGATACGTATACTAAAGCGATAGTACCTACCAATGGATGTTCATTCTCATCGGGCTTTGGGATAGTTTGGTAGTCATAGTCCGTAGTAGCCCTGGAGTGGCAGGGATCTACGGAGATATGACAGCCCGCGGAGAAGATGCAAACAGGCCAAACAGCACAACAACAGCTGGCCAGAACTTGACCCAACAATTCGATCGCGCTCCAACCAGCCCGCGGAGAACAACATCGAGCTCGGCCATCAATTCTCCAAAATGCGATTCACAGCCCTGGTACTCGGTCTCTTGGCCTACCTGGTGTCCTCCGTCACCGCAACCGCCCTCACCTACCGACTTGAGGCCAACGAGAAGGCCTGCTTCTACAAGTTCGTCGAGCAACGGAACACCAAAGTCGCATTTTACTTCGCTGTTAGTTCACGGAACCGTTATTTCGCACAATTGATAAATGTTGATTATGGGACATTTTTAGGTCCAATCCGGTGGCTCCTTCGATGTCGACTACGCTGTCGTTGGTCCCGGCGAGAAGCCCGTCCTGGACGGCACGAAGGAGCGCCAGGGCGACTTCGTCTTTACAGCCCAGAGCGTAGGCGAGTACCGGTTCTGCTTCAACAACGAGATGTCCACGTTCGCCGAGAAGATGGTTGACTTTGAGATCGCTGTACGCTCCACTTTCCCCCTTCCGTACCCCATTCTTGCAGAAGGCTGATTGAATACGTTTCCAGCTCGAGAACGAATCCCGCGCCGAGCTCCCCTCCCGCCAGGGCGCGAACCCCGAACAAGCCTCCGCAATCGAAGAGTCCATCTTCAAGCTTTCCGCCCAATTGTCCACCATCTCCCGTAACCAGAAGTACTTCCGGACGCGCGAGAACCGCAACTTTAGTACGGTGCGGTCAACGGAGCGCCGGATCTGGAACTTCAGTGTTATCGAGGGCCTGATGATGGTCTCGATGGCGGGACTGCAGGTTTTCATTGTTCGGTTCTTTTTCCAGGGCGCTAGGAAGGGTACGTATTCGAATTTCCCGGTTGGCCTGGTGGAATTGACAACGGAGGAGCTAACGTGCATTTTCAGGTTACGTGTGATGAGCGAGGACGACCTATAGTATATGATATGATTCCTGAACTGAATTGTGGCGTTTTCGTTGCGGTGCGTTGCGTCTGACTCTGCGTGCGTCTGTATCTGTATTCACGAAGCTTTCCTCTTGTGTCTATTAGAATCAATCATACTGCATCTCTGCATAAGTCTTGCTCTCCTTTATCCGGACAGGCTTGTCCGTCAATTACAAACCACATCATCGCTGCCGAACTTTTTAGACTTTTATGGTATTGTTGACATGGAAACGCTGACTCTGGAAGTGAAGGAATCGGAATGGGGATGAGCATAGGATAAAGAACGATTTCATTGATGCAGAGCCAGATGTGCTGGACTCAGCATTGCTGGTGACGAGCCCAGGTAAGACCTGCGCTAGCTAATATTTTGAAAGAGCAAGCAGCGTAATTCTACCGCCCCTCATTATCAGCGTCTAGTATATGATAATTATTCAATTGATATTTCTTGATCTAGATGGTCCCCTTCCTTGCGATGATGCCGCTGGCCTCCAGCAATGACGGCGGATCTGCTGAAGATTGTCTATGGCCTCCGGCATCCTCGAGCACCGCAATTGACCAACAATTTGGCTAAGTCAGTTCTCCCCATACTGTTGGTTGTAAATTTGCGCTCCCAAATAAAGACAGGTCCGTTTGTCGATTCCGCATACTCACACCCGGCAAGGTGAGTCGCTGCGACATCTTTCAAAGTGCGCCAATCTCCATTTACTCTCATCTGAATGACATGCCGTTCGCTCGTTATGTTCAAAACTAATGATATCGTACAGGTATATTAAATACAAAGTTCCTTCGTACACCTGACTTCTTGCAGACAGCATGACAAAGCTCGACCCGACTTAGACTCAACTTCGGCTTTTAGCCCCAGCCTCAAGGTCAAGATCAGTGACCGGTGTTTTAGGCTCAGATCCTTCCTCAGCAGCAGCAGCAACAGATTCGTTCTTTCTAGCAGCCCGCTCACCCATCTGCCTAACAAAAGCATCTGACTCGGCCGCAAACTGGCACCTCTTCCGAATCGCTGGACCATACTTTATGAAAAGAAGAGGGAGCGGGACGCAAGCAAGCGCCAAAAAAGCGGGGACACTTGATGCCCACCGGGTCCCGAGTTCATTGTACATCTGCGTCGTGAATAGAGGGAATGCAGCCCCAAACAGACTTCTCAGGACGGAATTCGCTGCGAGCACGGACGCCGCGTAGACGGTGTACGAGTCAACGAGGTAGTTCATGACGGAAAGGAAGACGAGCACGATTCCGAAGCCGAAGGGGACGATGGCGATGATAGGCACGATCCAGTGGATACTGGAGGGCGATGTTGTCCATGCAAACCAAAACAGACTGATGGGAATGGCGACGCTGCCAACAAAGCAGGGAGGTAACCGTGCTTCTGGAGGTGCGAAGCCACCGTGTCGCTGTTGTACGCGGATATAGCGCTTGTTGTCGAGGAGATTGTAGGCAATTGCCCCGAACATTCCAATCATCACGCCGAGGAAGGGCAGGCCTGCGAGTCCTAAGTTCCAGCCGCGATGGCGCTGGAATACGATAGGAAATGCGCCGAAGCAGAGGTATAGGGTGCCATAGAGGATGGCGATGTATATGGAGAGAAGCAGGACTATAGGCTCGCGGAAGAGTAGGATCCAGGGGCGGGAGAGCGCGGTCTTGAAAGCTTGCCCCAGGGTCTTATTGCCCTGTCCCTGGCCCTGTTCATAGACGCTTATATACACCTTGCCGGTGTGTTTCGACAGGCTCGCTGCTCGTTTCTGAAGGAGGACGGGACCGTACGTTTCGGGGACAAGAATCGAGCCGATGATCCAGACAGCCCCGGAAAATGCTGCTTGGAAGCCCATCACCCATCTCCAACCGGCATTCATTCCCACTGCCATGTTAGTTTTGCTCTGGTAAGGGAAGAGAGACCTTTACAGAAACCCCCAATAACAGGCCCTAACACCGGCCCCAAGAACGGGGCAGCTGCAAACATCGCCGAGGCCCGTCCACGCTCGCTAGCAGGGAACATATCCGCAATAACGCCGCCTGGTCAGTTATGGTTAGTACAAGTCCCGACAGATGGTAGATTGTAGGGCGTCGCTGACCAGCATTAGAAAGCGGCGAGCTCCCAATCGTGCCCGCAAAGAACCTCAAAATAAGGAGAGTCCAGACGTTCTGAGACCCAGCAACACCCGCATTAAATGCCGTAACCCCAGCATAACTCAAAAAGAACAAGATCTGGCGCCCGTACATCTCGCTCAGCGGCGCCCATAGCAATGGACCAATGGCAAAGCCAAGAACGAACAGCGACAGACCGAGCGTGCCGACCTCTGAGCTGACGTCGAACTCGTCCAGGATACTAGGAATGCCACCGCTGTAGGCTGAGCTCATCAAGGTCACAGCTAATGTTGCGAGCGCGACCAGCATGGTGTAGGACCACTTTCGCCATCTTGGCCATTGCATCGGGTCGCGAGGGTCGCCCTCGTCATTTTCGATCCAGTTTACGACATATGGCTCTTGTTCTGTGCCGGAGCCGGGGTAGCTGTGGGTGAGTATGCGGTCCGTCAGGACGCCTTGGTGGAGTATGAGGCGCCAATGGGGAATTCGTTCTCGTTCCTCTACTGCCATTGAATTTGGAAGTTGAGGAACAGTCCTCAGTCTGTTCGAGATACTGCGGCCAGCAGTTTTTATCTAGCACCCACCCCTCCTATTTATGGAGGGTGTCACAAGGAAAAGTATGGCCATCTATAGGTTACAGAGGAACGCGACGGGCGCCGAAACCTGGGGTTATGTACTCATGATAGGACGGAGTTAGGAGTGCATAACATACCTCCGAACGAAGAAAGCTTGCGTTGTGCATGCTGGCTCCCATGCCACCGGGGCTTGGTGGTTTCCGTTCCGACATAACCGAGACAACGCATGCCGGTCACCAGACAGGGCAGTGTTGAGCAAGAAGCAGCTGTGGTCTGACGCGATAATAGGCTCAAAGCGACTGTCGTTAGCTCAACGATAATTTCGGCGTAATTCGTTCGGCTCTTGTTACACAATGGCACAAGGAAAAAGCAACCTCTTTGAGCCGCAGTCGCTGGGGATGGAAACAGATCTGAAGAAGTAGATCGCATCTGGATAGCAATCGGCATGGTTGGTAACCCAAGCCCTTTGTTCTTTGACCGGGTTGTTGCTTAGGGTTAATCATATGACTTCCTGGTGGTAAGTTGCTCTTACGACTATTGGCGATTATCACCCACCAGAACTTCAATATGCCCAGCAGCTTACTGTCTTTACCTGATCCTTGCAGAAACGAACGAAATGCTTTCTAATGATGCCTGGAGAAGGTCCATACCGTGGCGGGAAGAAGAGTAGATAATCACATAGGTAGGAATAGGGTATATAAACGCCTTTAAGAATGTATTCCTTATAATCGAACAGAGTACTCCTACACTAACCGAAGTATATATATTTTGTTGATATCAATGCCTCGTATAGTTTAGCCACCTAGCATAGTCATAACGGCTAATTGGCAATCATGCCGTTCACTATGTCCACCAGTATTTGTCTTTGTATACTACTCAGCCCTACCTGCTTGAGATTAATATCCATCCACGAATGACATGACCCCTACTACCACGACACTGGCCTTTTCTGTTTAGATATGGAGAAAGTCCATAAGGTAGAACTGCTTCACCCCGAACCACTGCTATACCATACGTATAATATAGCAGAACAGCATCACATCAGGAACTACTCCATCCCAAGCTATTCCTAGGGTTACTACGCAGTGCAAAATAAAGTAATCCCAAAAAGTATCCAGAGGGTAAATCCCTGGACAAGTTCCTAAAATAGTGCGGACGGTTCAACTCCAGAAAAGAACCAAGAAAGCAAGACTACAGTGCTGGGTGATAGCTAGCCGCACTTCCCAGGTCAAGCGAACAACAAGCACTCTTGTCATCCGCAGCCAATCCCAATCCGTCATCGTACGTGGCTGACTGTCTCAACCGAGCCCAGAAGCCAGTGCCAGCTTTTAAGAGGGTGACGTTCATCCCCTGATTGATATCAGAGCCACCCACCTCAGTCGTCAACACATCGACTCTGGGGAAAGCAGGCCCTTTCCGAGCGGGTCATGCCCTAACCTACCTACTGGCTTGATGGCGAGCGGACCGCAACCGCGTGAAGTTGATAGGCCAACGTGTCAGTAAAGAGGAGAACCGGTACGTCAGACCAGAGGATCCTGAAAGCAGGGAACAACGGCGCTGCATGGACTGATCGCCGGCCCAGGTCCATATGCAATCATGGCCCCAGCTCGGCTGTGGTCTCCGACGCTGTCTTAGTTCATCTCGAAAACTGGGAAGGCAGTGGTGGTTCCCTTGAGAAAGAATGATTCCAGCCTTCTGCTTCTTACGGCGATCACGAGGAGGGCATGCAGGGCGGAGACGCCTATATTCGTCATACCCTATGATCATACCCTACCTGTAGGGCAGCTGGCTGTTCGGGTAGCCTCTCTCATCTCATGTCGTGTCATATCCCATTGGACATTGCCCTGGGGTTGGCGCTACTCTTGATACGACGTTGAGGCATACTCGAACCTAGCCAGCTCCTAGCTTACCAACTGACGCCAGAGCTTGCCATGTCCGCTTATCTGATCTCACCGTCAGGTCGCTAGGGAAGCCAATGACATCTTGTCCTACCAGGAAGCCTGCAAATTGATACAACCCTAACATTGACGGACGTAGTCTGATGCTAGTGGCAGATTGGTAAGTAATGGTAATCCTGGGGTCGTCGCCACCAGGAACTACGTAGGTGCATGGCCGGTTACATCACTTTGTTCGCCGCTGACATTCTCGCTTCGTTGGAGAACAACGGGGTTGATGAAGATCTCAGGACCAAAGTTATTATTTAGATCAAATATTTGTCTGATAGAAGTTCTTGGGCGAGTGAAGGCACTGGGTGGGAGGTGGCACTGCTGACAGTATCTACGGTACTCTATGCAGCAGATAAGTGTAGGGTTGATTGCTAGAGTAGTAGAGTAGAGGCCTCTAAACCAGGAGAACTTCCGTGAACTGGATACATTTTACAATCAACTAGATGACCCGATGGAGTTCCGAGTTCGGTTGGGGTGCTACTATCTATTTTATTAGGGCAACGTAGCACATCGCCTGAATCAGCAGGCGCTCATTCGCTCTGCCCACCAAATTATTCAGAAAAACGCTTACCCCGAAAGATATACTATGGTAATTGGTATTGGAGGCGAGAAGTGCTTATACGAAGATATCTCCACTACATCACAGGTTGTATGAAAGAGCACTGGTGCCCGGACGCATGGATCCTCAAACTGCCGGTGGTCATCCTCGCAGGCCTGGATTCCCCGTTCCTCCACCCCCAGATAAAGCAAAAGATCTATACTTGAGAAAGAGAATTGACATACCAAGGAACCGAGTAGCGGCCCTGATCATATCCCCATTATCGAGAGGTCGACGCCAAACCGCCAACTTCAGAAATGGTATGGCATAGCATGGCATCGGATGCCCGGTCCTACACCAACCACACGCCCGTCCTACAGATATTAGCCATTTTGAGGTGGCCCTGATCGAGCTGCCGCGGATGGTATACTCGTTGCACTTCTTCATACGGAAGGATAGGAATTGGGCTCGGTATGGATAGTTGAGAAAGGACTGGAGTAGCCAAGCGGTTGCGAAGAGTGTTGCTTGTATCGCGGATGCAGAATCGCTTCGCTTTGATTCGATTCTGAAAACGTTCTTTGGGAATGACTAGGCAGCGAGCCTAAAGCGATTGATTGGGTGATACCTTAGCTTATGACCTACAGAGGTGAGGACAACATAGTCAGCAGAGTATCATTGAATGCGAGAAGATAAGCAGGGACGAAATGTAGGCTTCGGGGTTGCCGTGATGCCATGCTATGGACCCCAGTCTGGTATAGACGTTCAAGACAGCGTAACAGAGGCCGGGCAGACAAGATGCTCAACTCTGAGAAGTCCCGTATTGACTCCCTCGTTTCTCCTGGTCGCCATTAACGCGGCCGTGCCGTCAACAAACAAATGACTGTGTATGACGCAAACGGGGTAAGAAACCGGCGGAGCAAGCCAACGAACCCGGTCTTCGCCTGCCCTAGCCTGCTCTCAGGTATGACAAGGCAGAGTATAGAAGGACAACAAACAGGACTAAAAGATAGTTCAGCTGTCAAAACAAGGTAGGGAGCCCCGAGCGACTACGGAGTAGGGCCACCTGCCAACTGGACTTAGCAGCGGAGCGTTGAAAATCAGGCGGAGAAAGGTTGTTTCCTTGTTTAGCGGAATCGATATCAGGTTCGAGATTGGAGAAGAGGACTGAGAGAATCCTTAGCAATTGTGTTGGGGTTGAGCATCGTTAACATTCAAGAGTAACTCTGCATTGACCTTATACCAGTGCTTGCTCAACCCGTGAGACCGGTACGGATACCAGTCTTTACCCGAGACTAAGGTAGCGTGGCGGAGACGCTCAGCTCCATTTTGGCCGTGCTCCACAGTCGTCATATCAATCAGTCAGAGCGGGAGGTTGGTCAGTGACCAAAACACCTGACGTTCGTCGAAGCGTTCGAGATTGCGGACAAGTGTCTAGACTACGAACCGTAGAAGGCGTAGTAAGGTACCTGGTAAAGAAGCTGTGACGCAGCTGGATTGCGGGATCAGCACAAGTGACATCAAGCTACTGCGTTGTGCTAACGGTGGACAGGGGCCGGGGATGGGGCTGGGCCTTATGACGAAGGCCTGGGGATGGCGATCACATCCTCCAGACTGAGCCGAAGTATAGAGCTTGACGCGGTACAGGGATTATCTCGTATAGACTATGAATTGTCCCATTAAGTGTTGTTGGAGTATAGCGACCTCGGGATGAGATTAGCTGCTGGAATGCTTTGCGATGGCAAAGGCAAGGCTGCGATGAGCATTGGGGAGCAGCTGAAGCTGACCATGACGAAGGCGAAAATCTGTCCAGCTAGATAAATGAATTGATCTGGGTTCAGGTATGAATCGCATTAACCAATCCAGTGGATGGTCAACCCCCGAGATCCTCTGAGTTGATACACTGAATCAGTCCGGTGCAATTCGGTCATGCATGACGCTGTAGCTGGCGAGAGACAATGGATATGTAGAGCTGAGGACAAGTGGGCGAATCTCGAACGGACGCAAGCTCAGAGTATCCACCTGCATACTTACAGACAGAGTAAGGTCAGGACTATCACTGCAGCAAGCCCTAGCAACGGGTAGACCCTTGACGTCTTTGTCCTCCGTATAACGGATCGGCTCTGCAGAGACTGTAGGGCTCACTCTGTACTCTGTCGGTTTCTCCCCGCCAGGGTCCAGCCATGACTTCATACTCTGTAGAGTAAGAGCCGATGACATACGCCCCCATCGTTCGTGTACTGTTCGTCGCCACTGTTCTCACCCCCAGCTCTGTGCTCTGATGGTCTCGATCTCCATTGATCTCAGCTCAACCCATCTCCATATTCTCCTTCACACCTCGGTCTGTTCAACTCCGAAGGACTTCCCCCGTTGTACTCCGTAGTATACATGCCGCCTGACGTCATTGCCTGAAACGGTAGTCGCCTCAGGCACGGACCCATCCCAAATCAATAGTGCGGATTCGACTCGTGCAGAGAGAGATCTCGGCTCTGACTTTTGAGTCTGACACTTGTCACAGCTCAATAGTGGCTCGGGGCTGACCACCGACGTCGTCTTCAGTACAGAGTGGCGAGTGGTAGAGCGACTGGAGACTCCCCCAGGTTCCATAGCAAGTTCTCCTCGGAACCCATTTCCTTCCCATAGAGTTCAGGGTGGATCTCGCATGATGGGCGCCGGAGTACGGCAGCGCAAGTGGCACATCCCAGGCACAGCTCCCGTGGTCTGCGACCGTTAGACTGCGGTCGTATGGCGGCGGAGATAGCTTCCAGTCGTGAGAACATACTCTGGAGTCATGACAACGCATGAGATTTGGAATGGGGAAGCGATGCAGTGCAGGATGCATTGTCGAATCGGATGCAGTCGTTCCTTGGGCTTATCGAGTAGCTCGGTGAAGTCATCCAGACTCCGCCGATGAAGCCATTGTGGGGGAGAGAATCTTAGGCTCAGGGACGGTGATGTCATGGGCCCGCCGCAGCCAATCAGCACGAGCGATCGCCATGTGGGTGCGCTGCGACTGATTTCATGAGGTTGGATCATCTTTGATTCCATCGCGTCTCTGCTTCATATAAGAGCGTCCGTCAATGCTCGAGGACTTTGTTTCATCTGCAACCTCGGACCTGCAATCTCACTGCTATCTGATTCTCGCTTCATCTACGCGAACCCGCCCACTGGTGTTTACTACTTCTCGTCTCAGGTAAGAAGAGAACATTGGTTCTGCCGTAGTCCCTGCCCCGGATTCACTACTGCCAGTGCACTCCCTTAACCCCCGGGGACAGGTCGGCCATGCGATTTCTAGGTTCCCACTGTCTCGAGTCAATCCGCCACACGACGATACCTGACGACGAGCCAAAGCTGATATCAACACCGATCACTGACATGCCACAGAGCCCCGTCTCAAGATGCCCTCCGCAAGCGCAGACACAGCCTCCATCTCTCCCAACGAGCAGCCTGGCCGTCCTCCCGGTACCTCCACCATGAATGCCAACTCCAGCGTCATCCACCCCGGGCAGCCAGACAACGCCAACTTCCACTCTCGCCGCTCCTCCCAGTCCACCGTCGAAGACTACTCGCGCGTCATGCTCGAGTACACCCAGCGCCGCATGGCCGGGTTCGCGGAAGTCCCTGGCGCCGACAACGACCGGGGCTCCTCCACCAGCCACAGCAGCAGAAGTAGTAACACCAGCGGCCAGAGCGGCACTTCGACGAGTGGCATCCTAGCGGGACAGGCTGCCGGCCCTCCGCCTGCGAACCCCAAGATCCGCCACGCAGAGTACGACGACGATGCCGCTGTGGACGGAGTATAGGCGGCACTGTACTGGATACATTATGCTGCCCACGATTTCAGCGGTCTTGATTGATTTGATTTGCGTTCGTGGAGTACAAAGGTCACGACACGACATTGACCGGCAGGCAGGCGTGATTGCAGTGCGACTCGACCTCGGCCTGATCAAAATTCTTTCCCCTTGAGCGTTCCATAGCGATAGCGAAGCGACTGCGACAGTCAACTACAATGGCAATTGACAATTCACCTGATCCATTAGCACTAGCAACCCGACCAGAGCGACGCTTTCACGCCTGCCTCCCGTGGCCTTTCGTACTTCCAGCCCCACGATTATCCTTTCTTTCTCTTTACCCCCGTTTACATGCGGTAGCAGCGACAACGACATCCCTTCCTTTGCATGTCCTGCCTTACCTGCTTAACTGCTCTGGTTGATAGTCGATAGACGAGCCAACAGAAGATTTATACCTTAACACCCACCTACTCACCTGATGACTACTGTTCCAAGTGCGATACCCTGTTCGATAGTTTGTTTTCTTCTGCCATGGTTTGTCACGATGTGATGATCTGTTATGTTATGCTCGCTTGCTGGCCAATGCAATGGATCTGGTTCTGGTACTGCTCAGATGAAGTAAATCTCTAATCTCTGACTTATACTTGGACTCTGTTAGACTGTCTAGTTTCGTTCATTCTGTTGTATTGGTCGAGCAAGCATGGCAAGCATATCATAGCAGCGTATCTACACCTACCTAGCTAGTAAATCCTCGGTAACTGTACAATTCTGTACTGCTATGCTCTGCCGGCCGGGCTTGAGCAGTCCAGCTCGTTCTATGGGACTGGAATGAATAGTTTCCAAGGTTCCTGAGACCATAACGCGAGTTAGGTCAACTTAGTTCTGCAAATGCAAATTTGCTTTTCACATGAAGTGGAAGCAGGTTATGCAAGTTTTGCCCGGATGAATTGTCTATCTGGAGATGTCACGGATCTCTGAGGTCATGGCAATTCCCCAATGCCTTGATGGCTTCGTTTGTGTTGGCACCAGGTAGGTTCTTGTCGTAGTACATCTAGGGTCCTCGATGAACCTGCCAGCCTTGGAATATATCATCCCTGCCATTCTGATGGGCGCCATCCATCGGGCTCTGGCAAATACCCTGGGTTCGGCATTTTATTTCGTTGGTTCTCTTCTGGGCCTTTCGCGTTCTCCTCTGCTCTTTTCTCTCTTGCTCTCTTGTCTTGCCCTCTTTCCCTCTTGTCCTCTTCCAAACTTCCACTCGCTCAAAAGCTATACCAGCCGATCCAACCCAATCCACTCCTTTAACAAACCACACTCATTGCTCTGAGGATGCATTTCCCCTCCCTCTCTCCTTAACCTCAAGCACAACCGGCATCCCCTTCAGCACACCCATCAGCGAACCAACCCCAACCCCCAACACATCCTCCCTGAACCCCCCACCTCCAAACCAAACCAAGCAACAACCTCACAATCCCCCATCCACGCCATCGCAACGCAGCTAGCTAGCACCCGACGCCCCGGCATCCCTCGATCCAACGTGCCCACTAAGCCACTTTTCAAAACAATGCTGCACGCGCTAGCGGGCTCGCAGAGAATTCATGGACGAGAAGGCTTTGGGCGGCCTGCTGCCTTGGGTGCAGGGGGTGAAGGCCAGCAGTGCTGTGGGTTCCAGTGTGCGTCTTCCTTTGGAAGGTGCGTTTGTGATCCATATCCATATTTGGAGGATGGAGTAAATGGGATGGGGACTAATTGGGTTTGATCCGGGGAACAGGTGAAGTGATGGTCTCGCTGAGCCTAGCATCCACTGTCTGGATAGTGTGATATGTTGTTCTGATGATGCGGGCGGTGGTAGGTACGTCTATCCTACGGCCTGAGGGAGTGAAAGTGGCTGATCAGGGTTGTGTAACAGGCCGGCCGGCGCCGACTCCCACTTCAAGAGCGGGTGTATCCCTTTCGACACGGCGATCGAGGAGAAGAAGGAAGCGATTGAGAAGAGTGAGGCCGCGGCGACCTAGCTCGCTGCTCCTACCTGAGTTCTGCTGTGAGTGCGACGCCCACGGCGGTGGCAGCGGCAGCGGCATCTTCTAAGCTCAACTAGGATCTGGAGCTTTGGTCAGGTGTTCAAAGGGAGTTTTGGTGTTGGAGTTGGCCTGGTGGTGGCGGACGGGTCTAGGTACTTGGCTCCAGTCGGCCTAGGTGGTACCAGTGAGCTAAATTATTGTTGATTTCGACTTCGTATATCTTGCTTGGGATAACTGTTTCGTTTTTCGACGGCCTTGCCGTCGGCGGCCGTTTTTACTATCTCATTAGATAGCTATTGAATAGAATCTTCTTTGACTATCGTACATAAACTGTGAATATGTGGTTACCGCCATCCGCGTCCAGACGGCGGTGGCGGCGGCGGATGCTGATTCCAGCCTCTTCCACCAGGCGGATAACCATATGAGCCCGGCGGGGGCGGAGGCAGAGGTGCACCGGGTTGCATCTGATGCATATGCTGGAATGGAGGCGGAAAGTTGGGCATTTGCGGCGGAGGCGGCGGAGGCCATGCGCCCTGGTAATTTGGAGGCGGCGGAGGGGGGAATGCGTTTGGCGCGGGAGGGTAATGCATCTGGTGAGGTTGATGTTGTGGAGGGTATGGTGGCGGTGGCGGTGGCTGGTTGTAGGGGTTATGTTGCGGGGGCGGGTGCTGCGGGTGGCTTTGGGTTTGTGCGGGGGCAGGAGCTGGCGGCGCCGGTGAGTACGACCGGCTTCGCGAGCGAGAACGCGAGTCGTAACGACCTCGTCGCGGCGACCGTGACCGTGACCGGCTCCGGGAGCTGCGGTATCTGCTGTCGTCGCTTGCGCTGCTGTAGCGTCTGCGCTTTGGAGGGCTGCGGCTGCGGCTGCGGCTGCGGCTTGCGCTTCTGTCGCGTGCGTTTCTCTTCTTCATCTGCTGACAGAAAGACCGAGACCAGCCGTAGTATGTCTCGCCTTCTAGGATATCACCTGTAATCTCATCGCGAATCACCCTCTGGCCCAGTTCGTCAATGTCCACAATCTCCCCGTCTTTCTGATCCGAACTGCCTGGACTGTAGATCCGATCGACGTCTGCGAGGAACACCTTCAGCGCCGACACCAGTTTCCCGTCTGCCGGGCCCGCCACAAAATGCAGTGGTTTGATCATGTCCGGCTGGAGTGGAACTGTCGAGTTGGGGATGATATGCGGGATGAGATTCCCCGCCGGGAGATCATAGTACGGGGTTGACGGGTCTCCATGGGTAGACGGCATGACATACGGCCCGTCTCGCGCCTTGCGATCTGGCTCTATGCTCTCCGCACCGGGCGTATTGGACGACGTCGTAACCGGCCCCGAAACGGCCGAATTGGCAACCACCTCGCGAAGCTTCCCCACATAGTCGGCGCCAAAATACCCATGTTCCTGCCAAATATCCAACAACTCGCTCAACCTCCGATGATGCTTAGGATTCTTCTCACGATCGTAGCACGCAGCGTAACTCAGCAACTCGACCATATGCGGCTGCAGCGACCCACAAAGCGCCGAGAACGCCGCAGTCGACGACGCGTGATATTTCGTGTGGTGGAAGAGATCGTTCAGGAGGTACAGGATGTGCAATCGTTTCCGTTTCGCTGACGGGCGAACCGCTTGCTTCTCTTTCTCCTTCCCATCCGACCCGGTATCCAGCGAGCCCGACAATACAACCAAATACTTTGCCAACAGGGCAACCCGGTTCGACGACGCGACCACGTACTCGAGAAGCCACGCCTTGCATCTCTGTTCGGTTCGAGCAAAGGAGTTTAGTACTTGTTTCGCTTTCCGGCCGTCGAGGAACGCGCAGGAGCAGATCAAACCTGGATGTTTGCGGGCGAGCAGTGCGACAGTGCTCGGTCGAGTGTAGAATGGAGGGCTGTGATTTCGTCGCGAGGGACGGATGTTGGGTCTGGCCTGAGCAGGCCGGCGGCTAGCGAGGCCTTGGCTATGGCGACTTGGTGGGAGGCCATGCTGGGGCGATTGCGGTGGTGTTGTTTGTACTTGGAGAGAGCTCCAGAGTTCAAGGCACAAGCTGCAGTGGTGGTACGGTTGATCGACGTCACGTGAAGCTCTCTGGGTCATACAGCATGCCGCTAATGCTGACTCAGATGCTGGGCATAACCCGGCGGCACAACTTTAGGGGTCATGCACTGGACATTCATCCTTGCGCAATGATTGACAAAAGGACTTACAATAATCCTCAATTCTACCAATATAAGCTATATCCAAGTGCAATCACTAATCTATTTAGTCTCAATCTTGCAGAGCACTGATGAACTGATGAGCCCAGTCATCAGTGAGGAGAACCAGTTTTGCTTGGACATTGGAAATAAACGGCTTGAAGATGATCACGGACAAGACATATCATTATTCGTCATGCACATATCATTCCTCATCACCAGTCTACGAACCAAAGACCGGCCCATCCCGCGCATAGAATTCAGCCACATCATCGACCAGCTCCTGCGGCCTCTCCCACGCAGCAAAGTGTCCGCCGCTGCTATGTTGTCTCCAGAATTTGATGTTACAGTTCTCTTCCATCCACTCGCGCGGGGATATCCAGAGCTGACACGCAATTAGCAAGAGCGCCTTTTCATGGGGGTAGCCTGGGGCTGTAATAAAGCGTACTCACCTCCTTCGGAAACACCGACCCCCCAACGGGCTGCTTAATGTACCGCCCGAGCATACTGTTCGGATTCTCATTCAGCACCGCCGCAGCCTCCTTATATATCTGCATTGCGGCGCTCGGACTGCCTTGGTAGTGGATAAGCACCCAGTGGATGAGCTCGTCAGGTGTCCAGGGGTATCTGTCCGTCCAGGCGTGGAGTTTGCCGACGAACCACGCAAGCAGCGCAACTGGAGAGTCGTGGAATGCGTAGCCGAGTGTTACGGGCTTTGTCTCTTGAATGCGCTGGTACCCTCTCTGCAAATGCGCGTAAGTAAATAGAAGTAGTGTATAGTGAGAGATGGCTTACCTCGTTGGTCGCGAACCACTCAGTCCGCTCCATGTTCTTCTGTTCTTGCTCGCTATACTCGCTTTTAGGCTTCTCTTTGAGATGGTCCGGTGGCAGCGCGAGGAACATGTTGATGTGGATGGCTTGGACGGATTCAGGGAAGTTGAGGGCCATGTACCGCACGATCGAAGAGCCCCAGTCGCCGCCCTAAAAGATCAGCAAGCATTCACATACAAAAAAACTGGACTTGAGCATTTACCTGGCAGACATATTTCTCATAGCCCAGTTTCTTCATCAACCCAGCAAAGCACTCCGCATGCTGCTTGAGAGCGAATCCGCGCTTCTTGGAGTACGAGCTGAACCCATATCCGGGAAGCGAAGGAGCCACAACATGGAAAGCCTGCTTGGTGCTATCTCCTGGCTCCGTCAAGAGCGGGATGATCTTGAGCGCTTCGAAGAATGAGCCGGGCCTGGACGGTGATCAGTATCTGACACCGATACACAGACGAGGCAAGAATCGGAAAGGAGAAGCAAAAACATACCACCCATGAACGAAAAGCAATGGAACCGCATCCTTCCTGGATGAGCGATGATGAAGGAAATGTAAATCAATGTCCTCAAACCCTTGTACTGAAACTGGGGTCTTGAAATGGTGGAATGTGTTGAGAAATGCTTCGTATTTGCGCCAGTCGTACTCATCGCGCCAGTATTCTACTAGCTGTTTGAGAGACTCATGTCCGATCTCCAGGTCGTTCCATTCGACCTCGCCCATGCCGTCGTCCAGACGGGCATAGCGCAGCTTGATCTTGATCTCTTCAAGAAGGGAGTCGGGGAGGTGTACCTAGTTTGTTAGTCAGGGTGTAGGCTAAAGGTTGATGACTTACAGTAAATGGGGTAACATCAGCCATGGTCGTAGGAATGCTTTTCTCAGGGGCAAGTGTGTTGATTGAATTTCGCTCCTTATAGTGGCGATGACAAAGGAACCATGGGCGGATGATGTACTTCGCACGTAGCTTGAGTGGGACCAGACACTTGCTCTTCATTCATTGGAGTTAAATACAGTCTAGTATGTCCACGCTTGCTCCTTCCTCGCAGCTTGTCCTATCACCTTCCATATATTCTCCTCAATCTGCGTCCCTCTAACAACAACGCCATCAGCACTCCGCATCCCAATCAAGAACATCCGGCCAAATCCATCTATACCCACCCTTATACTTTCCTTCAGCCTTTTCTTCCGTCTTTTCGTCCGTCTGCGAAATGGCCTGCGAAATGGCAGAGCGCCAAAGAAGCTTGCGCTTCAGCTGACCATGCAGATCGCGCTCCATCCCATTCACGACGCCATCAGCCAAACCCTCCAGTGAAAAGTGATAGGCGGTATTAATCTCCGTGATAAGGCGCTCGAATATATCGAGCATGCGGTCTACATGGATTGCACGAGGTTCCCCGGCGAGCCGAGCGGCGGGGGTGGGCTTGTTGCTGTTGAAGAAATGGGACAGCGCAAGACGGTACAGTCTGAAGTTGAGGAACATCCATGGGGATGAGAGATCAAGAGGCGGTGTCACGCTCAGGTGTCGGACATTGCGCAGTCGACAGAAAGGCAACATGACGACTTCATGGTTATACAGTGTGCGGCGGAATCCGAAATGGAATTTGGTCTCGCTTACTAGCTTCTCGAGCCAGGGAGGACTAGAATCAGGCAAAGGCTTGCGAAGGTTGAGGCTGATTCGACCCCGGCCAGAAATCCTGCAACCGTGCCAGCCTGTGCTCTTGGATTCGTTATCTCCTGGTCCATTGGGGTCCTTGGAGTGCAACATGAGAACCAGGCTTTCGACCGATCCCACTCGTCCAAGCATGTCAACGAGTTTATTTATCCTGTCCCAGAGAATTATCAGTCCCGCTTTCGCGCTAGCGGGTTCATTTCCGCTGCGTTGTTCGTCTGGAAAACTAGTTGCTGGAGGCGCGTAGATATGGATGGTCGTCTGTGCAAGGCCGAAAGGGAGGCGTGAAATCCACTCGCAGACAGCACCAGCGCCGTCAAAGTCGAAGAGTTCCCGACGTAGGGAGACCCCAGGGATACGGATGCGGCCACCGCGTGCGTCTGCCAGCGGGCGAATGTCGATCTCGATCTGGCGGGCTTTGAAAATGTCTGGATTTTCGTAAAGTGCAGCCTGGCAGTCGGACTCTGAGTCAAAGAACTGCTCAGCTGCAGGCGCTGACTTTGTATTGTCTCCGAACAACGTCTCCAATCGAACATTCAGTAGGATCAATAGAAGGATAACGTGAAGAAGAACGGACCAAGTAAGAAAGCCTTTGAGGAAGTAGTCCATTCGGTTAGATAACCGGGTGGCGCAAGTAAGAAAGCATTTGAAGTAACCCATTGGGTTCGACATGGCTGTGGTGGAGGAAGTAAACGGCGAAGAAAGCAGAACCGGTTGGATCAGGTATGATGAGAAAACAGAAGGGAAGAATAAGAAGGACGAGAGAAAAGACTGACAATATATCCTAGGTAGATCAAAGTCCTTTTGTCTTATTGAGGCTACTTAGCAGGGTAGATATATCAAAGGTATGTATATGGATGTTTGCTTGAGACTGAAAGGACTATGATGGCTGGCCCAGTCACCAAAAGAGACACCGACTGGTCAAAGAAGAGCAAACATTCTCAATGGAAGGGCTAGTGCACCCCAAAGCTGGACTTCTTTCTACATCGTGCATAGGGTACACTTTGATATTGTGTCTAAAGACGCATAGAATACCCAGGCACCAGGAGCCGCCCGCGCCAGGCAGAGCCATCTCACAGACCTACAGTATGACCAAGCCGGCTTCATCTGGAGGTTCTCTGTATGCACGGAGTGAACCATGAGTCCAAGGAAGAGAAGCAAGGTGGGTTGAGGTTATCCTAGATGTGGTACGGACTGGACAGAAGGATATGCCAATTTGTTATTTGATGACTTCCTCCGTCTCCTCTTGTAGTAGTGCATATCTGAGCCTACCCAAGATGAAGAAGAAGTACTGACACTAACTCAAAAATATGAAACGCAACATATGAAAAAGGGAAGAAATGAGGCCTGGAAAAGAAAAGAAATGTCGATGGCCAGATAGACAGAGTGGACCACTCGTCTCTTTGGTTTCTCACCAACTCAACCTCAATGATTCTGAACATCGCTATCCAAACCAAGCACAAAACCAGGCCAAGTCCACTGAACGCCATCACCATACTGCGCATCGAGATCCATCGAGAGACGAAGGTACTCCGGTTCCAAAAAATGCTCGCAGCGCCACTTGCGCCCGGACTCGCCTTGGTCGATCATATCCATCGCAGAGCGGTAGAAGACCTCCGTTTCCGCGATAAAGAGGGGGAGGATTCGCAGGACTTTTTTGACTTCAGTAGAACGGGGATGGGCAGGGTTGTTGAAAAAGTGACGCATCGCGACGCGGTGGAAGGACCAGTCCAGCCCTCCTGCGTCGCCATCTAGATCAACTCGCTCATTGCTGGAGACCGAGACGCCGGCGAACGTCACGTCCAGGCGTGTAACATTATCCACCAATTCGCAAAAGGGTAGGAAGACGACCTCGTGATCGAACATCTCGCGGTGGGCTGGGACCAGGAACTTGGCTATGCCCTTGAGCGTGCTGTTCGTGGTGATGGTATACCAGGGATCCTGATTCTTCTGCAGGCTGACGCGGGGCTGGTTGTTGATGACCCATCCTGATGGCAGGCCATTGCGGTTGAGGTCGTCGGACGGGCAGAAGTTGACGATGAGGTTCTCGATATTCTTTACCTTTGACAAGATATTGACGAGCTCGCGGAGGCGGGTCCAGAGGGAGAGTAATCCGCGGGTAGCCTTCTCAGGATCTGACGTTTGCGAGAGACAAGATGGGTAGATGTTGACGATTATGCTGCGGGCAAAAGGGTAGTGGAGGCCCTTGATCCAGGTGTGCATCTTCCCAGTCTTTGGATCAAAGACTGGCTCGTCAACACCGAGCTCCGGAATGCGGATGCGGGGACAATAAAGGCCGGACTTGTCGGGGTGGAAGTCGAATTCGATGGTTAGGCCCTTGTAGAGCATCTTCACGGCTTTGATGTAGACTCCATCGATTGCGCTGAGGATGGCAAGCGGGTCTGGGGCAGCACAAAGCCAAAAAAGCAGGAAATCAGCGAGGCGAAGGACCAGGCTTTCCTCTGTAATATGAGGAGGAGACCGAGGTTGAGGCTTTGGGGAGCTGAGGACCATGGCACAGAGCTCGGGGGAGAGCTTGGAGCGAGGTCCGAGACCACGATCGATATTACGAGGACGCTGGGCGAGGAACGCGATGGACTGCTGCTGTTAGCGAGATATGGCTCTGGTCGTCGGGGGATTGGGGACCTGCCTGGAGCCAGACAACCCCGGCCTGGGAGAGAAGACCAAACAGATAGACCAGAGTACTCGAGAAAGCGCGACAGATGCCGATACTCAGCAGGATGAGCACGGCAAAGACAAGCCACAAGCAGGGCAGCATGATGGCGGAAGAGGAGACGGAGCAAACAAGTGAGGATGGTGGATAGAACCTTGGGAAATGCAGTGATGAAAGAACTTGGATTAAAGCTAGAGAGGATGAAGGGGGAAAGAAAACGGAGATTGAAATCAGGCAGAGAAATCGAATAAATAGTCAGAAGCGCAGCATGCGCTGCTGTGAAGGAGTCTGCCACAGTCTGCCCGCTGCATTCGCTGGGGCATCCGCTGCTGCGGTCACGGGCACTTAGGGCTAGCGGCCTTCCACCCTGATGAACGCTTCCCTGCAGGAAAACAAATCAATCCAAAGATATCATTTCGCTTTGACTAGATTCAGTTAAATGGTTATAACTAGATTAATCTCCTTCGACGTTCTAAGAATTTGGTATTGCCATCCTAGTGCTGGAATAGACTGCCCATCTTACCTAGATCAATCTCGGCCATGGTATGCATGGTAGAAGCACATATATAACCCAGCATAGGAGATATCACAGATTCTTTTTCCGATACATTTCGTCAGACAGAGAATCGAGCTCGTTCCTATCGTTCCCTCGTCGCCGAGATGGCGGCCTATTCGTCAAGTACCATTGTAGGTAGGATCGCTGGTACACAACCATCAAGGGGCTGTCTTCTGCTGCATACTGTACAAGTCTTGAATAAACCAGCACACATGGATACGCCCCCTCATTATGCAAGATGCGGCCGCACTCGAGGTCTCGTCTCTCTTCCCTCCAGCATATTCATCAACCGTAACATCGAGTCCATCGCCGCGCGCGCCCCATTCTCCGCCGTATTATGTATGCGGCCCTGGATTTCTGCGTGAAGCCCGGATTATCTATACAAGAACACCCTGATCCCCTTGTGCTCATACTCAACTGGCTGGCTGGCAGTATCCATGTGGAGCGCCTTACTGGCGCGGTAATCGTGGATGGGGGAGGACAGTCCATGATGGAACCGGGTGGAAGAAGGACAAACCATTACCTCCGGCGACGAGGACAAGAGTTCTGGCGGCCGCCATCATTTTTAGATGGCGGTCTATAGGCATTCCTGGCTAGCCTGGACTCGTGTGTCTGTCCATTTATCGCCAATTGTCACCGTCACCCTGGCCAGGGGCCTTGCAGTGCCACATTGCGCTATCTTTTTAGCCTGTCACAGTGGCACCAACTAGGCCTCGACCAAGTGTGATCCCTGATTCTTTGGTTCCTTTGCCCTGATTTCGGACGTTGCCATTTGGCTGACGATGGATTATGTGGCCCCGACCAAGGCAATTGCCCCTTACAAGGAGTAGATAGAATGGCTGGAGATGGACAGTGCGTCGCAGATAGTATATGCAAGTGCAGTATTTAATGAATAGAGTTTCATCGCCAGAGAAGTTGCCCCGAATGGCTTAGACCTTGGGCAATCTTTACGGACATTAGCAGGTTTCAGACTGAGAAGCATTGAAGAAAGTACCTAGGTAACCCTTGACGGATATAACCAAGATCGGTGTTGACACCAGAGGGGCCAGCGGGACATCCACTAAACCTGCCTTATACAAGAAGTCTCATAGGGCCTATACAACTCAGTCCTAGGACAACTCAGCTTAGAACTGACTACCCCATCCAGAGTACATTTGAAAGAGACAAAGAGCCAGACACGTTGCCACGTTCGTACATAATACCGCTATGATGCATACTGGATCAGCCATCTATTTATTCTTTCATTTCGTCCACCTCACTCTCTTCATCTTCGTCCTGCACCCCAACGCGCGTTTCATCCAGAGCAAAAACAAAATCAGGCCAGGTCCACTTCATTCCTTCCGGAAGCTTCTCCGTCTCGCTCGGATCCTCCACCCGCTGAGCCCGCGCCTTTGCAGAGTTTGGCCTCCAGAGACTTTCCCTTCTGATCTCATGGCGCAATGTAGAGGAGGAGTTGCGCACAGCATACTGGTTAAAGAGATTCGTTTCGGCGATGAGACGGGGGAAGACTTTGAGGACTAGCTCGGCGCGTTTGGAGGGCACACCTCCAGGCGCGTGAAAGAGGTGGCGGAGGGCGATGCGGTGGAATGTCCAGTCCAGGTACTTTGCTTCACTGTCAGGCGTGCATGCGGCGATGTTAAAGTCGGCGCCTGCATAGGTCACGCTCATGTTCTGGACATGGCCCGCCAGCCGAAAAAATGGCAGGAAGAGAACTTCATGGTCGTACATCTCACGCTCAATATCGATCTTCATCCGGGTAATGAACGCCTTGGTTGAACAATGCTCAGGTCGGGACAGTCTTTGCACACTGACCCGGCCTTGTTTCTTGCCTAGATCAACCCATCCTGACCTCTCACTAACAGGGCGGCAGAATGAGAGAGTGAGGCTTCGCAATGTCTTTGCTCGGACCAGTGCGTTGACGATTTTGTTGATGCGGTCCCACAGCAGAACCAATCCGGGGCCAGCATTTTCGCCTTGACGAGTCGTGGTGTCAAACTCGGGTGGGTAGACGTTGACAGTTATACTGGGCGCATTGGCGTAGGGGAGGTCGCGGATCATTTCGCGTATGCTGTCACCGGCTGGACGAAGAGCGCATTCGAAGATGGTCTCCGCGAAGTTGAGTTCACGAATGCGGACATAGGGGCTATCTGTCGTGGTATTGTTTGTAACCGGGCGAATGAAGAACTCAATGTTGAGCTTTCTGTAAAGCTCGTAGCTTGCTTCATTGTATATTGCCTTGCTCGTACGAAGGATGGCAAAAGGATCGGGGTTGGGGTCAGAGTCAACTCCAGCTTCAGGTTCCGGATTGGGCGTAATCCCGAGTCGCTCACGCTGCTTCTGCTCGATGAAGAGGACAAAAAGGGGGTCCGAGGCGCCATCAGGGTGCTCAGAATCGGACGACGTCTCGTTTTCATGGGAGGTGCGTTGAGACCCAAGTGAAGGCACCAGGTAGTTATAGACCATGATGCGCAGTTCGGCGGGGAGCTTGGAGAGGTCACCAAGAACATTGGAACCAGACTGGACGGGGGGCATCTTGATGCTGTGGCATTGTATTAGCAATACTTGTCCTCAGAAGTAGGGTGCTGAGCTCCTTGCCTTGTGAAAGCAGACGGAAAGGAAAGGGAAAAAGTAACCTAAGAACGGTATGAAGAGGCGAGCAGATAGACGAAAGTACAAACAGATTCAGCAAGTTCAAAGCGATAGCAGGACAAGTAAGGCGAGGCAGGACAATATCACAAACAAGATGGCATACGCTGCGCTCAAAAGAGAGTGTTGACAAGCGATGGGAAAGTTAAGGAAAAGGGAGAAATCAAACAGAGGGAGGATGGCAATAAAAAGAGCAGACGAGATGGGCGAAAGAGGGACAAGGCCATGAAATCCAGCGAGAGAGAAGACCAAAGTGAATGCAACCCACACCACGCACAGTGGCCATGGCAGAACATGCATTTTCAGCAGGACAACAGGACAAGAGAAAACCACCGGATTCCACTGTCAAACTTCTACTGAATGAACCAGGTGCTGGTAGATTGTGCTTTCCCTGCAGCCTTTGTTGCCCAGCTCCTGCCTTTCGAGTGAGTCTACTCAGATGCTACGCCCTCCTCAGTCCCTCCCAATCAACACTGGGCCCCGTGAACATCTTCCGTCCACTAACCACCCAGAACAATACAATGATCCCGAAAATCCCTACCACAACAGCAGGGGTATAGTTTGCTGATTCCACGCTCACAGGAAGGCGGGGCGGGAAGCAGACGAAGACACCCAGGACGATGATCCAGAGAATCGAGAAGGCGTTGCAGAAAGTACCGAGGAGGCCGAGATCAAGGTATCGGTGTGGTAGGATGCTGCTATTCTCCATGCTGCTAGTTGTCTGGGCGAGGAGCAGGCGTAGACGGTCAACTAGGAGGATCCCCTGCGGTGCGGCATAGGTGATGTTCAAGAACAAGACAGCGGAGGTGATGATACTGTTGAATGCGGTTGTTGATGCGAGATACAGGAGGCCATAAAGGAGGACGAAGACGAGCGCGGCGGTCGTGGTCCTGACAGGGAATTGCAGCCGGGGATTTATGGTGCTGAAGTAGGGCGAGAAGGGCGTGCCGTTCTTTTAAACATTTGTCAGATGGCTTGGTTGGTTTTTTATGGAAAGGAGCGAGGGGGACATACATCTCTTGCAAACGCCCACGCAATCCGGCCGCTTGTTACCCATTGCGAGGGGAGGCATGCTGTTTAAACTTAGCCAGCAGGCTTGAGATAAATGGGGTATATATGGGAACGTACAGATATAGACGATGAGTATCCACGTAATGAGGAACATGGTGACTGTTCTGCTGCCCGTTCTACACAGCACTCTCGTTAGCTCTGCCTAGCATTTTCCTTAACCTTGAGCGAGGACTCACGCCTGGTAAAGGAGCTCCGCACTCGGAAGTTGCGAATTGACAATCGCCGCCGTATCCGTTGAAAACAACAAAAGAGCAATAAACAGTGGCAGCGTCGTCACGAGACCAATTAGCAGCGTCGACATGATGATTTGGGGTACACGTCGGCCGGGGTTCACCATTTCTTCGGCGATGTGGAGGGCTAGATTGTCATCAGAAATCGCCCTGAACAGTACATGAGGGGCATAGCAGATAGGGTTCTAACCTCCATCCGTCCCGCCAAACGCATACATGGCGTTACAGATCCCCAGCATCCAGGATACTCCAGGTCCCCAGCCCGTTTCGATGCCGGTACCTGGGCTAACGAGGAATGATCCAGGCCGGACGTACTCTTGCATACCGACTGGAATGAAGAGGGTTATCGTCACGCCAACAACGGACATGAGGAGGGTAATTTGACAGATAAACGCCACTTTCTTGGACGCGACGAAGACAGGAATGACTGCGCAATATTAGCTGGGAGTATTGCACTGGGAGATGTAAACTCGCTCGTAATGACCGCTACCGCCACGAAGAACAGATAGATCTGCCACTGCGTTGCCGTGAAGCTCGGGTTGAAGAAATTGATAATGCCTGCTAAGGTCGTTGCGACGAGGGCTATACCGGATGACCTAGGTATATGTTAGTTGTCGATAAGGCCACCGCAGACCGAGAAGAAGAGTGAAGCATACGTAGTAATCCACCAAGCAACAACAGACATCCACCCAATAACATAGCCCGCAAATTTCCTCGACTCTTTCGGGGCAAGTAAAAAGCAAAAGTGATATTGGCCTCCGGATGAAGGAAACGCAGATCCTATCTCCGCGAGTCCGATACTAATAATCGACTGCGCTGAAAAGGCGAGTACGAGCCCGACTATCACCAGTCGCGGGCCGCCGTAGGCCATATTTTGGCCGAAATTGCTCTGCATCGCATGGTCAGAGGGTGATAACCCTGTGGGCACGCAGGGCATTTGGTAGGTAGTAGACGCACCAAGTATCCGACCCATGAGTTCGTAATGGAGAACGCGAGCCCCAGTGCGGAGAGCCAGTTGAACTGCCGACGGAGCTCAGGCTTATGGCCGTTTGCGCGGAGAACGAGGTCGTCTGCGTTGATGGTGCCGGCTCGTGCCTCTTCAAGTCTGCTGGTGGCCATGTATTGGTCCCCGCAGGTGTGGCTAGGTTGGTTCGGTGTGTCCCCTGCTTCCAGTGCTTTGGCAGCCATTGCTCAGTCAGTACGGGCGTGAAATTACTGGTCTGGGCCTGCTTCCGTGCTGCTCAACGATCTTTATATCGACTGCCTGCCGCTCCGCGCCGTCCTACGGCATATGCAGAAGCGGGGGACGACGCAAGGGGGTGTAGGGGTTGTTGTGCAACAGCCGCGATGTGTGATCATACCTTGATTTCTCGAACTCAATAGTGGCTCCATTGGCAGGATGTAGCTTGCGGGATACGGATTATCGCCGGCGTGAGTTCCACCTCCCAGCTACGTCGGTAGGGCTAGAGATTGTAGCCGTGCGTGAGTCGAAAGCATCACAGCTTCGGTGAGATCTGCTCTGTTTTAAGCATCCGTAGAGTGTAGCGCAAAATTAGGATGGATAGGCGAGGCAAGGAGTCCCTGGTCATCGGCCCTGAAGAGTAGGGCCATGTCGCGCTTCGACGACCGGTGAGCGTTTCCATCCCAGGGATGCTCCAGCTTGAGCTCGCTTGCAAGACTCCCCAAACTGGTGATAGTCTCAACCATGCATTCATGAATTATGACGCCTTCTTTTCTCCCAGATCAAGGTTCTCGGTTGTCCAACCATTTGCATCTGGATTTCTCCGACTTCTAATCGCCCCTGTTAATGATACCACGACAGCGAAACCCAATTACCTTCGGATCTGATTTGACATGCGATGCCTTAGCGGGGTAATGCAATAGCCAAGGGCATGATATGCTGCGAGTGTCGTACGGAAAGAGCCGGAAAGAGCGGAAGCCTCGTGCTACACCAATGCCCATTGTGATCTGACGCGCATCATGGATTCCATGCCTGCAGCTGAACGATCTCTACCGATGAAAGGCTGTTCTTATCGGACTAATCGGTTGTTTGATAACTTGATTGATGAAAGCCATAACAGGCCAGATCACGTCGGAGGTTCTAGGGTTCCACTGCCATCGTACAAAAAGCAATGACGAGTTGATTTGCCATGGGAGACACTTCATGAGCTTTGTATTGAGGCAGGCGGACAGCAGCGGATAGGGTAGCACCTATCCGATCTGCAGACCAGGCCATTTGAACTCAAAGCCGGCTACGCATCGTTCAGATATAGAGGGTTCACTCCAGTCTCACGGACCCATAGATCCCACGGCCTGACGACCGACCACTGTCCCATCTGCGTCGTAGGGGACAACTCCTTGTCATGCAGATAGTACAATTCCTCGCCTTCACTCTCACTCGACGGAGCCACGTCAGCAGCGAGTTGCAAAGTAGGAGCGGTCGTTTGCACCCGTACATTCTCTGCCGTTTAGATAGCTCGAACTCGCTTTCCTCGATTTCCTCGATTCTTCCGCCAGCTACGGTAAAACCGTAACCCCGCATCAGCACAATCGCGTAGTAGGGCTTCTCGTCACCTGCGGAGAAGCGCGCCGAGAGATGGGATGTAGCCCTAGCCGTTGGCTTCTAATTAGAAGGTCGCGGACGTCGTCCTCGGCATAAAACCTTGCTATATCGAATTTGGGCACGTGCGTTCCTAAAAATCGAAGTAAATCAGTATGGCTTCTCAGCGACTAGCGAGCAATGAAGCAGTCAAGACAACTCAAATAGAAAGCCCGCCATAAGCACTAGGTAACGGGCGTAGCTCGACGTCTGAACGAACCGTAAGCATGATATAACTCTGTCACCTTCTCTCGGACGCTCGACGATTGGCGCCGCATCGACGACTCTGCGCCGGGGAACCTAGTATAAGCGCTAATGTCGATTACTCTAGAGCCAAAGTCCCCTTTGAGCAGATTGAAAAGGACAAGAGAGTAGTGTAATCAAATGTGGATGAATGGAAGGTGGAGTTCCAAGCCCGACGGATGTTTAGAAACCGAGCGTTCATGACAACAACCATCCTCGCGGCGGGATACCCATCGGATATGATGTGATGGCCTCTGAGCATGGAAGATAAGAGGCAAACGCATCCGGAGCGAGCTGCACTCTCCCACAATCAAACTTGACTAAGACGGCTTGTCACATCAATAGCCGATTGCGACTTCCTGCCGCTACGCGGCTCGATAGCTTGCAACTCGTATACATCCTTGACCCAGATTGCCAGAACGAGCGGACAAATACCCTGCGGCGCCTCCTCGAGAAGGGCCACGGCTTCACGGGTGGCCGTGAGTCTTCCCCGCCTAACTATTCCTTCATCTTGCTGAGTGATGGACGCAGCCGGGCACCCCTTCATTCATCTCGCCTATGCCTGGGAGCTGCAATCCCCAGCCGGCGCCACAGAAGCGCTCTCGTTTGGCTGCACGGAGAACAATCCAGCCCGCGGACTACTGGACGCCTGCCTACCGAACACAACAACGTGCATAGCATCTAGCCTAGCAGACGTGCTCCTCTACATCCACGATGACGCCTACTTCGACAACCTCTTCAAATACTAGGGAATCACAAACATCGAGATTCTGATACAGACGCCTCTGGACGCAGTTCTCGAGCATTGGAATGCATGGCGAATTACTAACCCGGCCCACCAGCTCGAACACGCATCTACTTCCGCTCGCGAAGCAAGCTGGAAGCGCTCGTCCCCTCGCTTTCCTCCAACGCCAGCGTCCGCATCTTTGAAGGAAGCATCCACGACAGAGCTTTGATCCACGACTGCCAATGCGGCGCAACAACAATTATCTGTACTGTTGGCGAGAACGAGGATATTCCCGGCGTAAGCATCCTGCGCAATTGTGCAACCGCGATTCTCGACGCCTTAGTGGCACTCAAAGGCAGCAAACAAGAGCCGGTACAGACACAGAACCCGCGACCTCGACTCCTCCTACTGTCATCCGCGACATGGAACCCGCGCTTTGCAGCCGCTAGGCCGGCGCTGCTGCACTGGATGATATGCAATGCGTTCGCGCGGCCGTATAGCGACCTTGTGCTGGCGCAGAAGATGCTAGCGGAAGCTTCTGAGTTCGTGGACGTGCTTCTGGTGCAGCCGAATGCGCTGGTCAACGAGCCTGTGGGTGCGTGATTAGCAGCGAGTCTGCGTATATTGCAGTTTCGTGAGGATCTTGCGGAGGGATTTGTGCAGCTGGCGCCGGAACCGCAGTATGCGGATGTCGCTGCGATTGGGATCTCGAGTCAGAGGGCGGAGAACGAGGTGCTTTATATCCCGTCTGTGTTTGGCGAGGTTATTCGGGGTTTGGCACTTCAGTTTGTGCCCGGTTTCTGGCAAGCCGAGTATGCTGTTTCGGCGTGGTTTTCTGTGTTGAGAAAGCCGGTCTGGAGGTCGGGGAAGACTAAGTCTGGGTGAGGATTTGCTGTATTGATTGTTGAAGTCGGTATCGGAGAACGGCTGAATTGTGGACTGTAGGCTGGAGGGGTTGTAACACGCTTTCTGATGGCATGTAGTTTGATTTGCTGCAATGGGGTTGTTGATTCACGAAATGCAAAAATCACCCTTCGGCCTACCTATCGTCGTGGACTGACAATCAGCTCAGCCAACCCCGGCCCCAACCTCATAGCCTGCTCAAGGAGAATACCAAAGAGCCAAATTGCAGCTTCGTCAAAATCTCGCCTTGAGGCCATTGCCAGCTGGTTGATCTTGCAGCGACCTTTCTAGCGACCTCTTCGTGTTCGAAATAGGTACGGGATGGGACATTTCTCTGCATCCTGTTAGACTGTCCATGCCCGCAATCAGCTCAATCCCAATTGCTTCGGCGCGACCTTGTAGAAGAGGATGCAGCTGAAGCTTTGTCTTCAAATAATCTCTTTTGAACTCGGCAGATTGATTTCTGAGGCATCGTACCGTATCTTGGTCACGTGCTACGTACTCGGGGAAAGACCGAACAAGCTCCATCGTCCTTTGCATCCAACTACCGGAACGTTCCCATGATGGTATCGGATTCGCGTTCATCATTCCTCTATTGATCTATAAGACTGGCATATCCAAGGTACGGTAAAGCGAATGTGTCCACCTATTTTCTGTCCGGGTCTTTTGTGCAAGATGAAGCCGGCGGGGAAGAAATTATCGAGATAGAGATAATGAGAGATGGGCTTAGGAGAACGGAATTGGAGGACTCGGGATCGGTACCTGCCGCTTGACCATCTGCTTCCGAGACCTAATCTCCACCAAAGATCGACAAGAACGAGGGCGAGGCCCTTCGCACTTCGTACCAGTACGGAGTACCCCAACGCTGCCCCACCATAGGCGCTTAGATATAAACTGTTCCCCCGCCCTCATGGAGCGAAAGTTCTCTCTATAATCGCACTCCAACCCGGACCAGTCATGGAAAGAGACCCAGACACCGGCATCTCCATTCTCGTTGTCGGCGGCGGCATCGCAGGCCTCTCCTTCGCCATTGAAGCCCACCGCAAGGGCCACAATGTCCGCGTTATCGAACGACGAGCTGCGGGGGAGACATTCGGTACGCAAGCTTAGCTCCGACCACGTTCTCAACAGAAAATGAAAGTCTGACAAGCTGCAGGCGAGCTCATCGCCATCACGGGCCCAGCCTTGTACACGCCCCGTCAATGGCCTGGACTCATGAAAGCGGCCAGGAAAGAATCCGTTACACCGGGAGTGACGATGCGCAAATACGACGGCACAGAGATAGGGACATTTCCCGTTGGCGACCCTAATAACCCAACGCTGCCAATTTACCGGTCAAAGCTCCATCGCGTGCTGGGCGACTATGTGGCCACGCTTGGGATCTCGGTCGAGTACGAGTGTGGGGGCGCCGAGTACTTCGAAGCGGATGACCATGCCGGGGTTACTCTTCCCGACGGGCGCCGACTTAGAGCAGATGTGGTAGTTGCTGCAGACGGTGTCGGATCGAAATCGTGGGAATCGGTCGTCGGGACAAAGGAGCCTCCCGTATCTTCGGGGTTTGTGCTCTACCGGGTGACCTTTCCTGTTGCGCCGGCGTTAAACAATCCAATCATTGCAAAGGAGCTTGGCGGTTACGTAGATCGGACCTTTTTGCATGCCGGACCGGACGCGCACATGGTTTCGTGTATGAACAAGGAGCAGGTTTGTTATTTGCTTACGTGCAGGGTATGCCGTTCCATACTGTCAGTGCGGATGTTCATGCTGACGTGATGCCTGAAGGAGGACAACTCCACCGCCACGGAAGACTGGGTCAAAGATACTTCCATCGAAAAAGCGCTTGAAGCCGTGGAGGGCTGGGAGCCATATGTGACTGAGCTCATCAAGGCAACGCCGAACCGCACCGTCCTGGACTGGAAGCTCATGTGGCGCGACCCGCAGCCGAAATGGGTGTCGGATGGCGGGCGCGTCGTGCAGATTGGTGATGCTGCCCATCCTTTCCTCCCAACTTCAGCTAGCGGTGGAACGATGGCCATGGAAGACGCGTTCTCACTTGCTGCTTGTTTAAGTATTGCGGGGAAGAAGGATATACCGATTGCGACGAAGGTGCACAATCATTTACGGTAGGCTTGCTTTCCTTTTCCCAAAATCGATCAAGAGCTGACTGATACTGGCAGGTTCGAGCGCGTCTCCTGCGCACAGAAAATGGGCTTTAAGAACCGCGAGCTCTACCACAAGACCGACTGGGATGCAGTCGCCAAGAATCCCGAAATCATGGGAAAGATGGTGGGCATGTGGTTGCTGTTGCATGACCCGCAAAAGTACGCATATGAGAACTATGAGAAGTGCAAGGAATCCTTGCTCCAAGGAACACCGTTTAAAAACACAAATGCTGTTCCGGGGTATACATATAAACCATGGACTGTGAAGGAGCTGCTGGAAGCGTCAGATCGGGGCGAGGGGGTTGTTGATGAGGGGGAGTGGTGACGGAGTAGTATTGTGATGTGCTCATAGAGTAGGTCGTGCTAGACGAGAAACAAGGTAGATTAGATGCGTATATGCTCTATAGATGTATATATGAGGCTTGGGATCCTTCTTGCCATAAACATACCGGATGAGGTAAAGGAGAAAGAGCAAAAAGATGTCAATGTGTGTAACGACTCGCAAGTATCATCGTTTGCATGGCAGGTTCCGTCTCTTGTAATTATATAGTGCCGTGCTTGCTTGAGGGCTGGCTCACAATGCCCTAATGAATCCTCAGATTTCCTGGCCAGGAGAAGAGACATTCCCATAAAGTATAGAAGCCCAGCAGCTCCTTGATTGAGCGAACATTAGTCTCATCGTCTGTATCAGCTGCCGCGTGTAACATAGTCAGAGGTGTTTTCGAATGGCAAAGAGGTTTGCATCTGCTTCTTGGACAACCTTCCCTGTGGAAACGCACACGATATGCATCAAACAGTATTTGCTACAATGAGAAGAAGTCCTTTGAAAGATTGCAGCATCGATCGGTACTCACTGCAATAGATATAGGCCGTTTGATCATTATCAAACCACAGTTTACCCAAAAGGAAGGGTTATTTCTTTCGTGGAGATAGTCATAAATAATCTCAACATATTTTCGCAGGAGCAAATGTTGGGTTGTTCATCATCTTAGCAGTTTGAAAGAGCTTACCTGAGAGCGAATACCGAATACCGCGCGCTATTCTCAACTGCTGAAACCTCCAACTTGATTGCTCTGGCAAACCTTTACTTCGCTGCTCAAAATGAATCCAACCAGCGCACCGTGGAACATTGCACCCCAAGCCACCCCGCTGCCTCCCCGACTGATCGGACTTTACGGCATCCCGGGCAGCGGTAAAACCCTCGCGATAGACAGATTGAGACGGCAGCTGGGGCTAACAGAGTTTGAGTATTTCAAGGGCTCAGACCTGATCCATCTGGCGACATCTGGCGAGGTCGCATTTCATAAGTTGGACGAGCCGCTCAAGAAACACTACCGTCAGCGTGCCATGATGGTTGCCGAAGCGACGTGCGTCCGAAGTGGGAAAGTCGGCGTCATAACTAGGGAATTTATGTACTGGTCGGTGGGGGAAAGTGAGGAACCGGCGAAAGTGTATGCTGGAGATGATTTGAATATGTTTGCGCACGTCGTTTACCTCAATACACCCCCGGAGGTGATAGCTAAGCGGCGAGACGACGGTACGAGTCGGTCAATTGTGCCGATTGAACATTTGCGCCGCTGGCAGGACACCGAAGTAGAGGAGCTTCGTGGACTCTGTCAACAGCGACATATCCCGTTCACGAGCGTTTATCCCGATTTCAACGAGATCGTGGTACCTATCATTCAGCGTTATAATGGTGGCTTGAAGATGTACCACGCGACAGACAGCGCGGCAACAAAGCTCCTACTCACTCCAGTGCTTGACGCAGCTGTTGGCGAGCTAGGCCGTGAGGATGCGTATGGTAAGATAGGGGCTTATCTAGCCACCACGCTCCTAGCCGAGCCACTTGGTATCCAGGAGCTCATCGCGCAATATCCGGAACATCCCAGTAAGGTTAGCGGTTATCGCCTGCTTGGAGAAGAGCAGACGCTGATCGTGGCATGGAGACACAGTGGAAAAGGCATAGCTGAGGGTGTTCATGGGGTCTTCCCAAAAGCAAAGTTCCTGCCTGTCCAGCAGCCGGAAGATATTCAGAGCCGCCATATCCAAGATAAGGTCAATGCTGTCATAGTTGACTCTCTAATCAATTGGAAGAATGGCGAGGCGATGGCAGAACTAGTGCGATCCATCCGAGCTGTCCACACCACTATTCGGATTGTTTTCGTTGCTGCGGAAGTCAACCGTGAGGTAGTGTCGGTAAGGGGTCCTGTCGGTGCGGTTTCACGCTCTGGTGAAGTCTCTGTTGTTGCGCTTCGTATGACGAAGCCAAAGTGACCAGCGACAGTATTCTGGGAGAACCAAGACCGGATATGACTTATCTCGAACTGGAGTGCTTTCTCGCGTCCACTAGAGGGCACAATGTCTAGCTGGGCCAAATCCTAGCCAAGCATAGTGCCACGATCAATCGAGCAGTTAGTCTTTAGGGCTAAAAATTGACATCGTGATTTGCCGAAGGTACTGGTAAAGATATCATCCACCATGGAAAATAGTGCACAATAGCATGATTCTCGGCGATTTTTCAGTGAACATCATAGCATATAGAAGCATTCGGAGTGGTGAAGTGCCGCCACATAGCGATAGTACTCTGTATTGACATGACGGTCCACAAAATCGATGTATATCCTTAAAGCCGCGCGGTCGGCGATAAGACCGTGAGCTAAGCAATATCCTTCAAATGAGCTGACAAACTGAGAAGTTCCTATTCGTCTGCCGGATTCAACCCCTGACATTTAGCCCCTTCGACCAAATGGGCACATGAATGAGGCTAAAGTTAAAGAGACGGTGGCCCGTGGCAGTGGCTTGGGCCGCCTGGTCCGTGAGGCGGATAGCAGAGTGCGGGCGCCATGATAGTAGTGGCTGGATCTGGACTTCTTTGAAGATAGATGATTCTCCAGTTTTTAGGGCACAACGCAGTTCCTCCAGTCTGCAGATCCGTCTGTAGCCGTCTCGAACGATGATCTCGAACATGAGCTTAGCCGGGATCTCTAACGCGTGGTATGTTTTGAGTCATGAGGGGAATGTGGATGATGTCAATTGGACAATCGGCGGGGTGGCATGATCTCTGCAGCGGAATCCCTTTTCCCGCTCCAGGTGATTGACACCCAGCATGATTGTTGATAACGACAGCTTGACAGGTACCTATTGTTGTGTTGTAGAGGATGCTCAAATCCACTCGGACAGACCGCAATCCGCATCGCGTCATGGGAGCCCAATTTTCAGGGAAGAGAAAGGGTGGATTTCTCAGCGTAGACTGTCGCCATTCTGTGCAGGTATACCGCCATCCCAGAGGAACGTTCCTGGGCTGAGTCGAGCCTAATAATATTGCCCCGCAGTCTTCGGCCGGGACTGGATCTCGCTGATGGCGTGAGAAGGCCCCCTGGACACGCGTTTGGGTTGAAATCCCTGGCTCGCTGCGAGAAACTCAAATGGTTGGGAAGGAGATTGTATTCCGGATATGTACCGGTCAGTATTCCGCATCGTATGTTCAATAATTAGCGAGAAACATAAGGTGAACTGATTAACTTGGGTGAGTATCCGAGTTGTTCTTGAACTTGAAGAGACCTAAAGAGGAGCTCCTCCTGCAGCAAAGATAGTGGAGAGCCCCGCATGACCCCCACAGCTTCTGTGTATCGGATGCCTGCTGATACCTAAAACTACAGCTATATATCGCAAGACCCTTCCTCGTTGAGTCTCATTGAATTTCTCTCGAAATATCTCCTGAACGCTCGACTTAGACTCTTACATCCCGCGAAATCCTGATATCACCAACCAAAGTCCAAATCGACTCCAAGTCAAGCACCATGTCTACCATCCAACTACAGGCTGTCCGCCCAACAATCCGCCATTTCTCAGTCCACCGCGCCCACACAAGCACTCGCACATCGCGCTTCGTCACATCATCATGTCTAGTCTCAGCAGTTGTGCTTCCCTTCGTCCCGCCGGCGCTTGAGAGCTCGCGTGAGCGGAATCAAGGCTACCCAAATCAAAGCAAGTGAGTCTGCCGCGTCCCCATGCTTAAGGAATAGGAGGTATGGCCGTCGCTTGCTAACATGATTGTTTCGTAGACCACACCCTCCGCTCTGCTTCCACGCTCGCTAGTGCACTGCCAGCGCAAAGCGAACCTGGATCGTTCCACCGGATCGGAAACCGTTTCCGAGGTACCTATACTACCTATGCTAAACGCCGATTCCCGACGGGTTGGGTCTCTGCACGATGATAACATCTGTCTTAATTTCATGACTGGGTTTCGGCTTTGCTTCCTCATGGGCGTTTGGTGTGGCATATATGTTTTTGCGATTAAATGGCGAGATGCATTTGCATCAGTGGAGTCGGAGTTGGTTGGCTTTTAACCTTGCTTCTGGGGTCTGGTATCTTCATATTGAATGTTTGATGAGAGACAAGTTCCGGCTAGTTCCGGGTTGAAGATGATATAAACAAGAAAGTTACCGCGCTATATGAAGGGCCTAAAAAATGTGTGACAGTCTTCCCCGGATCACTTACCTACTTGAGTGGAGTAAATATAGATCCTGCCAACATAATAATCATTCATCGTAGTTACAGGAGTATAGTACAAGCCCGGACCTGCAAGGGAACGCATTTCACCAGCCCCACAAACAGTTCATTTTATAAAACATCCAGGAAATCCTCATAGCCGGTTGCCGGGCGGAGGTCGGAAGGGACGCGAAGCTTCATATTTCCCCTTCTCTAGCAGTCTATCTTCTTCGGTCTCTGGCTCGTGACGGGTGGGTGCCGGATCGTGGCTAGCTTCTTCGCTTGGTGATGCTACATCATCCGCGGCGTTCTGGTGGCGTGCCCGGTTTGCGCGCTTGAAGCTCGGGTCATCCGAAGGCGATGAGATAGGCTCGGGCTTGGATGCCTGACGACGATGTTCTGCTTCCATCGCAGCAAGCTGCGCCTTCTTCTTCATATCGGCTTCGAATCGCGACTGGCGGTCGGCATTGATCGATTTCTTAGCGAAGTAGTAGGCACCGCCGCCGGCTGGTGTCAACAGTATTAGCTGGATTTCATGCAATTGTCTTTCCGGAATTTCCGGACATGGTTCATGATACACACCGACGCAGAGAGTGCCCCAGCCTACCCTGTATGAATCGATGCTTGTTAGCGGTCCCTGTTGGGTGGTAGATGCTCCGGAGGTCTCTTGAGGTCCGCTCACCAGGTGGATCGGATCTAATCGGTCATACGGAAAGCGCGGTTAGCTTTTGGACTCAAACAATCTCAGAAAACACTCTTTGACATACCGTATTCATTTTGATTTCGATTTTGATTGTGGGAGAAACTAAGCCAGCTAAGTTGCAACTGAAAATAAACTACGTCAACAGTTAATTACAAGCCGCTTGCTAAAGCCGCCAAACCGAAACGGGCGACTCTAAACCAAGAACAAACTAGCGCAACAGCGGGTCACATGTCAGAGCCTCATTGACATCCAGGTCTCTTTGTTTTCTCAGTTTCGCCTCTCTTGAATATCCCATTGAACGTCTCTTCGAGTCGTCGCTGACTACCGTCCGAACTTCATACGGCGACAGCTTTCATTTCAACGACTCACGACGTTCTAGAAAGGAATGAACTGTTTGTTTTGAGCTCGACTGGGCGCTGGTAGCCCGCAAGAGCCGAAACCGGGGTGTCTCTGACCGCGGATTCTTGCATATAGGCGATAGACTCTGCATAAAACAAATCATCCAAACCAATCTTCCACAACATGCCACCGGTCAAACGCAAGGCGACTGACAGTATGGCTTCCACTGAGCGTCTCACAGATGTAGGCTGACCTCGGTTAGGTGGTCGGTCCAGTAGAGCGTCGAAACGTCCCACCCCCGTGCCTGACGCTCCGGAAATTGGCAGTAGCGATGAGTACTCGGACTGGGAGCAGGATACGAAGAAGGACAACCTGAAAGGTAACGCGGGAGCGCTATTGTTGCGACAGTTAAGCTGACTTGCTAGGCCTGGTTGACAAGTTCTCCCTCGAATCGTTCAACAAGAAGACTCAGAACCAAGATCCGAACTTTGGGTACAGGGACTTCTCTTCCCTCCCTTTGAAGCCCGACCATGCGAACCGCCCCCTATGGATCGATCCGCTGAAAGGCACCATCACACTCGAGAGTTTCTCCCCGCTCGCTCCGCAGGCGCAAGATTTCCTCACTACGATCGCCGAACCGTTGTCGCGTCCCACGCATCTACACGAATATCGATTGACGGGAAACAGTTTATATGCTGCTGTGTCGGTTGGTCTTCTGCCGCAGGATATCATCAACTTCTTGGACCGGTTGACGAAGACGCCACTTCCGGAATCGATCAAAACGTTCATCGTGGAATTCACAAAGTCGTATGGAAAGATCAAGGTCGTCTTGAAGCATAACCGGTTTTTCGTGGAGAGTACCGATCCGGACATGCTGCAGATGCTGCTTCAGGATGAAGTTATTGGGTCCCAGCGCGTGCAGGCATCAGAGGGTATTACCCAGCAAGCAGCTCCGAAAATGGGCGGTCTTGTCATTCCCGGAACCAGGGATGCTGCCGGTGTCAGAGAAACGTCAGACCAGAAACCTGTGGACGAAAATGCTGGCAGCCGTCCGGAAGATGATATCCTTCTAGCTATACGCGATGAAGATGACGATGACGAGCAGGCACAGGTGCATAGTTTCGAGATTCCAAATGAGGCAGTCGAACCTGTCAAGGCACGCTGTCAAGCCATGGGGTGTCCCGCGCTGGAGGAGTACGACTTCCGGAATGATGAAATCAACCCGACGCTGGACATCGATCTGAAGCCGGCAGCCCGTATCCGAAGCTACCAGGAAAAGAGCCTGAGTAAGATGTTTGGTAACGGACGTGCGAAGAGTGGTATCATTGTCCTGCCTTGTGGTGCGGGAAAGACGCTTGTTGGTATCACCGCTGCTTGCACAATCAAGAAGGGGACAATCATCCTTTGCACTAGCTCTATGTCAGTCGTGCAGTGGAGAAACGAGTTCTTGCGATGGTCGAATATTGACCCCGGCGATATCGCGGTTTTCACATCTGACAACAAGGAGAAATTCCGTCGGTCAACCGGTATCATTGTTTCCACCTATTCAATGGTCTCTCAAACGAGAGCACGATCTTACGACGCACAGAAAATGATGGATTGGATCCAGTCGCGGGAATGGGGTCTCATGATTCTTGACGAAGTCCACGTCGTGCCCGCGATCATGTTCCGAAAGGTCACCTCAGCTATTGCCACTCAAAGCAAGCTTGGGTTGACTGCCACCCTTCTGCGTGAAGACGATAAAATCAAAGATCTGAACTTCCTCATTGGTCCCAAGCTATATGAAGCGAACTGGATGGAACTTGCAGAGCAAGGTCATATTGCCAAGGTTCAATGCGCCGAAGTGTGGTGTCCAATGACCACAGAATTTTATACCGAATACATGCGGGAGAAGTCAAGAAAGGCCGCTCTCTTGTATACCATGAACCCTCGCAAGTTTCAGGCGTGCCAATTCCTTATCGACTACCATGAAAAACGAGGGGATAAAGTCATTGTCTTCTCGGACAACGTTTACGCTCTTGAGAAGTACGCGCTCAAGCTGAAGAAGGCCTATATTTACGGAGGAACTCCTCAGAATGAGCGCATGCGTATCCTTGAGAACTTCCAACACAACGAGCAAGTCAACACAATCTTCCTCTCCAAGATTGGTGACACTTCGCTCGACTTACCCGAAGCTACCTGCCTAATCCAAATTTCCTCGCACTATGGTTCCCGTCGTCAGGAAGCACAACGCCTAGGTCGTATTCTCCGAGCTAAGCGCCGAAACGACGAGGGCTTCAACGCGTTTTTTTACTCCCTAGTCTCGAAAGACACAGACGAGATGTTCTATTCCTCCAAACGTCAAGCATTCTTGGTAGACCAAGGCTACGCCTTCAAGGTCATCACTCATCTACAGGGCATCGAGAACTTAGAAGGACTTGCGTATGCCACGCCATCGGAGCGCCGCGAGCTATTGCAAGAAGTCATGCTGCAGAATGAAAGCTCCGCAGACGTGGAGAACGTCACGGACGACCTCTTCTCTGAAAGATCCGGCGCCAACAGAGCTAGAGCCAAGGGCGGTGTTAAGAGGAGTGCTGCTACGCTCAGTGGGCTGGCTGGTGGTGAGGACATGGCGTATATTGAATATAACAAGAGCAGGAATAAGCAGCTCAGGGAGAAACAGCGTCACCCGTTGTTCCGCAAGCTGGAGCGCGAGCGCCAGAAGAGGAAGAAGGAGATGGAAGACTTCAACCGGTAGTATGCTACTCTACATACAACGACTGCGGTAACCGCGTTGCTTAAAGCTATCTCTGTTGCTAGTAAACTCAATAATATGAATGGCTTGGACTTTTGGCTATAGTAGGGCCTCTGGTGATGCCTGATGATGCCTGATGACGGAACCCACTTTCCCCCAGTGGACATCACGTGGTGATAGAGCAAGTGGGGCGATCCCCAACAGCTTCAAAGATCGGATTCAAGAACATTCGAAGCTCATCCATCAACGACACTTGCCAGTGTTCAAATACATCTTGCAAATTATCGACTGGGCTCAAACTCAATAAACTCAACCCGCTGATAAAATCTCTGCCGCCTCTTCAACATGGCTGGCGAGGAAGATCCCAGAAACAAGCAGTCCCCTTCCTCGCCTGAGAGCTCCCGCCAATGGCACGACGACGAGAACCCATTCGTCGCGTTTCGTCGCTTCGCTGATGAACAAATCTCCTCCATGATGCAGTCCGTAATGGGGCTCCCATCATCTGCTACGTCTCCACAATCCGGTCATTGGGCTATCTTCTCCGACGACCAAGCTTATCGAGACCAAGTGCGCCAGCGCCAGCGCCAAGACCAGGAGTGCAACGGTGATGGAAACAAGACCGATGAAGGGGTTCCATCCGGTTCTAGAATCACTGAATCTTCAGCGCAAAACGATAAATACTACCCAGCGCGTTCTTCCAGGCCGCGATGGTATGATCTGGATAACCGGTTCGATGTCGACATGTTCTTCAACTCATTCTTCGATCGGTTATGGCTCGACGACCATACCACGGCCCGCCTATTTGGAATGTACCATCACCCACTCTTTTCGAGCATGACGAGTGCCGAATCTCCCATGTGGCCTCTTAACTATCTTATGTTCAGTCCTTACTCGCCCCTGCATTTGGAGCGCCAGGCGCGTTATAGGGCTCGTCGAGAGCAGGGGGTCTTTTCGTCCCTCATGTCATCTATGAGCTTATCGTCCGAAGCCGAACCTGACAATGATGAGCCGAGGTGGCGTGAAGCCTTCGAGGATCTCTTGCGACTTGAGAATGGAGAGCCCATGCTGGATCGTGACACTGCAGCAGTTGCTAGATCGGAGCCCCGTAAAGATTGGCTAGGCGGACTGATTAAACGCGGTAGTCTGGGCAAGCAATGGAAGTTTTCTTCGCCCTCGGAGACTCAGCCGTGGTCAAGCATTATATTTGATCCATCAGAACGTGACAGCGACGAAGTCCCTTCTGTTCCGGCACCAGAGAAGACCATTCCGGCCGCTGAAGAATCGACTACCAAACCTGCGACGGAACTGGATATATACGACCGCTTCCTTGCGGACATCGACGCTCGCGAACGCGAATTCTTTGGCGCGCACCACAGCCCGCTTCTACATTTCCTTTTAGCAGACCGACGGAGAGGCCCAAACAGTCCTCCATCCGACTACAACGACGACACCGAGGGTTGGCTAGAGCTTGTATCTGGCGGGAACAAACATTCTGTCCCTGAGTCGAAGTCTGAGTCCGTGTCCACTGAAGCGCCTGTTGAATCGTCGACAGTACCAACCAGTACAGAAATCACGGCGGAAAAACCGTCTGCGGAGAACTATGTCGTCTCGAACTCAGTCAGCACGGAGCGTGTCCGTCTTCCCGATGGCTCGATCCAGACGAAGACCGTAAGGACGAAGAGGTACGCTGATGGCCGCGAGGAGACAAGTACATCCACAGAGGTGGTAAACCCGCCTCAGCGAGACCAGAACTCTGGTCAGCAGCCTGATGAGACAAAAGGCGGATGGTTTTGGAGAGACTAAGTCGACAAGGGCCCTCCTTTTTTGGGAGTTATGACAACGTTCGCTGCCTATCACCACCCGGGGATGAGCATCGAACTTCCCACAATTATGATTATACTTTGTATCCGTGTTAGCGTTTTAGGCGTGGTTTTGGGTCTTTTACTGAATCAAATCGATTGCATATTATCTCATGCTATATCTTATTTATGCTTAGCACCTCAGACATACGTCTTATATCAGGAAAAACACGCTTGATATGTGCCCCTTTTCATCAGGCGCTGCTTGGCAATGTCAGGTAATTAGAATTCCAATGCTATCTTGAGTCACTGTCAATACATGAATAGCTTCCGTACCTTCATATCTCTGAGAAAATTGACTGCTCTGTCTTAGACTTATCAATCTAGTCTAGCTAGTCCACAATTTATCAATGGGGTAGGACAGAATATGAATCTATGCTTAATCCGCCTTGACGCTCTTCTTCTGCGCCTTGCCTGTCGTCCAGCCCTTTTCTTCCCAGTACTTGACGCTGTCTTCCATCTTCTTGTATGCCCATGTGAAGGGAGGGTCTGGGCATCAATGCAGTTAGCTTCACTCACCCAACAAACTCGATCAAACGCGGCGAAAAAAAAATGGAAGACTCAAAGGAGAATGGGATATGACTCACAGAGAAATTGTCTCAGGTCATGCCTGTTATCATCAGGACTATACTGCTCGGCATGGTAACTGGGCGTGATAACCGTCATCTTATGACGGTTGATAGCATAGTTATAGAAAAAGTGGCGTGTCTTCTCATAGATCTCGCGCGGAGAATACTCGTTACCCCACATGTGCAAAAGGCGCTCGTACATGCTCCAGGGGCCCAGCTTGGACACTTTACGGAGGTATCCGAATGTTCCTAGCTCAGCGTAGGTGACGCCCATGTCGGCTTCGTCGGATTGCACGTATGTGGCTGTGATGGGCTCGAGCTCGGCTGTGGGGGTTGCGTTGAGGAATTGGTCCAGGATAGGCATGTTGAAGGAGGTTGAGGAGTGACCGATGAATTTTTTGAGGTCGACCTTGGAGATGGAGCCGATGGGGTTCAGCTGTTTTCTCCGTTAGTTTTGTCCGTCGACTAGGAAGAGCGGCGAATGGTAAGGAATGAGGAACATACGTCGGCACTGCTCGCGTCGTATTTGGTCAGGTAGCCGCGTAGACTAGATGCATTTGTAAGTAAGTTGGGAGCGAGAGATTTAGGTTATACCACGACCGGCAGAGCATACCATTCTAGGAGTTGTCAGTATGCGAAGCATTTTCTAATAGGGAAGTGCACAAACCATCAACGTTGGAGGACGCCAGAACAAGCAGTCCACCTCCGCCTGGACGCTGGCGGACTGTAGGCAGCAACGAGGCGAACAGGTAAGAGAGGACCATCCTCAGACGGGCCTGGATGTTCTGTAGCGCCTGGTTCTCTGCCCGGCTACCACCGTGAACCTTGAATTTGGGTTGAAAATTGGTGACCACGGTGAAAAGATTAGTAAGAGCAGTCACGACTGTATCAAAGTTGAAGTCAATATGATATGACCCGATTTCAGTGGCCAGTTCTTTTGCCCGATCTCTTGTCTCTTTGCTAGAGTTCTGGGTGCCCATGAAGCTTGTGTGGAAGATGCGGCTGCTGAAGTCAGCTATCGCGGTACTTAGATGCTAGCTTTCAATTGTGAACTCACTTGCAGACTTCCTGGCTGGTAGTAGGAATCCACATTGAGTCAGCTGGCTCCGCACACAGCCTGCGAACATCTTTGATGACTTGCTGATTGCCTTGCTGAACCGCTTTGATGACTTCTCTGCACATTGAGTGGACGATCACTGCAGTAGCGCAGCTATCAATTCCACCACTCAGGGGAAGGAAGAATCCAGCGGCACCGCTTCTTCGGAGGTAATCCCACAGCCAACAGGCAGGTCCCAGGGCGACCTCCTCCTCCGGGGCGTGATAGCGGGGCACAAGCGTCTCAGACGGCGCAAGGCCAGGGTCTGCATCTTCGTCCGAGCGGGATAATCGCATGTCAAGGTCAAGACGGACAAATGGGGTCTGCCGACTGGCCTGCATGTTTCGGCTCGTGGAGGCGCGGTATGTGCGTACCTAGCCCCTTTAGTACGGTGTGAAGCGATTAGAAACGACGGACGTACTTCTTCGATGTCGACAGTTGCAGTGACAACCTCGACATCATTTAGCGAGAATTGTGACCCTTGGGCTACGATGTTTCCGTTGATGACAATCATGGCACATCCATCGTAGTAGAGTCGGTCACCGTCGCACCCTTGCTGGTTCGCATATAGATAGATACCACCACTCTAGCAACCGTAAGCGCCGCTCGTGTTTTAGGTGACTTTCTTACTAGTTTCGTGGCCTGCGTGATGAGGTTGACACGAGTATCAAGCTTCTTCAGCTCGTGGTGACTTCCGGATGAGTTGGAAATAATCTCAACACCTTTACGCAAGTCAGTGGCTAGCAGTGCTATGATGTGGGAGTGAACTTACCGGCAAGACTGTAAGGTATGTGCGGCCTAAACCGATGTTAGAGGCTAGGTCTAACCATCCAAGTCCCTGGTACATACCCATTCGGTGTGAACAACTCCTCGCAAGTCTCCAACCCCAAGCATGTATCTCTTGTGCTGATGACCGCATCTCCAAAGGGAACCTTATACTGTCCTGTGATCTTGCCAACAATCTGCTCCAGGTAGTAGTCTTCGACCTCCTGGGGTCGCTGCCAAGGGGTAAAGTGACGCATCTCTCGGTAATTTCCATCTAATGAGACGATCGTTAGCCATATCTGAGCTTCAACGATAAATATGGATTCAACCAGTTGATCGCAAGGACTCCATACCATTGGCAAGCCACATCTTAGGGCGAATCAGGATGATCTTTTTGTTGTAAAAAATGACACTTTCAGCGCATCAGCGTCCGACCTTATCCATTCCAATAAAGTGTAACGAACCGACAGTTGTATCGCACATTCCTGTGACGGACTGGCATACCCACATCGACTACAATGTCCTGGCAATCAGGGTGGTCGATGATCCGGGCGAGCATCTCCCAGGAATGAAGAAACGTATCTCCTTCGAGAAAGCCATCCAGAACTCCATATCCTATCCGGATTTCAGCATCGGTGCGTTCGAATAGAAGGATACCTGCGGGACAATCGTACCGGTGATTTCGAGCTCGGGACCGACACGAAGAGTGGCCCCGGCAGCTTTGGCTTGACGGATACTTTCAATGATTCTCTCGCAATTGCCTTCCCAGTCGAGAGCCCACTGGTTCAGGGAGCTAATAAGTTGGTTAGCTATGAACGGGCACAAAACGAGCAAGGGATCGGCGATGCGAACCATGTTGCGAGAGTAATGAGGCGGCCCATCTTGTATCACAGGGTAGGGATCAGGAACGATCCAATCGACAGAAGCAAGAGCAGCAGATGAGCTCTCCGTCGTCCGCCAATGAAGCCAATTCGACAAGCAACCGCAAGACACAGAATTATTGGAGACGGTTGGCTCTCCGAATCCCGGCATGACGCAAGTCACGTGTGTGGGGTTGGTGCCTACCCCTCCCTCGGCTCAGATGAAGATCGCTGATTAATGCGCATCGGAGAAGGGCCGGGATTCTGTTTGCTGGAAAGGAGTGGATTCAACGCCTCCCTGAATATCTCCTCTTCATAGACTCATTTCTGTATTTACATCAAGTCCGTCGTGTGTACATGCAGCATGTCCGATAACTCGCAGCTCCCCAACCCCGCGCACGTCCAAGCCGACTCAATGCTGGCTCGGCGGTTCGGCAAAGAGACCGTGAACTACTTCTCGAGTAAGTCCGGGCCCGGATAGCATCATACGTCTCAAACTGCGAATTATGGAAACTGATTGATGTTCTAGGCTCTCCTCTCAACCGTCTCTCCTTTCTCCGATCAGACCACCCCTTCCTCTCCGCCGCCCTCAAGCACCCGACGACCCGATTCGTCGTTCTTAAGGATCTAGCGCCACTTACAAGGTCCCCGACCGAACTGTACTATGCCAAGTTCAATGAAGTGCGCAAGCTTATTTCCGAGACGATCTACGACAAGTCGGAGGAGGAAGTAATCAAGGAGCATGATTCGCGCAAGACGGAGCCACACCTTATCTTCCTAGGTGTGGATGAGGCGAACAAGCAGCCGGACGGGTTCAGCTGGAAGATCTACTCCGGGACGCCGTATTTCGCGCTCGATATCTCGCAGAAGGGCTCGGAGGAGCAGCAGGCCAATGCAAAGGAGGTGCTCGGCGGATTTGAAGCCCAGGGACTGAGTTTTCTGCAGGCGAGGGTGGCGATGACTTTCTCTGCTGATGAAGGTATACTTGCGAACTTGCTTGTTCCGAGTTCTTGAGTAACGACAGCTGACAACGTACTATAGGTGCTATCTACGCCCAAGCCCGCGCCCTCACCGACTGGAACACCCGCAACACCTACTGTGGTACCTGCGGCAGCCGCACCATCTCCGTCAACTCCGGCACAAAGCGCGCCTGCCCACCTACCGATGCAGCACGCGTAGCCGAGGGCAAGCCCGCTGAGAAGCCAGCCTGCAGCACCCGGACCACGATCTCCAACCTCTCCTTCCCACGCACCGACCCCACAATCATCGTGGCCGTCATCTCTTGCGACGCTAAGCGCATTCTCCTCGGACGTTCCAAGCGCTTCCCGCCAAACTGGTACTCGACGCTCGCAGGCTTCATCGAGCCCGCCGAGTCCGTTGAGGACGCTGTTCGTCGTGAAGTCTGGGAGGAAGCTGGTGTCACGCTCTCCCGAGTCATCATCCACTCCACGCAGCCGTGGCCGTACCCGGCGAACCTGATGATTGGGGCGATTGCGCAAGTCAGCGACCCTGCGCACGAGAAGATCAACCTCGAGCACGACCCGGAGCTGGAAGATGCGAAGTGGTTCCCAATCGAGGAGGTTGAGGAGGCGTTGAGGGTTGGCACGAGTAATTTGGATCAGGCTGCCGGGCCAGGGTACAAAGAGGGTGCGCTGAGGTTGCCGCCTCCTACGGCCATCGCCAACCAGTTGATACAGGCGGCTATCAATATTGATTTCCTTGCCGATAAATCGAAGATGTAGATAGACGAGATTTAGAGTTGTTTGTCATAGACAATAGTAGATAGACTGCATGGTTCGAACACTTGTACTTCATGACAGTAGGTATCCCCAAACGATATTAAACCAACCACAGTGATGCCAGCCTCAAAATACCTCCTAATGATACCGCAATGCAACCCTCTCACAACTCCAGCCCAAAACAATACCAACGCAAACCGCTCACAAATTAGCATAAACCGTCCCATCCCGCAACTCATGGATACTCTCTCCCCCAGGCGTCGAGCCAACCTCCGTATACCTCCTCCCATCCCTCAACTCATGAATTGTAATACGGCGATGCGACTTCCTCCGTCTCGACCCTCGACTAGAAGACGTATCACCCCTTGCCTCACGCAACGCCATATCGATGCTCCCCGCATCGCTCTGCGCGCGGCTACTAATCGGCGTCTCGGCTCTGCTCTCCCTGCCCACGGATGCCTGGAGCTGGTTATCCGCTACCATAGCGACTCCATCTTCGCGGTACCACCGACGGATTTCCGCAGCGAAGTCCTTTTCTTCGACGCCGTATTCGACAGGGGGTCCGGAGATGTCTGGATCGTCGTCTTCGTTGGGGCCTGAGAACACGGCCCAGGCGCTTGTGCTGTCGCTGACGAGGATGACGAAGTGGTCGTAGCTTTTGACGCGGAAGTTGCGGAGGAGGATCGCGTCACCTTCCTGGAGGGAGGGGAGGGCGGATTTATGTGGACGGAGGACCTGCGCGTAGATTGTTGCGCCGGCCATTGATGGGTCTGTAATCTGGAGGGTCATGATGAAGTCTTTGCGGCCGGAGCCGGCTTTGGTTGGAGGATTGACTTCAGAGGCGATGGATATCGTGTCTACTAAGGCGTTGTAGTGGTCGATGAGGGTGGCGAGGGGCGCGAAGTAGGAAAGTTTGCTCCGCAGGCCCGGCCATCGTCGGTCTCCTGGGGAATAAGGAGCGTCGTCGATATTCCCCTCGAGTTCTTCATCGACTTCGATGCTAGCTTGCAACTCCTGGGCATCGTCAAGCAATGGAGGCACTTCGTTGTCCACGACAACCAGAGGCGCTTCGGGCTCGCTTTCTTCGCGTTGGGCAGTTGTATCTTCCTCTGACTTGACAGCGAGAACTGGTGAGGCGTCTTCGCCCTCTAGAACGCTAGTTATCTCGTCTCTTAGGAAAGACTGCTGCTGTTCTTCTGTTTTCACCTTCAGTGGGGAGTCCTGAGTCGGATTTGGAGTTGGCAGCATGTCTTGCGAGGCATGAATGGGACTAGAAGCTTCAGTTGAAGCAACTCGTTCGCCTGCAACCGACTGAGAAGGCCCTGGGATGATCAGCAGGCGGCCTTCGTGATGAGTGGACGTGGATATCTCCAAGGGCTCAACAACTGGCCCGGGCGGCGTCGCACCATCCAATTGAAACGCTAGGTGTCTTTGATGTGCGGTTCTCAAATACTCATTTGCGGTTTCATTATTGTCCTCAACTGAGCGCTCCCTGAGATATTCCTCGGCGGCAGCTTCATTGATATTCTCGCCTTGTACACCCTCGCCCTGCGCGTTCCCAAGTTCGTACAGACTAGGATCGATCGCCAGGTCAGGAGAAGGCTGCACAGATTCAGAGATAGAATGGAGACGTTCGGCAGACTCCGAAATCGTCGCCAGATAGTCTAGGGAATCAAGGTTCGGCGCAGTTGGATATTCTGTTATCGCCTGGATATCCTCGTAATATTCATGGACAACCGCGAGCTCGTTAGTTGGCCCATTTTCATCAGCGTCCAATGGCGGTTCGGCATACGTTGTTTCATATTCCTCATCAAGGGGTTCTTGATAATCCTCCTCGTGAGGCTCCTCGAGGCCGTCCTGTGGATCTTCGTCCATTCGCTCCGGCTCAGATTGCTCTGGCTCGGATTCCCATTCATCCACAGCGTGCCCATACACCACAGATTGGCTGTACTCTTTGCCGTCATCTGACCTCTCCGATTCCGCTTCCACTTCGTGCGCAGTACTTTGGTTATAATCCTCCATGTCATGCTCATTCTCCTGGTCCTCTTCAGACGGGCTTTCGGAGTCTGCTTCATCAATGAGATCTTCACCCAGTTGGCTTTGATCCTCGTAGTCATATGAGTCCTCACTTGGTGTGCCTTCAGCTTCTCGTTCGCGGGTATCATTTGGCCGCTTGGCAGATAACTCATCCTCACTATCACTATCCAAGACTATAATTTCAGGTTCCGTATTTTTTGGTGCAACTTTGAGAGGCTCCTCATAGTCAGACGCAATTTCTGACTCCGAGTATCCATATCCTTCTCCATCTCTATGGTCATCTTCATCGTCCCCATAGTCACACTCATAGTCTCCATGGTTGCTCGCCTCCTCGTCGCTCCCGTCACTTACATCCTCTTCGTCCTCTTCATCGTACTCCTGGGAACGGCTAGGAGATATATCTCGGCTCTCATTTGGCGAGAATGACTCTGTGCTGGCAAGCCGTTCTTTATGCTGCTGTATTTCGGGTGCATCAACAGCTCCATCCTCCTCAGTCCGACCATCGGAAGCTTTGTCTTGATCACCTTCGTCCTCCTGGCCCAGGTCCTCGGGTGATCGCTCATCTTCCATTTGATCTTGTTCCTCTTTATGGCTGTGCGAATCGATCCTTGCACGCGCCTCGCCTTCATCAATCCCCGACACTGACTCTGACTCGAAGTGTGTTTCTGCTGTTTGAACTCGAGGCGAATAGATTTGCGCAAAATCAACGGCGAAGTGACCGGACACCCCCTCTGTCGTGCCCGATTCTACGTCGTTTACAGGCGCATCTATAGCCATCATTTTGCCTGGAGGCTGAGGACTAGACATTCCATCGGCCGAGTCTAGAACGGATGGTTTGTCAGAAGGCAGAATTTGCATGTCGTCAGTGTAAACCGTTACAGCGTCCTCCTCGTCTGTGTGCGTTGCTTCACCATGAGGTTGCACTTCGGGTAGGAAGTCAGAATCGTCTAGCTCAGCCACCTCCTCCAAGACAAGTGCTGCGGGTGGATTGGGTTGGGTCACAGGAGGAGTATCAGCCACTAATCCAAAATATCCACTGGAACTATTCGATGTAGTATTAAACGGAGAGGGAAGCGGAAGCCCAGGAGAAGGAACCGGGTGCAAGCGCGGCGTATCCGTAGGGAGGTGAGAAATCCGATCCAAGCCGACCAGCTTTGTTCCCGGAACATTGCCAGGGCGGACAAACAGCGCGTCGTCGCCTTTTGATTGTCCAGCGGGCTCACCTACCAGAGAGGTTGACGCATCTGGTACAGCTGGCTCACCTGGTACAGAAGTTGATGCATCTGGTTCAGCAGGCTCACCTGGTACTGAAGTTGATGCGTCTGGTACAGCTGGCTCAACTGGTACAGAAATTGATGCATCTGGTTCAGCATCTACCATGGAAGCGTCAGAGCCCACAGCTGGCGCAATTTCCGGGACGTCTGCGGATGACGCAGGTATAGCACTATCCTCGCTAGCTTGAACGACAGGTTCCTCGCCTGCATCCGATCCGGTTTCCAGTTCTTCGTCGAATGTAGCCATCCAGTCCTCCGGTAATTCTTTGTCTCTAGGACTCTCCGGTTCATCAATCACACGCCATTCGTTGCTTCGCATGCTGAATCTCGGTCGTTTCCGTCCTTTCCCAGGTACGTAGCCATCTTCTTCCACCAAAGGCTCAATGGCCGGATCAGTGAAGCCGAACGAAATCCGAGACTTCCCTAGAAAAGCCGGTGACTGCCATGACGTTGACCCAGATGGTCCGAATGTATGCGCGCCGCCATTAGCAGCGGGCGTACTTGGCGCTATGTTATCCGTAGGTGGAGGTGTATTCGATTCGCGATCTACCTTGACTGTCGACAAAAGTTTGGAGTCGCGCCAGACCTATACCAGATTAGAGTGTTGACGATGACCCGAGTAGTAGAAAGTTCACCTCCAGAAATGCCGCGGCATCAAAGTGCACGTCCCACGAGACGCCTTTACCGGGTGTCTGAGTCGCCGCATCGTTCTTCGTCAATCTTGACCCGGCAAGGCTTAGATAGACTTTATCGCCGATTCCAATATGAGTTCTTGCAACTTCCTCGGCGACTTGACCGTGAAAGAACACTTTGACTTGTCCGTTTGATCGACGAAGGCGGAAATCGGGTTCGGCGAGGAGCAAGCTGAGGGTCTTGGTGGACGACGAGTATGGCCACAAAAGCGTTACAATGGAGTGAACAGAGTTCCCCGGAAGACGGTCATTGTCGGGCGAAAGCTGTGCGATTGGTACGGCGGTCGATCGTAGTAGCTCCGACACTGGAGGTTGGTCGGTGGTGTCCATCGTCGGCGCGGGGCATCAATCTGCTTCTCTCATGGTTCTCAATTATAGGCGCAGCATGAACCGAGATCAGGGTTGATGCGCCAGGTGTCGTTAAGGAATAAAGATAGGCGGCGCCTTTGTAGGAAGCAGGCTTTGAAGACGCGGTTGGCAGCTTGCCCGCAGCTGGGATGATCACAGGCCTCGTTAGCGACGTATTGCCGTCGTAATATTACCTGTACGTAGGTCCCGTTATTTCTAGGGCGTAAGCTTTAATGCCGGGAGTAATACACAAGGCCGGAATAAAGTTTATCCCGCCTAAAATACTAAAAATACTACTATTAATAGCCTGTTTAATATTTAATACTTTTATTAATAGCCTATTTTAAATAATAACACTTTTTTTAATAGCTATAATAATAGTAAATTTAATAAAAATATTTAAAAAATAATAAAAAAATAAATTATATAAGTAGTATATAGCTTATTTATATAAACCTATAATTTATAAACCCCTAATTTTTTAAATTTTTTTTATTATAATAGCTAATACTAAAGGTAATAATAACACTACCTTTTTTACTTGCTTGCTTATTTTTACTTACTTGCCTACTTTTACTTACTTGCCTACTTTTTTACTAACCTAGCCGCTAATAGCCTATATTACTAATATAATAAATTATTTAGGCTATAAATTAGTAGTTTTAAAAAAACTTTATAAATAATTATATTATTTATAGCGCGAGCTCGCGCTTTATAAGCCTGCTAATAAAAAAAATATAATAAAAAAAATTATAGCCTATTTTATTAATTAAAAAGCTATTATTAGGTAGTATATTAATATACTTATTAAAAGTAATTTAATTTATAAGTATTACGCCTAAGGTTATAAGCTATTTATAAAGTATATTATTATACTAGGCTACTTTAATAATAATTATATAAATTATTATTAAAATAATTTAGGTGCGCGGTATACTAATAAATATAAGTTATAGCCTTTATTTACTTATAAGTATATTAGCTAATATATTTAGCTTTTATACCAGGTAATAATAATAATAATAATAATAATAAAATAAAGAAAGAAAAGGAAAAAAAAAAAGGCTAAAAAAAATAAGAAGAAGGAGGCTAAAAAGGTTATAAAAAAAAAAATAAAAAAATAAAAAAAAAAAGAAAATAAATACTATTACCTTGCTTATATATATTATTTAGTCTGCCTGCTGCCTGCACTAGCTTATAATTATAATAATAATAAATTTTAATATTATTATAGCTAGGCTGGTTATTATAGCCCGTGTTATAGCCTTTATAATAAATAATCTTATTAATAAAGCTAGTTTTAAAAGTATTAAATATAATAATAATAATAAGTAAATAATTTTTTTTAATTTATTTTTTTTAGGGCTAGACCCTAGTAATAAAAAAGTTTAAATTTATTATAACTTATTAGGTATAGTTAACTATAAATATTATTAAAAATAGCTTATATAAACTATAGGTAAAGATTTAGTATTTAAAGGCAAGTATTTAGTAAAGTATTAATATTATTTTAATTTATTAACACCTTTTATTTAACTTTAAACTAATAAAATTAACTACTTAATAACTTTAAAAACCTTATTTAAAGTATGTTATTATAGTTTATAGCCTGCTAGTTAAATACTATAGCCTTATTTTATTATTATTTAAGTTATATTTTACTTTTAATAAATAATAAATAATTATTACCTTATTTATTTTTATAATACCTAAAACTTAACTTTATAATATTAAGCTATATATTAATATAGCCACCTTTTAAAATTAAATTTAATTATATTATTTTTTTAGTATATTACTACAAGAAATAATTTATAATTATATTATTTATTATATTTTTATACTTTATTATAAAATTATTGCCTGGCGCCCTGGCCGTGTAATATATTATAAATTATATTAAGGCTATAAATAATTATTACTAGCAAGCACTAGCTAAAATATTACTAGTATAAAAGCTAAAATTATAAATTAAGCGCCTAAAAGCCACTTTTATATTACCTAGTAATATAAAGGTAATTATAATATAAATTATTAAAAAGCACCTTTTTACGCCCTATGTTTAGTGCATAAAAAAAAATAAATTATTTATAGGTTATATTATTATTAATAGGTTGCTATCTAGCGCCTACGCTAATTATTATTATATTTTAAAAAATAAATATTATAATTATTATAATAAGTACCTTAATTAATAGTCCGCGAAGCTAGTAACTAATTATAATAATTTAAAAATTAATATTAAAAACACCGCCGCCACCGCCCGTGCTATAAAAAAAAATATATAAAAATAAAAAAAAAAAAAAAATAATAGTTATGCTATAAAGCGGTTATAATACTACCTAGTAAATAACTAAGTATTTACTTAAATATTAATTCTTGCTTAATTATAAACCCGTGGCCGTGCTAAGTAGCTTTATAACTTATTTAATATAATAATTATTTAAAAAAACGCGTTTGCTACTACCTAAAAGGTATTTATTAAAACATGCCTTAATATTATAGCCAAGTTTATAAAAAAAGCAGGTTTACTAGTAAATAAAAAAAAAGATAGGGATAAGTTCCCTGGTTTATTAAATAAGTTTAATAAAAAGTTATTAAAAAATAATTAATATTTATAGGGCTAGACCCTAATTAATAAAGCTAGTTTAAATTATTATTTTATTTTTAAATTTATACCTATGTTATTATTACTCTTGTAGTAAAAAATATTATTTATAATTATAATAAATATATACTAATAGCGCCTTAAATAACTATTTTTATATTTTTATTTTTTAGTATTAAACAGGCTGCTAACTAACTAGTTATAACTAAAAAATTTTTTAAATAATAGTTTTTTAAGTAACTATACACGTAATATAACCACGTATATAAAATTTAGTAAAAACTTTTTATATATAGTAAGGTTTAAAATAGCTTACTTAATAATAACACCCTAAGCCTTATAAATTATTATTATATATACTAGTATAGCTAAAAATTATATATAAGTGTAAATAGCACTATAATAGTAAAAGTCTTATTTTATATAAAAAATTAGTATTATATTATAGTTATTATTTTTTTTAATATATAAACTATTATACTAGTTAAAAGCTATTATTAAAATAAGTAGTACTTTTTAAGTAGGATTTATGGTTCCTAGTAATTATATAATATTTACTAATATGCTTATAGCACTATTTATAAAACCTTTTTTTATTTAAATATTTTATATTAATATAATATAATAGTTAAAAAAAACCATAAACTTTTTAGCTAGGTTTTTAGCCTAGTTTATTTTTATAGTTATAGTATTAAATTTAATATAATTAACCTATAAAATAATTACAGGCCTACTAAAGTTTAATACATGGTTATAATTATATTAGTATATATTATTTTTTTTATATATATAAATTATATTTATAAAGGTATTACTATTACCTGTAGGTAACTTAGCCTGCACTTGTGTTATAAAAAGCTTTTAATTTTTTATTATAATAATATTTTTTTTAAGTATTTTAGTACAAGAATAAACACACAAGCTGTTTAAAAACTTGCGGTCTGGCAATAAATAATATTTAGCTTAATAATAAGGTTAAATTAATTATATAAATGCTAACCAGCCTTTTTTTTTTATTTATAAGTAAAAACATGGCCTTAAAAAAAGGGCTTTAGCTAACTAAAAATAGCTAGTAAAAGTCCCTGGCTAGGATAATATTTAAGCCATTAAAAAATTTAATTTTATAATTTAAAAAGATTTTATAATATTATTAATTAATATAATACAGCTGTTTTAAACCTATTATAAACTTTTTATTAATAATTAAATATAACATGCCATAAAAACTTACTTATAAAACTAATAATACTAAAAACTATAGGTAATTATAACCCCCCTTGCCTTTTAATATAACTAGTAATTAAAATAATAAGTATAAGGTTTAGCTACTAATATTATACATGGTAATACTAGTTAAAACAGCCTATATAATAATAAAGGTTTTATAATTACTAGTATAAAAAGCTATATATTTTAGGGTTATAAATAATAAGTTAATAATATAAAATTTACTAGTACTAGCCTTGCTATTTAAATTAATTAATAATTACTTTAGTAAGGGTAATAAATATATAAAAATAAATTACTACTTATTATTTATATAAAAAACTAGTAAACCACGTGACCGCAAAATACTTTTATAATATTTAATAATAATATTATATAACTAGTATTACTTAACCTTTAGGCTATTTAAATAAGCTAATAAATAAGCTAATATATTTACTAGGTAATTTACCTTTACTAAATCCTAAAATTTTAAATTAAAACTAGGTTTTTTTATATATTAAGTTTAGTTATATTATTAATTAATATCGCGCTGGCCCAAGCCATTAGGTTTTATAAAAAAATTATTATTATAGCCAGGCTACTAAGCCACCATAGCCTTTTAAAAAAGTATCTTAGTAGTTAGGCTAGTATTATTATTTTAAGTTAATAAATTAATTTTATTTTTTATATTTTTATTATTTTACATGTAGCCATTTTTTTTATAGCCATGGTATTTATAGTAGTATTTATATATATTATAAAAGCTATTAAATACTAATTTATTAACTATATATAGGTTATTTATTTTAATAAATAAATAGTAAAGCATTAACTTAACACAAGTAAAGTTTTTTAGGTTTATAACTTAATTATATATTAAGTAGTAATAAATAATATAATTTTTTATTTTACTTTTAACCTTTTTATATACTTTAGGCTATAGGGTATAACAACATATGTAATATAATAGTATTAAATTAATAAGCTTTAATAACTATTATATATACTTTACTACTATATTTAAACCCTATTTAATATTACTTTTTTTATTACTGGTATTATTACAGTTTATATTTAGTAGTAAAAATAGGTTATTTTATTCCTAATTTATAAAACATAGAATAATAACCATGTTATAGCTTAATATTTAAAATAATAAGTTTAATAAATAATAGCAAACCTTTTATATAAACTAATCTTGCTTTATAATTAAGGTATTTATTATTTTTTATACTAGTAATAATAAAAAATAGCGCGTATTAATATACTTAAAAACTAATTTTATAACCTTTTTATATAACTTTATTTTTTTAGGCTTTATAATATACTTAGTAATATAATAAAGTAAAAAGCACTTACTAGTACACGCGGCTATATTTAAGTTTATAAGCTATTTTAAATTAATAATTAAATTAAATATATTTAGGGTTATATTATTACAAGCTAAAAAAAATAATAATATATATTACTAGTTAATTTTATTAACTAAAAATCACGCTATATTATTATAAGAAAATAAAAGTAATAAATAACCTGCTTAATTTACTTATTTTTTTATTAATAATAATTTATATTATAATAATAGCGTAGTACATGGTTTATAACCTACATAAAATAAGTAAGTATGTTTTTTTACTAAAATTAAGATAATTAAATAGCCTTATAATTTATATTAATAATAATAATCTACACACGGGAAGGGTTTATAGCCGTAATATACATGCCTTAATAAACCTTAAATAATTATTATAACTTATTAAACTATTAAAGGCTGTTAAAAATAGGGGTGGATTATATTTAATATATATTATAATTATAAGTTAAATCTTAACCTTGCTATTTATAACAAGACTAATTATTTATAATATTAAATTTAGGCTTAATAACTATATTAAAAAACACGCGGTAATAATAATAAAATTATACTATAATAATATAAGGGTTATCTTATAAATTATACCATGTAATTTATTTATAAATAGCCTTTATATTATTACGCCATACTTTATACTTAAATAATTATTATATTAGGTTATTTTAATGTAAATTAGCCGCAAAAAATATTAGAAATAAATAAGCCGTGCTTATTTAAAAAATAAGTAATTAAAATAACATGCATGGTAATAAAAAACAGGCTACTTATTAATATTTTTAACCATGGCTTTTAAACTATTTTTTTTATTATACTAAAATAGCCGCGTACCGCGAATAGTTTTAAAAAAACTAGTAATAAAACTTAATAATATAAATAATTTAGTTATATTTAACTAAAAGGCTACTTATAACTTTTTTATAAAAATATTTTACTAGCCAGGCGCGTGGTTATAAATATAAAAACTAGCTTATTAATTTATTTACTAATAATAAATTATATTAAAGTAAATATATTAAAACCAGGGATACCGTGTAAAATAGCTACTTTTATATTTAAGTAAGTACTTAATATAATTTATAAATAATATCTTGCGTGGGTATATTATAACTAGCTTTATATTATTATAAAAAAAAAAATAGGAAATACTAGTAATAATAATTATTATAAGTAATTAAACTTAAATAATAGTATTATATAAAATAAAGGGAGAATTAAATAAGGGTTATTATATATTAGCTTAGTAATATTATTTACCATGGCTTGTAAAGCCTTAAGCTTTATAATTATTATAAGTAAATTAAATATTATAACTATATTAGGCGCCTGTATATTATTAGGGTTTATTTATTAGCTATTATTTAGGGTAATTAGCTTACTAGCTAGCTTTTAGTTTAAAATAAAATAATTAACTAGTTTATTTTTTAGTAATTATATAAGGTTATAATTATTTTTAACTATATTTTAATACCCTGGATGGTTTACCTAAAGGTAATTTAGTTATTATTTAACTACCTAGCGCTATATTTTAAAATTATAATAAAATTATAAATATATTTTTTAGTTTATATTAAAATTAAATAGCCATAAAATTAATACTTTAAGTTTCTTAGGTAAAAGTAGGAGTTATTTATATACTTAATTAGTATTTTATAAAAAGTTAATAATATAGCTTTTATATAAATATTAGTAATTTTAAATATAATAAACCTTAATAAATATATAAACTTTTATAATTAGTATTTTCTTAATTTATATTAATTTTAAAAAGTGAAAAAAAATATTACTAGAATTTATTTTATTTTATAAATTAAATTTAAAAATTTTTTAATTTTAGTTAACTAACACGCAACGCTTGTAAATATTATTTTTTTTAAAGGTTTATATTAAATTACTATTTTTAATAATAATTATATATTTTTAGCTAGTATATGTTAAGCCGGTAGTAAAAATTATTTAATAGCTTTTAATTATAGTTTATAATAACTAAATATATAAAATTAATTAAAAAAAATAAACATAATAAAAAAGCATGGTTTAGGTTTATATATATAAAAGGGCTAAAGTTAACTTTAATAATTTATAAAAATAAAAATAAATTATTTTTAATAGTAAACTAGGAGCTTATAATAGTTAAGCTATTAATATTTAATTTAATATTATTTTTATTAATAATAATAGCTAGCTATAGGCGCCTACCTAGTAAGTAAGGTATAAATAATAGTAAAAACATAGCTATTACAGGTGTAAAAGGGGGTATAAAGGTAGTAAATATAATTAATAATAATAAGCATGTTAAAGGTAAATAAAAAAGCCAGGGTTTACTAAAATTAATTATATAAGTTATTTAATTAGCTACTTATTAAGTATATTATTATTTTATATTTTTATAATATTTTTTTACTTATTATAAGTTATTAAATAAGTATATACCATGGTATTAATAATCTAGCTTTAATTATAACAGGCGTGCTTATTATATATTTAGGTTAATTATATTAAAAAAAAAATATTAAAGGGGCGGGTTAAAAAGGCCTATAGTTATAATAAATTATTTATTTTTTTTATTATATATTAGTAATTATAATATACATGCAAGGTAATATAAACACGCCTTATTTTTATATTTATTATAAATATTATAAGGCTTGCGGCCCGGGTATTATTAAAATTAAAATATAAGTTTTATATTTTTATAATAATTATAAAATATAATTAGCTTTATAACTAAACTTATTTATATAAACCGCGAGCGGAAAAGAGATTATAAAATTAAGGTTTAAATTATTATATAATAAAAAAAACTATATTATAAAATTAAAGCAAAGTAAAGCAGTTATATAATTACCTTTTTTTTTAATTAATTAGCACTATTTAATTTAAGTAATGTGTTAAGGTTATATAATTACCCTTTTTTTTAATTAATTAATGTTATTTTACTATTTTACATAATCCCTAATAAAGCTCACGTGACTGGGAGCCGGGACCTATAATTTATCGTGCGCGGGCCTCCACTTTGTTCCGGCCTCGCGCAATCATTAGTCCCAGTAAGAGACCATGTTCATGATGATGGAATTCTCAAGTTTTCAGTCAGTATCTAATATCTTTAAGCGCTGACAATTGCTAGATGTACATCTATCTTGCGAAGCATCCAGATTTCAGGCCTGCTTGATTTGGTGGGCTGGTCCCTGGCAGCCAACTATGCATACAGCGGGGCTTGATATCATCAAGGCCGGCATCGGGAGGCACGCACGCCATTTTAGTGGCATTGTGGGCAATTGAGGACTCCAAATTGTCCAGGACACTTTGCATTTGCTCATCAACGCTGGACAGCGATACCAGGTGGGATGCCATTATCCACGCAGATTCGCCGTATCGCGGTCGTTGGCGCTGGCCCGGCCGGCCTTGCTGCTGTGAAGTATACAAAAGCCCCTCCAGGACGGCTTCCCTTACTTATAGTTCTGTAGATATCTATTGGCTGAGAATCGCTTCGACACAATTGATGTCTTTGAGCGAAGAAGTCATTCGGGAGGAGTTTGGAACCATAGCCCTGCAGCGCTCAAGGAAGCTGTCCCAACGCAAGTGCCGCAGCTCAGTTCGACTCAAACACTCGAGGAACCAGTCTGGCTTCCCAAGGGTGCATCCAGAAATGACCAAGAGCCCACCTTTATCTCCCCAATATACGACACTTTGGATACCAATCTGCCAAAAGAGTTGATGACGTTTGGCGAGAAACAGTTTCCATCCGACGAGCAGGATTTCCCAAGACATTTCATAGTGAAGGATTATGTGAGGGATTATGGGAAAGACATCGAGAGACATATCCAGTTTGAGACCCAGGTGTTGGATATCCAAAAGGATAGCGACGCAGGTTGGGTAGTGACGACACAAAGTCTGCGCAACGAGACCACAACAACTGCCTCTTATGATGCTGTTGTTGCTGCAAGTGGACATTTCGATGTCCCATTTCTCCCGGATATTTCAGGCATCGTGAGCTGGAATAATGCCTATCCGGGAGTTATCATACACTCCAAGTTCTATGACTCTCCGAAACCCTTCAGTGACAAGAAGGTTGTCGTTATTGGAAGTTCGGCCTCGGGGCTTGATATCGGCAATCAGATTAACGAAGTCTGCAAAGGAAAGGTCCTCGCATCACAGCGGACAGATCTCTACCTGTCACCTTCGACCGCTACGGACAAGGCATATTACCCCGAGATTGTAGAGTTCCTTCCGCCAGCTACTCACGAGAGGTCTGTCCGATTTGCGGATGGCAGAATTGAGAGTGGCATTGATGCAATTGTCTTCTGCACCGGGTTTCTCTACTCTTTTCCCTTCCTGTCCTCCCTCAATCCCCCTGTCGTTACGCATGGCCGCAGGGTAGAGAACACCTACCAGCATATTTTCTATATCCCGGAGCCTACCCTTGTCTTCCCCGTCCTGCCTCAAAGGATCATTCCCTTTCCATTATCTGAGAACCAGGCTGCCGTCATCTCCCGTGTCTGGTCTGGTCGCCTCGAGCTCCCGTCCACAACCGAGATGGAATCATGGGAAAGTTCAACTGTTGCCCAGAAAGGTGATAGTACTGCATTCCACCTTATGCCCTATCCACTAGATGCCAATTACATGAACATGCTCCATGATTGGGCATCCACAGCCGAACCACGCGCTGGGCTTACCAATGATGGCAATGGCAAGCAATGCAATCGCTGGAGTGAGAAAGAAAGGTGGATGCGAGAAATGGTCCCCGAGATGCGCAAAGCATTTTTTACAAAGGGCGAAGAGCGGCGCTCAATTAAGACTCTGGAACAGCTTGGGTATGACTTCAAAAGATGGCGCAATGAGCTGAATCACTTTCCATGAATATATAGTATAAGATTCACTTTGGTGCGGGGTTATAGAACAAGGTATATAAATATATATGTTAGGGGTCAATCTTTAGGTCCATTTGTTGTACTGCTGCAGGATACCAGTCACCACGAAGCCAAACAGTACGACCAACACTCGAGCTAAATTGCTCGAGCTACTGAGCAGTGAGGTGGCCAGGAATCCATAACAGAACACAATTAACTCCGAGTAGAAGCCGAGGAAGACCGAGATAAGTGGCAGTGGAGTTGGCCGATAGCCTGATAGCAGGTCACGTGGGGCCGATCACCCGCAAGCTCTCCGCCAGCGAATCCATACTCTCTCTCCTCACTCATCTGTTTACTCCTCACTCCCCCGAGTACTTCGGCCTTTGCTCGCTATAGTGGGCTGTCGCTTGCTTCGCGTAAATCCACTTGTTGAGTACTTTGCCTGTGACACATCCGGAGACAACATGACCCACCACAGCTGCGCCGTTCCTTCTCCGCACGCATAGAATAATGCGCAACAAGCGGAAAGCATCACCAACACCCAGGCATATTTCTTCTCCTCGCAACAAGAGAGCTCGCTACCACCGCTACGCTGTTGTCTCTAGCGACGAAGAGGACATTAGCGCGGACGAGAGAGAGGTAGCATCTGACGAGGAGTACGAAATCAACGGTATATTGGACGAAACCGAATCCCATTACTTGATTGACTGGGTAGGAAATTATTCGCCTAGTTGGGTGGGTTCCTCTATGATAGTTGGTATTGAGCTGCTCTGAAAGTCGTCTAACCGGTCCGCTTCGGTCAGGAACCAAAAGAAAACGCCAGCCCAGAAGCAATCCAGGCCTGGGAGGAAAAGAAGAGGGAACAAGAGCAACCTGCTGCTGAGGGGAGCGGCGTCTCGACTGGACAATCCTCAACACAATCTCCTCGCTCAATTCCTGACGAGTGTGCTGAGACTCCTGCTCAGGAAACTGTCCCTCCACGGCCTTCGGACTCCCCTTTGTTCGTCCCGCACGAAGCTGGATTGGAGACTCAACTTCGAGAAATCAACGAACCCCCACTGTCAAGCCTTCCTGTTGGGGGCTCTAGTCAGTCCTTGGTCGACCCCAAATCCCCGACGAAACCTCAGCATCAAAGCGTATTTGACAGTTTTCCGAGAGCATCCATTCCGCGGGAGTATCTCCTTCCAGGCGAATCTGGAGAACCGCCAATTCAGAACGACGGTTCGATTGTCACAGAGCTGCACAGGGGGACCGAAGACCATATAGCCGAAGAAATAGGTGAAGATTCTGGGTCTTCTCGCGAAAGACAGAACACGATCGTGCAACCTAGCCCTCGGACAGAAATCCCGGAAACCCCCTCTATTCCATTCATAGTCCCGCATAGTCAGCTTTTACCGGCTGGCACCCAGGTAGGAACGCTCGGCTCTCAACTTTATTTGAACTCGGCAAGCTCTTCCTCCATCCTCGCCAGCACTCTCCCGGCCCGAACCTCGCCGGTGAACTGGGATTCGTTGAGAAGCAATTTGAGCTCTGTATTTGCCAATACTACCCCTAATTACCCATCAGGCTATTCGCGAACGCATTTGTTAGAGTCAGCGTCCGCGAACACCTCGACAAGTCAACCGTTTACTACACCTGCAGCGCGGGCCGTCGCCGACTCCACTGGTATCTCTTCAATTGCTTCTCCGTCACAGGCTTCTCTACTTAATACGTTGTTTATCCCAAGGGAATTCCCTATTTTATCGCGCAATAAACCTGGGAATACAGCCCGAGGATTGAGTCCTAACGCCCCAAGTTTACGCCCACTGGCCACTCAATCTCCCTCTACGCCGGCCAGAATGGATGACCAAAGCCAGAAGAAACCAGGGAGCTCTCTTGCCGAGACTATGGAGAAGTATAGTCATATTGAAGGTTCAACGCCACAGGAGAAAATTATGAATCTATATGCCAGAGTCCGCGAGAAGAGCACAATTGAGACATTGCAAAATGAAGCGAGTGCAACTCCGTCCTCTCCTGGGGATATTGAAGCCTCCGAGCCACCGCCTGCACCCGAAACGGTTGCGCCTCTCAGCGTAAGGGTGGATAAAGAGCCTCCCCATGTTGACGCGGTCAGGGAATTAGTGCCAGAGACCTCTTTAGAAGAAACAGAAGCTCCGACGCATATATCGGAAACAGTCCACACTATCCATCCGAGCGCGTTGACAATGGATCCCATAGAAAAGAAAGTTCCAGGGTCTGTTGATCTTGGTCCCTCCGAGTTTGCTGTGACGCTTCCGATGGATTCGCGAGTGAAGGATGATTACGGACGGGTACTACAAGAATCTAAAGAAGTTCTCGGAACCGTACTCTCTGGTCTGAAGAACAGCTCAGAGTCTGAGGTAAGCCAATGCACCGTCCATCATTTTGTTCTTGAACCTAACAATAGCGGCAGCTGGAACGCGCCGCATCCTCATTACAGCAAGTACTTGAACGCCTAAGCAACGTAGCTACTCATCCTGATATCAATGTTGCGGAACACATGAAAGATGCGAACTCAAAACTTGACGAGGAAGCTGGCTGGGCGGACTACTCCAGCGCGAAATTCCATCTACTGAACTACCTTACAAAGGCTGCTAGCGCACAAGACATCCATCTAGTCATCATGGTCAGACGAGAAAAGACTCAAAGGATTGTTGAACGCTATTTGCAGGGCAGAGGGTTCTCATACACGCGCGCACGCGAGGAAATGGGCAGTGGCACCAATGTAGAAGTCTCTATGGCGAAGGGTGCTCTCAGTTTTGGAGTTCAACTGGCTCAAAGCGATGGCATTGTGGAAACGTACAAAGCACCATCAGCAATAATTGCGCTCGACTCCTCGTTAAACACAAAGAATCCGTCTGTGGAACATATGCGGACGACATTTGCTCGTAATGGGCACTTGCTACCGGTTATCAGACTCATGGTTGCTAATTCAAGTGAACATGTTGAGTTATGTTGCCCGGGGCCTCCCACGACAAAGCATCTTTCTAAAATCCTTCGGTGCTCAGGGAAGCTCTATGACATAGTTGGAGAGCTCCAAGACGATGCCCTAGGAGTGCATGAAGATGCAGACGAAATTATGGCCAGCCTTCTCTCGGAAAATTTCAATGCCTCATGGTCATTGCCTCTAGTCGAGCCTCTGCGTCAAGGGACTTTGGACGAACCGTCACAAGATGGGGAGCATTTCGACGTCGAAGATACCATTCCTGGCACTTCCGTGGCTCAGAAACGTGGATTTGTGAGCGAAACCTGCGACCCTTCTTCAAATAAAACTGTGGCTAACAGTATAACAGGAGGAAGACTCTCTTGAACCCACCTCGAAAAAAGCAAGGGTGGATGAGTCTCAGGATATAAGCCAGGTCACAGTCAGTTCGAAGGCAGCCTCTCAGTCACTGGACTCCCAAATACAATTCCTGGAGCAGAGCTTGATACAGATGAGGGCCGAGAACGCAACTGAAATCCAGAATCTCAGAAAAGAAGTGGCCGAGGCTCGGGCTCGTCTGTTGGAGAGGGATAGAGTACTAGAGACGCTTCAGCATCGCTACGAAACCCGAACGAAGGATCTACATACTATCCGACGGGAGCGTGACCGTCTACTTGAAAACAAGACAAACTCTGAGCAGAGAATCAAGAAACAGAATGAGGAGATCGCAAAGCTCAAAGATGAGCGCACTCTACTAAAGCAAGAGCTAGCACAAGCACGAGAAGCTCTCAAAACCGGCGGAGGCGACATGGCAGAATTAGAAAAGGCCAGGGAGGAAAACCGTCGTCTCACAACCGAAAACACAGCCTTAGAACGAAAAGCCGACGTTGCGAGCAAACAGGCCGAGTATACCCGCGAGCAGTACCAGACAGCCTCCAACGCGGCGGCGCACTCAGGGAACGAACTCCGCGCCCTCAGAGAAGAAAATGAGATACTCAAACGCAAAGTCGCCGGCGAAGCCACCCGGCTCCGGGAACTAAACATCAAGAACGACGAAACTCGCCACCTAGCAAGGATCGCAGAACTAGAATCCCTACTCACGGTCCGCGAAGATATTCTTCAGAGGAAAGAGGATGAGCTCCGCGAGATGCGCAAAAACCGCCCATCCACACGCTCAACGAGCACACAACCCCGAAGCCCGAAGTTAAACGCGGGCAACTACAGCCGCCCTGGAAGTCCGGGTATCAACAACAACGGATCGAATTTCCCGCCAGGTCGTGGGAGCGCGCTTAGGTCAGTCCTGATGTAAGGTTTCGAAATTCATCAGACTGTCCCGGAGTAACCTACCTACCCTCTCAAACTTTTAACCTCCGATCCAGAATTTCAATCTAAACGTATACATTGACCTCTGGATATGTTAGAGTGGCAATGTGATCGCATTAAATTCTTTTTCAATCCCAATCCTCTGTTCACTTTGGCAGTACGCTGGGTCTCATTGACATCACATCAATCTGATTTCTCACTGCTAGACTCCTTCTATGACGCTTACTTGGGAGAATGGATGTCACCGCACCTACCTCTGCATAGATCCAGCTAAACCCACTGCAACCTCTACCTCTAGTGTAAATAGTCTCTTATCGATGATGACATCGCATTGGTCTTGAGCTGAATATTGAGCCGAATGCTACTGTGCAGGGTCTTCTCGCTGTAACCTCGCCATGTCACAGTCAACAGTCTTGATAGTCTGAACTCTGGATTTCCTCCATCCAGCCCCAAGGACCTGGAGAGTCGAGGAGGTAGCACTGGTATCGTAGCTTATTCCTAAGATGATGTGATAGGCATGCAGTGCCGTACCCAGACGTCTTTTCTAAACATGTCTTTCATTTTCGAAACTAAAGCACTATTAAAGATGACCTATCTCGTATGTTTTAGGTGTCTGTTTTAGTGTATGATAAGGAAATGGAAACATAGAGGCAAAGAGTTCCCCAACAAGAACGACAAGGAAATGACCGTAATAAGACAAAGAAAATAATAGACAGACAATTTGAGACGAAGCAAAGCAGCACAACACCTCTAAGCCCCCAAAGCACTCCTCATGAAGACTGCAAGCTCCTTCGCCTTCTCGCCCCTCGTCATGGTAAAGTGATTCGCACCCTCAATCACAGTAATGCCACCTACATTCCCCTTTCCAACAAGCGTATCCCAGCCATTGGGGCCAAGATCCGTCCTATTGGCCAGTAACCAGACCATCTCGCGCGTATCCTTGCTGCCATCTTCCGCAGGTGCAGGCCAAGGGTCCCCAGGCTTGGAGCAGACCCCGTCCTTAGCCCAAACGAGATACGTCTTCGGTAGCTTTCCAGCCCACTGTGCCTCATTGAACGGGAGCGGGACGGCCTTGTAGGCATCTAGCGAGTCGATGAAAGCCATGAAGTGAGGGAGCAGCCAGGCTGGTGGCGCGGCCTTGCCCTCGCCGAAGAGCCCGACGGAGTCGATAAAGTCGTAGAGACGGGACGGGAGCTTCTCGAGACCAATGGGGAAGGGGGAGTCAAGGAGAAGTAGTCTTTCGACGGTTTCACCTTCCTCTAAAACGAGTTTGCGTGCGGCGTCGTATGCGCAGACTCCGCCTGCGGACCAGCCGCCAAGACTGTAGGGGCCCTTTGGTTGACGGCGGCGGATTTCGGCGAGGTAGGGTGCTGTCAGGGAGTCGAGGCTGCATTTGAGTTTTTCCGGCGTCTTCATGTACGGGCAGTTGAGGCCGTAGACGGCAACCGTGGGGGAGATACCCGGGATGGTGGCATAGGAGGTTGCGGACCCGGAGCCGTCGGGAAAGAGGAAGAGGGTTTTTGTGGCTGTCCTTGGGTTGCCCTGAAGGAGGATGGATGTTGCCGGTGGGTGATTGTTACCGGCACTGTTGATTGACGTTTTCTCTGGCACGGCGATGGCTTGTGGGCGGGAGACAGCGGTTGGAATAATCTTGGGCTTCAGGTCCAGGGCGGTTTCGATTTGGTCAAGGGTTTGGTGCTCGATGAAGAACTCTCCGGGCAGGTCCAGATCCACTGACTCACGGATCCTGCCTAGGACTGTCAAAGAAAGAAGCGAGTCCATTCCCATCTCGCCTAGGTTCTCGTCGCTCTTGATCTCGTCCGCCGATACGCCGATTTCATCGGCGATGATGGCTCGAATCTCTTTCATAGTATTGTTCTCATGAATCTGCATGACCTTCTCATTTGGCAGTGATATAATGCCAAATGATGCAGGGGTTGACAGTCCAGTTGAAAGCCCAGTTGATAGTCCAGAAGAGCTATCGCCGTTGAACGAATACTCAGATTCACGTTCACTGGACGATGAGTCGCTGGATTCCGACGGGCTCAACTGTGCGACAAGTCGCTTGAAGTCGCTGACTGTTGGCTGCTCGATGAAGACTGATGAATCCAAGTCTAGGTTCAACTCCTCGCGGTACCTGCCGGTCACTGTCAATGACAATAACGAGTCAACTCCGTAGTCGGCAAACACCATGTCGTCAGACATGTCGGAGTCCGACAGCCCTACTTCTGATGCTAGGATACTGAGTGCTCGCACAACCACGCTTGGCCCTGATGACTTTTTGACGAACGATTTCATTCTCGGTGGTGGCGCTGGGCGCGAGGTGGTGCCTGCAGTTTGCGTCGGCTTCTGCGGACCTGGGGCCTGTGCTGGCGATGTCTGCGCCTTCGGGGCTCCTGCTGGTGGAAGGGCAATGTCAAGGATCTTACGCGATAGAGCTTGGAACTAGTGATGAGCGTTAGCGATGACTCTTTAATGGATGAGACATAACTCACCTTGACACCCCCGTACACGGCAATAATGTCATCACCTTCGAAAATGTAGACATCGCCTGCCCAGATAGAGTCACGCCATGGCTGCATCCTAACATAGGTACGGTAAATGACATCTGACGAGAACTTCTTCAGGCATCGCATCGAATCCCATCCGTGGTTCACAAAGACCTGGTTCTTCGAGTCAGTTCCATCGCTGGCATTCATGATGAATCCAGACAGGTGGCCAAAACTGTCAATCCAATATGGGTTGCGGTGGAAATTAGCCTGCGGCGCGTGAAACTTGACCAAAGCAGTGGCCTCGTGGTGCTCGCTGTCAAGGATAACTTCACGGATTGATTGGTAGTTCTCATCATAGTCGACCAGAGCGCTGAAGAGCTTGTAGACCATCCCTCTTCGCAAGCGATGAGCATTTCCTTTAATGGCACTGTCCTCGAGAATCTCAATGCTTCGTTTGATCAAATATGAGCTTCGCTTCCACTCTTGCTCGGAGGCGGCGCAGTCGAAGAATCGAACTTCACAGCTTGCGTGGTCAACGAGCTTTTTGCCCTCCGCCGTAACGGAGTAGACTTGGACTGACGCGCATTTGTCTGCCCAATTAGCAGTCGCCGAGACCCTGAACTGCTCTTTTCCAGTCTTTGCAATAAGAGGCTTTGGAACTGTCACATTGCATACGTCCAAACCTAAGCCTTTGAGCTCTGGCTTGTACTTCTCGATGAGGTATTCAGCCAGCGTCTGAGCAATGTCGGCATAGAGAGACTTCGAGAGGTGTTAGTTCTGGTGCTAGAACGGGACTTCCGGGGATACTTACCGAAGGACAAAGTGCAGCACCATTAACCTTGTGGCCCTGGATAACTCGGTTTAGATCAGGGTCTGCTATGTCGTTGTGCACCACCACTGTTGCCGATGACCCATCGTCGCGACTCTCCACGACCTTCTGGGCAGAGATCGTCAAGAAAGTAGCCTGTGGTGAAGCAGCCACAGCAGCCACAGGTGCACCCTTGGTGAGACAGAAGTTGTTCCTGTAGGGTATCCAGTAGTTCTTCAGATCCCATTTGTAGGCCGGTAGTGGAAGCACTCGATGGCTGGAGGAGAAGTCCTGATGGTATTGTTTCCAGTTGATGTCGACGCCCGCTAGGTAGAGACTTGAAAGGCTGTTCGAGAGGATCTTCCAGGAGTCCTCATCGCGCCGCAGTGATGCCACAGTGGTTGTTTGCGGTCCAAGCGTAGCCTTCACCATTCCCGAACAGATTGTATGTGGACCAACCTCGAGCCAGAGAGTCTGATCACCGCCGAGCTTTGCATTCCTCAGCGCTTCGAAAGCACTCAAGAAATTGACGGTTTCCCGACAGTGTCTCACCAAGTACTTCGAGTTGAGGATATTGGGATCGGCTTCTGTGATTACTTCACCAAGCAATGCCGAAACAAAAGGCACTGAAGGCTTGTTGAAGGTGATACCCTGCAGTATCTTCTCCAGGTCCTCCAGTATAGGCTCAACCTGAGCAGAATGGAAGGCATAAGGCACGGTCAGCACGGTTGATTTCAATCCTTGCTTTGAACAATCTTGAGAGAGCTCATCGATGGCCTTTCTGGGACCACTAATAACAGTTTCAGATGGTGAGTTGATGCAGGCCATATCATGTACGCCCTCTTTCAGAAGCTGTTTGACACCTAGCAATGGAGCTTTGATAGCCAGCATAGCATGTGTTCCTGGTTGACATCGCTCTGTGAGTAGCTGGGCTCGACGGCCACAAGCGTAAATGGTATCGCTAATTGACAGCACACCAGCAGCATTCATTGCTGCGAAATCTCCAAGGCTATGCCCAAGAACAAAAGATGGCTTAATGCCCAGAGACGACCAGAAACTAGTCAAGGCCATTTGCACGCATGTAGTTCCAAGCTGCACCACAACGGGATTCAGCTCGCTCAAGGGCACGCTGCCATCAATAAGAGGGAGGATGGAAGGAAGACCCTGACTTTGACTAATGCAATCAAAGTGCTCAATGGTAGATCGGAAGTGAGAACACTCCTCGTACAGCTGCTTGCCCATACCTGCATATTGAGCACCCTGGCCGGTAAAGAGGAAACCGATACCAGGAGGCTTGGCGGGCGCTGCCGTGATATCCTTCTTGGAGCTTGCACTTAAAGAGTCACGCAGCTCTTGTAGGCTGGACCCAATAGCAGTTACTCGGAAAGGGTGGTGTATACGGCGCGCCGTTGTTGTATATGCCAAACTTGGAAGGGTGTTGCTGTCGTTGACCCCGAAAGTCTTTCCTTGATCACTGATAAACTGACACAATGAGTCGATATTGTTCCGAAGAGCCGTTTGAGATCGGGCAGATAAAGCCACCACGTGTGTACTTCGAGGATCTTGTCCATCGCGATCGGAGATGGGAGCATCTTCCAGCAGGAGCGCGGTATTTCCGCCAGCAGCGGAAAAGTTGTTCAAGAACAATCGGCGTTTTCCTGAGGAGGGTCGATTCCAAGCCGTTGGCTCAAGCGCGATGTGGACGTTCCTTTGTGCTAAGTCGGTTGGGAAGTTGTGATTGATCCTTGTCTTGATCCCACAATGCGGTGGTATCATATTTTCCTTCATCATCAACAGCACCTTCACGAGAGAGGTCACACCCGATGCTGATTCACCGTGGCCTATGTTAGATTTCGCTGAGCCCAGATGGAGCGACTGTCCTGGCCCGCGTTTATGGTCTGGAGCAAAGACATCTAAGACCGACTGCATTTCAACCGCATCCCCAGCTTGAGTACCGGTTCCGTGCATCTCAATGTAGCTGACACTCTTGGGGTCGACATTTGCTTCGTTGAGCAGCTTCTTGAAGATAAATGCCTGCGCTCCGACATGGGGGCGGGTAATCGAGACTGCCTCGGCCGAATGGTTCGTGTATGCGCCGTTGATGACTCCAATGATCGGATCATTGTCAGCCTGAGCATCCTCAAGTCGTTTCAGAACAACTGTCCCAACACCGTCCGCCCTGCAATATCCATCGGCCCCGTCGTCAAACGTGTTACAGTTCCCGGTCGTAGAAAGAAAGTGACCACGGTCAAGACCAGCATGGTTGTCTGGGTTGGTCAAGATATTCACACCACCGGCAATGGCCGCGTCGCAGTCATTTCGCCAGATCGAGTTGCAGGCTAGATGAATAGCTGCCAAACTAGATGAGCAGGCCGTGTCGACACTAACACTAGGTCCGCTGAACTTGAAGTAATAATTGATCCGTCCTGGAGTAAAAGCGCGGTTGCCACCTGGGATGAAGTATGTATCAATGTCTTGGCCGCTATTAATCTCACGGTAATCGTCACTGGTCATCCCGTAGAAGATACCGACTCTGTCTCTTTGCGTGGATGGTGTACTATCCGGAACAAATCCAGCCCCTTCCAACGCCTCATACGCTGTAAGCAATGCAAGACGTTGAGCAGGGTCTGCTTGGAGCGCCTCACGCGGTGACATGTTGAAGAAGCGAGGATCGAATAAACCAGGCTGCCGGATCCAGCATCCGTAAGGGACCTTGCTTGTATTCCTGGTGGCGCCCGTGAGGTCAACGTGCGCGTCAGCATCCCATCTGTCTTCCGGTACTTTTCTGTGTACATCGAGGCCCTTGTATAAGAGGTTCCAAAAGTCCTGGGGACTATCAGCTTCTGGAAATCGTCCCGACATTCCGATAATAGCTATTTTGGAAAACTCCGTCCTGCCCGTGTGATTGACAGGCTGAGCCTCCGCCGTAATGTCGCCAATTCCTCCATCAACTTCGATGTTCGTCAAGTTCGCTTTCTTGAGAGAGTTGAAAAGACTTTGCGTAGCCGAGGTAGAGACTGGAAACAACTTCTTGGGTCTGCGGTCACCCACTGACTTCAAAACCGATATGCATGAATCTGTCACCTTGTCCCAAGACATTTGGTGGAGTAAGATCTCTCTCAAGGCAACTTCGAGGAAGTCTTTCATGTTTCCGACTTCAATGAGTTTGCCCGTGTTGCTCGAAAGAACCGGGAACTGGGGCTTGTATTTGCATATGGTTTCCAAGTCGCAGGACTCTAGAATCCTCTGCACGTCTCGGCCATCGTACAAGTGAGAGGCGTGGAAAGGCCCATAAATTGGAGCTCTCACAGCCTTATGCTGCCGTGGAATAGCCGTTTCCAAAAATTGGTTGAGGATGACTGGGGGCCCGCTGATAGTCAACGTGTTTGCGCAGACTGCACTTATGTACGGTCGAGACGCCGGAGCGATACCCTATGGCTGTTCAGTATGAGGCTGTCACAGAGTCTGCGTTGAGAACCCACATTATCGTTACTAAAACTTTCAATCAAGCTCATGCCCTCGGCTTCATTGAGGCCGGACACGAGAGCTGACCAGCTGGCCGGCGCTGCGTGAACTTGATCGACGAGATTCCGCACGCGGAGGACACACAGCCCTAATCGAAGAGCCACAACCACCACTTCGACCGCCGGCTTTAGTAATTCGCCAATGTTATTCGCAGAGCTGACGGCGGCGCAGCTGAGCAGTCCCGTACACAACCCAACAAGTTGACTCTTGGAACTCGAGGGATAGGCATGACCAAGGTCACCATAGTAACTGTGACGATCAGCAATGGCTCAAATAAAGCAAAGCCTAGAAGCAACCTGCAACATACTTGATAAAGCATCCCAATTGATATATGCAAGTCAACGCGCTCTCCAGCGCAGGGTTCCCAGGAGACTCGCAGTGCCTCGCTAGGAGATCAACGATGCTTGTAAACCGAGGAAATATGCTGCGCTCAGTTGGTGGAAGACTCGAGATCTCTTGCCGCAGTGCATGGTAGCTCTGCTGAAAGAAAGCCGAGAGGATTGTGTGATTCTTTGCCTGTAGGAGACGACGGAGACCGACTTCGAAATCACCCGTTTGATCTCCGAAGAGATAGACATGGTAAGGGTCCTCCATCATCAGGTAAACAAAAACCTGGATCCGTTAGCTAGAGAAGTGAGTTCAAAACAAAACAGCGGCGAGGGGCGCCCGCGGTCCCCTATGGGCAGGCTTTTATACCTCATGGGAGGGTTCTAGATTTCCTTGCAGGGTGGACCGCGGTTTCCATACGCAATTGCGGCATGCTTCAAGCGTGCGCTATACACCGCAGTCGGCACTATTTTTGGATGCACAAGCGATGTAGCATCGGCAAGCCGGTAAAACAGGCTGCACGAAGCCTCGAATACAACCGTCGCCATGCTGTGGGCCGTCGAGAGGGCTTCTCTTTGGTCAGTTCGTGAAGAGAAAGATCTAGATCGGAGGGCTTCCGGAGTCCAGTCGGTATATCCACTTCTCCCAATGCTTTGAGATTCCGCAGGACTTCCGTCATGTTGGGAAGCGGCCGTCTGTTTTCGGAATCGGGTCCAACTCACCCTAAATACCTGATAACAGGGAGTGGGCTTGCTTGGGTGGATGCGCCGGATGAATGAGTCGACAGAGTATCCATCGACCCAATAGTACTATAGTATTGAGAAACATGCATTTCAAAGAGATCATGAAGTACGGTGAGTCGGGGACTGGTGATGTTCCCAACTTCCGGAAATGGAAGTAGGGATAGTCACGTGCACCAAAGCCTGACCTACTCACAGCCATATCAATTCTGTCAAAGTGCGGCTTGGAGAGGCACTGTATACCATCATCAAGTTAGTAGCGCTCACGTCGTGGGCTAAAATGGGTAAGTGGACTACAATCACGCAGTGTAATCAATTGAGCCCGAATGTCCTGCGTTAGGGTTACGTTCTCGACTCGGTTGTCGAGGCTCTATGCTAAACGTCATCACCATTGACGAATTCTCGCCAGAATCATATCGCCCGCTTCAGTTCGTGTACAGAGTAAGCAATCAGGGCTCAAGCTAAGTGGCATGATGGACCACCGCCACCAAGTGGGCGAGGCTGGTCGAGATTTCAGGTAATGAGAGCATGTACGATGCGCCGTCTTCTAGACTGTCATAGCCCTTTGTTTTTAGCATGAATGCGCTACATTCATTGGCCTCCGATTAAGGGGTGTTCGGCTGTAACTCTGCAAGCCATCAAAGGTGTTGGCGTAGAAGGCGTCTACACCAGAACAATTATGACATTGGATTGTCGCAAGTAGAATGGCGCTCTTCGCTCATAGTCGGCCACACAACACGGATCTCACAATGTCATGACTATGGAAAGGATGCTAAAAAAAAGGCCCACGCTGAAGTAGTCAGGATTGGGCATTACTGCTTCAGCGGATTTGGTTTCCGCTCGCCCTGCACTTGTGCTAAGTCAGTCTCATACTGCTTCCGTTTTCGGCCCTCGTAGCCGTCAGGAAAAATTGGCCTCCAACAAGCAGTGCGGTGATGCCAGTTTGCGCAGAATTTGTCGAAGAGTCAAACAGAGAAACAGGCTTATTTAAAGGCTTCGATTCTTTAAGAGGTCATGAGCGCAGATCTCTAGGCAACTTTAATTGCTGAGCCAAAGCCAGCACAGTCCTCCAGAGGGAAGATCATCTTGAAATATGCTGTCAGAACATAATCGAGGACGATATAATTGGCTTGAAGTAAGCCGCGTAAGGAAGAATGTTCCGACCAGCCGCTGCTATGTTTGTTGTTGCTTGGTATGCGACCTTTCCCAGACGGGTGGTTAATCAGTCTTTGGCCCTTTGCAGGCTCTGTCCCTGGTTAAAAGCGACAACGATCTCTCGAAATTTGAGATACTGCATGAGTGTGACGGTGGCTTCCGGAAGTGATCGCTGGCGTTCAGGTGGAATGCTGCCACCGAACTATGTATCCGGAGATTCAGAAGTTGGGGATGAGCGATAGTCTGCCCGAATCTGTAAGAAAGCTCATCAGTATTCCGTAGATAGCTGTATGAGTAGATCAAGTCTATCTTGAGCTGCTCAGTCTGGATAGTCCACTAGATTGCGGACCTGACCACGGGTACTTTGCGCGGGATCGGAGGGGAACCATGGATCTGCTAGTAGCAACTAGTAGGACATGAGTGGGTAGCTAGCGTCAATGGCCCACTGCGTTAAGGGGTTTGTATCAGAGATCAATGACAGGCTTCAGATGCGAACGGGAGACTAAGAGCAGAGCATAAAATCGATCAAGGAAAGAAGAAGAGGTCTGAGATGGATGGGAGCCAAGAGATGAGCAGTGAGAAGGCGAGCAGACGCGAGGATAAGCTTATCGATAGCAATCCACGCTAGGCCGGATCGAGCGACCACGTAAACACGGGCCTCAGCTCCGCCCAGCGACAAGCAGCGAGTCAACAAGCAGCAAAACAACTTCGGGCGTCACCGTCTGTTGTTCCTCCATCTCTCAGCTAAGCTCCTGTCGCGCTCTGTCCCTTCCTCCTTTCTCCTGCTCTCTCTTTCCTCCTTTCCCTCTGTCCCTTTCCCTTCTCTTTCTCCTCGACCGGCAACAGGGCGGGTCCTGTTAGGCACGATCTCTCTCCGCCCCGTTTCCCAGCCACTCCCTTGGGCTCCTCCGTACCATGCTGGTATCCCTGCGCGTGTTCCTTTGAGCCCTTCCTTTGCTTACCGCGCTTCTTCAGAGTAACGAACTCTATCAAACGACGCCCTGTCAGCGCAATTGAGTGGTCCGCCAACCGCCCTTTCACTTCCGTCAATCATCGTGGGCGCGGAGACCTATCGCGGGCGCTTGAGACCTTAGCTCGCCGTCATGGCGGCCCCCGCACCCCAGCTTCCGACCCGGTTTCCCTGCTGGTGTCGGGCAATATATTCGTGGGGAGGAGAAGCGAAAAGCGACCTGGGTTTTATAGAGGGTGATCTGATCGAATGTCTGAATGCGGGGGATGGTCAATGGTGGATGGGTCGACTGCGGAGAGACCGGCGCATGGTTGGATTGTTTCCTTCCAATTTTGTCCAGCTTCTAGGGGAGGATTTTGTACCAGTCACCCGGGCGACTAGTCCCATGCTCCCAGCCGCTGCGTCTCCGATCACAAACCCGACGTCGGCTCCGAAGAAACAAAAGACAGTCTTCAGAAAACCGTTTCAAGCCCATAAGGAAGCTCTCGCGCCATCTGGCTCTGGAGGCAGCCCGTCTTCAACGTCACCAAGTGGAAGCACGATTCCTCAAACACCTCCGCGCGATGGCACAGTTTCCCGGAGAACGAAGGCAGGTCGCACGCCAACTAGAGCGGCCAGGCAACAGAGCTCCTTGTCTCGGCCCCTGTCGATATCCCGGCCGCCGTCTCGAGGAGTGTCACCGCACCCGCCCCAAGAGCCAGCGTCTCAACAGTATAACAGCCTTCATCGCTCTCGTTCCCGCCCTCCGTCCCGTGCAATATCTCCCCGGCCTCAGCGTCCTGAAGCCTTGCATCATTCACCTCTATTGCCTCCCTCGGTTCCGATGTATAACCATAGCCAAATGTCGCATTCGTCGGCGCGTGCAGTATCCCCCCGGCCTCAGCCTCCTGATATTGGTCGTCACTCGCCTTTAATATCTTCATCGGTTCCCATGTACAGTCATGTCCAAGAGTCACATCCGTGGTCTCGCTCAGTATCTCCTCGACCTCAGCTTCCCGAGATCGCACATCACTCGCCTCTATCTCCTTCGGTTCCTATGCACCATCAGATGCAATTGTCACATCAGTCATCCCGAGAGATCTCCCCTCTACAACTCGCAGAGCGCGAAGACTCCCCGCCACCACCGCCGCCTCCTCCTCACAGAGTTGCAGTCCAACGTCAGCCTTCCCCCATGAGTGTACCGCGTCAATTGGAAATGAACAACCACTATGTTGCCTTTGCGCGAACCCCATCACCAGCTGGCCATTCGGATGCGAATGGGCAGACACCGTCACCATTACGAGACGCAATGGAGGACGTAATGACGTCGCTCGAGGATATGGGAATATCACGAGGCTCGCGTTCTCCATCTCCCCAGCCGGAGTTCAACAATCCCTGGTCACCGGCAGCCTTCGAATCGTTGCGTGATAGCCGGCGGCCCCAAAGAAGCAATCGACCTTTGACGTCTTTGGGATTTGAAGGCGAGAAGGAGTACTATAATAATGATACTACTCATAGAAACAGCGTCTACACGCACGATCCGTTTATCGAGGGCCCTCCGCAAATCAATAATTACGTGCAACGGATGGAAAGTCGACTCCGACAGATGCAGGAACAGGGCCGTCGAGCGTCCGAAGATATACAGCCTCCAGTCGGCAACGATGAGGATGAAGAGGACATGCCCCCTCCGCCACCGCCAAGGCACGGGGGATATCACGGACGGAACAATTCTATACCCACTCATTTACCCTCGTTACGAAGCAGACGGTCAGGAAATGATCTCAGGAATGATATGTTGAATCGGAGCTACACCAAGTCGTCGAGTACGACGAATTCTTCAAGTGGCGTACAAAGTAACATCACCAATCAAACTTCCAGCACTGACGGAACCAGCCAAAGCCTGATGAGCGGAGCTTCCGCCGGAGGTTTTAGCGCAACAAGTGCTGGAAGTTACGCCAGGAGAGGTAATGGGGCAGGCGAAAGGCCAAGTACCGCAGTAGACACGGTCCGATCCAGAGGGTTCAGCGATCTTGCGCGAATGTCACGTCCCGAATCGCCCATGAGCGGTGTATCCTATCACTCTAGTCATAACACTTCCCGGCAGGGCGCCTCTTCTGCGATTCCTTGGTCAGCCTCGGCTCCCGCACCGGAGGAGCCAAACAGCGTGTTTGGAGGGCTGGCAACCCCGAAGGCGAAGAAGCAAGGGTTTTTCAAGAAGATACTGGAATCAGCGAAGACTGGGGCTGCGAATGCTAGAAGCAGCATTGCCGTAGGGCATAGCGGAGGACCCTATTCTCCGACTAAAGGGAGGGCGATCTCACCAATCCCATCCTCACCCTCGATGCGAGACGCCGCCGCCCGCGAAATGGGAATGAGCAGTAACTCCATAGACTGGGTACAGGTGCGGCGCGATGTAAATCGTGCAACGTCTCCCAGTCGGAACGAGAAGGTTGAGAGAGCAGAGAGGTGTCAGATGATGGACCATCCTGTGATCTACGCAGTTGAAGAACTACATGAGACCGCAGAAGGGGGTGAGAGCATCGATGGCTTGCCCATCGGCGAGCCTCTCGATTTTGGTAACGTCAATCTTACCCTTGTCGACAAGAGCGCGCGCTTCGTCAATAGTCTTCCCCCAATGACTAATCCGATGAGTCTTGCTCAAGGATATGTCTGTCGCCCTTATAAGAGTGACGTGCAGAGGCTGCGCGCTATCTTCACCTGGGTGAGCGAAAAGATTGCATGGGACGAGCCAATAGAAGATATGGAGATCGATCTAAAGCGTGTGCTACAAACCAAGAGAGGCTGCGCCCAGGAGGTCGCCTACCTGGTTCGAGAGATGTGTGCTGCGGTTGGTTTACATGCCGAGGCAATTGAGGGGTTCCTCAAACCCCCTGGCGAAGTTTTTGATTTGGATAGTCTTTCGCGCCCAAACCATTGGTGGAATGCTGTGCTTGTCGACGGCGAATGGCGCTTTATGGACTGCTCAATCGCGAGTCCAACAAATCCTTTCCGAAATCAGTTTGTGACTACGAATACGACAGCGGCCGAGTCTTGGTACTTCCTCGCTCGACCCCTCGAGTTCTGCTATACACATGTGCCGCTTGAGCCTGAGGGACAACACATTTGTCCTCCGATCTCCCCGGATGTCCTTCTCGCACTCCCTACCGTATGTCCAACATATTTCAAGATGGGCCTACAAATTCCAGACTACGACACCAGCGTCTTTCGTCTGGAAGGACTGGAAGTCCTTCAAGTTCGTATCTTGGTTCCAGCGGACGTGGAATGCGCTGCAGAGGTTGAGGCGCCGGCATTTGCTCGCGATGCCGATGGGGACTTCTTTGAAAGCGGGGAGATTGTGCGAAAACGAGCACTCGTTCAACCAGAATGGGTCAGTGGCCAGAAACGCATTACCGTCAAAGCCGTCTTGCCCGGCGACGAAGGACAAGGAATGGTCAAGGTCTATGCCGGCCGAAAGGGGCTCATGCACTCCAGTCGAGACATACCTCATCCACTTGCCTTTGCACTTCCAATCATCCACACTGGAGAAAATCCTCCTTATGAGTTTGTCCTTCGCCATCCAACTCCTCACGCGCAGCGTCACGACTTGTACATTATCCAGCCCCAGTGTTCCAAACTGGCCGTCAACAACACATTCGTGTTTTCCGTCCGCCAACATCCTTCTTCACCGGCGCCTCAGCCGGCTAGTACTGAGAATAGCTTCAGCGGACGCATCTCGCCGTCGGTCTTCTCCAGACCTGCAAGCGCGCTCAGCATGATCTCGAGCTCTGCGGGAGGGTCGACTGTATCGACAGTCTCTAATGAATTCTCCGCCTCAACCTCAGCCATCTCCTCCACGCGCTCCAACTCTGGGCGTGAAAAGCCTGCCAAGCTAGCGATTCAGTCACCTTCTGGCAAGATCTTACGGCTCACCCGTAAAGCCGACCATATGATCAGCAGCCCAAAGACTTCAGACTCGCCAAGTGAATGTACCGCCGATGGCAGCGTATGGGAGACGGTCATCAAGATCGGTGAGCGCGGTCCCTGGCGAGGACTCGTTCTAGCGGACCGTGTCGCACGCTGGTGTGTCTTTTGCGAATGGGAATGTTTCTAATATCTTCGCATCTATCTTGCATCGGTCCCGGACTTTGAATTTGCATCTACATTGCATAAAATCATGGATACCCAGCGTGACGCCGGAGGACCTCTTTCACTACTTTATCGCATGACAATTGCATTGCATTGCATCTAACGGTGGGCATGGGATATCTAGGCATCTGGGTACTGCTTCTACTACTACCATCTACATGGCTGGAGTTCTTGGACATTTTGCTCATTGCGACGGTGTTTCCATATTCATGTCTTTTTCTTTACTTTTCGCATCTGGATCGGGTTGTCTCGCCCTTGTAGCCATCTGGTGCTTGGCCCGCCTCATCCTTGCTACATTAGATTCCTTTGGCTGCTATCGACAGATTTCAGCTCTCTCTCTTACCCTTTCTATTTCACCTCTTGTTCGAGTATTTCCTTCTTCATGTTACGCTGTCTAAGCTGGGGTCAGGCGAGGCACCCGTAGCTCAAGATGTACTCATACTCAGTCAGCGAGTCAAATATACCAATACCTCTAGTATCACGTGCAGATGACGTCGAACGTGGAGAATAAATCCGTCAGAATGGACCCTGGTGGCCACCGCATCCCAGACCGCCTTATACTACCATCGCTCTATCCCAATTAGGAAGGAGCTCCGCGCATCCATTCCATCCTGTATGATCCCATTCCCTCGACGAGGCCCTTTTGCTTTATAGATCCATAGAAAGCCTGCCTTGGCTTGAATTGATCATTCTGTCTCTCTCCCAGTTGTGAGAGAGTATGTGCAGGAATCCGGACCTAAGGATCCCTGCCTCCACGAATAGAACGACGTACAGCGCCCCACTGACGTAGATACAGACCTCATTCGTACCCCTGGACCTATTTATGAGCGTACCTGTTTCGCCCAGTACATAAACAAAGCAGCCAGCCATACATATCCAAACAATCAAGGCCTCAAAATGTCACCGAGGCTCACCATCCCGGACCCCTTCGCCTCCATCCCGCGGGTAAACCTGCTATACCCATTCTCGTCTCCAATCCACCCCCTGCAGAACCTATCGAAGTTAGCCACAGGCTCAGCAGCAAAAGGAAAAGGTAATGTCCGCGTATCCCTCTACTCAAAGCGCGAAGACCACTCCTCCCCGCTCGCATGCGCGGGGAACAAGTACCGCAAGCTCGAGTACATTATCCCGGACATCCTTTCTTCTAGCCCACGCTTCGGCGCTGGCGTTGCGGCGGACTCCCCTGTACCATTGGACGGGAGAAAGAAGGTGACGACCCTTGTCACGGAGGGCGCGATACAGAGTAACCACACGGTACAAGTTGCGTCCGTGGCATCGAAGCTCGGGCTTGAGTCCGTGGTGCTTTTGCACAAGGGTACGGGTGGTGGATTATCCAGTGCACAAGATAAAGACGCCTTCCTGAGGACGGGCAATGTGCAGGTTGTCAAATTGCTCGGTGCGGATGTAAGGATGTTTGAGAAGCCGGTCGCACCGAAGACGCAGGATGATCTCGTTGAAGAGGTTCTGGAGGATCTGAGGGCTTCGGGGAAAGTTCCCTACTGGATTCCATCGGGGGCGAGTCTGCATCCGTTGGGTGGATTAGGGTATGCACGGTGTGCGTTTGAGATTGCGGAGCAGGAGAGGGAGGTCCTGGGGCATCCTGGCGGCAATGGTATAGAGCAGCCGCGGTTCGATTATATCTTCGTTGCGTGTGGGAGTGGGAGTACGCTTGGTGGGTTGATTGCGGGCTTCAAACTGGCCGAGAGATCCCAGTCGCAACAGCGAACTCGGAGACCGCGCAAAGTCATTGGGATCCTCACATCGCCTACAATGCGAAAGCCGTACCACGAAGAGCGCATACTGCGCTTCGCGCGACGCGCAGGCGAGATGATTGGCTTGGATCCCCAGGCTGATATCACGATGGATGATGTTATACTGGATGACCGATTCGCAGGGGAGAGATATGGTGTGCTAGACGCGCGGACGAAGGAGACGCTCTCTCTAGTAGCCGAAAAGGAAGAGGTCATGCTTGATCCTGTGTATACGGCAAAGGTGGCGAGGGGGATGATGCATTGGGCTACTGGGGATGAGATAGAGAAGGAGCTAGCCAATCCTCCTACTAATGGAGACCAACAGGTCAATGTCCTGTTCATCCACACAGGTGGGCAGTCTGCCTTGGGTGCGTACGCGGACATATAGAGCATATAGCACGAAAGTGGTCGAAGTCGAATCGAATTGAATCTATGGATTGTTTAAACATACAATTGTAGTGGGAAAGGAAAGAAACGACTACTCGTACATTGTATCAATGAAGAAAAAAGAGGGGGAAATCTCAGAGCCCTCAAGCTGCAGCACGGCGCAGTAGTATAGCACCGGTCCATGCGCATTTCCAGTCAGATCAGAAAGCAGAACGCAGGTGATAAAAACAAGACATCCGTCCATCCGATCCTTGATACACCGAACGATCACGAAACCACACCTTCAAAGCAGAAATGTTTTAGGAAGAGGAAGAGAAACCCAGACACCACAAAGAAAGCTAAAAATGGCAAATTGAGAGAGAAGAAGAGGCATATCAGTCACATCAGACATTAAAGAATCATACATCGCAGCGGTATAAGCCAGGCCGCGCAGCGCTAATGAACCACACAGTATCCGAAGTACAGTGAGTAGAGAAGGAGGATCAATCGCGAAATTGTGGGTGAGAACAGAGCGGTAGGGCAGATGTTAAAGAACACAATGTAAATAAGAAGGTGGATGCTAAGCAGCTGCAGTAGCTCCGGCTCCATTGACTTCGTGCGGCTTGTCTTCAACCTCCCCATCAGGAACAGGCACGGAGTTTTCCCGGTCGTTGCCGACGTCAAGTAATTCCAGCGCTTCATTAGCGTGGGTGTTTTCCATGGGTTCGGGGTATTGCTCAGCCAGGTCAGCATCCTGGTTGGTGAGATCGGCGAACACGTCGTCCAAATTCCGAGGACTACTACCGAACGGATTTGAATGGTCGACGACGTCCATACCAGGTGGACCACCTGGAGCAGTCCGCGAGTAACGGGGCGGGCTAAACAGAGAGGCAGGACCTTGAGGGGTGGGAGATCTCGGAGGGAACGAAGCGGTATCAGCAGAAACATGAGGCAGGAAGGCCGAAGACTCAGGTGCGAATGCCGACGCCGTGTCAGTTGCAGGAAGTGAATAACTTGCAGAAAACGGGTAAGGGGCGCTCTGTGTATCGTTTGGCGCTAACGTGGGCACCATGCGGGGGTCTGCATTATCACTATCGCCAGGGTTATGAGATGATGGCTGCAGGTTCGGAGGACGGCCAGCTTGGGCATCAATGGACTTGCGCTTTGCTGGGTTTGGCTGCTTGGGGCGCAGATGCGGGGGAAGCTCTTCTGGGCTTTGTATACCCATTCGAGCCATTAACTTCTGCTGCTTTGTTGGCCGAGGCTTCCTGGTCGACAAAGATTGCTCTAGAATTGGCGGAGGCTCCGGCGCGACCGGTTGCCACTTGTGAATCTCTTGTCGGAATAGGTTGGTTTCATATGCAAGAAGAACTTCGGCACCTTCGATCTTGCGCAGATAGAAGACCAAAGTAGGGACCTCTTCGGTCGTAGTGCACGCTGTGTTGGTGTAGCGCTGCAGGAACTCACGGAAGGATGTCGCCTGGTTTATGATATTCTCCAGGATTTGTTCTTCATCCGGCTGGAAAGGAAGCCCAGAAATCTCGGCTTGCCATTCTTGAAGATCTTCAAGCTTCGGGCGAGCAGCATCTCGGGGAATTTTTTGCCTCCAGTCACAGATAGGGCAGGTGTACTTGTCACACTCTTTGACTTTGCCACGAGCAATTTTGAGGCATTTTCCGTGGTACCATTCTCCGCAAATCTCGCATTCAATCATCATTCCAGCTTCGGAATGTCTGCAGATGCAAAAAGCGTCACGCTTCGCCGTTGACTGTCCATAATAATGATGTTGCTCTCCTTGGCCATCAGGGCTATTGTCCCTCGATGCTGGCTCGACAGGCGGGCGGAAGCGATCTTCCAAGTCGAAGCAATAGAAGTTCCGCTTTTCGACATACTCCATATGTGATTTGAGGATATGCAGAGGCGCGTTGGCCTTTCCGAACAGCTTCTTCCCCTTCCGCATCCAATCTTCGTGGCGTCTCTGCTCTCGCTCCAGGTCGACCGCGCCGGTAGGCCGACTATTCAACTCTACCACAGACTCCATTAACTCGCGCACTTCCTTGTAATTCGGCCGATTCTTGTAATTCGGGTCTTTGCTTCTCTCGTACAAGCTCTGTATCCGTCTCTGGGCTTCACGTTGTTTAATCAATATTGCATCTACCGCGGCGAGTGTCTCTGGGGAGACCGGAACCCGGGTCGCCTGCGTAGATAAAGCCTCCAACTGTTGGTAGTGGACGGCCTCGACCGACATCAATTCCTTTGCTTTCGCTTCCCATGCCTCGCCATGACGACACAGCTCCTTGAAATGCGAGAGATGCTCATTTGTCTCCGAAAGTCCCAGTTGTTCACCAGCCAGAATAAGCTCCTGACAGTCCTTGAGAGTCAAATATTGACCACGTTTGTGTCCAGCGTCCTCGTTCCACTTCATTTGTCTGACAATATGTTCTAAATCCTCCACCTCGGGTATCTCCACGTTGAGATTCCGCGAGTTTTCCACGAGTTCTTCAACTTCCTGTACTGACCGGATATGCGGGTTCGCGAGCGCAGCCTTAACGTCATTGCGGAATTTATCGATCTCGCGGGTTTTCTCTTCCAGAGCCGCCATCTGTGGACAGTCGAATGACAGTTTATCAGCCTCTGTAAGAAGGGCGTAGATGTTCTCTACTCTGCGGACTTCACGATCACGTTCTTCCAGCTGCGAGGCCTTGGAAGTAGTCTTGCGCCAGGCCTTCTCGTTCTTCCTTCGGTTCTGCTGCTTCCGCGTAATGTAGTTGGTTGCTTCCTCAACCCATTTATCGCAGCGCTGAACGAAGGCCGCAAGATCTTGAAGACCAGGTAAATGGTATGGGATTTTCTCACCTTCATTAAGCAGGTTATGAAGGACCTTCAATTGGGGCTTCGGCTCATCCTCGAGAATATTGTCGAGTTTTTGTCCCCACGCTTCTGGAATCCTGGCGCGCTCCTGGACCTTCAAGACCATTTCTTTTAATTCAGTATCGCTGACTCGGTAGCGGAGTGTGTGATCGGGGCCCAGTAGCTTCTGTGACAACGGCTCTCCACAGCAATCATGTGCATCCAGGTGTATCAAACACAATGCTTTGCCGGACTTGTGGCAATGGAATTGTGTCAGAAAGATGTAAGACTTGCAATAATGGCATTGGTATTCTTCCTCCGGGATGTCTTTATCCTCGACCAAGAACCGTAGCCGGCAGTCACCGGCAACAGCCGAGCCATCGGAGAATAAAGCACAGGTGTGCGGCGTTGCCTCCCGGTGCCGCGTAGCGAATGATGCTCGTTCGGCTACCTCACGAGAGCACGTCCTTTGAAGTGCTGGGGCAAGCCATTTGGCAGTGGATATTGATGTGTCCCGGGCAGCGGCCGTGAAAAGTAACTCGTCATGGGAGAAACACGGGTGTCTACGGAAGGCCTGAAGACGCTCAACGCCTGAGGCACCAAAGGGTTCCCAGTCCACGGGCGCAAAGTTGACAGCCTCATTGAAGTTGAAGCCATGGTTAAATCCAGCGTGGTATGCCTGCGGGAACGTAATAACAAATTGACCGGCCCGTTGGTCAAGCGCATAGACATTGACCCCGGCTTTCCGCAACTGATCCGGAGGCATGAGAGTAACAAGCTGAAATAATAAATCAGGTTGCCCTTCGAAGAGTTCAGGAACAGCGTGTCGCATTGCTTCTTCGAATGCTTCGGCGTCGGCTCCTGGAATTCCATACCAGGTCTTCGTGGCTCCGAAATGCTGATAGTTCGCTGAGTACGCGTAGTGGTCCTCATTGTGCCAGCAAAAGGTAGAAAAACACATGCCAACATAAACCCACGGAACTGTCATGCCTGAGATATCAGACTTGATATGGCGAAACAGAGACTCTCCGTGAAATGGAAGATTATTCAGGTTCCAGGGGTCTTTCGAGTACGAATCGAGCGGGTTCCTCTCGACCGTGGGGAAGCCACTGCCGTGAGTAGTCGAATGAATATCCGCACCATATTCAACCTCGACTGTCTCCGTCAGGCTTTCAACCAGTCTCCAAAATTCGCGCTCAACATCATCTTCAGACTCCCGTCGATGAGTGTTAAGAACGGGATCGAAAGGCATTTTGGAGGCGAAATAATTCTTCTTGAAGTTGTTGGCCTTCTCCTGGAATTGCTTCAAAGAGTAAACACCGCCTTCCTCAAAGCCAAACTCTCCTGTTCCAACCAAACACTTGGGGCAGTGCCAATCGAACTCGGGGATATGGTGCAGAGGAGGGTCTAAGCAATATCTGTGAAAACCTTGATCGCAGCTGTCGCACACCAGGATCGAGGACTGATCTTCGGACTTTCCACAAGTCTCACATTTCTAACTGAATGTCAGCATTTTGCTCACCCAACGCATACCTCTATTAGAACATACATCACCAAATTTCCGTGTGTCACTCTTTCTCGAGCGTGAAGGCGCGGGACGAAGAAGAGTCATTTGGGACCCTGCTACGATCGGCAGAGGTGTATCTAGAGCAAAAGCCATCAGAGATTGATTCTTGAATCATCATTATCATCACGTACCTTTTTTCAGCCTCTTACTCCTTCGCCCGTTGGCATCCAGTTCTCCTGCGTCCGCTTGGGACCCACTCTCGGTGCTAATAGCGCGCTTAACTGAGCCATGACCGTTCGAAAACGGTGTTAAGTCTGTTGCGTATTCAGAGACACTCTTCGGCGTAGCGATTTCCAATTCGGGATCCCTTTTCAATGGCGGGGCGCTGTTTACTGCAATGAACGAGGGTGATCGGTTTACAGCAGTAAAACCGCCAGTATTTACAGCCGTAAACCCAGATGCAATTGGTCGCGGTGGTGTAGGTTCTACCGGTGGCGTGGGATTTTTTGCGGGAGTCGCCGAGGCATCTTGGGGGCCGTTTTGCGAGGCTGTGGTAGAAAGATTCATCTGGCCATGGGGTGTCACGGAACATGTGTCGCCCTCGAGAGGTGTGGGGTTCTTAGGCATAGGCGAATGGTTGGGCGAAGGGGTATAAGGACCGCCATGCTCTATTTCCAGCTGCTGTTGTACTCCGGGTTTCGCCACGCGCAAATACTCCTCGTAGGGTTGGAGCCATCTCTGGTATGAGTTTTTGAGGGAAGTTGAGAGAGACGACATGATCTTGCCGCTATATCCGAGGTCGCGACCGATCTCAGCCCATTTCTTCATCTTGCAGACCTGCTCGAAACCGCCGCGGACTTCTACGGCCTTTTTCAATCGAAACAAATCCAAGGGGCGTTTATCGACGCTTGGGAAACGATTCAAATTTGTGCCATGCTGTTTGTGAAACTTGGCGAGTTGGTCGAGATAGTTCAAGTTCGCACGTGTTCCTGAGTCTGGGTTAGAACTGAGCTCCGGAGTACCACCGGCAGCCAACAGCGCTGAACGCGGGGGCATACCTCCTTCGACCGAATTAAGTTCTTGTCGGCGGGTCTTAAAATGGAATCTCTGTAAGAATGCGGCGGTTAGCACATAATTCAAGCTGTCCTGCATCGCAAGGGATAGAAGGTTCCCAGCAGCAGCAAGAAGAGAGAATGTGCTGCGACGGCCATACCTCCGTATCAATAGCAAATGTCGGTTGCCAATTCTCGGGCGGAATAATTCTGCAGATGCCATATTTCTTTCCTTCCGGCGCGATTTTGCGAATGTAGGCCTCGGGGTCTCGAAATTCATCCTCGGTTGGGCGGAACGTAGGTGCCTCTTGAAGGCCGTGAGGACGGACTCGACTCGTCGGCTCGCGGGGTGCGCTGGGTTGTCCTCGTCTCTCGACTGTCGATAAATCGAGGGGTGCAGAACGCCGACTGCTTAACGGTACATTGTGAGAATGGGACGGATGGGTGCTTGAGGAACGGGCGGGTTGACGGCTCGCTGGCGGCTGCGCGCCTGTCGAGATCCCTCCCGTTGCGGCCGGAGCCACCATGTCTTAGGCGCAATAGTAGGACGGATCGAGGTCAGAACGTGGTGTGCGCGTAAGTTTATTGCAAACGGAAGGAGGCTAGGGCCCTATGCGAAAAGCCCATGGGAGAGACTCTGGCGGGCAGTAACACAAGTGAGAGAAGCCCCCAAACGGAATTGGAGAAGCGAGCGATGTGTATTGAGTGGAAGGTCCGGGGAAATGAGAAAATGTAAAAAGAGAGGGAGGGGAGGTGGAGAGTTAGTGGAGGAATGGAGAGGTGATAAAAGCGAGGCCCATGGAGAGATCCAGAGCACGGATGTTTGAGGGAAGACCGAGAGATGAGCCCGGGAGGGCTACCACTACTACTACTAGTGTGGAGTCTCGGGACAGCAACAAGAGCAAAGCTCACCTCACTCGGGTCAGGCCAGTCAAGGTTGGGTAGGATTCTATAAATCAGCGGGCGTTAGCCGACTATTATAGCCAAGTCAATATCCAGGGACAGCTGAAGCGGCGATTGGAGGATTCATACAAGGTCACTGGTTCGTTCGACAACTAGTCAGGCCAAAAAGGGAAAGCTAATGGCTGCCAGGGACCTCTTGCGGTGGCCTGATCTACCTTGTCTTGACGACGGGACAAGCTGTTTATAACCGACTCATCGATGTTGAAGGGATCTCTGTAGCAGAACTCGAGTCGAGGTAGAACCTGACTTCCAGGCTTCCTTGCTCTAAACAAGATTTGATCACGACTCTGATTTATGCCTCAGGCGCACTTTCCGGGATTGGTAACAGCCGTACACGGCCAGTACGAGATTCAAAGACTTGGTCCGCAAGCGGGAAAGCTCGCCCGGCTCAGGATGCCTTCCTTGATTACGGTATGCAGATAATCCTGGGCGATAACAAGATCAAAGGGTCAGGAGTGTTAACGGAAGCTTGGTAAGGTCCAGTATTTACTACCCCGAATTGACATTGAAAGCCATGACCGAGTACTTTACCAGCTCCATCACATGATTAGAAGCTAGTCCCGCGGGTGCGTAATCTAGGGTCGATGGTACGCCAGAGCTTATATTGACCCCCAACCACCCATCTTCTGCGCTGCAAACTTTCCATGAGCCATTCCAGAAGATATTCATCCGTCGAACTCCGTAAAGCATCTAGGTCTGTTCCAAGTGCTGGTTTTCTCTACTTCTCGACCCGGTTTTGACTTCCGGACCCTCCTGCGCTATCCCGGAGAACAGACAAAGGCCGACCTGTTGCAGCCATGGATACTGTCTAACAGTACCACAGATGGACCAGAACGTCCATTCAGACCTCGTCTGGCGGCGCGGACCGTCGGAGCAGCCCATGTGGGCTTTGTCGCTGGTGCAGATATTCCATCAGCGCACGAGAACAGGTCTATAAGCGCGCCTTGTTGGTACAGTCCTTGAGATTGTAGTCCGCCTCAAAATGAGCTTGTAGCAAAATAGCCGGCGATTCGTTCAACATAACGGCTCTTCGTCATCGAACTCGCTATCATTGATGATCACTTCGTTTTTTGAGGCCTTCGAATCTTGCTGTGGATGGTTGTTGGCGCCAGACTCCGAGTCAGAGCGCAAAATCCGATCCCAGTAGTCGTCCAGCGAATCCGTATCAGAACCGTCTTCATGTGAAGACTCATCTGCAATATGCACGGTCTTTTCGATATCCTCGACATTTGCTGTTGTATTTTCCTCCTTTTGTAGCTTCTTGTTCCTTCTTTCGCATTTGTTCAGCATCTCTTGCATCATCATCACTCCGCCGCGGGTCCGGATGCTCAGTTCTTTCATCATGAGTGACCATTGAATGGTCTGAGCGCAAGTAGGACACTTCCCAGCAAGTGGCACAAGGCGGTCCGGCTCTTTCGTCGTATCGATGAACTTGTTCGACAAGCACAATATATGGGTAGTGCTGCTACAGCCAGCGTTTGGGCAAACCACTACCGAATCGTGATCCTTGTATTGCGCTTTGCATATCTTGCAATATGAGCCACCAATGTCGTCTAACAGAAACATCGCCTTCTCCAAGTAATCCTTGAGAGGTGTATGATTGGCTTTGATGTTCTGAACGCTTCCAACTGTCAAACTGCGGTCATCACGATTGGCGAAGACGTCCGTACAATCGCCATCGGCGATCATCCTGATGTGGCCCGGTATGCTCCCGTCCACGTGGTCACACCAACCTCTCCATTGCTGCGAGACATCAGCAGCGAAGAATCGTAGAGTGAGAGGCCAGCCACGGAAGTATGTCGATCGTAATAGGAGATGTAGATCCTCCAGATGAGCCTTCAACGAAGTCCGAGTACGGCGAGCTGGGGGTTTTCTCTTCGTTTCCTTTTTCTTCTCGTCACCTTTTGGCTTCTCATCGTCTTTCTTCTCACTTCCTTTTACCTTCGCCTGGCTTTTAGGCCTCTTCTGAGTCTTTGCTAGTGCATCCTGTTCTTTCACATCTTCTTTGGCCTTCGACTGCGCTTTCTCGTCCGGGACTTCTGGCGTAAGGTGTCGAGTGGCCGCGGGATGTTGCCATGCCCATCTAAAACCTTGTTAGAAGCCTGCACAAGGACTTAACATGGAGGGTACACTTACTCAAACTGTAACGCTGCAATATTACTCGTAAAGCCTTCTACGACCATTACCATTTCCCATGGCCGTCTTTTTTCATCCGCGGTTCGGCGAGCGCCACCCTTGCATAGTCCGTTATGTTGAGCCAGGCGCCGGGCAGGATCCGGAGTAGAGCCAATGTATAGGGCTTGGGTTTTGTATCCATTTCCCATCGATCGAAGTAGGTAACAGCAATAGTACGCTGGAACTACCTTGGATGCTTTTGGCTGTCCATCCTTGGCGAAACCCATTTTATGATCGAGAGCGAGGTATTTGGTGGGTTATCACCATGCCCGTCAAAGTAACCAAGAAGGGCCTCGGGATTAAACCATGGGCTTTTCTGTGTTGGTGAAATGAAAGGGAGGGTTTTCTAGGACATTGGTGGTTGTATCGTTTAACCTTAGAAGCTGGTAGGAGGTATATATTTTCGGTAACCGGGGCAATGCCGTTTTACCGAGAGAATTTATACGATTCGTACGATTTGTGCACTACCACTAAAAAGCAAAACAATCGTAATAGCCAAGATTAACCAAGGTTACATAGTCTTCATCACATGAAATATCTATAAGACGACCATGAGTCGGACCGAGTTCCATAGGAGCCATGTAATAGTCACGTGACAATACAAGAAAGGACGAGCTCATTCGGTCTCGTCTTGCAATTTCCATTGTCTCGCGTGATCAAGACGGCGCCTGTTTCTTGATTGCTTTTGAATATCTCTCAGAGATCTTTGTGCATTCTGGCGATCTGGTTGAGAAACCAGCGCCTTTCAATGGCGGGATCAGGAGCTTCGCTAAGTGCCGAGAGACAGCTGGCCTTTACTCGTCGAGCGAGGTGGGCGCGGCTCAAGTCATGATTGGTTTCGCGATTCTCTCATCCATACGGAGTAGAAGCCCTGGCAGTTGTCGAGGTAACCATCGATATCAAGCGAAAATAGGTAGTCCGTCATAAACCGTGAATCGACTCCAGCTTTCCTAGGGGGCTGGCCGGGTCCACACGTGCAATACACTCGTTTACAACCATTGAGATGTCCTGCGACACTTCTTCAAAAGACTTCCCGGCGTCAATTGTTTGGATATTGGTATTTCGTTGCATGCCGAAGACGCTGCTAAACAACTCGCGAACGCGACTTTGCATAGCCTCGTTCTCGTAGCGCTCTCCACCAAACCCACCGCGCTTCGCGGCTTCCTCAGAGGATATACTGAGGAATATGCAGAGGTCCGGCTTTGGTAAGCCAATCTCTGGTTCCCAGGCCCAGCCTAGGTTGAGTGAAGGGTTGCCTTTGGCGGCCGAATAGACTGCACCGGAATATGAGTAGCGGTCTATGATCACATTGGTCCCGCCTGCGATATCCGACTCGATGCTCTGGGCAATCTCCCATCGGTTGGCAGAGAAAAGGAGATGGATGGAGTGGTCATCTAATTGAGATTGTCCGCGTAGATAGCTATCAATTAGCTTCCCAATCGCCGTCGTTCTGTCTAAGGAAGAGCAACCCAGTCAATTCGCGCATTCGGAACCTTCAAAAAGAGATTGGAATACCTGGAAACCTGATGTACTTCGCGGAACGACCAGACTCTTGTAGAGACTTATGAAGGAACTCGCATTGGCTGGATTTGCCTGCTCGATCCAAGCCCTCAACAACAATCAGGGCCCCGCGTCCCCCACGCGTTCCATCCGCGGCCATGCTGTAAGAGGGCGAATTCCGATCCCAAGGAGCTCGTGCGGAAGCAAGCGAAGATCGTATGTGCCTTAAGTCCGCGGCAAGCTGAAATCGTGATATCCAAGTTTATGACCCTGTAAGGAAGATGCGCCAGAACCCTAGACTTGAGAGAAAACAGGATCCACCGTGATCTGGAGAAATTGAGCCACGGCGGAGCTCTAGGTACCTATCGATAAGACGATAACAGCCTTGCCAACAACGCGACAATTTTTACTCCTTCAGCTGCACATACTTCAGCAGCGCATCGCCATGGGATCACATACAGCCTCACAGTCGCCAAACGAGATGTTCAATTTCAGCGTTCTGACGTCTTCAGCAGCAGTCCTCGCCCCGCGGTTGGGACGACTGACGATCGCCGGCCGAAAACCCATCTCGACGCCCCACTACATCCCTCTGACATCGCGAGGGGTGGTCCCTCATCTCGCCCATGATGTATTGCGCGACAGTACCTCGATCGGTAGCTTGTACATCGGCCTAGAAGACTGTATGCACTTCGATCCAGAAATATAGTCTAAAGCGTGGAATGCTGACACCTCAATGCCCGCTGGGGCTCAGGTTTCAGTCATAGAGAAACAGCACCTGCAGTACAAAAAGAACTCATTACCTGTCCCACTATATGCAATTCCGTCGGGGCCTCATGAGTCTGCCCTGCGCAAATTCATTTGTGCTCAAAATGACCTGCTTCTGATTTTCGGCGCGCGCCGTGAGCCTCCAATCGCTTCTGCGCCGGCGAATACAGATACATCGATTGCTGTCCTTACATCCGTGGGCTATGCGCAGCTAAAGGCAGAGGAGTATCTTGGAGCCATCCAGCGCCTCAAACCGGACATAGTCATAGGTCTGGCAGACCTGCTTATCGGACCAAAGCCGGGTATCAAACGGCGAGTGAAGATGGTCGACCGCACGCACGCTTTTACCACACATGCGACGGATAACCTCTACGGACCCGAGCTCTCGGAGCATAGTCGGTCGAACGCGGCGTATTTTGCGCCAATACTTCCGCTTGAAAACACTCAACAGCAGCTATATCTCGAAGACCTGGAAACAGATCTGCGGCCATCCATCTCCGGACTGGCACTCTACGAGCCCGCGTCGCTCTCAGCCGTCCCCGAGTCTCTAGGAGACCTCCCTCGTCTGATTTTCAGCGGACCAGAAACGCCACACGACCTGTTACGTGAGGTCGAACTCGGCGCAGATCTTTTGACCATCCCATTCCTGGCCAATGCCTCGGACGCAGGAATGGCCTTCACCTTTGTCTTCCCGGCTCCATCTGCAGATACCTCGCCAGAATCAAATCCACGGACCGAACCTCTCCCTCTCGCCGGTGATCTCTGGGCACCATCAAATACTACAGATACCGGCCCCCTAATCGAATCATGCTCCTGCTACGCCTGCCAAAAGCATCACCGCGCATACTTGCACCACCTCCTCTCCGCAAAGGAAATGCTCGCATGGACCCTTCTACAGATCCACAACCACCATACGATGGACTTCTTCTTCGCCGGTATACGCCAGAGTATTGAGCGCGGGACATTCGAAGAAGATGTCCGCACCTTTCAGCAAACATACGCTTCTGAATTCCCTGAAACGACGGGCCAAGGACCGAGGTACGCTAGTTCTCTTATCATCCCCGTTCATACTTGTACATACTAATTACCATACTCCTTTCCCCTGCAGACTCCGCGGCTACAAACTCCCCACCTCAGGGCGCGCCCAACCACGCCGCTACCCACCCGCCTACGGTAGGCTAGACATCGCCGCGGGAAAATTCGCAGAGTCTCAGTCTGATCTTGCGACTCCTGATACGGGCGCCGATGGTCTGGAAGAGCATGGGTTCGCGGAGAAGGTGTAGCGGTTGCCTCAATAAGGGTTGCCTTTGAGAATAGCACTGGGAATTCTGGCTTGCATACAGGCCAATGGTTTTCCTTTGATATCCTGTTGTGGGGATAACCTTGGTAAATGGTGCGACTTGGTCATATAGCTCTCTTGGTAGCTTGGTTTCTTGGTGCATGGGTACATGCATAGCATGATTAGGGACTAAGGTTATTTTGGGCAGATCCAGGCCAAAGAGCGAGTTAATGATTGAAATAGAACTCAGAACTAGAACTCCGTCTATTGAACCCATTCCCGAAACGTGATGTTGAATGTATATACACTAAGTTGAAGAAAAGCAAAGGGAATGCAACGACTCATGCGCATCAAGTAAGCTTTACCAAATGTCGTACAGTGGTAATCCATGACTACCCTAACAGTTTGCCAAAAGCCTCCACATGAACTTCTTCTCATCCTCCTCCTCCGCGGAACCAGTCTCCGTCCCAGCTCCAAAGTCCTGACCGACAACGCAAACAAGCCATACGTCGTTCTTTGTCTTCTCTATGAATCGCTCCGTTGCCGAGTTCCTAGGATAAATGCGGCGCCATTCATCCCAGATGCGGTATGCCTCCTCACCCCAAGCTCGGAAACTGACTTCCTCGATGATGGTGGGTGTGACGATTTCCTTGCCGCGGAAGACACCCCACGTGACGGCGTTGACATTGTTAGGATTCATTTCGACAGGCTCGGTGTCTGATGTGTCGGCGGGAAGGGACGACTCGAAATCGCCGGCGGCGTTGGTAGCAAACCAGGCGAGTTTCTCGTGGCCGTGCTTTCGGAGAAGAGGTTTTAAGGTATTTGTAAAGTCGGATGATGGGCAGAAGAACTCGACGAAGGGTTTTTGGAAGACGAATCCCTCGCCCGGGGGACCCCAGCCGAAGACTGGGTCGTCACTGCGAACGCCGTTAACGGCAGGCTGGGAGGCCAGGGTCCACCAGCCCTTCTTGTCGATGAGGGCGAGGAGCTCCGGGCGGATGGTTTCTGTTTCAGCGTTGAGCCCGCTGGTGTTTTCTTCGGCACCACCCTCGGACCAGGGAACCATGTGAAGGTCTCCGGATACGTGGCGGCGGAAGAGCTTGCTGATGTCGTCGGGGGAAACGGGATAACCCCAAATGCGATGGGCGACGGACGGGGCGACGTGTAGCGTGGGACCGTAGCCATCAATTTCACCGAAAGCTGGGGAGCGAGCATCACCCCAACGACCGTTAGGGAAGTCGTCCCAGGTGGCTTCTCGGCCGAGGGCACCAAGACCTTCCGAGATTTGAAGAGTTGTGTTGCGATCCGGGGGACCGGCGGGCAGGCCTGCGCTTGCGGCTGTGGCTTCGTGCGTTATGGAAACATTGGATGACCCGTCGGAGACCTTATCAACAATCACGCGGTTGTGAGGGAGAGAGCTGATGGAGGAAGCTCGCCGCCGCCTGGTAGCTTTTGCTGCATCGACCGTGAGTAATGAGACGCCATCGGTCACAGCCTCTGCATCATCGTCATAGTCCGGAATCAGTTTGCATCGTTCCAGAATGAAGGACACTGTCTTCTCCAGGTTCAGGGTGTAAAAGTGGAAGCCTCGGAACCCAGAAGTGGGCAGCTTCCTAATACCATCAACAAGCTCGGCGATTATATCCACACCCAAGCGCTTGACAGCATCATCGTCGTGCCTGGCCTCTTCCAGCTTCGCGAGAATAGGCGGTGGGACCTTGACGTGGCTGAGTTTGGTCACTCTCGTCAAGATCTTGTAGCTGTGGATGGGCATCAGGCCTGGGACAATAGGAATGGTCTTGAACGCTCCAGACTCGTGGTTCCGGAGCATATTCTCATAGTTCGTGTAGGCGTCAATATCGTACGTCAACTGCGTCATGATAAAGTCGGCGCCCGCCTGTGTCTTCTCAACTAACCACGGCAAATCGACCTTCGGATCCTGAGTGCCCTGGAATGAATCGGCAGGATGGCCTTCTGGGTACCCGGCAACACCAACGCAGAAGTAGTCGCCATACTTTTGCCGGATATACCGGACCAGATCGACGGCGAAGGTGAAGTCCTTGTTGCTGTCGTCCTCCCCGTGCATATTGTACTCTTCGCTCCGCGGAGGATCGCCACGCAGCGCCAGAATATTCCTAATCCCCAACACCTTCGCTTCTTCCAGCGCCTGATCGACCAAAGTCCTGCTCATGTTCGTACATGTCAGATGTAAGCATGTTGTCAGCTGTAGTTGGCGTTGACAAATCTCCGCCAACTCGAGCGACCTCGCCGCAGTGCTACCTCCAGCACCCCATGTAACTGTAACGAATAGCGGGCGCAATGCTTGCGCCATACGCTCTAACCGCGCTTGCAAATTGGCAAAACCCTAGAACATCATCGTTAGCCCATGAACCCTTGCTTTGAAGGCAAACCGCTGAATGCGGGGAGGAATAGAGCCCCACCATCTGAGTCTTTGGAGGGAAGAACTCAAGAGAGAAGTAATTCGCGCCGGGCGGCAAAGCCGCGATCTTATCTGTAATCTTCTCCATGGCTGGAAGTATAGGTTCCAACTAAAGGTATGATGGATGTGAGGAAGAGGAGGAAGAGAAAGGGAGAGAGAATATGACGAATTCGGGGAGGACTTCGAGTGGGTTTTTGTTCGGAGTATCCTCGTCGCCCCCGGCCCTCAGTTCCAGTCCGGATATCGGCCTGCCGCACCCTACAGTTTCGGGATTTCAGATCAGCTCGATTTCTGGTCAAAAGCATTCTCTAGCAGGGATTGCGCCTCTCATCAAGACGAGATATCTGGCGCAATTACAGCAGCGTCGCATTGTCGGCCAGCTCAATCTCATCGGCTCTTTTCTTCATCCCAGTTGCCGCATAGATCCACCTTTAGGTACCACATACCCAACATGCACCACGTCCCCGAACCAGAACAGTTATGCGTACAAATGATCGACTATGTCCTGGTCAACTTGCCAATAGTATCTCTCTTGGAGGGCTACAGGACATCTCGCGGTTCAAAATAGGCACCGCTGCAAACACAGCAAACAGAGGGCATCAACACTGCCCCATAGTTTATTCCTGGCGGAGCTGGAGGAAGCTGACAATTGTTTAAATAGTGATACGTCTCCGCCGTTCACTCTAGGAATTCCCAATAAGCCTTGTGTGCTGAGCAGCCCGCTTCGTAATTATCTTTCCAGGGGCGATCCCTAAATGCCTTCAAACCACATTCCGCGCATATTCCGCCTATATTCGCGACTTGGCTTGAGATCTTCACGTCGGCACCTCAGTACACCACCAAACCCTACACCACCTCCTCCGAAAGACGCCCAGTCCCGCCTGCGTCGCTTCAATGACCGCCTCCCTTCGTTTCTCCGCGCGTACACAACCCCTCTGCTCGGTGCGCCGGCAACACACGTGACATCGTTCTTGATTCTGCATGAGATAACAGCGATAATACCGCTCTTCGGACTCGTTGCAGCATTTCACTACGGGAACTGGCTGCCTGATTTTACATCGTATAGCGGGTTTGAGGAAGGGACTCGGAGATTTGCGAGGTGGTTGAGGAAGAAGGGTTGGGTGGAGGACAGTGTTGATGTGGACGAGGTGACGGCGGAGCCAGCTACAGAGAAGAAGGGCGTGCGGTTGGTACTGGAGTTCGCGACTGCCTACGCGGCCACGAAAGCTTTGTTGCCTTTGCGGATTGTTGCCAGTGTATGGGCGACGCCGTGGTTTGCTAGGACTGTCTTGGGTCCAATTGGAATAGGCGCGAGGAGGTTATTCCGAGGGCAATAAACCGGACATCTTCCTGCGTGGCGCCGACAACAGACCTATAGATATGGAACACGGCTGTTTAGATTATGAAGGTTTTTATTGTATGAATTCTATTCACAGAGCATCTGTCCTGTCTCGTTCCACTGCACCGCGTTACTGCAGAGGCAGTTTCCTAGTGGCATGGCTCAGAGAGAATTTACTCCTTCTCGTAGATCCAGGAGAAAGCGTTGAGCTTGTAGCTCTGGACCTCCTCAGGGGTGAACCAGAGGCCAATCTCCTTCTTGGCGTTCTCAACGGAGTCGGAACCGTGGCAGACGTTGCGGCCGACATCGATGGCGTAGTCACCACGGATGGTACCGGGGGCGGAGGCAAGGGGGTTGGTGGCACCGAGGATGGTACGGCCGGTCTTGACGACGTCCTTACCCTCCCAGACCATGGCGACGATGGGGCCGCTGAGCATGTCTATCCTGATATGAGTATACATTCGCGAGCATGCAAATAGCTCAGGCGGGGAAACTCACAGGTAACGAGACCGGGGAAGAAGGGCTTCTCCTTGAGGTCACCGTAGTGCTGCTCGAGGAGGGACTTGGAGGGGGAGGTGAGCTTCATGGCAGCGAGCTTGAAGCTGGAAACAGTCAGTATCTCTGTTGACATGGTATTGAGGGTATTATACGCACCCACGGTTCTCGAAGCGAGAGATGATGGGGCCAACGAGTCCACGCTAACGGGAATGTCAGTGGTGGTCTTCATGGGGGAATAGCAGTCCGGTTCGTTGAAATATGTCGTATATAGATCAATTGCTGCTCAATGCGTACCTGGACACCGTCGGGCTTGATAGCGATGAAACTACGGTGAACAGTTAGCTTGACTGGCTCGAAGAGGGGTAAGGAGAATAAAGAAAGACTGATGAGTAGTTGACTATCTCGCAAGGGAAAGGAAGGAAGTTCATGTACTTACGTCTGCTCGGAAGTCATTTTGATAGGGATTGAAGGTGTAGAGGACAGGAAGTCAACAAGATGCGTTTGAGGAGAAGGAAGAAGCGGAAGCTGGTGTTGAGCTGGCGAAATTCTTCCTCTTATTCAGTTTAAACGCCTGTGTGGGGCGCTCGAGTTTGAGACTGAGGGGCTTTGGCGGCAGTGCATGCCTGACAGCCTTGGAGCCTGAATGGTCAGAATCGAGTTGCTCTGTGGCAGTGTGGCCTAAACAGTGAGGTGTCTAACCCCGGCCGCCAAAGAGGACTAGCGCTGGAGCTCTCCGCCTCCAGCATGAGGCCAGCCTGGAAGCACTTGACTGCTCAAGACTTGGTCTATAGCACCTTGTGTGGACCACAGCTCTGGTAGATGCAGCTCAGAGCCCCCCGTGGCAAACATTGATACTCGGAGATTGAGTGTCTCTGGTTGCATCCATTATTCAGACACCATGGCCCGGAGCCGGCTGTCATCCAGCTGGACCCTGCTGGTCACTTTAGCGATACTGTTTGGCTGCTTCATCACACCTGGAGGTACGATCAGTCTTGTCGCATCTATATTGCTGCATTCTGACTCTTTGCTGCTATAGCCGCGGTGAAGCATGAGAATTTCAAGAAATGCTCTCAATCAGGATTCTGTAAGCGCAACAGAGCGCTTGCCGACGATGTCTCAGCCAAGGGCTCATCCTGGAGCTCCCCGTACGAACTCGATCCCTCAAACATTCAATTTAAAGACGGGCAACTCCAAGGAATGATTTTGAAAACCGTCTCGCCGACCGAGAAGGTGAAGCTGCCTCTGATCATCGCTTTCCTGGAATCTGGTGTCGCACGAGTTACTGTCGATGAGGAGAAGCGCATGACCGGTGATATTGAGATCCGCCATGGAAGCCAGGCACGTAAAGAGCGATACAACGATGCACAGTCATGGGTCTTGGTCGGTGGCTTAGACGCCAGCAAGTCGGCGATCCTAAGCACGGAAGCTGAGGGATATACTAAGGTTCTGTATGGACCTGATAATGCCTACCAGGCTGTCATCCGTCATTCCCCCTTCTCAGTGGATTTCCAGCGCGATGGCCAGACCCATGTGCAATTTAATCACAAAGGGTATATGAACTTGGAACATTGGCGGCAGAAGGTGGAAGCTCCAGCTGAAGATGAACAAGATGTTCTTGGATCTCAGGAAGATGAGAGCACTTGGTGGGAAGAGACCTTTGGTGGAAACACAGATTCAAAACCCCGAGGAGCGGAGAGTGTAGGATTGGATATCAGCTTCCCTGGCTACACTCATGTGTTTGGTATCCCTGAGCATGCAGACTCTATGTCCTTGAGAGAGACCCGGTAAGGTGCTTGGTCTTTCTGATCCTGTTTATGAAACTGACAGTTACTAGAGGAGGAGATGGTAATCATGAAGAGCCTTATCGTCTATACAACTCGGATGTGTTCGAGTATGAACTCGACAGCCCCATGACTCTGTACGGAGCAATTCCATTGATGCAAGCCCACCGAAAGGACTCGACTGTTGGTGTTTTCTGGCTCAACGCTGCCGAAACCTGGATCGACATCGTGAAGTCAAAGACCGACACTCAGAGCCATTGGTTCTCCGAGGCTGGACAGCTCGACGTGTTTGTCTTCTTGGGGCCTACGCCTGGCGAGATTAGCAAGAAGTATGGCGAGCTCACTGGATACACTCAGCTACCTCAGCATTTTGCTCTCGCTTATCACCAGTGCCGCTGGAACTACGTCACTGACGAGGATGTCAAGGAGGTTGACCGCAACTTTGACAAATACCAGATCCCATATGATATTATCTGGCTTGATATCGAGTATCTTGATGACCGAAAGTACTTCACATGGGATCCTTTGACCTTCCCCGATCCCATCAGCATGGAGAAGCAGCTTGATGAGTCGGAGCGCAAGCTTGTGGTGATCATTGACCCACACATCAAGAAGCAGGACAAGTTCGACATTTCCAAAGAACTGAACAGCAAAGGCTTGGCTGTCCTGAATAAGGACGGTAATGTCTACGAAGGATGGTGCTGGCCGGGAGCTTCCAACTGGATCGACTGTTTCAACCCTGCGGCCATCAAGTGGTGGGTTAGTTTGTTCAAGTACGACAGGTTCAAGGGAACCCTTCCCAACGTCTTCATCTGGAACGATATGAACGAGCCTTCTGTCTTCAATGGCCCGGAAACCACAATGCCAAAGGACAACCTGCACTATGGCAACTGGGAGCACCGTGATGTTCACAATGTCAATGGCATTACGTTTATCAATGCCACATACCAGGCTATGCTGGAGCGCAAAAAAGGTGAAATACGCCGGCCATTCATTCTAACCCGGTCATTCTATTCTGGTGCCCAGCGCATGTCTGCCATGTGGACAGGAGACAACCAGGCCACCTGGGAGCACTTGGCTATCACCCTACCGATGGTGCTCAACAACGGAATCTCCGGTTTTCCATTTGCCGGTGCGGACGTTGGCGGATTCTTCCATAACCCGAGTAAGGAGCTTCTGACCCGGTGGTATCAGACCGGTATCTGGTATCCGTTCTTCCGTGCGCACGCCCACATCGATACTCGCCGTCGCGAGCCATATCTGATTCAGGAGCCGTTCCGTTCGATCATCACGGAGGCCATTCGGCTGCGGTACCAGCTCCTCCCTGCCTGGTACACTGCTTTCCATGAAGCTTCCGTTAACGGTACACCCATCGTGAGACCTCAGTTTTACGTTCATCCGACAGATGAGGCGGGCTTCACTATTGACGACCAGATCTACCTCGGATCTACTGGTATCCTCGCAAAGCCCGTGGTCACAGAGGACGCCACAAGTGTCGACATCTACATTGCGGACGATGAGAAATACTACGACTACTTCGACTTCACTATCTACCAAGGAGCAGGAAAGCACCATTCAGTCTCCGCTCCTATAGAGAAAGTGCCTGTGCTGATGCAGGGCGGACACGTTATCCCACGCAAAGATCGACCACGCCGTAGCAGCGGACTCATGAAATACGACCCGTACACGCTAGTGGTTGTTCTCGACAAGAACGGACAGGCGGAGGGCGCTTTGTATGTTGATGATGGAGAGACCTTTGACTACCAAGGTGGGGGATACGTCCACCGCCGGTTCCGCTTCCAGGACTCCTCACTCGTGTCGGAGGACATTTCAACGCACGGTCCTCAGACGGCTGCATATCTCAAGAGCATTGCCAGCGTGGGTGTTGAAAGAATCGTGGTTATTGACCCACCCCAGGAGTGGCAGGAGAGAAACACGGTGACTGTGATCGAGGATGGAGCAAAGACATCATCCTCGGCCCAGCTGGAGTACCATACTCAGGGAGACGGCAAAGCTCCGTATGCTGTGGTGAAGAACCCCAACGTTGGGATTAGCAAGACTTGGCGGATTGAATTTTAAGCTCCAGCGCTTGGTTAGATAGAGCACTAAATGGAAATACGCACCTTATATACAACCCTATCACACGATCTTTGACCCTTTTCTTTAGCACGAGACACTAGTGGACGATCGATGCACTAATCAGGCAAAGCTTGAGCTTGTTTTGGCTGACTCAGCTGCTGGCATTGAAAAAAGGAAAGCAGCTGAATCGCATGCGATTACACGAGACTCGAGGGGACTTGGGTTGTGTTATGTGATTGTCGATTTCTTGTCTATATTTGCCGTTTGATGTGCCTGATTGCCTCGTGCCCTTCTTCGCGCCCTTTCCTCCTCCCCGTTCGCGAATCCCGCTCCTCGGCCTCCTGAGTCCCGTCCGGAGTCCCTCAAGTTTAACCAACGGCCACACTATGTATATCGTGTCGCAGCTCCTCGAATATGGAGCTCCAATCTTGTGCGATAAAGCTCCTTGCTGACATCGACCACCACGAATGATGCCGATTGCTGACACCTCGAATAAACAGCATCGTCACGTCCCCCGTAACCTCGTATGCGGACCAGATTCTTAGCATACACCGAAACCGAAGCTCCGCTGGCTTCTCGCTGGATATCCCGTTGATTATGCTAGTGGCGTCAATCCTCAAGTACGACTCGTCGCTAGCGCAACAATGACCGAATCTGACAATCGATTGCAGGGTCTTTTTCTGGTTTGGCGACTATTATTCCATGGCGCTCCTGGCGCAGGCCGTCCTTACGATCGCAGTGCAGCTCGTGCTGTTGAAGGTTGCCCTGGATAACCGACCTGCGCCTGGTCAGAAGAGCGGAGTGGAGCATATCCCGTTCAGCGGCGTGGATGATAGGGGGTTTGCGAGACCGTATGATTTCTGGCAGTGGAAAAATGGACGGCCGTATGTTACCACCCTTTAACTTTATGAGTTGGGCTCGTGAGACTGATGCTCCTTTTTTTTTTTTAATACAGATACTGGTTGTTCCTGGCCTATTTCACCGGCGCCCTTGCCTTCATCCACATTTTCCTGACCCCGATCTCAAGCTCCCCGACCTACATCAGTTTATTGGGATATTGGGGATTGGCTGTTGAAGCGGTGCTACCCCTGCCGCAGGTCATCGCGAACTACCGCTCTCGGTCGTGCAAGGGATTCCGAGTGTCCGTAGTCGCGGCGTGGATTCTCGGTGACGTGATGAAATTGAGCTACTTCTTCACCAGCGAGCAGGTAATTCCCTGGGCCTTCCGAATGTGCGCCATTTTCCAGTTCATCTGCGATAGTTTCCTGGGCATCCAGTTCTGGATGTACTCCCAGGGACCTCCGCGAGCTGCACTGAACCCGCAGCAACGTCTCGAGAACGAGATTCCCCTTGAAGAAAAGGACATCCGTATGACTTGATGAGAACCGGCATGAACTATTTACCTAGAGGCTGGCAGTGCGTGCCCGGCCATTGATTGATAGATGTTTGTTTTTCTCTTTCTATATATTTCTTCCGTGCTACCCGGCCGTTTTGGAGCCCCGCGTTTCTGACCCCACCAGAAAAGATCATGGATGACGACTGGATATTACTACTCTTATTATTCTTCCTAATCAACCTGACTTTCTACACTTCTTTCCTTTAACACAGTTGAGCTAGACATTGAGCATTGAGTCGTCATGGCTTCAGAACAAACAATTCGAATTGGCTATGTGCCTGGTACGTCCGTCACTTACTCCCCGCAACCCATAGCTACAACAGCTACCCCGTGAGAGAAGCAAAGAGCTCAGAAATAAACCATAATCTACTGTGAGCGCTGCTAACATCTACCTAGAACACTACCTAGCTCCCCTCCACCTCGCCCTCCGGCACCCCTCCGCCTCCTCCCTCCCCTTCAAAATCGCCCTCACGCCTTTTCCCTCCGGCACCGGTCACATGATCACTTCCCTGCGCTCCGGTGAAATTGACGTCGCAATTGGTCTAACAGAGGGCTGGGTCGCCGGGTTGGCGGGTAAACAAGCACCCCAGGACGAGAAGGAGCGCGGATACAAGGTTGTCGGCCAGTGGGTTGAGACTCCGCTGCGATGGGCTATTGTTACGGGACGGAACAGAGATGAATTGACAGGTGTCGAGAACCTGGAGGGGGGAAGAGTTGGCGTTAGCCGGATGGGGAGGTGAGTTACCTATATGCTCGTCTATTTATTCGCCTACGCTTTTGATATTGGCTACGGGCACTAACTATAGCTGCAGCGGCTCACACATAATGTCTTTCGTTCTCGCGCAACAGCGCGGATGGAATTCCACCTCCTTAACGCCCGTGGTAACGGGACCCTTTGGCGCCCTCCGTGACGGCGTCACGGGCAACAACCTCGAGGCCAACAAGCCGTCCTCTGAGTTCTTCATGTGGGAGCACTTCACCACAAAGCCCTACTTCCACGCCCCTGACAGCCCACTCAAGAAGATCGGCGAGATCTTCACTCCCTGGCCGTCGTGGATGATTGTTGCGTCGACTTCCGTCTTCTCTGCGCCTGAGACGGATGAGCGCCTGAAGCAGCTGTTTGCGTTGTTAGATGAGGGTGTTAGAGAGTTTCAGAACGATCTTGGTCGGGTTGTGAAGCTCCTGGGCACGGGGGAGCTTGGATGTACGTATGGTGCGGAGGATGCGGGCGAGTGGATCAAGGATGTAAGATTTGCGGAGGGCGTAAGGGGCGTTGATGAGAAGGTCGTTAAGGGTGTTGTGGATGTGCTGAAGGTTGCGGGGGTTATCGAGGAGGGTTTACAGGATGGTGAGGCTGTGAAGAGGGTTGTGGGAATTTCGAGGTGAGTTACGGAGTAGCTTGAGAAACAAGAGTTTATAGTGAGCTCGAAAGAGCATTGCGGTGGCTCAAGGGTGGCTGTCAGGGTGTATTGGTTCTCGTGACCCTGAAGACCATGACACATTCCATACAAAGGCGCTGTATGCTATCATCCCCAGCCTCCGGTGTCTATCAAATCCCACCAGTGCATTGTACACGGGCATCTGATTCTTCTAACGTCCAACGTGAGCCTCAGAATCAAGTCCAAATAGCTATGGCTAAACCTGTCATCTATTGATCTTCTAGATATATATAATAACTATCTAGTAGGCATCTAGTCAAGCCCTTGGGCTTAAAGGTATGTAGCGCAATAATGCGTGATTTTTGATGATCATATAAGCATCTCAATTGGTGCTATGGCCTGCGAATATCCAGGACACGTTGATGGTCTCCTTGCTTTTTGAACTCAAATTCTCTATCCCAGAGGCTAACCCCATATATAGACCTATGACGATGTTCCAGAAGTTGCATGGTCGCATAATACGACGTGCCTCTTGCGCTGTCCAGCATGGAGGACCTCGATATACTCACCCACCACCAATTGTCCCGAACCACTCTCCCCTCCCCAAACAATCGCAAGGTATTACCTTCACTCGCGCCCCGGCAAAGACTAGCATTCCAATGACATTCCACACTATGGTCAGCCCCGAGCATCCATACCCAAGGAGGCAAGAAGATCGCACGGGTACCTGGCATGCTGGAATGCAGGCCACCCACAAGCCACCAATGGACGCTTTTACGGTCCAACAACTTGAGGAAACTGCTTTAGCACTCGGTAAGCTTCCATTCGTAACTGAGCCTTAGTTTGATAGCGCTGTACAAGTCGAGCCATATCGAGGAATGCTTTACTAACAGGAAATACGGGCCTCAATGTATCCAAAGAATGACTCGCAATCAAAGTACGCCCATCGGTATGCACCAACCTTCAGTTCGGCATGTCTATTAAAGACCGGTCGAAGCATCCGCAATTCATGTCAAGGTTGAAGTTATTCCCTCTTTTCGGTCCCCGTCCAGTCCCTCTTCCGCCTAGGTAGACTGTTGAGTTGCTGGCCGTCTTCTCGCTGTCGACCCGTCGTTGGAGGTAAAAGGTTGTATAAAGAAGGAAGACCGAATATGGTCTTCTTCAAGAGATTCCTTGGTGCGGTGGCTGGTCTGGTTGCGCTGCAGACTGCATATGCCGCGCTTGACCTGAGCTCGAATTCTACAATCGTTGTATATTGGGGTGAGTTCTCGCATGGTATGATAACTGCAGTACCCGATGATGACTGACTCTGGATGTCTAGGGCAAAACTCATTTCAAGGGACTGGGGATTTGGCACAGCAGCGGTTAGGGAATTACTGCGAAGGTGAGCATACTATCTCTTGCTGTACGAAGCGAAGTACTAACCAAGGTATGTTGCATAGACTCGAACATCGATGTCCTAGTCCTTGCCTTCTTAACGACAATCAATGGCCCAGGTGGTGCTCCAGAGATCAACTTTGCGAACGCATCAGACAATTGCACTACATTCAGCGGGACGAACCTGCTGAACTGCCCTGAGATTGGGTACGGCCCCTTGCCTAGTTCCTCCTCCCGTATCTTGGTTAGAAAGATACTGACTTTTCCAGCGAGGACATAGCAAAGTGCCAAGCGGCAGACAAAACAATCCTCCTCTCCATCGGCGGCGCGACATACACCGAAGGCGGATTCGCTTCTGAAACTGCGGCCAACGCAGGGGCGGACCTCCTCTGGGCGACCTTCGGCCCTGACAATGGCGATACCACAGTGCACCGACCCTTCGGCGAAGCAGTCATCGATGGCTTCGACTTCGACTTTGAAGCTACCGTCTCAAATACCGGTGCTTTCGTAACGAGGCTTCGCTCCCTCGCAGACGCAGACACTTCAAAGGAATACTACCTAACAGCAGCACCACAGTGCCCCTTCCCCGACGCCGCAGACAAGGACATCCTCAACACCGACAGCTCAGCCGCCATCGACGCAGTCTTCGTGCAATTCTACAACAACTATTGCGGTGTAAATGCCTACTCCCCCGCTCGCAAAATACCCATTAGCGCCAGAACCAAGGCAGATGCTAAACTTAGGGCACGGGCGAATGACTTCAACTTCGACGTCTGGGACAACTGGGCCCTCACGGAGAGCAAGAACAAGAATGTGCGTGTGTTTCTGGGCGTGGCAGCTAATACGGGCGCCGCGAGCACGGGGTACCTGCCTGTTGCAAGTCTCGAGCCGGTGATTTCCTACAGCCAGGGGTTCGAGAGCTTTGGAGGTGTGATGATGTGGGACGTCTCGCAGGCGTATGGGAACCCGGGATTCTTGGACGGGATCGCGGAGGCACTTGGGAGGGAGGCGACGACGCATTCCCCGACGGAGCCAGAATCCCCGCAGCAGCCCCAGCAGCAGGATGACGCTGCGTCTTCAGCACAGCAGAGTCAGAGCGAGTCTGCAACCGCAACTGCGAGCAACCCATCACAGCAGCCCCAGCAGCAGAATGACGCTGCGACCTCAACACAGCAGGGTCAGAGCGAGTCTGCAACTGTGACTGCAAGCACCCCGCCGCAGCAGCCACCGCAGCAGGATGACGCTACGTCTTCAGCACAGCAGGGTCAGAACGAGTCTGCAACTCCAACTGCAAGCACCTCAGCACAGCAAGATCAGAACGAGTCTGCAACTGCAACTGCAAGCACCTCAGCACAGCAAGATCAGAACGAATCTGCAACTTCAACTGCAAGCACCTCGGCACAGCAAGATCAGGATGAGTCTGCAACTTCAACTGCAGGCACCTCAGCACAGCAGGGTCAGAACGAGTCTGCAACTGCAACTGCAAGCACTGCACCGCAGCAGCAGCAACCACAAGAAACCCCGGCCGCTCCGCAAGAAAGCGCGGGAGAGCAGCAGCAGAACCAAGATGTGGGCGACGATCAGGATCGGCCCTCGAACCTTCTTCCTTCGCTTCTGGGGCCAGTCGCCGATCTGGGCTGGATTCAGATCTGATTGCCTTGGCCGCATTTTATTTATCCCTCATTTCTTTTTCTTTCTCCTTCACATTATTATTCACGTGCCTAGTTTACTTTGATCTCTTTACTAATATAATGGTGTATGCCGATTTGTACAACGGATTTGAGTGTCGATGTTTATTTAGCATTGACCCGTGGGCCTGTCTTCTTCTTCTCTTTCCCAGCCTGGCGGATCTTCATCCCGCATGAACTATTGCGCTGATCATCATCATGATTCAATCTTGCAGCTGGCTTGGCCGTGGCTGGCTGCGCCGAGAGACTTTTCCATTCCGTGGCTCTGGATAGGAAAAGATATGCGCTTTCCGGACGCATAAATATCGCCTTCCTTCTCCGTCCCCTGTAGCCAGCAGCAGCAGCAGCAGCAGCAGCCAGCGGAGCCAGCCCATCCCATCTACCCTCGCCTAGTCTCTGTAGTGGTGAAGGGACAATTCGTCAACATGCTCCTCTCACGCCTCCTCCCCCTCATCCTGTCCCTAACAGGCACGGTCCTCTCCGCCGTCATCCCGGAGACAGACTACGATGTCATCGTCGTCGGCGGTGGTCCAGCAGGTCTTAGTGTACTGAGCGGTCTTGCCCGTGTCCGCCGCAAGGCAGTCATCTTCGACTCGGGCCACTACCGCAATGATCCCACGCGGGAGATGCACGATGTTATTGGGAACGACGGTACACTCCCCTTTCACCCTCCCCTCTCTCTACCACCGCATTACCAGAACAAGATATTAACAGAAGGATAGGAACACCCCCAGCCGTCTTCCGCGCCGCAGCCCGCGCCCAGATCTCAAACTACAGCACGGCCTCCTTCATCGACAACGAAGTCATCTCCATCACACCCGTAAACCACACGAACGCCACGACCTTCTTCCGCGCAACGGACTCCACTGGCGCCGAGTACACAGCTCGCAAGGTTGTCCTCGCAACCGGCCTCGTCGACGTCCTCCCCTCAACCCCAGGCCTAATCGAGGGCTTCGGAAAGGGGATCTTCTGGTGCCCCTGGTGCGACGGGTACGAGCACCGCGACCAGCCGTTCGGGATCCTAGGAACCCTCCCCCACATCGTATCCAGTGTGCTCGAAGTCTCCACGCTAAACAGCGACATCATCGCCTTCGTCAATGGCTCCTACACGGACGAGTACGTGTCCGCCCTGGAAAGCAGCTCCCCCGACTGGCAGGCGCAGATGAGCGCGTACAACGTCTCCATCGACAACAGGACGATTGAATCCTTTGAGCGGATCCAGGACGGCGGCGCCAACCGCAACGACCAGGGGCAGCAGTTTGATATCTTCCGCGTGCACTTTACGGAGGGCGAGCCCGTTGAGCGGAATGCGTTCCTGACGAACTTTGAGACGGCGCAACGCTCGTCTCTCCCGTATGACCTTGGGCTGGTGATGCAGAGCGGTAAGATTGATACGAGCATCAACCCGGGTATGAGGACGAGTCTGCCGGGTGTGTTTGCTGTTGGCGATTGTAACTCCGATGGGAGCACGAATGTGCCTCATGCTATGTTCAGTGGAAAGCGAGCGGCGGTTTTTGGGCATGGTATGGTCCCTCTATCTTCTCTTCTTCTATTACTGAAGAAGGCTTAACGGCTAACTTGGTCTAGTTGAACTGGCTCGCGAGGATATGGCTGCTGCTATCTCGAAGCGCTCGCTGTCGACTAGGGCTCTGCACAAGGAGGCCGAGAGGGCCATGGGTGATGAGATGGAGAAGCTCTGGGCGAAGATCAAGGCGTAAGGCTCTTGTTCATTCTATTCCTGTCTATACATAACTTAGTCAAAATTTTGGGGAAGATAATGGCTGTGACTCCCGACGGTGAAGGAGAACTTAATGCCCTTAGCTGAGCCATACTAATGCAACATCTTCTCTATGGAAGTTTCCTTGATTCGATTGGTACTGCGTCAACAACATCCCATTATCAACTATCAAACTAAGTAAAGGCCACTTATATATTAATAAACAAGGTAGATTGCGCGATATCACAGTCAGCCACCAAGATACAAAAGATACCAAACGTACTGACCACCCCATTAGCGGTATATCTACTCAGCCTCCTCTTCCTCCTTACTTGTAGCCAAGAAGAACCGTCCCTTCGGCTGGCCAGGCACCTCATACTCAACCGTCAAGCGTGCAAGGTGACCCAACAGGTTCTCGATTTTCAAATCGCCCTTGTCACGCTTCGCCCGACCCAGATCATCAAGCCATTTGAACTTGTTGAGCATGAAGTATACAAGCGCAATCACGATCTCCACGCCCAGCGAGTAACCCCAGACTCGGACGACGGTCACGATATCTGTCCAGCCGTTGGTGGTCTCGACAAAGGACGTTGCCGGGTTCGTGGGCATGGTTTCGTTGCTGAACCATCCAAACAGACAGAAGATTGTTGCAAGAGCGTCGACACCTAGGATGGCTGTCACTAAATGGATAGATGGCCAGGTATCTATGCCGCGCGTGACGAAGATCAGCCAATTTTCTGTGAGGGCAACCTCAAGGAACAGAATTTCTTGAATAGAACCCCAGTTCTGAACAATGCCGCCAGAGGGTAGGAACATTGTGCCCCGAATCACCCAAGTTCCCAGTGCAAGGAGGACGCCGAGAAGAACAGAAATGAACCAGATCTTGGGGAGTTGCCATTCCACGGGTCGAAGTTCGAACGATGCGTTATCATATGCAACCGCAACCGTCGCCAGGTCGGCGAACAGAGCCAGAAAGACGATGAGCTCCACGCGAATACTTTCATTGATAATGATCATTGATGTCACCAAGTAGATTTCCAAATGCAGGCAAAGGGCAATGCGGTATTGGATATATGCCTTCATCCGCTGGAAAATCTGCCGTGCCATCTTGATCGAGTCAATAATCGTTGACAGCCCTGGCTCCAAGAAGACAATGTCTGCTGCTGACTGTGCTGCCTCAGAGGCCCCTTCAACTGCGATGCCGCAATCTGCTTTCTTCAATGACGGTGCGTCGTTGACTCCATCCCCGGTCATGGCCGTGAGATGGCCTCGTTCTTGAAGCATTTGAACCACTTGATATTTGTGTTCCGGGAATACCTCTGCAAAGCCGTCTGCTTTCTCAACTAGATCACCAGCCATTACGCCACTCAGGCCGCCATGAATCAACTTGTCCGAGTTGTACACTTTTGTCCCCAACGCAAGCATTTTGCAGGTCTCTTTAGCAATTGCTAAGGCGTCTCCTGTAAGCATCTTCACGCTGATCCCTAGATTTTGTGATTCCCGAATCGTGTGTGCTGTATCTTCTCGGGGCGGGTCAAACATTGGAAGCATACCCAAGAGCGTCCAGTCTTCCCCTTCACGTTGAACAGCAACGCCCAAAGACCGAAAGCCTCGGTGTGCAAATTCCTGCGCCTTTTCCTTGTAGAGATCGGCGGTCTCTTTTGCGCAGTTGGAGAGTTGGAGAACCGCTTTTGGCGCGCCTTTCGTACAGGTGTACCTAACCCCATCGCAGGTGACCACGGACACGATACGTTTGGAAACAGGGTCAAATGGTGTAAATTTCTCTGTAACCCAGCCCCTCCTCAGGATCTCGCGTGCTCCGGGATATGACCGGAGAGTAAGAAGTGTTACCTTATCAATAGGGTCGAGGGAATCGATATTGTGAGAAGACGCAAGCGCGGCCACCGCAAATAGCCAGTCAATATCAACACCTTCCGCTACGTACGGATCGCGGATGCTTAATTTGTTTGCGGTCAGCGTTCCGGTTTTGTCAGAACACAAAATATCGACTCCCTGGAGCTGTTAGCTGCTCAATCTGGGCATCAAGTTCAAGGATTACAAACGTACAGCAAGCGATTCAATAGCAGTGAGTTTCTGCACAATAGCCTTCTTCTTCGCCAAGTACGCTGCTCCTACGGCCATCGTAGTCGTCGTCACGACAGGAAGACCAACAGGAACACCGATAATGAGCAAGGAGAGTGTGTAATGAAGCAGCGTCTGCTGGCGAGGGGAGGCAATGGGCAGATGCCGAAAGAAGCCACCAATCCACGCGGCAAGGATCCACGCCATGACGAGTATTAACAATGATGTACCAATGTTATCCATGACAATTTCGAAATGCCCTGCACCTGTTGCCGACTGAACCATGGTGGCTGTGCGGCCCACGAACGAGGTCTTTGCCCCAGTCTGGACTATGGCATACGCTCTGCCTCTCTTGCAGCCAGTAGTGTAGAATATCATTCCGCCCATATAGCGGTCTACTGCTAGGGACTCGCCCGTGATAGCAGAGTGATCACATGCTAGAATTGGGTATCCACGCTTCCTGGCAGGTTTTTTCTGCTCAGCTTTCTCATCGTCATCCTCCATGTCGGACTCGGAGGTGCTGCTGAGATCACCACGCTCGAGCTGCAGCTTGAACTCCTCAAAGCCATTGGGATCATTGTAGTCACAAACAACCTTTGAGTCTGCAGGAACAACCTGGCCGTCCGCAACGATAATCTGCTGGTCTTAGTATAGGTCTGCATCCGGCGGTTTGCATCACATACGACGTCTCCAGGCACGAGCTCGCGGGCCAAAATTTCCTGTTGCTCCCCGTCACGTATGACATTGGCCCTCAAGGCAATATCTCCTTTGAGACTAGCAACCACATCTTCGGCTTGTTTCTCTTGATACCATCCAACCGCAGCGTTCAGGCACAGGATACCAATAATGACACCAAAGTCAATCCAATCCTCCAAGCCCGCGGCAAGAAGAACAGCAAGCTCCATGACTGAGCCGGTTAGAAATGCGCTTAAACCAAGGGATTTCTTGACTTACTGTATAGAATAGGTCCCCTAAAATATGACAGCACTTTAGCAAACGGGTTTGTTTTTTCAGAAACCAGTTCGTTCCACCCAGACCGCCGTCGCCTGTTGTGCACTTCGGCCGTGGATAGACCCTGTTGGATATCCGTGACGAGCCAGTCCTCAGGATATTTTCCGGGCTCTTCATCTGTCTCCTTGAGGCGAATCTTGCGTTTCTTCCAGGGTGCGTACCAGACTCGTTTCTCCTCGAAGTTACCCTCGCCCTCTTCTTCGCCTTTATCGCGGAAGGTTGAGATGTACTTGACGAGCTTACCATACTCATCAAGATTCGCATAATCTTCTACCTTGGCGGAAGAACGGGATACGCGTCTGGAGGCTCGCCTTTCGTGAGAACCGGAGGTCCGACCTTCTGTTGGAGGAGCTGCTGGAGGCATTATTTTGATACCCTCCTCCTGGCCTTTGTCACCGCCGCCATTACCTTTTCCTCCATTACCTCCGCTGCCTGAACTGCCTGTTCCTCCGGTTCCCGATCCTCCGATGCCTGGTTCGCCTTTGTCACCTTTGTCGCCTTTCTCTCCCCTCTCACCCTTGTCTCCCTTCTCACCTTTATCGCCCTTATCTCCTTTATCCCCCTTGTCCCCCTTGGGTCCTTTCGCCCCTTTTCCTTTATCGGCCATGATGACGGACGGCTGCTTGACTGGTGGAGGACGAGCGGCGGTTCAAATGCATGTAGTGAAACTCGACGTAAAGGAAACCCGCAAAGATAGCCTGGTGCACGAAAGAAAGATGACGGAGATGGCTGGTTTTTGCCCCCTCACATCCGGGCCACACTTCAATCAGCTCACAAGGCATGTTTAGGTTCTCGAGTCAGGGATATTTCCGGTCCATACGCATGATATCTTGCCCTTGGGTCGCCAGCTAGTAGCACCCAGCCAGGAGACGATCTCCACACTTATGTCTCATAGGTACCAAGTGGCCGCACTGGCCATATTGCAATGGCGATCGAGCAATATACCGTCCCTTTAGATACTTTGCGCATGAACACTTGAAGGGCCCATCCTAGAAGATCGCGTCAACGACATTCTGTACGCTGTATATCTCGCTTGAACCAAAAGCCAATTCTCAATTAGAGTTAAGCTTATCACCTTGGACCGGTTGGAAGCAAATCAACAAATCCGGACCATGGATTGTGACGACGTTTTACCTTGAGGCGAGTGAACTGATCTTGGACATCCCAGCGGTAAGCATCGAGTTGTGATAAAAGCCAACAGAGTGTCCGGTGGTTCCGGGGCAACCCTCTGAGACTGACGTGTGACATTGGGATAGAAGTTAGGATGGGCCGTGTCCCGATGCAGAAGTCACGTTGCTGAATGGATGCCCCGTAAACACGGGCCCCAATAGTACTGGTGGTTATCATAGGTACTCCTCTCTAGGATATCAGCAGAGCCGGGTACTATAGTTACAGCTGTGCACGCGGTCTTCCTGCTGAAAACCCTGTTACAGCGATGGGTAGAGGTACCCAAGGCAGAGCACAAGTAAGATAATTCATGGTAACAAGATATACATCGAATACATACTGTTTGATTTTTGACCCCATATAATAACAGTTCACTCTCCAGGATATCCTCAAGCAGCTTGAAAGCCTTCCAACAGATTCCAACCCGCTCTCATTGAATCGGTGCAGGCCTCTCTTTCCCCAACTTTCCATGTGCGCATCGTGTGGGGAGTATAGGTGCGATGAATTGCTTATACTTCTGGCAAAGTTTATTGTAGTTGGTACAAGCGATGCAAAACCAGCTCTGAAGGGAGTTTGCGATAACAGCCATCTCACTTTCCAGCAGACTGAAGCCAGCGCTCGATATTCAGTATTTTGGGCTTCTCTTTCTCCTTCTCCTGTTCGCCGCCCATATCTTGAGCTGAGTATGAGAGATTATTGCATACTATGATAATATCTGCGAACACAGAGCCTGAAAGATAGCATGGGCCTAACTCATAGCCAACAGGCGGCGGCGCCCGAATTAATATCGAATGCCACATAATTTTCGTGCGTGGAGATTCGTTTTTCAGATCTTCGCAAAGCTGGCCGAGGCGAAATGGGTCATTGTGCCTATCGAGTCTGATCAGTGTATAGAATGGACCTGGACCCTCAGAGCCAACAATTCCCCTGTCGCGATTCAATTCGGTGATAGCAATGTCTTTCCAAGGCGGTTGCGTGATCAGCATACGTCTCCAGCTTGCTTCGTCTCGCTTTGCGGCTTGTGAAGGTGGTGCCAGCTCGCACGGGCACCCTCGAGGCACAAACCCCCAGATAGAGTCGCAAATGAGGGGGTTCAGCCTTGGCTGTGACATCCCGCCGCCGAGGCGGTTCTCGGGATACGGCTTAAGCCATATTGCGACTTGCAGGTCGTCTGAACTTTGCACAAGGGAGTTCCAGAAGCGGCAGACACGTTGTGCGAGAATTATAGTGCGAAAGTCCGTTTGTAGCAGGATAGGCTCGAGGAGCTCGCGGATGAAGAAGACCGCACTAGGACGTGTTTCGGACATTTTTGTAGTTTGATAATTTCTCATCATGTGGAGTTGAAAACTTGCGAGGCGTAGCGAGGAAGATTCGTCAAAGGAATAGGGCATGACTTCCATATATTTTAAGTTTGTACCGGTAAGTGACCAACGGCGTTGCCACCTCATAAACTTTATCACTCCATATCAATAATCCCCAGCGTCGCATTATACGACGGCAGAGCCGCCGGATCCCTCTCCGCAGCAATCTGCATGGGAGCCTTCAACCTGAACGGCTCCGAAGCACCTTGGACAGAAAGTTGAAAGCAGAGACTATACACCCTCGATATCAAGCAGGAATAGAACGTTGGAATGAAACTCTTATCCTTGGGTAATGTCACCGGTACAAGCAGGGTCGTTGTATAACTACCCGTCTGGTCCTGTGTCCAGCCTAGTCGTGGAGTAGACGGAATGGATAACGGAAGCTCGGCATCGCGGAAGTTAGCGGGGCGATTGAAGAAATCTCTCTTTTTGGGAAGAGGGTGGATGGCATTGTCGAGCTTCGTGGTGTATATCGTTGTTGCTGTGATTTGGGCTTTGAGTGACTTGAGTTCCGGAGGTGGAGTGATTGGATCTGAAGCTGAGGGTGTGTATACGAGGAATATTCGAATTGCTTTGCTGATTAGTCTGATTGGATCTCGTAGAGGATGATAAAAGCATCCGGGATGTTCTAATGTCATGGCCAGACGGCCTGTCACCGGAGACTTAGATTTGGAGTTGCCACCATGAATAGTCAGTTCATGATGTAGGCTATAACCACTGCTGGAATTGTTCATGGACTGTAGGTCTGGAAGCGGCACATCACCGACAGCCGGCTTGATCCGCACCTTAAGCCTCTTATCCGCGATTGTCTCCTGGGTTTCAAACGTTTTACTGAAACGTTCGAGCTTAGCATAGATGGAATAAACGACCTTGCACGCGGCTGGGGCAAAGTCATCCCGCAGTTTGCCGCCAAACCCAGCTATGCTGGCGTCTCCGCAACTCGGAGGCAGATGGAGATGGGCTGCTTTCAAAAGAGGGTCGGACGAATGGCGGCATGACGAGGAAGGTAGATAATCAGGGACTTCAAAGCTGAATGGGAATTCATATTGACGTTTGGCTATAAAGACTTTAGGGCTCGGAAGAGCCGAGTCGTGGATGGGCTGAATGAGCTCTAGGAATTGATGCTTTGCCTTATCCGGGTTGCTACTCGGGATGGTTGTGCTTTCCTCGCCTGTTCTGAATCAGTTATGAGGCTCCTTCATCTGGGCGGACGTAAAGCGTACCGACAAACGAGATGTGGAGACGATCGAAGCCGAAATCGCGTTGTGAGATGATGGAGACGGTGCCCTCGATTTTCTCGCCCGTTAGAAACGAAGCGAATGGCGAGGCAGAGGATTGAATTTGTGTTGCTGGTGGGTTGATGTTAACATCTAGAGTAAGCGACTGGCTGCGGATGCTCGTCCTTTGCGAGATGACAATGTCCATGATGCGGTATGGGGTAGAGAGATGGCGAAGGGAAAGAAGGAAGCTGAAGCTGAAAAATCAAGGTATATCTCGCTCCTATTATAGATATTGACTCACCTGAAAAAAGAGGAGCCGCCAAGCCAAATCGAGGACAGTGACATGAGCTTGGCCTTTTGCAGAAGAACCGTGAGGAACTAGTCTAGGCCATGGACTACGGAGTATTTAGGAGCTATCCGATGTCGGGATTCTCCGAACATCAACATATTTTAGCAGGCTCACACATGAGGTGCAGCAAGGGTGATAGTAATGCACTGTTCTTGACAAAGGGGGGAAAAGCAAACAGAGAACATAGTTTTCCCAAGGTTTACGAAATCCCGTAGGCTGCGTTGCCAAGAAATTACGAATGCGGCTAATAGTAGGTAACCGACGGGGGTGCGAAAAAATATACCTCATCTTTCTACGGAGAACTTTATTCTTGGGGGACAACGATGAGCTACCGAACATGCGGTCTTAGGCTTCAGGCTGAACTTAACAGACCTCTTCAAAAGAAATAGTCTTCAGGAGAAATACTGTAGAGGATTTAGAGTGCAGGTGGGCAGTGGATCTATACTTATCTAACCCTAAAAAGAACCATTCTGCGCTGCTCCTATCTACTTTCTTGCCTCCCCATCAAGTCGTCGAGGTTGACCAGTCAGAATTCCTTCTAGATGCACCTCGTATGAAGGAACACTATTGGATCTTGATACTACTTTGATCGGCTACCTGAATAATTCAAGATATCAGCGGACAGGCCACCCCACCACGACCCTTTGCCAAGTACCCCCGCACAACAACCATTGCTATCTTCAACCCCAAACAATCCCGCAGGAACCAAAAAATCAAACCTGCATCATGTCCCGCATCGTCACCGAGATAGTTACTATCCCATTTACCCCTGAAGCAAGAATCGACGAGGTCGTCCCAAAGACAATTCCCGTAATCTCCGCGCAAGAGGGATGTCGCCGTCTAAAATGGGGTCGATGGGAGGAAGACCCGAATAAAGTTCAGATGATGATTAGTGCGCCCCCTCCCCCTCCGAGATTCAGACAATGGGTGATGTATGCTAATGAGCTTGGACAGACTGGGACGACATCTCTTTCCACCAGAAATTCATCGAGAGCGCCGAATACCCCAAGCTCCTGGGCCTGCTAGAGGGACTTCTCTCTGGCCCGCCATCAATCATCCACGTGCATTTCGACGAGGAGGCTATTAACAAAATCACCGATGATCCAATCGTTGAACTTGCGACATTTTATGCCGTCGGTGAGGGCTTTGTAGATGCTGTAGATCGGACGTTGGCTGTTGGGAGTGAGTCAGAGGGGTGCCTTCGGTATACGAGGGGTGATGTAGTGGAGGAGATCGCGGTTAGTGAAGGGGAGGCGAAAGAGAAGGGGCACTATGCGGCCATCTCGTGGACTTCGCTGCAGGCGCGGTTGCATGCGACTAAGAGGGATGAGGTTAAGGAGAGTGGGTTGGGGGTGGTTAGCAAGATTGGAGGGTACGAAGTACATCATGTGAAGTTCCAGTGAATTCTTTCCATGATGAAATGAATGCATAATATCTTGTATATGAGCCTATATCTTGGTCTTGATTGACTGTACTATACTCGTCTACTCATCCATCTCGTAAAGTCATTAGACTAGCAATTATTTGCCAGTCTTACCGGAGGGAATGTTGAAGAAGACAGCAGGCTTGCCAGGCGAGGCAACCTTATCGAGACGGTAGTATCCCTTGCGCTCGAATTGGATAATATCACCTTCGGTCAGGAAGGCGACATTGCTGTCGGCGACGGCATCCTCGTGGAACTCGGTCTTAGGGTTCAGAACGTCCTCAAGGCGGTCCTCCTCCTGCATGGAGTCCTTGTTAAGCAGGTGATCAAAGTCGACTAGATCAACAGCAACCAGGTCCTGGTCAGCAGACAACCAAGTGACCTTCTTCTCGGTCTTCTTGAAGTCACCTTTCTCGTTCAGATCCAGCTCCATCTCAGTAACAACGCCAGAGGCATCTGTTACAATCTTACGGACGAAGGCATTGCCCCAGTTCATGAGAGTGATTTCCTCGTCCTGCTTAAAGCTCTTCGCATCCTCCTGGTCGAAAAGGATCGAGCTGCTGTAGGTTACCTTCTTGACACCGACATCCGGGTTCTTGTTGTGCTTAGGCTTCTCCTGAGTGTAAGGGGCATCGGGACCGCCCTTGAGAGTCGCCTTCACAAGGCCCTTCTTGAGGACGGCAGTGTGGCGAGGAGCAATCGGGTCAATGTACTTCTTGTTGGTGGCCCAGAACAGGGTCCAGTCAAGGTTGACGATATTCTTGCTAGGACCTTGCTTGAGGATGAACTCACGCAGGGCAGGAATGGTCATTCCGCGGCGTCTGATACCACGGATGGTGGGGAAACGGGGGTCCGACCAGCCATCGACAACTCCCTCGTTGACAAGTTTTGTCAGCTTTCTCTTTGAAAGAAGGGTGCGGATAAAGTTCATTCGGGCAAAGTCCCAGATTTGAACGTGACGGAGCTTGAGTGTATCCAAGAACCACTGGTACTGAGGGTTGCGGTCGCGGTACTCAATGGTTCTGAGCGCGTGCGTAACACCCTCCATGGAGTCGATGATGGGGCAGCAGAAGTCGTAAGTAGGGTAGGCCTTGTACTTGGTTCCGGTGCGGTGGTGAGGAGAAGGGTTGCAGCGGTAGATAACCGGGTCACGCATAGCCTTGTTGGGGTTGTCAACAGACATCTTGGCACGGATACACCAGCGCGCTCCCTCCTCAGTACCCTTGTTCATCTCTTCAAATCGAGCCAGGCTCTCCTCAACGGTGGCATCGCGGCGCTTGCTGGGCTCTCCGTTCATTCTTTGGGAAGCCATGGTCTCCTTGTCGGTGTCATCCGCGTAGGCGTTTCCGTCCTTGATGATCTGGACGGCGTACTGGTAAAGCTCGTCAAAGTAGTCACTGCTGAAGCTCGTCCTGTCGGGTTTGATACCCATGAGAGCGAGATCCTCGATGATGGCATCCTGGAATTCCTGCTTCTCGTTCGAAGGGTTGGTGTCATCGAAACGGACAAGGAGGGTTCCCTTGTACTTTTCGTGGGCAAAGTAGTCGTTCAGAAGGGCAGCTTTAGCGTGTCCAATGTGGAGGTATCCAGAAGGCTCAGGAGGAAATCGAGTGACGACTCCCTTATCGGTGTTGAGGAGCGCAATGTCATAGTTGGCACCCTCCTTGGCCTTGGCGGCCTTCTTCTCCTTGGCCGAGGCGTTCAGAGCCTCCAACGCAGCGATGGCCCAAGGGCATAGTTCTTCAAGAAAATTGAACCAGCGGGTCAGGTTGACCAGAGCTCCCTTGCGAATGGCACCAATTGCGACACGGTTTCCGCGGAGAGCACCCCAGAGAGCAATGTCAGCAGTGGAAAGGGCGTAGCCGACGACGAACGATCGCAGGATGAGGTGGTTGTTCAGCTGCTGGAGTTTCGGGTCGACGGCTTTGAAGTCAAGCGAGGCGAAGGCTTCAAGCTCGGAAAGCCAGTCGCTTTCCTACAAAATAGTCAAAATGAGATTGCAAGCATGGAGTGGCAGATACTCACCAATTTCTCCTCCTTGCTGTTCAGGTAGGGGAAGCTGAGTAGCAGTTCCTTGAGAGCAGTCGCTCCGTAGACAGGAGTGCCATTGGCAGCAATGAACTCGACAACTGCCTTGTCGCCCCGCGGGAGGACTGCGACGTCCTCATAGTTGATGGTGATAACTGGGGTGGGTCGGGCTTCGTTGACAGAAGTTGCAACGAGTAGGATAGGTAGCAAAGTGGCCTGGTTGGCCTTGGTGGCCAGAGTAAGCTGAAATTGAGACATCTTGAGGTGATTCTCAAACAAATTCCAGCAGGAGTTGAATAAATGGCGGGGTTTAATGGGCTTGACTCGAAAAAGAGAGCGGCCGGAAACACATTCTTCCGTCCGTCTCCGGCCAGCGCAAAGCTTCGGCGGAAAACAATTGCTGCGCATGTGAGCATTACACATCCATCTAGGGCCTAAACCATGTCCTCATTCAGCTCGCTGATGCCCACCGGGGCGAGGACAATACTGTCAATATGTCGGCCTTCCGTCCGTCATGGGTCAATGGCGGCGCCCCTGTTCTCCGGGTATCAACAGGCCCGAGGAGCCGCAACCGCCAGGAACAAGCAGGCAGTGGAGCGGAAGAAGAGAGACAAGGCTGCTAGGTCACTTGCTAAGGGTAAAAAGGGTCCTCGCGAGTTCAAACAGAAGAGCCTGAAGGACATGGAACAGTTCGCACTGTGCGATGCTATGAGGTGAGATGCTAACTATACCGACCTGGCGGCACTTCTAATTACATCTCAATGGCAGATACCTTCGCGCATTCGAAGTCGGCCGCGAGCCAGCGGTAGCCAAATACGAAGTTCACATTCGACTGAAGACCCGGCGAGACGGCCCCGTGATTCGTAACATGATCCGATTCCCTCACTCTGTCCAGACTGAATCTCGAATCTGCGTGATCTGTCCGCCTGGGTCAAGACATGCGAAGGAGGCTCTCGCAGCGGGAGCGGTGCTAGTGGGGGAGGATGAAGTATTTGAGGCAGTGAAGAACGGGAGGATTGAGTTTGACCGTTGCCTTGCCCACCCAGACAGTATGGCCGCGCTTACCAAGGCTGGACTGGGTAGGATTCTCGGTCCCAGGGGCTTGATGCCCAGCGCGAAGATGGGCACAGTTGTCGAAGATGTGGCTGCTCGTGTCGGGATGCTTCGCGGAGGTACGGTGTACAGAGAGCGTGATGCTGTGGTCCGACTTCCCATCGGCCAATTGGGCTTCTCTCCAGAGCAACTACGAGACAACCTTCGTGTTACCATTGATCAAGTGAAGAAGGATGCCAATAACCTTCAAGACCGGATCACGAAGGAGATCTACGAAGTGGTAAGTCTGGGAATGTGTCGTCGTTTGATTATTACTGATCGACTGCAGGTGCTGAGCTCAACCCACGGTCCTGGTTTCAGTCTGAACGGAGAGTTCAAGTCCGAAGACACCGTGGACCCCGCCTTGTTGACTGGTGCTTAAATACTTTCAATCTGCTGTATAGGACATGTTTTATTAGGAAGGATACGGTGTACTATAATGGGAATGGTTCAAGCATATACTCTCAACGCCGGCGCTATGCAATCACAAACACAAATCTATATAGTCAAATCTTTCAGAGCGGACACGGCACTCGTATCCTCTCCCATGTGCTTGTACAGACGCAAAACGGCCAGCGTTTTGGTGTCGCGCTTCTCCCCTGCCTGCTTCGCCTGTTCGAGCGCCTTTTTCAGGTCCAAGAGCAGCGCCGAACGGATCTTGGACATGCGCTGTTGCTGTTCGAGTAGGAACGGATGTTCCTCTCCAATTCGGGACGACAGCCTCGTCAGGTAAACGTATTTCTGTAGGTGGTGCTCAAGCCGTCTGAGTGAGACAAGCGGAGCTGTACTCTCGCCTCGATCCTCATCCTCCGTCTCCGCTTCGTTTTCACTCTCCAGAATATCTGATTCCGTATCAGACAGTTCCGCTGACTTGTCCTGTGGTGTTTGCTCCCCAATCATCAACTTCTTCTCGAGCTCCTCGACCCGATCCGAAAATTCTAGCAGCGCACGCCCAATATTTGCATTCGCTCTTAGTCGCTTCTTCTCATTCAGCAAATCCTCGAGCTCCCTTTGCCTCGCTTCTACTTTATCCCTGATTGACTGGACATCACGTTGGAACGCGAGCAGTCCAACGCGCACTTGCTCGACTTTCTCCTCCCCCCCTTCAAGCGCACTACCCAGTGACAGAAAATCCTGATAATTCTCATTGACCAGATCTAATAGTTCCCGGCTGAGCAATTGGTCAAGGTCGCGCAGCTCCTGACGCAGGTCCTCGAGGGTTTGATGTCGGTTGGTTAGGGAGGAGAGGTACGTCGCCGGATTGAAGTCCGGAGAAAGGAAGGAAGCTCGGGACAGGGGTTCGGGAAATGGCAGACCGGATGTGTCGTCGTCTGACGCAGACTCATCAGAATCGCCGAACTAGGGATTGATCGAGGTCAGTTGGCTGTTGTTGAAGCCAATGGGGAGGAGACAATTGGGGTAGCGTACGCGAAACTTGTTTGATTTGGCGGCCATCCGGAATTCCAGCGGGCTTGTCGAGTTGTGGCGGAGGCACAATAAGCTGCATGTGAACGTGAAGGGTCGATGTGGACTCTTCTCCGTGCTCCGTGCTCCGTAGGCAGAATGTTGGAAGAGGGGTGCGGGTGCGGAGTTGGATGGGTCTGGGCTGGATGCTGGACTCCGCGCTAGCAACTATCAAGGCAGGACTATCAAATGCTGCGGAGTAATCCTCCAGACCGACTAAGATATTCCTGCTGCCAACTCATCTGGATCCCATGTCTGCATCCTCCCGCATCAATCAGGAGTACCACAGGTGTCCGACAGGGCCCGACTATGCTTATCCGATGCATGCTAACTTGTTCAACTCCGCCTGAGCTCATGCGCCTCTGTCCTTCCACGCAATGCGCTGGGGTGCCTCCTACGTGTCTGTGTTTGTGGCCTGATAGCAGCGTTTCTACCTGAGAAGCGGGGTTTCAACCTGAGCCCGTAGTGACCGTTGTCGTGTTCCTCTCGTGTCTTTCCCTGCGCCTGCATCACCGGAAGCTGAAAACGTTCTCGTCTGGAGCTACAGACGCAACCACTGCCGCATTGTGATAGCGACTGGCTCCCTCTCATCTGACAAAATGGATCAGACGCAGTCCGGCAGGCTGTCCTCCCACCTTGATGCATTGCGACGACCAACATACCCTTCCTCTTCACGGCAGAGGAGACCGCAGCAGCACGCCACCACACCCTCATCTTCTTCGCGGACCCTCATCGAACCCGCTAGTTTATCCCGGCAGGCGAGCTCGAACCCGAATCCCTGTCGCTATGAATCTCTAGAGGAGACTTCCCGTGCTTATCGTACCTCTGCGTTGCGCCATCTTCACGGAAACGGCACGCCCAAGCCCTTATCCTGGAAGGCTCGCCAAGCAGCAGCCAATAACCCCGGCAGCGGCAAGTCTTCGAGCCTAGCATCGCAGCCTGTTCTTGTTCGGTCCTATTCCGGAGATCCTGATGAGAACTCCGGTTCGTCCAAGATGCCTACTCGGCGGTCGTTTCTTTTTCCGGGAAACTCCAGCTCCAGCTCTCAGCAACGACGGCAGCCCGAGCCCGAGATCCCGGCCGGTGAGGAGTTCAGTATTGACGGCATCCTTCGCGCAATAGAGCCGAACATTCGCAGTACGCTCAACTCAATTGGAGAAATCTGTGGCCGCAGCAAGCTCAGTTTAGCCAACGAGTATGGCAGTCACATTGCGCCTCTAGGCGAGATTCGTGCGCCCCCTGGAGGACTCTTACCTGTTGAAGAGGCCAGTTCCACTCATGAGGGATACTCTGGCGATAATGTGGTTATCTATGATGATGACAATCCTGTCGATGGACGGGAGCATTCTCCTTTCTCGAACTATACCTTCTTTGACGCCCTCCTTCCTCCCATCTCTGTACCCTCGCAAGCTGTTCATACGAACGATCAACCGCGTGAACAACCAGCCGAGCCTATTCCTACAACGCGCGAGTTTGCATCAAAGCCCAAAGCAGGCGGGCGCGCATTACTAGGGACGACAGAAGCAGACGACGACCGTGTTCAAAACATCCTCACACCAGCTCTGGTCTCGGAAATCCTCCTCGACGCCCAGGCCAATGGCCGTTTGAAGCCTGACCATCTTTCCAGCCAAATGTCTCAGGCAAACATATCAACTCAGTGGGCAGATCCTAGCAAGCCGTCCGACGTGCAATCACTCTTCCGCTGGCTGAAACAAGCTGCGTGGAGCGATAGTTGCGAAGGTGGACAGCAGACGGCCGAAAGCCGGCTGCGGGCGACGCTTGAGCGACAAAGTGAGCCCGTGTCTCCTTGACTCTCGTAGTCAATCTCCATCTATATCTGTCATATGTCTGTATATGATGAGCCTATATCCAACTTAACGATGAACCTTGCTTTTAGCGGTCTTGTTATTTAGCGAACATACTCAATGAGACACAAAAATGTATTTTCTCCACAGGTATCCATATCGAAAAGCCATACCATATCTATAAAACAACGACTTCTACACTTACCATGCATCAGCCTTCAATCTCTCCTATCAACGTCCTAGCAAACCCCTCAAACCGCCCATATGACCAACACTCTCTATACCTCTCCACCAGCGGCCTGTCATCCACCACAGCCTCCTCTTTCTCTTCTTGCACTTTGTCCTCTTCATCCTCATCATCACTATCCTCTGCACTCTTCGCCTCTACTAACGCCCCAAACTGCACATCAACCGGCACTTTCCCCAAAAACCTTACCCCCATCTCCCTCGCCATAACCTCCCCGCCCCCACTCGAGAAAAGATTACTCACCTCCCCGCAACATGGACACGTATAACCAGACATATTCTCCACCACGCCCAGCGTGGGGATATTCGTCTTGACGCAGAAGTTCACCTCCTTGCGCACGTCCGATGTCGCAATTGCCTGCGGGGTTGTTACGAGCACGGCGCCCGTGAGATGCGGAAGCGCACTAGGTCCACTGGTAGACGGGCTTGTCGTAGAGATCTTCAGCAGTTCCTCCGCAAGCGCAATATGCTCGTCGCTTGTGCCCGGTGGCGTGTCGACAAGCAGGTAATCCGTTTCGCCCCAGTAGACGTCTGTAAGGAATTGGCGGATCATGGCTGTTTTCTTGGGCCCGCGCCAGATGACTGCGTCGCCGCGATCGCGGAGGAGGAAGCCTAGGGACATGCAGCGGAGGCTTCCTCTTGGTTGTGTTGTGCCCCCGTTCTCGTTCGCAATTTCGCCGGCAGCGGCAGCGGTAGTGGTAGCGGCAGGCGCAGCGTCATTTTTGGGAGCTGCTTGAGACTGGGTCTCATGTACTGGCACGGGAATCCATCCGTTCGGGGACTGGGTGATCTTTGCGTTCTCGAGGCCAACGAGGCGTGGGATGGAGGGGCCCGTTAGGTCGATATCGAGTATTCCGACGGATTTGCCCTGCAGGGTAAGGGCGAGGGCGAGCTGAAGGGTGACTGAGGACTTGCCAACGCCACCCTTACCGGAGAGGATCTAAATTGACTCTCGTGTTAGTGCATGCTTAATGTTTGGAGAGCATGGGCTCATGAGGGGAAGGAAGGGTCTGTGGCGATTGTTATCGATAAGGCTTGGAGGGGTCGGAAATTTTCTCTTCTAAGCTCTCTCTTGTGAGCAAGGGTTGTGAGGGACTTTTGCATACCAGGATGATATTCTTGACACCTTCTAGAGGCATTTTCTGAGGTATGGGAAGTGGTTGAAGCGAGTAAGAAGCAAAGTTGGGGAAGCCGATGTCGCTTTAGATCGAAGTTCTGCGTCATTCCGCGGAGCTGCTTATCAATCGGACACCTAACGTCCACTGACTACTGATACGAAATCCTCTACCACGGTATGCTCATCATTCTTTTGAGATACTCGCCACTAACTAGGTGACTGTCCATCCTTCAGCATCGTATCCTTGAATATTCTAGTGCCTGTAGAACAGCGCTACTCATTAAGTCGCTGCCGTTGTTTATTGCCATTTCTGTACAACCACTCCACCACGCTTAAACTCGGCCAGGTCGCCAAGTACTGCTGCCTTATCGCTCAGCTCTTTGCTGGGGAAAGTAGTTAACAGTATCCACGGGCGAGCTTGACTTTGAGGGCTAGCAGCGGATACAAAATCATAAACATCGCCGATCGTATGAGTAGTGTTGAACCGAGAGGTAAGACGGGTTCCATCACCGAGACGGATCTGTAGAGTAACAGCAGGCTGGGATTCATCCACATTCGTCTTGGGAGGTTCGGAGCTGGATTGAGGCGCAGTTGCCGGTTCAGAGGTGGTAGGTTCCCTAACACCGGGTGTTGGGCTTCCCAGTCGCTGTCCTTTGCCGGCAAAAGGCTTGTACTTAGGCTTTGGCCTAACATACTTTTCGTCATGTTGCTTGATCTCGACATCCACATCCTGTCCATGCTGTGCGTTCATGATCGAGAGCGGGGCGCGGCCCTGTCGGATGCTGTTCAGGATCTCGGCGTTCTGAGGGTCGTCGGATCGGTACAGGTCACCATCGTCCACGGAGAATCCGTCCGCCCAGAAGTGCAGAGTGCGTCGCACGCGGCGAGGAATCTGCGACTCAACGGGCGCGCTCGGAGCGTCAATAACTCTGCTTGGTGTGTCCTCACCACCTAATGTTCGGGCGGAGCCAGTGAAGTAGTTTCGTCTCGGTTCATTGTCATCAGATGCCGGGAGCTGAGTCCTAGAAGCATTTAGCATCTGTGCAACCAATGTACGATAAAGACGTACTTTCTGGCTTTCTCTATGATTTTCTTCTTGAGGTCATCTGGGTTCTGTACGGCTAGCCCGGACTTTTCACCCCCAGCAAAGAAATCCTGGTTCTCGTCGTCCTCATCATCAGAGCTATCGGCAGCTCCTGATGTAAGGTCGCCCAATGTTGCGAACTTCTTCTGGGGCTGTTTCCGGGTCGATGAGGATTCTCTGGGAGTAGACGATGAGGACTGGGCGGAAGGCTGGCCTGCTGGCGCATTCGACCCCGCGGTCTCGTCTTGTTCTGCGAAGAACTCTGTAACTGCAGCTTCGAGATCCCAGCCGTTAGTTGCCAGATATTCTTGTGCCTAGTGTTTCGTTAGCTAGCTAGATCTCATCTCCGAGACAAGCTACCCACCTCGTCGGGGCGCGCCCTGGTCATGGCGCAGAACTGCGAGACGGCCTCATCGTGCTCGGCGGGATTCATTGTGTATTTTAGTTGGAGTGCCGGAGCCTAGGATTCGAAGAAATATAAATGGTCCGTAAGAAATCCGAATGCTGAGAAAGAGGACAGGTTGATAGAAAGTGAGGTGAGGGCTAAGTACGTCGAAATTCAGCCTCGCAAAGCAAAAGCAACACCGGGCAGTATGCTACAGTACGTCACTGTTTGCCTGATTGGCCGGGCTCAATATAATCCGTGCTGCCTCAGGAACGGCACTATAAGCCACCGAGTCCGAGTTATTGTCAGGATTGCAGAAAGCTGTCTATTTCAGACCTCAAATTAGATGGAAGATCAAATCTCTGAGAGGGTGAGCGTGTTGTTGTGCTGAAGTTGTGTTGAATCTTAATGTACTTGCTTAGTAACCCCGTGGTTAGCGGAGATCACCAGTGGCCCGTGTCAATGAGCTCAAGCTCACCAGCATACCTCATTCGTCCCTAATAATCTACAACAATCTCCCGCCGTCCTCTTTACCACCTCTCAGTTACGGTCTCCGCTGATTTACCTCCCTACGGCTCACGCGCTAACAGCTCCATTTCTATACACACCATGGCTTCAAACGAGGTCGTCTCCAACTCAACCCCAGCGCTATACGAGTCCGGGCTCACGATCCCCTCGGATTCAGAAAACTACTCAGCCAACCATGACTCTTCTTCAACCTCGTCAGATTCACCGCTGATCCTGTACAAGCCCTCAACGACACTATGGAGTATTCTCCGAGGTGCGGCAATCAACCTGTTCCTCCCTTTCGTCAACGGCTTGATGCTGGGATTCGGGGAGCTCTTTGCGCACGAGGCCGCGTTCAGGTTAGGATGGTCTGGAACAAAGGTATGATGTGGTCTTCACTTTCCATATCCAGCGCTTAAATTGACTTCGTCTGCTCAGGTCTTCCCCACGTATCGGCGGTCTCGGCCCGTAGCTGCTGGTCTCGGGTTATAGAGCGGCTTTGGACAATTTTGCGGACGTGAAGCTGAGGAGATACCACCCGTTCATCAAATCGAGGAGTTATAGACATTTAAATTGAGTTTCATGCAAGGATCTATGTTCTCGGGACTACTGTTTTCCTTTCCTGCTCAACGACATGCGCCTGGAGTGATGTCCAAATGTACATACATAGACCCCAAGCAGGAAGGACAGTGATGACCTTGATGGAGTTTGGGAAGCAAGTCTACATATTGCGACTGCGCATTCTCCGGCAGTAATAGCTACATCATGGATACTTCTGTTGTAACGTTGTCTGTATACTCCTGCTTTGGTGCCGTTGGTCCGCCGACCGCCCGGCGTCGGCAGTCAGTCTTGGCAAAAAAGTGTTCATCCGCAAGTCAATCTACGCCATCTCCTCCGTTCGCTCGTCGCCCTCCACAATGTTTGGTGGCCCTGGTTTGAAGGGGCGCATTGCCCGGCAGCAATTTGCTGCCTTTGCGCAGTCGAGTCGATCGGTTCGTCCCAATTCTATAGGTTCCGAATCCGGCGCTGACTTGAGCAGATGTCCTCGTTTCGACCGCAGCTATCAAGACTTTCCGTACAAAATCCAAATGGCAAGATTCTCAGCGGAAGCACGACATGGAGACGACCGGTGCCCTCGTTTGCTCTGCCAGCTGCTCGATTGAATTCGACATCTTCCTCGACTCCTACGCAAGTGACCCCCGAAACTCAACCATCATCCGAGTGGGACGTCGATATCAGCCAAATCCCCGAAAGCATTGGCTATCTGAAGGAACTGGGCTTAGACTACGGCTGGGGCCCGTCGGCAATGGTTGAATACATTATGGAACACATTCACATCTACTCAGGCCTTCCCTGGCTGGCTACTATAGTCGCGACAGGTGTCCTCTTCCGGTTGGCGATGCTACCTCTCTTTATGCGTTCAGCGGATATCGGTGCAAAATCCTTCAACGCCCAGCCTATGATTAAGCCGATTCGGGAGAACATGTTGAAAGCCGCGCGTTCTGGCGACCAGGTGGCGGCACAAAAGTTCAGAGCCGAGATGGCTAGTCTCAATTCCAGACTCGGGATTAAGCCCATGCAACAGTTTCTCCCGATGCTTTTTCAAATTCCCGTGGGTTATGGTTGCTACCGTGTTATCAATGGCATGTCTACTTTACCTGTTCCTGGCTTGGCTAAGGAACAGTTTGCGTGGGTCAGTGACCTCACGGTATCTGATCCGACCTTCCTTCTTCCCATTATGACCTGCGTGGGCCTTCATTTGAGTCTTAGGGTACGTGTTCCTTTAACCGCACATGTGCTTCCGTCTAACTGATCAATTCTTACAGAAAGGAAGCGAGGACGGAAACATGAATTCGGACATGGGAACGCTCAGGAAATTCATTATGTACGGCATGCCTGCAGTGAGTTTACTTTTTATGGCCTGGTGGCCCGCTGCGCTGCAAGTGTACTTCCTCACTACCGGTAGCTTTGGTCTCATCCAGTCCTATTTATTCAGCAGCACAACCTTCCGCAAGGCCACTGGCATAGCTCTCCTCGAGAAACAGGCCCCCGCGCAACCATCCGGCAGCACAACCCCAGCTGAACCGAACAGGTCGCTCCGCATGATCACGGAAATGTTGGAGCGCGAAAACGCCAAGATCAAGGAGGCAAGGAAGGATCTCGGCGAGAAAGAGAAGCTCAGCTTCGTCGACCGCGCCATCAACAACATCAAAGAGTCCAAGGACAAATTAGCCAAGGAGACCACTCAGAAGATGCAGGAGATGAGCGGGAATGGCCCCAAGTCGAATTCCGATGGCTCTCCCGCTGAGCCGCCCCGGCTCAGCGACAAGGACCGCAAGCTGGCAGAGGACTACGAGAGACGCCGCAAGGAAGAGGAGCATTGGAAGCGGGAAGAGCGCAACTATGCGAAGAAGGAGGCGTTCCGGCAGGCGATGGAGCGGGAGAGGCAAAAAGCCAAGGAGGCCCTCAACAAGTCAAATGTGAAGCGGTGAATTCTGTCGCATGATTTGTGCATTGTACAATAGCATTTTATTCTGTTTAGGTTTAATAGATATCTCTCTATCTCAGTCCTAAGCCACGGGGTAGCCTCAATGCAGCTGAGCCTCTCCAGCATTGTTAACACACAATGTGAGATCAGTGTACCATCTAGATAATGGTCATTTCCTACAAACTTGCTCAATCTCATTCATAAATACAGCAAGTCTCTGCCCCCGAAAGCACTTGTGAGCCCGACCCTTTTAGTGCACCGACAATAACATGTCAGCTCATTCACTCAACACAGCAAAGCACAACCCATCTTCTCTTTCTTTTTTCTCTTCCCCTCATTTCAGTTGCCGAAACCATTGCCTACCTCTTTGCTATCAAATCACTAAACTGAGCGAAAAGACTAACATTTACACCTACATCCTCGGGAGTAAGTACAATGCCCCTACTATGGCTCTTTTACCCAGTTGAACAATATGGCCAATGACAAAGTCTACCACTGAAAGACCCCAAGACTTAATATTCGATACAGCTGGGTTCGTGCAAGGCCAGTCGAGCATCTCATATCCGCCATTCGTGTTGTTTTAACCCCAACCAATCCCACAACGCAAACCAGATCAATCAAAACCATCGCATCCGCTTCGGGCTCGCATAATGGAAGTGCAGCCGGAGGCCCATATCCTGAATATGCCCGGCCTCGCTGCCCTCATGTCTCTATTGCCGCTCCTCGTTGCAGGCTTGGTCGTGGCTGAATGCATGCGCCAGCTTCTGATCTCTGTGGACGAGGGCATGCGTCGGCGGCGAAGGCGAATGGTTATGGTAGATGTCGCGCACGATGCCGACGTTGATGTTGCCTTGAGGCCGCGTAGGGGCCCAGCGGGTCTGCATGGGGTCTGGAACGAGGGTGGCCGTGAGGATGGGGATCGGAACTGGAATGGCAGGGGGAGAGGGCGTGTTCGTGTTGGTTTGGTGCCGGATATTTGAGGCTTTATTCCATTTGGTAATGGCTTTAGGCTGGTTTACGGAGTTATAGGTTTGGTATGAGCGGTTGAGGGTGAGGCAGGGACGTCCCTGCTCGTATTAGGGCTAATGGGTTCGAGAAGTGCCATCATAATTGATGCAGCTTGGTGGGGATCTGTCCATTTGAACTGCTGGATGATAATTCTCATGCAAAAAAGTAAGTAGATTGCTGTCTTCCAGTGGGCTGATATAAGGCCATTAACCAATTCTGCAGATAGCGAATGTGATGGTTTGGGCTCGCCCAGGTATACATGCGAAAAAGGAAAATCCAGCGCCCCCCAAATTTATTTCCAGTTCCATATGGCAGGTGGGGATTATATGTTGGCTTTTTCTTTTTCAATCTAAGCTTCGTGCAATGGCAGGGGAAAGTCCGGAAGTGTTTGTCAAATGAGAGATAGATCTCGGTGCAGTAAATATTCACAGAATAGGCGAAGAGTTAGAGCATAGCAAAGCGTTCTCCTGGAAAGCGTCACACCATCCCTCAAGCTCGCTCGTCAGGTCGGAATCCAGTACTTCTGCCTTCGCAATCGCATCTTCAAGCTGGTCTTCATGATCCTCACGAAGACAATCGATTAATTCGTAGGTCTCCTTGAAGTGTGCAACACGTGGCAGCTCATCGAGGGCGTCTTCCATGCTCGCAAGTCCTTGCCTTATCCGTTCGGCGTGCTCAGACGGTGCTCCTATCTCCATCAAGGCTTTTTGGAGGACCTCGTTCACAGCCAAGCCATACTCCTGCATGGCTTGCACCCCGTACCGTATTTCCGAGAGACCTACGTGCAGTTTCAATAGAGCATCACGATATTCGGCTTCCTTTGCTCGGTGCTCTCCCTCAATTGCCTTGTGCATTGCTTCCATCTCCTTTCCTTGTTCAGCCAATATCTTCAGCGCAGATGGCCAGTCTTCTATTTCTGGCTGAGACGTTGCGTTCATTGCTTCAATCGTACTCGCTGAACGCTTGTAACTTGTAGTCGTGGTCTTCGCGGCAGCAGAAAAGCTGCATGGCTTCTGTGGGGTCGAAGTAGAGTCTCCCTGTGCCTTCTTGCTCGAGCCCTTTGCGGCAGCTTGGGTACTGGGCATGGACACGGGCCCGTTGTTCTTGGTCTTGATTCCCGCCATTTCTCGAGGTTTGTTGACCTGAGCTAAATTTTCTCTAGAGTATATGAGCTTATCTGAATTCTAGCCTTTTCCTGTATTGAAGTTTTACTGACCTTGGAATTGGGCTAGATGGAGCTCAGCTTCATATGCAGTTGATTGAAACGAGGGAGCTGAAGAGTAAAGGTAAAACGACGTGTTCGGAATAGTCCACTAAAATGGTCAGTGTATACCCATTTGTGGGATTGAGCAAAAGATGAAAGTTTGCAGCCTACCTGCGCTCTTTGAAGCGTGGATAGTCGGTGATAAGATGCTGGTTGATTCAGAGAAAGAAGTATCCTCAGCGGTGATTGAAGTTCTAGCTAGGCCACGATGGAGAAATGAGATATGGTTGTATGCAAGAAGAGTGAATGGAAACTAGAGGCAAAGAGGATAGACCGCGTATGAGAGAGGCAGAGGAAGGGAGTGGAGGTATACAGTTAAGTTAGACGAGGATGCGGAAGGTCGAGCAAACTAAGAAGCTAGGTGAAAGACCAGGAGCAGCGATGATAGGGAGTAGCCAGAGAAGAGAGAGCTTGGGAGGAAAGACGGCTGAAGATGTGAAGAAGTGCAAGGCTCTATTTGTATAGGGATATTCAGTCCACGTAAAGGCAAATGTCAAGGCAAAGTGAGGTTAGTATCAAGGAGGATCCATATATGCTGCAGTAGATAGAATTGTATTCAGTTTTTAACCTAGCTCTTGGAGCAGCCGCAAAATCCATGGAGATAGTCGACCCTTTGACATACTCAAGCTACATCCAAGGGCACAAGATGGCTCACGCCATATGGAGAAAGAAAATTGACCAACCCCAGAGTGAACCAATACAAAGCAACAGGTCATGATAAGAAAAAGGTCCATATGACTTCATAAATAAAACGAGTTGAGGTCAAACCACTCAGACCTGCCTTGGACACGAACCTATCTCAAAGTCCCTGTCCCTCCATAGCCTGAGCGTCAGACGCAGTCTCCTCTTCCCAGATCTTCACAAACTGCACCCAAGCATCCTGGATGATTTGAGCGCCCTTGACAATGGCGCGAGCCTGCTCACGAATATTCTCGACATTCGCACCAGGACGGATCTCCGCCACCGCGTCAAGATGTTTGGCCATGTAACCCTCAAGGTCTCTAATAGCCTCGTGCATGATCTCAACGTTCCGTCTTATATTCTCGACGACTAGGGAAAAGTCCGTCTCAACCCCGTTCATGAACTCGTTCTCCATGCTGTTGGTGGCGTTCTTGATGGCCCACGAGGTCTGCTTGACCTTGCGTACCACTTCGCCGAGGCACTTGAGGAAATGGTCTTTGGTGGAGGCGTAGGAATCGTGCTCGTGGATTCGCTGTTTCTTGGGAGTTCTGGGTGACGCCGGATATTCTTTTGTAGTGCCCTGTTCGTTGTCGGGTAGGGCACGCTTGAGGGCCGGTTGCTGGGACTCGGGTTGTTCCTCGGCTTGGGTCTGATTGTCAGTTCTGGTTCCGTCTTCCTCTAGCTGAATTTTTTGGTTGGGTCTGGAGCTCGGCCTTGAAATTAGAGTCAGGCGTGGCCGGGGCATAGATCACAGCTTCGGCACCGAACTTTTCAGCATGGGGTTCAATCTCAATCTTGAAGTCTGGAGCATCTCTCAGAGTTTCGGAAGCAGTACGGGGATGAACACCTTCGTGAACTGTGTGCTCGACCTGTGGCTGTGCCATTTCTTGCTGCAACCAGTTCAAGGAACTAGCGGCCTTGCATATTTCCACGTTTTGGCTAGGTTGGGTGCTAGGATGATCCTCAGTGACGACTCCTGGAGCATCCTGCAGAGCCTTAGAACAAGTCTGTGGAAGAGCCTCCTTTTGAGATTCAGACTGGACCTTGGATTGTGCGAGATCGTGCTGCAGCCACTTGAGAAACTCATCGGCTCTGCGTTCTGTTTCGCTGAGACCAGTCTGGGTGCCAGGAAGGTTCTCGGTCTGAGGTTCAGGCTTGACTGCAGGTTGAAGGTCCGGAGCATCAGGGAGAGGCTCAGAGATATCGATCGTAGGGCGAATCTCGCCCTGGACAGCGGATTTGCCTTCGCCACTTATTTCTGCAGGGACAGAGTGAATATTCATTCGGTCCTTGGCCTCACGCTCCTTGGAGTACCCCATGGCAGGTTGCACCTCCTGTTCAGCGAGGCTGCTCAATGTCAGTCAGTGGGTTTGTACTTCGCCCACCAATATAGCAGTCCGCTCTGTAAGGAGACTGACCTTGCTTCCTGCTCCTTATCCTTAGCGGACGGCTGAACTCCATTCTCATTTTGTGTCAATTCGCAAACCGCGGAAACTACCACCGGGGAGTCGACATCCAACAGGGGAGCTATGGATACATTGTGCAAGTTAGGGTTGCTGGATGCCGGCACAGCCCCGGCAGATTGCGCTTCCTTTGCAGCATCTTGATCTCCAGTTGCGCCCTGGGTCAAGTCACAGAAAACCGCAGTCACCGTAGCCGGGTTGCTGATCACCTCAGGAGCACTCGACGTAATAGGTGAGGTAGCGCTTTCCCATACCACACTAGTCTCTGAAGGTTGTGTTCCACGCCCGTCGATCCCTGCAAGTAATTCGTCAAGGCTGACATCCGGACGGCGGTCGAGACGCATCCCCGCCGTTGGGTCTATCGTGCCGGCATAATAACGCGGGCAGTACTGGGGAGGAGGGCTGCGCAGGCCTGCCTCGAAAGTACCTCGCCGCTCATCATGAGTTGCTTTCTGGGGAGACTCAGTCAAGTCCACGACATGGCGGTCAAAAACAGCATCTGTGTTTGGCGTATTGCGGGCACGGAGACGGGGGTCAGAAGGGGCTAGGTCCGCAGGCTGTGTTTCCTGTCTAATAGCACTGCTCGACAGGGTGTTAAATACTCAATGTCTCTGCCCTCAGATGTGCATGGAAAGCTTGACATTGGCGACATACCTAACTTCCTGGCCTTGACCGTTTTCTTCATCGCGGTCCCGGCGTTCTACCTGCGGTGTTCCATCACGGGTTAGGTCACAATAGGCCGGGACGACCTTGGGCGGGTCGGAAATGATGATAGGATTGCTGGGGGCGTTCGGGGCGGTGCCGTTGGCGTTGGGCTTAGCGTTAGGCTCGCAAGAGTCTGCCATGTTGCTCTGCATTGCGTGCTATGGCGTGTGTCCACTGGCTGGATCTTGCTCGAGGTTAGCAGAAGCTCCTTACTATGTGTGTTACGGCCTTGAATCGGATATTGGCGAGGCACTGACCTGGTAGATTGTGATTGTCTGCTGACGATCTTGCCGAGGGAGACAGAAACGAAGATAGCACTGGTTGTTCGAACGAGTTGGAGGAGGACTGTAGAGGATGGGGAGGAAAGGAAAATGAAGAGAGAGGTGGGTAGAAGAATATAACACATGCATGATTAGGAATTGAAGAGTGTATATGCTGTGACTCAGGACAATGTAGTGAATAAGATTCGCAGACATGCTTGCTCATTGAATCATATTCACCACATCACAGTCAGTTGAGGTGGATTCAAACAATAGAAAGTGTTCCCAGAAGCAGGTGAGTTATTGAATGATTCTCAGACCTGGCCAATATCATTCACTCGAGCTGGGAGACTACTTGGATGATCAAAGGAGTATGTCCATGATAGTTCAAATCAGAACCCAGCTTGTGATGGTGACAGCACCTGAAGGTGACAAGGGAAAAGCATTCCCTATCCAGCCCCAAGGGGCCGGGTACCTAAGACGCTCATCCTGCTACGATGTACACCTAAGCTACAGCACCAAGCTACATCAAATAAATAAAGAGACACGTTCTATCGTCATAGGTATGTTCATTGTTCCTTTTGTACATTAATAGAAAATAAGTAAGATGAAGTATGTGTAAAGAAGACAGCCTTCTGGAGAAATGGCTAGTGGACAGATGCATGTAGACATAAGTACAACAAACGACACAAGTCAACTCCAAACCCTGATGAAATGTTTAGTCACGCATGGACCAGCCATATCTTGAAAAGCAGCGATCCGGGGGTAAGATTCAACAGAGAAAGGTACAAAAAGAGAAAGATGAAATGTATGGTCAAATCTAAAGGTGTCGATGGTCGAATTTGAAGATGGTAAATGTATCAGTATCGTCGAGATGTATCGTGTAGTGAGGCAAACAAATGCAATTGGTCTGATTGTGCTAAATTTGACTGTCGTGTTTAAGCGCTCTGGATGGGCATCGTCTGCATGGGCATCGAGGTCAAGGGTAATGACTCGGCTTGGGCGGGCTTTTCGTCCTGGATAAACATGCGGTTCTCCATCTTCTGGGTCAGGCGAGCACAGAAGGGGTCAACGTAGTTTGTCCATAAGGTTGCACAGAAGTATACCAAGCAGATCCAGAGAGGAATACTGATGGCGACAACCCATGGTGGGCGGATCGGGATCCACACGGGCTCATCCTTGCCCTCTTGCTTCACATTAGGGTCGAAGGGCTGACCGGTGATACCGTAGAGACACCAGCAGAGGACGGTACGGAGTAAGGTTCCGTGGACGAGGTAGACGGCAAAAGACCGACCACCAAGCCAAAGAAGGAGGCGGTTCGAGAGGAATTCTTTGACGCTGGGGGAGATGTAGATGGCAAAGATGATCAAGTCGATACCGACGGCGGTGTAGCGCTTACCGATGTTGACGTCGGGAGGGAAAATGTAGTGAGCAGCTTTGTGCATGACTTCGGACCAGGTACTCCATTCAGGGTGTTCACCGGGGTAGCCGGCAATGAAGAGACCGGAGGCACAGAGGATAGCGGCCACGACCCGTCGGGGCCACTTCCACTTCTCGAGGAACTCTTGGAACGAGACTTCATAGGACAAATCGCTGAGGAACATGCCGTAAACACCTTGCAGTTGGAAGGTTTCTAATCTCGTTAGCGTAAATCCACCAAAACAAGTCTATACTGAATAATTACCTGTGTTCTTAGCGTTGTCCTGGTGGAAGTAAAGCGCCATGATGAGATAGACAACAAGCCGCCAGCGGAAACGCATGAACATAGTAGCACAAGTCAAGAGATACACCAACATAGAAGTCATCAGCAGAGGCAGCATCGCCCACTGATGATCATCATAGGCCATGTATCCCGTCGTCCAGGTAGAAAGGAAGTTCTTGCCCAAGCGAATCACCTCCTTCCAGAAAGAGTCCTCGAGATCCGGAGCAGCGTATCGGCACCACCAGCAATCTGACCGGTTGGCAGCGATGAACGCACCGCACTGAGCCATGGCCCAGGATATTATCATAGCGATTGTCGCGGGCATGATGAGACGTGGGGGGCGGCGGAAGGCACTTTTGCCGACAGCGGTAAAGGCGCCGAGGACGTTTCCATTTCGTGAGAGCTTCAGCGGTTTCAGAGCGCAGACGTAGCCAGTCAAGAAGGCGAAGATGGTGACACCGATACGGCCCTGCCACGGGATGCGGAACACGGGCAACTGCAGCAGTCTGGGAGACGCATCTTCAGAATCCCGAGGGGCAAACAGATCGTAGTCCCAGGCTCGGGCAAGGTGGGTGAGGATGACAAGGAAGGATGCGATACCTCGAAGGCCCTGTAGGTACTCGAGTCAGCCTCGCAAGACAAAAGTGGCGTTGATAATGAAGGTGCTCGTACATCGACCCATTTGACACTTTTCCGGGGATCACCTTTGACGTTTGGATCACCACCATTCCATGGCAGCGCTTCTCGAATTCGAGTGTACAAGTAGGAAGCTTGAGCTTGGGACATCCTGCACCAAGACTAGTAGACCGAAAGCAAGCTCATTCAATGAATGCTAAATGCTAAGCGAAACCAAAAAAAAAGACCAAAGGAGTGTGGAAGAGATGAGCGAGGAAGTTTGCTTCAACACGACATGGGATGTGGCAGTCAAGGACAGTTGATAAGTTAGACAAGAGGCGAGTCAAACAAGGAGGAGGAGAAGGAAGGACACGGAGAAACCCAAAGAAAAGCTAGGCCCTAGAAGGCTGAATACGGGGCAAGTCTGGAGACAGAAGAATTGAAACTTGAGAAAAAAGGGAAAGTGAACGACCAGGTGAAATTGAAGAACGGATCAGCGTCCAGCAGTATGGACTATGGAGCAGTGCCGAGCGAGCGATATCCACCTATGTCTCCCAGTGAAGAAGCAAAACGGAATTTTAAAGGGAACAACCTTGAAATCCGCCTTGTCAATCAATTATCAGACAGGGGGCCGAGAATAGAACCACAATCCAGAGATAGGCAGAACCATTCTTCCTCAGTGTGGCCACTGGCGGTCCAAGCCGCAGACGCAACGAGGGCACTCGGATGCATAAATCATGGCACATCGCAGATGGCAGTCTCAGCCCGGACTCGGAGCCCAGTGCCCACAGTGGCCTCCCAAGCGAGACACTGAGACAGTGTCGCAACCTCCCCCCATTCAAGGCTTGGGATAAAGCCATTCAGGGGGTGCAAAACAGCAATTCACGGAATCACGGACGCCAAAACGGCGCAGAAGAGCCATAGGGCGGCGGCTCAGGGACAGCGCTAGAGAGCCACGGATCCAGGCTGGGGCCAAATCTCAGGGCGCGGTCCATCCAACCAAGGGTCTGCCCCAATTCTGCGGGTAGATGGCGTCTTCGTGCTCGAATCAAGACCCTGCACTAAGCACAAGTTCGTCTGCGTCGGCCCTTAGTGGATGACTAAGGACTGCTAGGCTGAGTCTAGTGGCTTGGCTAGTGGCTTGGCTGCTTCTTCGGACGCTCACTTGGCGACATCTCGAGTCCAAACAGCCGATAACTCCGAACAATCACCAATCAAAGCTGAAACGTCTCATTAATATATACAGATATCGAGACTGTCCGAGAGGTAAATTCAGCGAAATAGACGCCGCCCTCCTACGCTGCCTGCACTCCAGGTGACCGACCCTCGAACCCCCAAGTTCCCCAGACTGAGCCCGGAAAAGCCAACGCCCCCGCCCTCTCCGTCTCGTTTATACCGTCGGAGCGCTTCTCGCAAATGGGAAGGGAGCAGCTGTCCGCGGTGGGGGTTAGGCGGAAGCTTCACCCTTGCGCTTCCGCCAGGTGCCGAAATCCGAAACACACCAGCTGTGCTGACGCTCGAGTTCGTATCTACCGGCTCGTGTTTCACTGCCGAATGAGGTTCGTTATTGGTTGCAGCGTGATTTGGCCCGTCTGCCGCAGCTTCTTCCTGAGCGAGCCTTGCCAATGCTGCTTGATCGTGTGCATCCGCCCACTCCTTCTGTACCGTCCGTGCCTTTTCTATCATCTCTCCCGCAAACACTTTTGTAAACCCGTTGATCGTGGTCACCACACTGGCCGGGACCGATTGCGAGAGCGCATGATTGACGATCCGCCGTAGCGTCTCCTTCCTCAATTTCGCCCGCTTGAACAAATCATATCGCTCGGATTGTAGCGGATTAAATGCATCCACCAGTAATCTATCACCGACCAGCAAACCATTAGCATCCGTATCCTTGTATCAACTTCGTAAGGAACGAAGCGAATGAAATAGAAGGGGCCGAAAAAACCGAAGACACTCACGCAAGATTCTTCCTCTCCGCCTCTACGTCCTCACGCTCCCCTCCATCCTCTCTGCCCAGCAAGTCCCCCTCATCGTCAAAATCATCATCTTCATCGCCTTCCTCGCCCCCATTTCCTCCTGCGCCACCACCAACCGTACTCGCCGCCCCTCCCCTCGCAACACTAACCATATCCTCACTATCTCTCTCCCGCTCACGCTCACGCTCGCGTTCCCTCTCCCTCTCGCGCTCCTTTTCAGCTTTGCTCTTTCGGCCCCTCTTGCGTCGAAAGACACCGTCCGCGCTCGCGCCTCCAACGCTCCCTGTGAAACTCCCTGTCACGCTTCCTGCATCGCTGGTCGCGGTTGCGCTGAAGGCTCGGAGGTCTGGGTCGACGGGAAACGAAGTCTGGCGGAGGGGGTGCATGCGCGGGCGTTTATTCTGGTGGCCGGCTGAGGCGGAGGAGATGGAGGTGCGTTTTAGAGGATTTGGGTTCGGTGGGTTCGGTGGTGGTGAAGACATTTTGCCTGCGCTGGCGCTATTGTATCCTCACTAAACTCGTTGCTTGCACTTGTTCGTAGTTATATGGCGCCCGGGATGGGTTAAGATAATGTTGGTGTTGGTGTTAGTGAGGTGCGACGGTGGAGTTTGTATGCGGGGAAGTGAGGCGAGTTTGAAGTAAATATTTTTCTCGCGTAGTCGAAAGGAGAGAGCTCGGGTAAGTAAAGCAGTAGCCGGCATTCATGAAATGGGAATCGCGGTCGTGTGTTGATTGATATCTGAATCCTGAGCTGCACTTGATGATCGCATATTCCGATGGAACCAAGATGTTCCGCGCCGACTATGGACCGGGAAGGCGCGTACTACTACTGGAGTCTGGACAGGCGTGCTACTCAGTTCCTACGCTCCTATGAGGCTGACAATCATTAGCTGGAACTATGTTACTGATCTCCTTCATTTGAAATCAAAAGACTTGATTTATAATCATAAGCAGGCAACGGGGTGACCTAGGCATCCTAGTACTACGTAAAGATACGAATGTTTGTAAGAGGAAAACAGCGATGAAATAGCAATGGATTATACCTAGGCTCTCCGAAACTGGAAATCACAAACACTCATAAGGAGCGCGATCAATAACATTCATGAATAACAGAAAAGACAGACATGAGAGACATAACAACGAACGATTCAACTAAACTAACAGCCGGCAATTTAGCAATGAAATACTCTCGACCGAAATCAAGCAATAACATCTTCGCCTAGCCTCGGGGCCCCCCCCTTCCAATCAAGGCGTTCATAATAGCGGAAAACCAAGTCATAACCGTGTAGATCATGGACAATGCGGTCCACCCGCCTGTATCCTTCAACATTTTCTCCCTTCGAGACACGACGGGCTGCCTGGCGCTCGATATAGCGAGCTTCCTTGCTAATATCCCAGTCGCCATCAATTCCAGGCTTTGCTTCAAACACCGTGACAGTAAAACGGCCGGGTTTGAAGATGTTCACTACTTGCTGAATGATATCCGCGGAAGTCTTACCGTTCTGCGAGTGCGGAACGTTGGTCTCAAAGGACGCGTACGAACAGTGAGGCTCCGGCGTCACGTGAACAGTAAAGTAGTGAGTGCCCTTGCCTCCATTGGGAGAAGGTATCACACCATTCGCGGAGAACCCACACGGGGTAAAAAGATAAGCGTCAATTCGTGACTCGGGGAACGTGTCCTTTGGGTATACATCCGACAGACCGCAGGACTCGGAAACCACAGTACCAAGAGCGTGACCTTCGGTGGTGAGCTCCGGAGGCAGAATCCCGCTACCCTGAGAGGATGAGACTTCATCAACCTCGAGGTCGGAGCCATTGCTGAACACGTCCACATGGTCATCCTTCTCAAAGTTGCTGTATCGCTTCTCAGCAACACTAGTGGCGTGGTCCAGATAGAACTGCTTGGCGCCCTCTTCGTCCAGGTCAGTCATCAACACCTCGAGAGTCTCATCTGAAGCTTCATCCTGCGCACCCATGTCCAAGTCAGAGCGATCGGGAAGCTGAATGAACTTGGTCTCGGTAACTTCGTCGTCCGAGTCCGCAGGTGGGGTAGCAGGAGGCGTAAGCAGAGTGTTGGGCTCAGTAAGGTATAAGTACCAATGCTCCCCGTTCATCTTGCCAATCATGTAGGCGCTGCCATTCAGGAAGAGCCTGTCCATAGACCGAACCTCGTCTCTCCAGCTGCGGTGAGGTCCACGCTGACGGTCGGGGAACAGGAAGTTCTTGCGACTGTAGAATACGCGGTAGGGAGCGGCCGCAACGGTAATGCCTCGAGACGGTGGAGCAGTGGACTTGGGAAAGCCACCGTGCATGGCAGCTATTTCCAGAATGCGGGGAAGACCGGAGAGCAGAGTCGTGGTGCCGCATGTCTTGAGAATCAACTTGTGTGGCCAGACGAACATGCTAGATTCCGAGAGGAGATAGGCATCCACGTCATCGGACGACACAATAGACAACACCTGGCAATTGACAATGTCCAGCATCTCCTTCCAAACATCCTCTGAGACCGCCTTCAAGCCAAGGGGATTCGAAGGACCCAGGTCCTTTGGAGACGCGGCAAACCAAACCTCCAGAAGTTTCTCAGGGCCTGCACAGTCAGCCACATTCCAGTGCATCAGAATGAGCGCAACATACCTTCGAAGGCGTTGGTGGAGTCTAGATCCTGGGCAGCCTCATGGTTAATTGTCAAGGATGGCGTCGCATTAAACGAGGACGGCGAGTGCGTGTAGTGCTGAGGAATGAGGTTGACCATCTCTTAGTTGGTGGTAGCCGAAGCTTTTGATCTATCTTGAGACTGCTGCCGGCGATTTATTGAGATGATTTGTGTAGCGCTCGATCGTAGACAAAAGCCTAGAAGCACTATCTGCGACCCAGACGAACAAGGGGGGGACTGTCCGCCTGTGAAGAGAAGGCCCTGAAGAATCGAGAGCAAGAGGGGCACTCAGCCGATAAAATATATGTCAAGAGGCTCGAAGCGGCGTTAGGGGGGTCGGAACGAGAGCGAAAGAAGGAAGAACCCTCGAGAAAATGGAATGGTGGGCTATGCGTAAGGCCTCGTGCTGAAGATACCGATACCGTGGTAAGTATCGGGTCTAGCAGACGAGGAAATCTGCTCTATAAGAATTGATGGTGGATAAAGAGCGGGAAGAACGTTGGTTTTTGTTGGTGAGGGGTGTTATCTGGGCCTTTATAGGAAAGTCAGTCGCGTGTTCTGAAAGGCAAGTAAAAGAGAAGGCGCAGATGCTCAACACAAGGACAACCTGGGTTGAGCACTCGGTTTGAGAGCTGAAAAGTCGCAGCGACTTACTTCGCGGGCTTGGACAGGAATCGCAGTAGGTCCTCTGAGTTCATGGAAGGCAGAGCAAATTCGAGCTTAAAAGAGCACGATGGAGCGAGACGCCACGGCTGTGAACATCTGAGTATTTGCTCCAGACGAGAAGGGGTGTGAGAATGATTATCAGGTTGAAGCAATCCCAAGTCGGTCAAGAGACGAGAGATTTGGAGAAGAATTGAGGGAAAAAAGAAGGCAGGTCAACGTGGGGTGCACAAAAGCAAGAAGTTGTCGCCGGCGTTGGAATTTGAAGTCTTTTCCTATTTTTATTGTGGGGCTGACCAGTGCCAGCTCCAGTTGGGCGCTGAGGGGTTGATATACCGACGTGCGGCTAACAGGAACAAGATGCCGGTGAGGACGACGAGAAGAAAACGACACGGAGTGAAACGGTATACTGAGCAGCGAGTATAACTACAGGGAACAAGATGCGACTGGATTCGAAGACGAAGACAGACAGCAAAGTCGGTCAGGGAAGTTGGGTCGCCCGCCCAGCCCAGCCCTCACAGGCTCACACGGAGGCCTGCTATGATTGGCAGGCGGTCAGTCGCCGGGAAGAATGACGTCGCCTCCCGCGGTCAGCGCCTTGCTCTCCTCCTACTCGTCCCGTCGGAGGTATACAGACAGATCCAGATTATCGATTATCGAGTCCCAGCTGTCATTCCCAATCCACCCGGCTCTCTCCGCTCCCCGCCGGTAAAAGACCGCCAGTCAGCGTCATTTTCCTGGTGAGCCCACGGCAACCTCTTTACAGCATCTCTAAAATCCCCGCCATCAGGCTTGGTGCCTGAGCGTCCGACTAGGGAATTTCAAATCCCTTTCAGCGCGCCTATCTAAATACGATAGTCAAGCCATGGCCTGTCAGAGAGACACTGAGTCGATATTAATCCAGGCACTCTGTTTCGTGCGTTCGACGCAGAGACCATTTAGAGTCCTTGACGTGCCCAAAAGGATGGTGTATATCCCCATCAGAAAATAGCGACCTCTCCTTTCTCCAAACAGAGCAGTATCCTGAACTGCTTCAGCACGCAAGGCTCGAGGTCTATGAGATAACTTATCCGCTGGAAAATTGAAATTTTTCCATGTGCTTTAAAGTCCCCAGCAACGACAGGTCCATGGGTCCTGGTCAAGGAGCATCCTACCGCGAGTTAATTGACAGTCAAATAGTTTCCTTCACAGTTTAGGCAGACTACGCCATTTTAGTCCAACTGCACTATTATCTTCGTTTACATTTAACACTTCAAACGGGGAAGTGCTCCCGCATGGGGGTCACTGCTGTTGATCCTATTGATGAAGCTGTGACTCTGACTGGGGAAGTATTTGGCCAATATCGGCCTGAGCATGAGGGACACGCTCCAGGATCCCTGACAATGAAGATTACAAGGTAGGTATCTTGTACTAGCACTGCACCGTGTTGAGCTTGGTCAACTGCGGCATGGCAGACAAAGTCCGAGTGGGCTGTTGTTTTTGTTCTTGCTGGCTGTGCGGTTGCAAGCGAGGTGCCCAGTCTGTCTGCTCTAGTTGGCCTACTTCCGCGTTGGATGTTGCTTTGTAAACTATCCCATTCTGCGCAATAACGCCTTTGGTTAGTCTTCATAGCATTGAGACGCCTCGTCAGCCACCACGGGGTACATCTGCGGCGTGAAATACACCGGACGATGTTCGGTGGGGAGACTGAAGTACAAAAAGGTGGAATAAACACGATCTTGACACAATAGACAAAGCAAGTGTCAACAGAGCAGATGATGCGATGCCGGAAGACGAATTCCAGCCTCACAGGACCTTCAGGAGCTTCATGCTGAGCGAGGCAGCGGTAGAGAGTATATCTTACCTGTACATCTGAAACATGGCAATCAGGACAGAAACTCACTCAGACAGAGCCTCCAATCCCGGGACACAGATAATCTCATGACAGACCTACGGCATGCGTCGAAATCATAACCAAGATTCCCGACAGGTCAAGCAAGATATACTTCCTGCCAACCCACTTCATCAGGGCTCCCTGACAAAAGCAACTCGTCTCTGAAATCCCACTTTCACGGACCGCCCCGCCGACTTCCTTCTCGAACTCTCCTTGGCTGTGCGCGAATGCAGCATTCCCACGGCGGTAGCTCAGCAGCAAGTCTGTAGAACGGAGGCTCTGACGGGGCCATCCGGGTAAAGAGATGGGTCGACATGGAATGTTCCCAGACTGATTGTGTGCTTGAACAGGAATGAATCAGAAGGGAACATTCGGATTGCCTCTCATGGTTATGGACAAGAGTCAACCAGCGGAAACACAACTAAAGGGTGTTCCGCCCCCCTGCTTTGTTCAACCCTACCTGTAATATACCGCCAACAGCCTGGCCAGAACACCGATAGGACTGGGACCTTGTTTCCATGTACATTCGGTGATCAGGGATGTGCTATATACTGTCTCAGGACGTCTTTCAATTATCCCGAGACGCGGGTTGCATACGGCACCAGGAAAGCCTCGATGCACGATACGGCTCGGCGCATGATCGCCGAACTAGTATGTTTGGGATTTAAGTCCATTTTCATCCCCGGGTAGATGGACGCGAGGCTCTATTCCGTATTGCACCGGCAGGATATACCTTCCAGCTGCTGGAAGCGAACCCCAATGGGTCAATTCGGCGCAGAAGAGGATCTCATTTGGCCGGTGGTCCTGTTTGCAATCGACGCGGCGTCATCTACGAAGGGTTTGATATTAGGCGAGTTGTACTTATTAGTTGCTGCATTGTCAACGCTGCTACTGACGCGTTACGCGGATATATCTTGTTTCAACCAAGACCTACAGGGCAAGACGAAATCCAAACCGATGTCGTTTTACATGGTATCTTCGATGCACGCATATGAAAAGGTTCATAAAAACATTAGTATTGGAATTGAAAATAGTAATGGTATCATCTTAACCACAGCCCTAGCCGAGGCGGGCCCGGCTCTGTTCTTAAATGGCAAGCCCCATTGACAAGGCTTTCAGATCTATGATTGAACAGCGCCTACTCCAAAATGGCATGCACGACGCCTCCATCCCCAAACTCCGCAATCCTATCCGCCAAGAACGCCCCCAGTTTCCTTTCCAGCCGTTTTTTAATATCATCGCTGACCATTCCAGCCCCATGTCCATTCGTGAGGACGGGTTTCCCTTCTTTCAAAGCCGCCAGAACACCCAGTAGAACATTTAGGACTTTTTCAGCCTCTGGTCGTCGTGCACTCTCTTCCGCAAGACCGTCTTTCAATAGGTTCCCATAGGTAGGCAGATTCGGCAGGATAAGGACGCGGACAGCTTCCGAGCCTCCGACGGCGTGGAGACCAATTATAGCGCCGTAGTGTGCGCCGAAGGGCTTGGACGGGTCGAGGAGGGTTTTTAGGCAGGAGCGGGCGAGGCGGGGTTTGAGGGTGTGTGAGGAGTGCGAGTATTTTGTTGCTATGAGGCCGAGGAGGGAAGCGGAGAGGTCACGAAGGGCAAATTGTTCGGAGAGCTCGGCGGTGCTGCCGAGTTGGCGCGCGATTAAGCAGGTGAGGACCGGGGGGACGAGGGAGGCAATCTGTAGAACTCGTCAGCAATGTCTCGGGGTATGACTGGGTAAGGTACATACATAAGGGTCAACATAGAGAGACTTGTTCTGCACCAATGCCTCAGCCATATGCATGACCTGTGTCAGGACAAAGATGTCTTTCAACCCATGCGTGACCTTTTCTGAGATAAACTGGACAAAGTAAGGTACGAGCTGATGCAACCCCGGATCCTCGCGCAAGCTCGCATACGCAGATGTCCGATACTTCTCGCTCGACTCATCCAGAAACGCATTGCACACTTTCTCAAAGTAGAGCTGCAGTTCCTTGGACAGGACATGCTTGACGAGCGGCTTGACAGCGACGTTCCCATTCCCGCTCATAGCCGCCAGTGTCGCGTTCGCGTTCGGTCCCTTGGACATTAATTCGAGGTTGCGCGAGTCTGCTGCCGTCGGGTTCTGTGGTATAGACGGCTGGACACCTTCAACGGCGAGCCAGTGTGCTAGCAAGACAACATTAACCCTTCACTTGTCCTACTCCAAGTTGTATGTTCGAAGAAAGAAGGAGTACCTACCAGTAAAGTTGATCTCCCTGGGAACCCTCGGCAACGGCGCATTAATTAACTTCTCAAAATCAACCTCCTCATCTTCGACATAGAAAAGCGGCTGGCCGGGCCCTAAGCTCGCCTCGCCAAACTTCAGCGGCCTGGTCGACTCATATCCGTACAGTGGCTCGACGTCTAAAACTCGCAAGGCTAGCGCAATATCCTTCGTCGTGAGCAGTGTGCGGCGGCTGTGGCGCATGAACTTCAGTGCTTCTTCCAGCACCTGCGCGATGCGGTATTCAACGTCACGCGCGAGGTTCTCGGTGACATCATTATTAAGGTTGACGATACCGACGGATTCGGCGACATCGCGAATGTTGTCGGGGTTCCAGACGGACATTTTGTGGGAGGAGGACCTTTATTGATCGAAAGTGAGAGGAGGTGGTGGTGATGGCGGTGACGGATAGAGATCGCTGGGCGAGTCGAGCGATCAGATCGGCGGAGGGGTCGAATCGCAAAAGGCAAAAGGCATTCTGATTTCAAAATGAATGCCAAAAGCCAATAGTTGCGATTTGATGAAGAGGTGTTCTAGATAGAAGCTTGAATTGTCGGGAATCTGATCGGAAGGGCGGCGAGAACCTCGGGCTTATGATGTCCCGGTCACCGTTCAGATCTATACAGAACAGCCTCAAGAGCAAGCAGCAGAATAGATCGAGAGTGCCTAGAATTGAGAGTCTTTCCATATTGCTAATAGCGACTTACAAGTTAAACGTATTTCTTTAGATCTGAGCAAGTCAAAGGCCATCCAATCGACACTTATAAGCCTTTCAACGAAGAAGTTGAGAGCTTTCTTGATTAGAGATTAAATATACAATTAACTAAAAAGGGCTGCAATGGGTCCAACAGAAACAACCAGTCTCGAAATCACTCCTCTCCCGTTTGCCCGTAGTAACAATTCTAAGAGGTATCATAGTAGAAAGAAACGCAAACACAAACAATGACCCCAACCACCTTTCAAGAGCGAAAGAGTCGATACGATTACTCTGCCTTCTGTTCCTCCTTAGGCTCCTCCTTGTGTTCTTCCTTTGGCTCCTCCTTCTTCACCTCCTTAAGAGCAGGAGTCCGCGCAAAACCTTCAAGGTCAGCAGCAGAGCCGCCATAAGCCTTGGGGAACTTCTCCGCCAGGCCGGCAGGGAACTCCTTGGCGAGGTTGGCGCCGTTGGAGATAGGATGGAACTTGCGGGCAGTGTTCTGGTTGACGAACACCTTCATGAGGGCGAACATCCAGCCCATAATGGCAGGGACGTTGACGAAGAACTTCTCGCGCAGAAGCTCCGGGTAAGCGGTGCTGAAGACATCAATGGTCTTCTTGGTCGCCGCCTTGACATTCGGGTTCATGCGGAAAAAGCTCACGTTCAGGTAGTCGTGGACTTGTACCATCTGGTAGGGATCCTCGCCATCGTAGTCGATGACCGAGGTAGCTTGGTCCAGCTTCAATTCCTGAACAGCTAGCTCCATGAGAGCCGCGCGCCACTTGATAAACCTGAAACATTGCTCATTAACAACGGTCTAGCAAAGAAATAAGTGGAGATGAGGCTCTTACTCAGCAACATCGCCAAAAGTCTCATCAAACTTCTTCACAGCACCATAGATATTCCAAGTAACGATCAGATCGCCCTTTCCCTCGCGCTCATAAGTAGTCAGGTATCCCAAACCGCCGAACTTGGCAGCATCATAGCTGCACTTCGACGCATCAGCCAAAGCAATAGGGTCGTTCTCCTTGCGCCAGATCAGAGCCTTGCTGAGCTGGTCCTCGGCAGCCTTGAGGTCGCCGGCGTTCGCTCGGAGGAATTTAATGAGGACGTTGATAGTGGGGATATCGGCCGCGTCGTGCTTCAGGGGCACACCCCACATCTCCTCATGGCCGGCATTGGACAGGATAGTAGGGAGCTTGTCAAAGAGCTGCTCCAGCGCAGGAGTCTTCATGAAATATTCGGGCTTCGAGGGCTCATCTTTCTTCTCGGGCTCGGCCTGGGCTTCGGACTTAGTAGGCTCTGGGGCGGGAGCTGTGGTCGTTTCAGCCGGCGCAGCAGCGGGCTCAGGGGCAGCAGGAGCTGCGGCTTCGGTAGCGCTGGCTACCGCCGTAGGGGCAGGCTCAGTGACAGGTTCTGGCGCAGGCGCAGTCTCAGTAGCGGTGGGTTGCTCGGACTTGGTGGTGTCGGGCTCCTGGACTTGGGGAGCTGGCTGGGCCTGGTCGGGTAGTTTTGCCTGGTCAGCCATGGTAACTAATCGTATTCAAGAGGTGAAAGAAAATATAGGATGGATAGCAAGGATAGATGCGAGGGATGAGATGGAAGAAGAGAAGATTCGAAAAGCGAGGAAGATGCAGGAGCAGTCGGAGAGGAAAAAGACAAACAAACACGACTCCTGGTCCAGGTTTAATAGTGAAATTAGGCGTCGACGATAGCGATTGACTCATGTAACTTTATCTATCAAATCTAGGCCACTTCTTATTTATGACTAGTCTCATCAATTTCGTCGTACGATCGCTCATTCGTGACTTTCACGGCAACATTTCTGCTCATCTCCTGAGTGCCAAGCTGTCATTCTATAGTTAGACCCACGAGCTATATATAGGCGACTGCTATAACGTATGCATCTCTCGATAATTGTGGATTTTTTTTTCGTGTCCTTCGTCGGTGGACAGATTTGTTATTCAGATGAGAACTGTGCTCCGACGTAGAGACTGGAGATCTATCAAGATTATTCAGAAAACAGGAGCAAATCAAGCACATAGATAACACAGTATGCCGAGAAAGACAGACACCTATTCATCACTCATCTCGTCGCCATCATAACTCAAAGCGCTGGGGAATATACAAGGGGAAAGCGGATTTAGACCTCGACATCATCTCATCATCATCATTGAAGGCTCACTTGCCGCCGTTCACATATTGCTGCGGGACCTGCGGCATGGGAGGTGGGACACCCGATCTGGACGCTCCTTCATCCTCGTCCTCGTCCATCTCGTCCAGGTCCTCGTGGTGTCTGTCATGGTCAGCATGTGCCAAGAAAAAAAAAAGCAAGAGGAGACATACGCTAAAAGCTCCTTGATATTCCGCATCTCATAATGCTTCCTCCGCTGCTTCTCGAACTGCCGATGCTTCTCCCGCACCTCCTCGGGCGACAAACGCTCATCTCCGTTTGACTCGGTGCTAGTATCCGCCCCAACGACAACATGCCTGTCACTGCGACCAGACTCACTGCTCAAGCTGCGCGCACGCATGATCCGATCGCCAGCTCCAAGATGTGCGTCCTGCGAAACCTCCTCTTCGGGCTCTCCCAACTCCAGCTCAGGGATATCATCTTCAGAGACCTTATTCTGCGAGGATGAAGCCGACGAGGAACCTTTCTTATCCTTATCAAGCTCATCAACAACAACACCCTGCGCATCGATCAGGCTCTCCTGCGCCTCAGCAAGCCTCATCTCTTCTTCATCCTCGGCGGGATCATAGCGCGGTGCATATGGGGTTTTGGGCTCGTCGATCTTCATCTTCGCCGTCTTTTCTTGCTCCGTGAGGTACAAGTTGGCTTCATCCCACTTGAGGCGGGGTGAAATTTCGTCATGGTGTCCGTGAGCGCTGGCGAGAGAAGTGCGGCGCGAAGAGGCAGATGGGCGGCGACCGGCATTCACAAGGGTGTTTTGCAGGGTGAGCTCTTTGGTGTCTTCGGGTGGCGGTGATGGGGTATGATGCGCGTCGTGCGTAACGTGGAGGAGCTGCTGAGAACTAGAGTTTTTGAGGATACCTACGAGCGCATTAGCGATGTAATAATAAATGCTGCCAATGCATCGCGACGATACTTACCCTTGGGCCTCTTTGGAATCGGTTCGGAGTTCTGCGCCATTTCGGTGTTAAGTGGGGTATGGTCAAGTCACAGAAAGATTGCTTGTTCTACCCTTGTCCGTTCGCAAATGAAACAAACGAATAGAGAATAAGCTGACAGATTCAACAAGAGATCTATAGGCAGGGGAAACGGAAATCTCGAAGGCGCGCGATGACCTGGTTGTGCCTATATACCAGATCCGAGTCAGCTGAAGGTCTAACCACACAGCTGAGGACAGGTCTCACTCACCCTCCTGACAGCGTAAATCGAGTCCTGTAGTCACACTTGGGCAGATGATCAAATGATTAGAAAGAACTTGGACAGTGTCTCAGCCTAAAGAATGCGTGATGACCCAAAGTAGCGCTGTTGGGATCGAAAGAGGCGGGCCAGAGGGAATCTTAAGCCGCACATGTTTGGCTCGTCTGATTTGGCACGTGGGGCGACAATGACGTTGTACACTTGTTATGTAAGCTACTCCTATCTCGAGTACTCTGTAGTTATATTGATGGCTCAAACATCTTTACTGACCTCCTAAAACGCCAACCGGTATAATCGCATGTATCAAAGGGTACTCCTGGTATAGAAGCCAAAGTACCACCCAAGCCAAGCATTGTATGCTGCAACGTATCAATCAACTCGCACTCTTCCGACAGCAAAATTTCAGTACAGCTACAGGTCAAGAACAAAAGACGGTCATAGATACAACTGAAAGTAAGAAAATCACTGCTCCGAGATTAGCGATAAGTGGTAGAACGGAATAGCCAGAGTATAAGGTTGGTATCAAGACGGATAAAAACAAGAAGACGGGACGAATAAAAAGAGTAAAGAACATTAAGCAATGGACTCGAACTCCTCGCGCTCACGAAGCCGGTTCCGCGCGAGCTCGTCTCCCCCATTGGCCGAGAGTTGCATCCAGTGCAGCGCCAGGCACATGGTATGGGGGTCCGATTTGGAGTCCTTATCTCGGCGGTACATCATTTCCGCCTTGAAGGTATCTCTTAAAAGAGTGAGAGGGAAAGTAACTCTGGGGACGAGTTCGGGGTGGGTGAGGTATAGAATGGCCAGCTCTCGTTGAGCAACGGAGTGGCCTTCCTTCGCTGTGATGATCCACATATTGGCCGCATCTTTCAACGGATCAACCGCGCGATGATGCATATCATACATGTGTGGAAGGTGTCGACGAGTAAGTTCTTGAGAGACTATCTCGTCCGCAATCTCCACCATACTATTGCAAACTTCATCCTTCAAGCTGAGAGCAGCCAGGCCGAACTGCAGAAAGGCAGTGCCACTGTCGCTCTTGTTCAGAGTGTCACTTGGGACGAAGGCTGAGATAAATTGAAGATCGCGGAATAGGGTCTTTGGCTTCATGTCGAGAATGATTTCGCGAAGTGTCTCGACTATTTGCTTCTCAGTAGGCACGGAATAGTCTGATGGCCGCGAATCAAAGATTATGGACTCGGCAGGAGGAGATGTCGGAGTGAGCAGTGGGTCCCTTCCAGGTCCGTGGTGAGTATGGAGCTCAGAAAAGCTGCTCCGCGCATCGCGCTTCCTGTGAATCACGGATGTGCGTCTTTGACGAGGCGAACTTTCTATCAAGGGAGACGAGCATTGGTCATCGTTGGCGGTAGTAATTGACGCAATGACTAAGCTTCTGAGATCTCGGAGCGCGTCCAGTTTGACGAAAGGACTCCCGTGACGGGAGAACACGTCGAGGAGACGACGAAAGACCGTACTGTAAGAAAACGGAACAGAAGTTTCCAGGTCAGGAGGGTTTGTGTCTGTAGCATCTCTAGAAGATACATCTGTTGGCTCTCGATTAGGAGGATCAAGTGACCTGCTTCTTCGGGAAGATGGGACGCGGGAAATCGGCGGACGGCTCGCTCGCTCATCACACTGGGCATAGAAACGTTGGATGCGAGATCGTTTTCTCATCTGCGCTTGGATTCTTTTCTGATCTAGTACGCTGCTAAACCAAGCGTCTGTTTCGGTTCCGCAACTCCAGACTGGCGAGCCAAGATCACTAAGCAGTAAGCTAGTCAAGGTGTGCCTTATGTCGTCCAAGAATGCTGCCTTCCCATTTGACTTTCGATCAGTACGTTGTGGTGGTTGTACAACAGTGTCACTGAGCATAGATGGAGGACGAGAGTAGAGACTGGATGCGCTTGGTGCGTAATTAGTATGCGGGGGTGCAGCAGACCAGAAGGTGCTGCAGGAGTCACCAGTGGTTGTAGACGGCGCGCGGTCACCGAGGACGGAAGACGTGTCAGTGCTGCATACTGGGGACCTCCATCTGTCGGAGTCCAGACTTTGGAAAGAGGGCTTAAGGTTCAACTGAGGAGCTTCTTGCCTCGGAGTTTCTGGGGACCGTAGGATAGTGCTGGCGAAAGTGGACGCAGGGTGAGAAGAATCGTCACTAGCCCCGCTAAATGACCGCAAGCTGGAGGTAAGGCCAAAGAAGCCTCGGTTGCTGGAGCCTTCGTACTTGGCTCGCTCTTTGTGGAACAGCTCACTGGCCCATAGGACTGGGGTTTCTGCCATTGTCTCTCCAACCAAGCGGTTGATACTTGTGCCGACCTCGTAGCAAAAACGATGAATTCGCTCTTCCCCTTTGCAGAAGTTGTCGATGTTGTTATGGTCCAGCCATTTTCGAATTAAATCAACCTGTTCATCCGCGAGCTTCGTTGGGCCGGCCTGGCTGCCGGGAGCTTTCATGACGTTCATGATCTGCAACTCGGGTTTTTGTATCAAGCCTCCGCCAAAGGACCTAGCCCCGCCGCGATACCGAGCATCGCTCTGAGCGTACCTGTGGGCGTAGGGCATCGTCTTAAGCGCGAGCGCGACATGCTTGGCTTCTTCGTAGCGTCTGGAGTTTCTCACATCAGTCATGTACCACATTTTGTTCCGGAGCTTCGCCATTGTCTTCATCATATCTTTGACCGTCCTTTGAAGCTGTTGTGTGTGACGGTCAAGGGCAACAAAATCGGCCTCGCAGCGCTCTATGACAGAACTGGATGTCTGGAGCGAACGAACGCAACCAGAATACATAGGCTCCAATATCCAGGAATCATCGGCCAATTGGGTTGTAGAGTTGGTAGCGCTTCGACCGCTTCGGCGGAGCAGCCGAGTAGCGTTCCACCAATAATGTGCGCCAATGAAATCAGACTTCTGGTGGCAGTATGCCATGGCACGGTTGAATCGTTCTTTAAGTGAAATGACACCTGTTTGTGGCGTGCGTCGGGGTAGCTGTAAGCCGTACTCAGCACTGTCGTCCGCATGGCTCTCTTGTATGAGCTTCACGATAGCTGTCTGTAGCGCTTCAAAGTTGTCTTCGGCCCCCAAGGTAGAAGGGCTGCCTTCATCGACGGGAAAGTCTTCCAGAGCACTAGGTTGACTATCTAGGAAAAGGCCCCAGGCAAGTCGCAATCCATCTCGAGAAACGGTAAAGAGTGTCCATTCCTCGGCAGAAGGAGGTTCTAGATGGTTATAGGTATCATGCTCACCTAGGCCAGACAGCTCGAACCTGATCCTATCAGCCTTTGAGCTGGTATTGTTCTCCTGCAGTGAGAAAAAATGTATATCCGTAGGGAAAGAACTTTTGGTGTGCAACGCTCGCCGAGGAGAAAAGGGCACGGTTCCACGGTAGAAGCCTGGTTCAAAGGTAGACAGTCCATGCTTGTCTGGGTGTGATCCAAGAGGCGATAACGAAAGAACCGAGGAAGGCGATTGAGAGCTATACGCCGGAGAAGGAGCACAGGGAAAAAGTGAGTTTAACAACGTAAGGATGTCCGTGTTGGAAAGCATCAAAAACACCGTAGGGGATGATGGCTCATCAGAAAACACTGCAGGAACCGCAAGTGGAATAGTAGTGTCCATGTTGATAGAATCGCCAGTGATACAGTCAAGCATGCCCTCGACATGTTGTCTGACCGTAGGGCGGGCCGTAGGATAAGGTTGCCTAGCGAGGTCAACTCTATTATCATAAACACGAGGTCAAAAACGCACATTGGGCGAAGGACCGCGAGCGCCTGCGTATAAGCTTGGTATCCGACTTGACCAAGCAACTTGTCTCTTGCATTTTTCCTGATGTAGAAATCAAGCAAAAGATCGTGGCCCTAGACCTTGGTTAACAAACGCCAAGTGAAGATGAGGGGTAAAATCTCACCTCGGGGTAGGTGAGAGCCCCGTACAGGAATTTGGGGAAGAACCACTGTCCAAATAAGAAATCCACAAAGCGGTGGCGACAATCCTGGCGGTCGAGTTTCTGGATAATAGCCTTGCTCAGCTGTGCGACTGACCGGGGCAATCCAGCATCTGGGTCATCCAATAATTCAAGCAGTGCATCCACGGTGGAAGCGAAGTATTCCTCGGCAACTTCTGTCCTCAACAAGTCCAGCGGGTCCATGTCATAGCCAGGCGGAGGCTCAATATGTTCAAGAAGGAATGCACCAGTTTGAAGGATGTCCATCAAATAGAGCTCAAATTTAGGTTTCGCTTTCCAATCACTTCCTGTAGCCCACAATGTCAAGACATGGTCGAGTAGAGCAAAGGACCTGCTAGCACCATCGGCAATGAGTTTGGCGCAGATCGAGGACCACGTATCCAAACGGAGCTGCGCCTCCGGGGCCTCCGAATCCAGAGGGGCTGCATAAACATTAAACAGCAAGGTGGATAGGGGGTCCGTCCGCTCAAATGCCAGAACGCGGTCCTTGAACGGGATGCCAGAACCAGGGACGGTTTTCGAGCCCAAACTAGGAACCCTGGAGCGAGAAGTGGCGGGAAACGATTCCGCGCCGACCTCCCAGGAGGAGACTGATGAAGATATCAAAGCGGACAGCTGCATAGGAGTCAAACTGCATAGTTTCTCAAACACGAACTGGGGGTCCATGCGAACGGATTGCAAAATATCAAGGAGGTCGGCCTGTGACTGGGGGCTCAGCTGACGAAAGAAATCCGGGGCTTTGTCCAAGCCAGACTCGCGAGATTTTGGCCAATCTTCCCAGTCATCCGGCTGACGAAGGTGGCGGCGAGCTGCCAGGGAACAAGGCTCCTGGAGATCGATCATTGTGTGATAGAGAGCGATGAAATTGGCCTTGTCATCGTGTTTGAGTCTGTCAACCAACCCTCGCTGAACGGCAGCACCAAGGCGGACCAGGCGCGCCGAGATACCTATTGAGACCTTGGTCGCATGGAGGCGCTGCTCCAGTTTCTTCCTGCGCGCCTGCTTGTGATGGTTCTGGCGGTAACAACCAGCCAGCTCCTCGAAGGAAATCCTGGGGCGCTCCTCCACCTGCACGGGAACGGGTTCCTCAGTAGAGGGCGTTCCATCATCCGAGGAAGTGGGTGTCGAAACATATCTCCAGCTCGAACGGTCCGAGTCTCCAGACTCACCTGTGATGTGACTCGAAGTCGAGCTTGGCGATAGCTGCACATGAGACATGCTGGCAGTCGCGTCAGCACCAGTGGGTGCGGCTTCACATGGTCGGGTCGTCTTAAGAGCGGCGGGGAGCAGGTCTGATAAAAGAGCAGTAAGAAACGTGTTAGGAGTTGGATAATGCGCAGTTGTCGCAGGGAGGAGTTCATGCCCAAAAGCAAGCTTATCGCCAAAAAAGGGGGCCGAAAATCACGCGCAAAATCATAAGGAACGATCAATGAAAAAGCACATACTGCTCACAAAAGCCAGAGGTGACGAGAGACCATCGGATTGGGCATCGAACATGATGTTGTTGCCATGGGCAGTAGTCAGTAGTGGACCGCTTGGCTTGGATGGCTCAGAAAGGGCGGGAGGAGATAACGGGGGTGGTCGATTAGCGTTATCGCATGGCTCCTCTAGAGAGCGCGAACACGACGACGGACGGGTCTCATGAGGGTCTGGACTGGGAGGCAGTCGAGTCGACACGGTGAGAGTCTCCAGGGTGAGGTTGACGCCACAGAAGTAGAGAAAGGGAGGGAGAGGGAGAAGGAGGGAAGGGAAAAGAGAGGGAGGGAGAAGGGATAGAGGGAGAAGCGATGAAACGGGGAATAAGTAAGAAAGAAGGATGGCAGATGGCAGGCAGAGGAGGCTAAAGCAGGGCGGGCTCCTATTGGCAGTGTATACAACCTGAATCCGACCAAGCAGATGGACGGGGTAAACTCCGACTGAGGGCAGGTCAGACTCAGGACAAGACAGCGCGACAAGTGGCGATTTGCTATAGAGCGGGGAGCTGAGCAGATGACATGCAGGCTGGGTTTCTTAAGAAGAAAGCAAGAAGAGAAGAAAGCGAGTTAGTTCATAGGTATGGGGATGCTGCCAACAAATCGAGGGGAGCATATGAGCTGGCAGGCGGTGACTCGAATCGGACGCCTGCATCTTGCTATGCGTGCTATACCGACGCGCTTTCTATACAGAACAGGGCTGCTGAAGGTCCCTACTAGTCCAGGAGCGGATTCCCTTATTCAACTGTTTTCTTCAATGAAAGCGCCCTCGCAAGCTGACGAGTGATGACTGACAATCTCTGGACTGAACAGCTGAACTGGACTGACCCTCCACTGTGCTACGTGAAGAAGTGATGCGTTGGCAGTGCATGCATGAAGGCCTCCCGCCCCTCTGATTTGTCGCCCGCCCTCCTTCCCGCCTCTCGTTGACCACGAGAATCCTTTATCCAGCACTTGAATGCGCTTCTCAGGCCATGTCTTCTCATTCTTGCGCTGAAACAGTGATCGTCTTCGACGAAACATAGTCGCTACTCCGGCTTCTTTTTAGGTTCGATTTGCCCCTTCCAAGGTTCTCCGCCAAACTCAGCTCTACTGTATGCTACCAGATCATCAAGGTGGTGAAATCATATTGTATTAAACGCAAACTGCATGTGTCCCTTGAAATCAACTTCAATCCCGACTCCTCTATGTAGATAGTAAGACTAAATCTGCTCGCATGCGCTCGTTCCTGCAATTCTTCCCCGTTTTCGCATCTGGACCATCGGAATCGGCGGGGTACACTTCACGTCCTGCGCTGTGTGCCCCTCTCCCAACCACCAGGTACCACATACCACCTCTGTGCTAAACTTGCTGGCGCTGCTGACTCAAGCATCGAGGTTTCTGCCATATCTGCCTCGATGCTATACGACTGTTGAATAACGGACAGTCGCCCAAGACACAGCAGTAGACGGTAGTGCCAGCGTTGTTCTGGTAGTATCGCTCAAGGGATAATGATAATAGTGGCGTTTTCAATGTACTGGTCACTATCGCCGTCTGTTGTTTGTCGGACAAATCAGACTCTAGACTACCTGCAGACCCATTTCTTGTCGGCTTCCTTTTGTCCAATCCGCGTCGCAACCGAGTCCAAAGTGTCTTTTAGAGTGTTCTTGGACACCTTTGGAAATCTAATTAGAGTGGTCAGTAATTGGCCTTGTTCATAATCAGACCGCTTCTCGTACCGTTTCTTCAAGACTTCGATCAAGCCGGTCTTGGTTAGATCGCTTCCTTCAACAACGGTCTTGAATTCCCCGAGTTGGTCAGGCGGGAAGTCCCGCTTAGGGTTGCCGGGCGCCCTCTTTCCACTCTGCATAGCCACGAAGGCCGAGTTCCGTGATACCGGGTTCACCGTGTAATAGTTCCATGTCGGACGTTGTCCCAGGCCGTTGACGTTGGTCATTCCAGGCTCTGGAGCCTTGGTGGGCTTGCACCAGTTTGACGACGAGAACGGGTCGATCGGGAATGTAACAGAGGGTAGGATGGTCTCAAGCTTGTAGGCCTGCAGTTCTGGATCGAGTCCCTGATCCTGCCATTTTATGCCGCTGCAGACAGGTTCAAGATCGCCACCCACAAGCAAACGCCGCTTTCCGTTTGCTAGATGATCATCTTCATCGTCGAGGAAACCATCCATGTCCTCGTCGCCATCTTCGCTACCCTCCTCTTCTTCCTCGGAATCCAACTCTTCTCCTTCTTCGGCATCCTCCCATTCTGCTTCAGAGTCGTAGTCATAATTGACCTCAGGCAGCTCACGACGGAATGGGTTTCGCATTAGCTTTGACGCCGCTTCTCTGGACAGATTCTTCGTATAGGTTCCTTGGTATGGCGGCCGGACATCTTCTCCAAACTTCAATGATTTCATGCGCACTTGCTTAAGTGATTCCTGTAGCCTTCGAGCAGCATCCGAGGTTTCTGGCAAGTCACTCAGGCTCTGCATCTGGAACAAAATGTCCCTGACTGACATCTTCTGTTGGCCACGTCTCCTTTTGTACGGCATTAGTTTGAACAGCTCAGATGGTCGGAAGGTCAGTTGTTCAGCTGTTTCGATATTGAAAGACGCGTCAACCTTCTCCTGTAAATGAGCGAGGGCTAGCGCATCCCTTTCGAATCTGTGCGGCGGTGCGAGAGTGGTGTTTGCGTGTAAAAAGAAGTTGGGAAACTCCCGCTGATAGTCAGAGACTTCTCGAGCACTTTTGAACGACCCAGCAGAGATCCCATCACCAGACAACTTCTTTGGCGAGCCGCCAACGGTTGAGGATTGCTCGGTAGGGACCTTGGGTTTCGCGAAAAAAGAGTTTAACTTCATTTGTGCCTGTCAAATGTTAGCAGATTCACTTGACCACTGGGAGAAGAATGATAACTTACCCTCTCCTTCTTCAGTTTCTCTTCGTCTTTCTTTCGCTTCTCTTCTTCCCTAGCGGCTTTCTCCTCGTCCTTGGCCCTCTTTTTCTCCTCTCTCTTCTTTCGCTCCTCTTCTTTCTCTGCATCTCGTTTGCGCTTCTCTTCTTCTTTCTTAGCTCTCTCTTCATCTTTCCTAGCCTTTTCCTCTATCTTCTGACGCTCTTTTGCCTCCTTCTCCTGCTGTTTGGCCTCCTTCTCGGCAGGTGACAACTTTCGCTTTTTAGCAGGCGGGGTGCCCGCCTGAGACTGAGCCTGCCCCATATTGGTAGCAGGCACAGCTAGACTTGCTTCAGTTGTGGTTGTGGCACTGCCTGCCAGTGTGGGGTTATTCAGTGTGCCGTGGCCATGCTTCAAGCCTAGAGAATTTCCTCCATTCTCTTTGTCATCGGCGTATATCGGAGTTGGGTTCAGGGATGGGTTCGGAGCAGCCTGGTCAAAAGCAGGCGTAGTACTAGGCGTATTGTCTTCGTTTGCAGATCGCTTTTGTCCGGGGGACAATTGGTTCGGTTTGGAGGATGGAGGTTGAGCGGGTGGAACTGTGGCTGAAGTTGCAATTAATGTAGATGGAATCGATGGAGATGTTGAGTTGGACTCTGCCATAGAAATTTGCATGCTGTCCATTCTGACGGTGGACGGGGTAGATGAAATGAACTGCTGACGGAAGGTGCAACCAAAGCTCACCCGTGACCCACGCACATAAAATCAAGACAGGCAAACAAAAACGAAGACAGAAAGTAAACAATCAAAACAGGGTGTAATTGATGTCATCAAAGCAATAGTCAAAGAGTGGATGGAGCGTCAATTGAATAGGGACAAGGACATGGGCCGATTCTCGAACAGAACTCGGACGCGTTAATTGGAAGCCACGCGGGTCGCGTAACATCACGTGATCTACTTTGTACGTAGAGGGCAAGACTAACTTGAGACTACGGAGTATAATACTTGGTCATCTAATATCTAACTCAAAAGTAGTTTCTGGCCCGCTCTAGTAATTTATCCCATAATTGTCTGCTCGCAAGGATAAAGACCCGAGCGAACAGCTTACGAACTAGTCCGCATAATAAGACTATAAGGCTCAAGATTGTTATGTAGGTATGAGTATGTATGTACAAGATATTATTAGTAGTAGTGAAGTAGCACTCCTTCAGAAGATGCCAAACTGGAGTCTAGATACCGGTACATGGAGCACATGCGACGATTGGTCGCGCGCTATATCCGAGACGGTACCGGGGCGAGTAACTTAATAGTGGGAATATCCTAGGATCCCGGATGCGATAAGATGCCCTTTTTAATCCATGCCAGTGACCCTGGCCCACACAAACGTGAGATACTGAGTAGAAGGAAGTGATGGGTGAAAGTTGTCGAAGAAAGCAGGAGAGGATGGTGCGGGATATCAATATGCTGAGAAAGGATCGGTACGGTAACAATCGAGCGCTCAAAAAGGGTTCATCCCAGTTAGAGTGAGGGTGTCCCGGTTCGATTTAACCCTAATCGCTCAAATCTGGGTTTGCAACGAATAGCCGCACGTTGGTCATGGAGGTTGTTCGATCATCCACACTACCGCGACGTCGAAGATCGGCCGCCTTTTTAGCCTTCTGCTCAGCCAGAGTAGCGGCACTTGGCGCACCCATCTCCCCGAGGGTATCCTCTTGCTCTGTAGCCTCTGTTGTAGCATCGTCCTTGGCAGCACTTTGCTGCAACTCCTCAGCTTTGTCCTCGGAAACGCCCGGAAGATCCGTCCTTTCGTTCGGCGGCGTGTTACTGCTGCTCGTTGTGTTTCGCTGGTAGCCACTGGGATAACGATGCCCGCTGCCGAGGGAGCTCCGTCCGCTCCCAGTCCGACGATACGGAAAGTCCCTCTCGCTACGTGCGTCGTCTTCGGCATCTCCCACCTCGTTGGCACTAAGTCGAACCGGGACGGTCGCGCCAACAAGCGCAGAAGGAGAGAGATCCGTGACTTTGTTACCATGCTTGCCCTTTCCGCTTCCAAGGGTACTTGCTCGTCCGGCGCCTGCACCGTGGACTTCAAGGTATGCTCGCTTTTTATCTACGAGCTTCTGTTGACGCAACCGGGGATCCTCCGCCTGCGCACGGTCACACCAGACTGTTGCCTTTTGCCTGCGCAAAAGAGCCACATAGCTCATCTGAGAGCCAGCCGATCGCGAGGACGTACTCCGTCGGATATCAGCATTGTTGCCTGTGGAGGTTGTCGAGGTGGTGGCACTGGACAAGCGCCTTGCCAAGGGATTATAAGGAACCGTCATACTGTGCTGCGGAGAAGCCGGTTGCTGTGGGTGGTGTCGGTCATGGCCCGCGTACGGCAAAACATTGGAGGAGGTTGTTCGGTTTCGGCTGTGCGCAAGGGAAGCAACCGAGGGATGTTGAGCCTGCGGATGCGGCTGATACTGTTGTTGCTGATATCCATGGTGACCAAACTGAGGCCCGGAGTGCACAGAGGGAAGGGGTTTTCGCGAGGGCATTTGATGCATCGGCAATCGATAGTCTGTCATGGTGGGCGATTAGAACTGAGCAACGGCCATGTAGGCCCGATCAATGCGGTTGGGCGGAAGGCGGTTTTTGCTTTTTAGCGAGCGGTCGAGATTAAACAGAATAAGATTAATGTTACGGATGCCCCCAGGCCCAGATGTGGTTCGCAACACAACTCGACAGAGACGGACGAGTTAACGGTTCGAAAGTGAGCGGCTGCTGGAGTCGTACGAGTCCCGAATATGCGGACGAAAAGAGCAGAGACAGGGTATGCCTCGCGGGGTGCGCAACGTGCGCTTTAAAAGCACGAGTTGCTGCCGTCAAAGCAAAGCAAGTAGCAAAAGCGATTCGCTCAAAGAGGCTGGGCTGCCCAAGGTCAAGGGGGAGACTGCGAGGCAACGGCGGCTAATTAAGCCACCCTGAGGACACGAACTGGAGGGCCGAAAAATGGCAGTGGTGGTCCTGAGCAAGCAATTGCAAAGCGAGCAAGATAAAATCCCAACCAGCCAAAGGGAAAACCAGGGTTAATTATATAAAACAGGCACGGGCAAGGTATGGAGAGAAGAGGGGAAGGCCGCTGGATAGCGGAGAAAAAGGAACGGGTTGAGACTTGAGAAGAAGCTGAGCGGATGATACTAAGAGGTATCGTATGGTAAATACCCAGCACAGCCACTTGAGCCACATCATAAGACAGCTACTGCTTTATGCCTGTTAGTCATCACAACTCTCGTGGCTGTCACTTTTTGAATCATCGCTCCACAAGCCCACTTGTAGGCACCTTTCTCTGTTTTGGATCCTTTCCATGGATCATAGCACCCATTCTCTGGCTTAGGAATGAAAAACATGTGGCGGTGACTGCGCCACGATCACGTGCAACAGCCTCTTGATAGTAAAATACTGTATCGGAGGCTACTACATCCGCCCCGTGGAGCGTACCTGATTTTCCCTCAAAGTCTCAGCCCGGGTTTTATGTCACTTAATATGATCTCTGCTACTTCTAATCATGACGTTGAACCCCACATCTGTCCGAGAATCCCGGCACCAAAACAGAGAGCGTTACAGACAATCCCGTCCCTTCGCTACTTCGTAGAGGGCAGACTGAAGAGGCAGGGAACAGGGCTCGTGCTCGTATTGACAGCGCAGCTCAGCCGGGGAATTCAGCGCCTCAATCGCGTATTGTGCATCAGGACTGGAGGAAAGCTGGAAGATAATGACGTGAGCATCCACTAAGATAACAGTAACCATGACTAGCGCTAGCAGGAGAACGGTTCAGGGAGAGAAGCGAATCAGTCCCCGCAAGTCCAGCATGTGTTGAGTTACATCGAGTCCAAGTCCCGGATTTAGCGCTGCGAATTGCAACCCTTTTTCGACCGTTACTTTCGTCGCGTGGCTGACTGCGATCCGAGACATCGTCTTCAGCTGAGCAGGTCTTCGTGACTGCCATTTGTGTATTTTCTCCGGCTGGGGACAATCATCATCGACCTGGTGGCTTTGTCCTGTGGTGACTGGTGATGTCCATGAGACGACGGATAAAGGGGCTCTGCTCCATCGTCTCACTCGGACCGTGGATCGATCGTGGATCCGTTGTTTGCGGCATCGTGCACCGAACCGGAATCATAAATTACATTCCTTTGATTTCGGAGCTTCAACCTACGGAGTACTTGGGTAAATGTTACAATTTGGACTTGCCATCAGTCCGTACCAAAGCTCCATCCATTCTCGTATCATAATCCCGACCTTGCTCCCATCCAAACCATGCCTTCAACGTGTCTTTTCCCCCAGTCCCTGGCTCAAGAATGCTTGGACCGCCGTCGGCCGCGCTCGGTCGGGCCGGGGTATCGGACAAATGCACGATCGGCCGCTGGTCAAAGCCGGCCTCCTGCAACTCAGACTGTTCCAGGACTGGCGTCGCACACGCATCCGTCCCGTCGAATACGGCCTCCCATTCCGCACGTGTCTTTTCCTTGAACCGCTTCCTGAATGCCTCCCGGAGTGCAGGCCAGTTGCTACGGTCTTCGCGTGACGGTAATTCTCCCTTTTGGAACCCTAATCCCTTGACCAGGGCTGCATAGAACTGCGGCTCCAACGCGCCGACCGAAAAGTATTTCCCTGCATCCTTGGTCTCGTATGTATCGTAGAACGGACTTCCACCGTCAAGCATATTCGTCCCCCGGGGCCCATTCCAAATCGGCGTCTGGAGACCCAACCGCGGCATTGTCGCTAGGTACGCGGAGCCGTCAACCATGTTGGCTTCGACGACTTGACCCCTTCCGGTCGTCGCGCGCGACAATAATGCTAGCAGGATGCCCTGAAAGCAAACGGCCCCTCCACCAGCAAAATCACCAAGGATATTCCCCGGTGCATACGGCCTCTCGCCCGCGCGCCCGAGCATGGACAACACGCCAGATACGGCAATGTAATTAATATCATGGCCAGCCATATCTTTATACTTGCCGTCTCGTCGAAACCCCGTCATCCGGGCAACGATCAGCCGCGGGTTCCGTTTCAACAGCACATCCTTAGGCGACAGGCCAAGGCGCTCCAGGACGCCAGGGCGGAAGGGGTCAATCAGGACATCGGCCTTCGATAGCAGGTCAAGCAGGAGTTTGTGAGAGGCGGTGTCACGCAGATCGAGCGTGATGGAGCTTTTGCCGCGGGTGAGCTGGTCCGTGCTGGTGGAATTCGGACGGTCTATGCGCAGCACGGAGGCGCCATAGTCCGAAAGTAGGAGACCGGCGAAGGGGCCTGCAGAGTGTCAGTGTTGAACTTCATCTGAAGTGACAGGACGAACCGGGGGCTAGACCGGCCAGCTCAACAACACGGAGGCCTGCGAGTGGTAGCTGTGCTGACATGGTGTTACGATTTGGTTGGATCTGTGAGCGCCCGCCCTGCACCGGCTTCGGAGGATATAAAGGTGGTTGTCTGGTTGATGGTTTGATCTCCAACCGAGGTCCGGCCACGTGCGGGGAAATGTCTATCTACCCCGGACCGTGGAGCAAAATAACCTACTTTGGTGTTCGGACAGTTGATCATCGAGATCCTGGTCTGACAACTGTTTACCTTCATCTGTCTTCTGTATCGCCACACTTTTTACCCCCTTTGTACACGACATCCCGCCTTCACTATCAATAATCATCTTCATACGCCTCCTCCTTCCCCTCATCGTACGCATTCTCCATGTTATCTCCAAACTGCTCGACATCATCAACGGCATCATCGAAACCGTTCTCGATATTATCCCCGAATTGCTCAACCTCGCCGACCTTTTCGCCAGTCCATTCGGCGGCATTCTCGGGGAAGTCCTCGACGTCTTGGACTGCGTCGTCGAATTTATCTTCGATCTTGTCGGGGATTTCCTCGACTTCGCCGACCTATCAAATAACAGTCAGATCTGACACTAAATGATGCTCCATTGCTCAATCACGTACCGCTTCACCCGTCCACCGCGCCGCATCCTCAGGAAAATCCTCCACATTCTGCTCGATCTTGTCTTCTTCGCGCTGGATGTCGTCGCCTGTAGTAAATCAGTTTATCTGGTCTCCAAAACAGGTGAGAAACATACCAAGCTCATCGGCCTCATGCATCGCAATCGCACCACCAACAATACCAAGAGCCGCACCAGCCGCCGCACCAGCGATCATCCCCCCATGGCCTTCCTTCTGCGGCTGCTGCTCGTACTGCTGCTGCTCATAGTAGCCTGCCTGAGGTGCTCCACCACCATAGTACCCCCTCTCGGGAGCAGGAGCGCCATAATACCCTCCCTGCTGCTGCGGCGGAGCACCATAACCACCTCCGTACGACGGAGCAGCGGACGGTACCTCCCAGCTCGTCACCCCAGTCTGCTCATTCAGGTAGTAATAGCGCTGGCTGCGTTCGTCCCATCGTGCGACCCAGGGGTAGGGGACTTGGGGCGCTGAGCTAGGGGGGCCGGAGGGCGCTGCGTAGTTGTTGTAGCCGGAACTCTCGGGTTGGGGTTGGTATTGTTGTTGCGGCTGGGACGAGGACGAGCTGCCCTCGAGCTTATCCTCGATTAGGCCGGTGATGAAGTCGCGGAAGCCCATTTTGCGTGAGCAGGAGAAGAGCGAGAGAAGTTGGAGAAGCCAGGTTTTACTTTATCAGCGGCTTCGCGGACACGGGGTTGAGGGGCTGCCGGCTTGCCGCTGTGCGTGATTTCCATTGATAGAGGGTCCACCGGGCTAAAACAATAGGACAGGGGAGGGGAGTCTAAGCTTCTGCTAGGTGCTAACAGGTGGGTCTGTCTCAGCGTCCAGGGACTCAGGAGTCAGGAACCGTCACCAACTCCCGCATCCGGTGGCTCCTAAGCACTTGCTCTTGAAGCTATTCATGGCCAGATATATGGTTAGTGTTCGTCCGCAGTCCATGGTTGTGATTGAGCCATGGCCTGCCTGCTCTTTCAACTTTGTACTTCTATCTGGTTACTATCGGTTCGTCCCGCCTTGGCTGAGCTTGTCCTGTCCGGTGATCATCTACTTGGCCTTATTCTCTGTGTAAGTATACCCATCACTGCCGGAATAGACATATGGAATCAAAATAGTATAAGCTACCTCTGGCACTGGTTCGGTCACGAGAAATGATATCACAAAGTAAAATAAAGTCTCTGAAACCCATGAAGAAGGCAGTCCCATTTTGGCTTGTTATCTTATTCCAGAGAGAGCAAAGTGCTACGCACCATACGTGGAACAAGCCCATCCTCAGGCTCAAGCTCCCAACGGATTCCCGATATCTGGTAGAGCCTCGTATTCAGCAATTCAAGGACATCCCGTGCCGTAATCTCCTTCATACTATTCGTGGGCGACCACGGACTATGAAGATTGAAGATTCCAATTCGATGCAGAGATGCCACGTTACTAGACAGGAAGTCCTCAACGTAAGAGCGAAGAATACTCATGTTTTGGATCTCGACATCTCGAATATGCAACGGATACGCCGTACACAGGCGTAAAACAGTGCGACTCCGGGAGAGTATCACTGTGTCAACGTCTCCGAACATCTGCTTGAGCGATTGCCTGAGCATATCGCGTGTTTCTTCTGAAGATGGCCAATCACCATCCCCGCCTACCACGGACATGCCGACGAGACGGAGAAAGACGAAATGCTGGCCTGCTGCTCTTGCATGTGAGAGGGCGGATGCTAGAACAGGGATGTGGTGAGCGTATGCTTGAGATTTCAGGGACGAACTGTCTTGTATCCGATGAGGGATCTTAAGGATATGTCCGTGGTGGTCCTGGATTTCATTACGGAAATCGAATCTAACGCTCCCTTGAAATGGTAAAGCTTTCAGTGCAGACGAGAGAACGGTAAGATCTGTGCCACTTTTGATGATTTCTTGAGTATCTTTATTGTGTTTGTGGAAGATATCGTGCCATTCTTCGCGAGATCGGCGGGTACCATTTGCATCCTCACTGTCACTGAAAGTGAAGGTGAAATTCTCGAGCGTCAGGGCTTTTGGATCGAGAAACGGCGGTATCCAGTAAGCGAAGAAGATCGCATGATGACGGAGTTCCGACTTGGCCCAGTCGCGGAGGTTTTCGAGGCCAAATTTCGAACATGAGAACCTGACGCTGTCGAAGATCGATGGGACACAGAGTTTTCGGAATCTCTTGCAGACACAAGAAAGGCTTATAATGTCCTCATCGGATAGAACATCATCGTAGCGGATCTCGTCAAAGAGCTCTGTGGGGAGCTCGGCGAGGTTGGCCATGATAGGTGTGCTGGTGAACTGAGGGGCGTGCCGCAGCTACGGTAGGTACCAATAGGTAGGTATCTTCAAAGCGAGCGCCAAGATTCTGCAGCCGGCCACTTACTTCAGTAGAGCTGTTTGAATGTTTGAATTCTCCTTGCTCCCTGGATGTCTGATTCAAGAATATCTCAGGCTTGGCCAAACACCAATCAGTCTGAACGCACTCTCGGTGACAGTGAGATTGTGTTAGGTATTCGTACGACTTCTGGCATAAAGGTTGGCAACGACACCTTGAACTGGCCCATTGCCTGCCATACCTATGGAAGGCGCTCCCAACTGCACTTGGCAGGCAGGCAGGTCTTGGTCAAGCTATTTCCCCCGTCTTACTTGGAGACCATGATCTCGACAACAGAAACATATGAAGGCAAGTCATCCTGTCATGGCTATCATGCGAGGTAGCCAGAGACCTCCAGCGGCAGGAATTAGTTATGGTAGGAGAGCAGAGGGATTACTACCCAAGACTGTCATTTGATTCTGGGCCTCTCATGGCTCAGTTATTTGGCAACTTGGCAACTTGGCAACAGTCTCGGGATGTATGCGGTCCCCACCGTCTACCGGGCTTTGCCTTCAGATCCCGAGTCAAGGCGCCGGCATGGCCGTCCTTCTCTTACCGGACTAGACAACTCTTCTCGGGTCTTCGGTGAACAGCAGATAAGAGATATGCACCATGGTTACGTACTCCAAAGCGGTTCTGGAAAGCTTTTATATGTGATACCTACCTTATCTGGGAAGATGATCAGGGCGACATGATCTCATAGGGGAAATATTAGCGGAGATGGACTTTTTCGTACCCTAGGTAGAGTCTATACAATGCCGTTTATACTTGCCGATCTGCGCAGGATCCCATAACGCAACCGTGAGCCGCAGTGGAGATATTACTATAATGAAATATATGGTAATGTAGATGCTTATCTATCAGACAAGATGATAATAACATGATAAGACCGGTAGAGAGCCGATTGGGGTGCGTATATAAACTTCCCTCTAACTTCTGTACTTCGAGCAGGTCATCGACAAAATGCGCAAGCAACTCCTTGGTCTCTTCTGCCTTCTGGCCGGCGCCGCCTCCATCCCGCTCAACACCACTTCACCAATCCTCAAGGCCGCCCTCGTTCGTGCTCCTCCAGCCATCTGGTCCGAGCCCATCCTCAGCCGAGACTACCATGGCGTGGATATCAACGCCACGACCACCCTGGGCGTGAGCTACATCGAGCGCGCCGCAAGTGAAGGCGCCAACTTCGTTGCTTTTCCTGAGCTCTGGTTCCCGGGGTACGTACTTTACCTACCCTTCATGTTAGATTCTTTCAGTCACTGATATGTGAGTTCGAGTACAGCTACCCCCGCGGCAACGACGCAGCATGGATCAAAAAGTGGGCAAAACAATACGTCGCCAACTCCATCACCCACGGTGACGGCAATTGGAACAGACTTGTTGCAGCTGCAAAACGCAACGCCGTCTATGTTGCCCTGGCGTACTCCGAGCGTGAAGGCGACTATATCTACATGGCGCAAACACTCATCAACCCTGCAGGCGAGGTGCTGATCCACAGACACAAGTTGCGTCCGTCAGGTGGAGAACGGGATATCTGGAGCGATGGGACAGTCGATGGGTTGACAGTTGTGGATACACCGTTTGGAAGGATCGGGTTGCTGGAGTGTTGGGAGTGAGTATCTGCCATTCCCTACCATCTGGCCGAATGTATACTGACACTACGGGTTTTGAACAGACACTTCCACCCGTCAATGACCTTTCCCATGCAAGCACAGGCCGAAGCGATTCATATCGGCGCCTTCCCGTACATGCCTGACTATGGGGTAGTTGGGGCTGAGGCGTGGGAAGCAGCAGAGGTGAATATGGCTGCGGCGTCTGTGTACGCTACGAACAGTGGCGCATATACCCTCATTCCTGTCGTTGGGCGCGCTGCGGCATTCTACCCATCTGGACTGGAAATGGCACACATCTCGGCGAACGCGTCGTATGTAGAGCATCCGTACCTGCTAGTCTCTGTGAACACTACTGGCTTTACCAGGAAGCCGGCATATGATGTTGATGGGGAGCAGTCGTGGGGTGTATTGGAGCAGATCAGAGATGGGTGGCCGGAGGGTGTGCCAAAGATAAAAGGGGAGTTCACCGACAGAGTCTTGAATTCTGTTTATGATTTTTAGAGTGGAAGATATTTGTACAGACTGAGAGTACAGTAGGCCTTGCCACTTAGGGTTAGGTCTGCCCTGTCCGCATAACCCGATGCTTGTACGGTAGCGATCGCCTGACTTACTGCGCCCCGTTCCTCTCCAACTCTCCTACTCTCCTACTCTAGAGTCTAAGCAGACAAGATACCTGCCCTATCATGCTCAGCTACTAATTCCAGACCTCGACTTGTTGAGGCAGTTCAAACGGCCGTCCGATTCATGGTAACCACCGCCAGCGAGAGCATCTGTGCCGCGCTCGACGATGGTGGGGGAGTTCGCTTCGGTCCCCAAACGTTCGCCATTTACTCTTGCGCCGCCCTGCCGCCGAGTTTCGGAAAAGTCAGACATGATCCAACGCTCCACGCCAAGCTGAGCAAGACTGCTGCACGGGTTTGCAAGACACTGCCCGTCTACATAGACCTACAAGATGAAGATGTCGCCGAGCTGGCTTCCCTGCATGTGCCAGTGTCGGTGCCCCGCGGTCAACGGATGCTACCGATCAAAGCCAACATGATCGACCTTGACCACCTCCCGTGGTTCCTGATTAATGCGGCAGTATCCAAGAAGCACTGCGTGATCGGGCGGGGCTCAGCGGTGGAATCGCTGCTGGTTATCCTGCAACGACCCTGGTGCGTTCTTGAGGTCTGCTGCGCCGATACTGAGACTATCGCCGCGATGAAGGACTTTGCCCTACTAGCGACCCTGGTCGACGGCGAAAGCTATAACGCTGCTCTGCTGTTATTATCTCACGAGTACCTGGTTAGATTGGCATCAATATCAAGGTCAGCCGATATCTTGTTACCTTGTAACGAAAACTCCTCGGCTCGACCATTCCCAGAAAAGGCAATCCGTGATATATATGCAGCGACAACGCTCGTCAGCTCGTACAATCGGTTCTGGCTGCCGCTAGTATGCTGCTGTGCGGTTTACCTGGATTTGTCCTTTCCTGATGCTGTGAGGAGGATTCGTGATGATGCTGAGGGCTTAGACGGCATGGGTTGGATTGAGCTGTATAGATTCTTGCTGAGGAGGGTCGGGGATTGGGCTTGACTGTGTCGCTTCAACCTACCTTATCAGGAGATGCTATTGCATTAGTATCGTATCCGCTCTTGTCTACAACGTCAACAGTACCTACCGTTCAATAGGCAATCCCGCAGGTTGTTATCCTCCATTCAATATATAGGTAGACATAAAAATGTACTCTCCCTTGCTATCAACCGGAGGCAATTCACCTCCAAGCATAGAATATACCAATACACCGAGCTTTACCATGAAGAATAACCGTGGTGCATATTCCTCTCGACTCTCTCCATCGGCAAGCTGCCCTGGTATGTTCTTATTCTCTTCGGCCACAGCCACAGTCACTCGTTGACTACATCCATAGGTAACAATTTACTTCTCACCTCTCCTTATTCCCCCTTTGGAATGTTCTTGCTCTCACTGGTCATGCTTGCGATCCACTCATCCCCAGCACTCCGCATTTGCTCAACCAGCCTACCAGCCAGCCCATCTGTCGCCCTCCTCGCAGCCAACTTTGCCTCTTCACTCTCTTTCCCCTCCTCGGCCATCTCACTTGCCCTTTTCCGGTATCCAGCATAATATATCTCCATCTGCGTCCTCAAGTCACCGCTCTCCAGCGGTCCATGACCGTCCTTCTCAACCTTCCGCTGGAATGCATTTATCTCGGCCAGGGCCGGCTGCATCGCCCTAAAGGCCGGCATATTCGGCAACAGCCCCATGCCTAACCAATCAAACCCCTCCAGTCGACAAGCCGGCTGAATCGCAATCGTGGCGTCTATTATACTCTCCGTTCGTTTCTCCCGATCCGTGAGCAAGGCGTGCGGAACACCGCCTTTGGCTTTGGTCTGAAGCCACCGCGATATTTTCGTCGCGATGATTTCAGCCACAGTTGCATACACCAACACAGCCAGGAACGCCAGCTGCAAGTATCCATGCATATTGACCATACACGCAACGGAGGAGAATGCTGCCAGAGCACCGGTTATCATAAAGCACCAGTGCAAGAATGACTGCAGCGCCGAGGGCTCGTATTTCCAGGTCGTTCGCGCCCACGCTTCCATGTTCTTCTTGGGCCCTTTGAAGATTACCGTGCCTCCTTCAGGACGCTCGTACGCGGCATACCGTGGACTCGTCTCTTGGTCGATCGGCGGCGTTGAAACATGCACCATAGGCAGGAATGTGATGAGCGCCGAGGCAATCCAGTGACTCCCATATAGGAAGAACAGCGTAAAGGCCCAGATATCCGCAGCCAAGATCCCGATCAACATGGCAGCAAGGATCATGGCCCCGTTGATCAAAATCAGAATATACAGCGTCAACCGAGCGGCCATCCACCAGCCCAGACCAGGGTCAGCTGCCAAGCGCTTGCGTCTAGCCTTCGCCATGCCATCGCCACCAGCAACTTCCTCATCGCCGATGTAAACAACCATAAAGTCGTTCCCGGGGTTCAGCTCCCCACCGCGAAACGAAATCAGCCCGCCCAGCCACCCGTTACTGAAATCTAGCGGCAGTTCGCGGAACACGAAATCCGAGCGCACGGGAATCATACTGATATACTTTGCGCACATCTTAATCGGCGCCTCCAGCGACTTGGACGGAAGCCCCGAGGTCACGTATTCAACGAGCATCTGGATCGCGGGGAGCGTGCCCCCGACCATGGACATGTGCGGCCAGTGGAACGTGTCATTGTCGAACTGGACGTAGAGCTTTGCGGCGCTTGCAGCGGCGCGCGGGTTGTGAAGGACTGCTGCGACACCGAGCGGGTCGAACGAGACTGTGTTTTCGTTGCGGAGCGTCGCCTTAGGTCCTTCTGAGGAAAATGGGTATTTGGCTTCGGCTAGGGTCGCGAATAGAGATACGGCCATGGTACGGAGCCATGGTGTTGTCGCAGGACGCGGCATCGCATCGCACTCAGCTGGATATTCTATCTACGAGGTAGACATCGACGGAATATGTAAGTATTTATTTGTTGGCTAAGTCTGCACCTGCCACCAAAGGTGCGGCTGAGCTGTCGAGGTAAGCACCATACCGTTATAGGCAAGGTTGAAGATATCAGGTACAAATGTGGGGAGGGGCACTTTCTTACTAAAGACAGATCAATAAGAATAGCGTTTCGAGTAATTATTGTACCGAGGCCAGAGTACGGGGAGGGACGGCTGGAATATTTTTATACAGCAATTCCAAAGGGTGTTGATCCATTGGATAAATATACCTGTTGGACTGGACCATGGTTCGCTAAACACCAGCTACAGTCTAGGTATACAAAGCTATAGTAATCAACCAAAAATACATAATAATCATCTCAATTTGCTCATAGGAAATAATACATGGGTGAAACCCGGCTAGGAGAAGTACATATACATGCATATTGGACTGTATCTATAGAACAAACAACCCATCAAACGGGTACTTCTCCAAAAATAAGACATTACATCAAAGGTCATATATAAACGACACTGACACAGTACACGCCATGATAAAGACACAGCGTATGTGCAAAGCATCAATCATCAAGAAACGAAGGACCTATCTATCTAGGATAGGATAGGGTAATTTACATAACAACAAGCATTGAGAGTGCAAAGGCCACGAGAGCAGAGACACCCTTAGCCACACCGAAACGAGACGCTGCGCCCGTGAAGGTGGGGGGAGCGGGAGCGCCGCCCAGGGTACCGGTGGCGTCAACGCCGGATGGAACGGGGACAGGGGCGGACGCCGACGGGATGATGTGGAAGGTGGAAGAGGGGTAGGGGTAAGGGGTGTAGGCACCACCGGCACCACCGCCGATCAGGGGCCTGCTGGTGGTCGCGGAACCAGAACCAGAGCCGGGCTCGATGATGGTTGTGTAGCCTTCAGAGCCGGGGGCAGGAACCTCGCTATCGCCCTCGCCGGCAACCTCGGTAGGTGCAGGGAGGACGACGACTGTGGTGGTTGCGCCGGAGTTGACGATGGTTGTGGTGGTGTACTCCTCGCCTTCACCGGAATCGGAGCCGGTGCCGTTGCCAGACGGGACCTCGCCGGTGGGCTGCGCAGGGGTAGACTCTCCGGTGCTGGTTGCTGGTGGGAGAGTGAGGGTGACAGTTGTTGGGGTGGCAGCACAGACGGTGCAGACAGTAACGGTGGTTGTCCAGCCCTCGGGGATATCAGCGGTGGTGGTGGGCTGAGCAGGGTTGGAGCCGGAGCCGGAGCCAGAGCCAGAGCCAGAGCCAGGAGCGTCGGTGATGGGGGCAGTGGCGGTGGCAGTGGCAGAAGCCGTACCAGGGCAATAAGTCGAGGTGATGGTTGTGGTGATGGTAGTGAATCCAGTCGGGCAGATGCTCGTGTACGAGGTCACGATGAGGGTTGTGGTCGTGGCTGGCTCCGTGGTGGAAGGCTGGGCTGTAACAGATCCAGATCCAGTGTTGGTAGGCTCAACCTCAAATGTGCTTGTCGTGGCGGTCTCATCGGATCCAGTGTTGGTAGGCTCAACCTCAGTTGTGCTTGTCGTGGCGGTCTCATCGGACCCAGTGCTGGTGGGTTCAGCCTCAGTGGCGCTGGTCGTGGCGGTTTCATCGGATCCAGTGCTGCTAGTAGGCACTCCTGGAACGCTCGGGGAGGGAGTCGCAGCGCTGGTGCTGGTGCTAGACGCCGGGGTTGTGGGAATCAAGGGCTTGCTTGTCAGGGCACTGGAGGTTGACTCGGCCGAGGTCTCGGAGGACACAGAGGAGCCAGGTGTAGGGAAAACGGTCAGAGTCTTGGTGGTCTGGGGCGAAGTCGAGGGAGAGACAACCGGGGTGCTGGCTGAGGGAGACTCCGAGACGCTGGAGGAAGTATGAGTGCCAATCGCAGTGGAAGACTCCTCACAGTCAGTGCTAGTCGAGGACGCGGAAGTGCTGGAGCCCGACGGCGTCACCGACGGCGTGGGGGTCTTGGAGATGACGGGGGCACTTGACGGGACAGACGAGCTGGTCACCGACATGGATGTGCTTGAAGAGCCGGCGGAGCTAGGTCCAGGAATGACTGGTGTGCTTGTAGAAACATGGGTGCTTGACTCAGGGACGCTAGATCCTGAAGGGGTTTCCAAGGGAGTAGTAGTGCTTGACTCTGAGACAATGGCGGTGCTTGATGCAGAAGGAGTTTCCGAAGGAGTCAAGGTGCTTGAAGTGACCGCAGAGCTAGTGACAGAGACAGCAGGAGTGCTTGAGGAGACAGAAGTGCTAGAGCCAGAAGGAGTCACTGAGGGAGTAGTGCTGGTCTCCGAGGCAGAGGGCGTGCTGGATGGGGTGAGAGTCTCAGTAGATGAGGTCTCGGACACCACAGGGGTGGACGTGCTGGACACCGAAGAGGTCGAGGAAGAAGTGCTGCTTCCAGACGGAGTCGGCGTGGGTGTGGGGGTCGAGGTTTCGGTGGTAGAAGATGAAGGTGTGGGAGTAGGACTAGACGAAGTGGACGTGGACGTGGTGCTCTCAGTAGTGGTGGTCGTAGTAGACGTGGACGTAGTGGAGGTTGTGGTGCTGGTCGGCGTGGGAGTGGGGGTAGGCAACGTCGTAGTAGGGTAGTGGTTGGGGTCAGCGTCGAACAGGATCTCTCTGATCTTCTGGTTATAATTGAAGTTGTTGCGCGCCTCCGTAGCTTCCCACAGCATGACACCTCCAAAGGTGTCAGGATACTTGTTCATGTACTCCTTTACCAAGGGCTGCACCTGTACCGGAGACAGATAATAGCCGAGATTGGCAGCAGTCAGACTGGCGGGCAGACCGACATAGAGCTTTGCGTTGGGGTTAGCACCGGCCTTGATAACGTTGACCCACTCGTCAAAGTTGAAACCAGTGCCTCCTAACGCGTAGTTGCTAGCGGAGCAGCTGGGTGTGTTATAGAACTGAACCCAAACGAAATCGATGACAGCATCCCTGATGGCAACACTAAGCTGTTCGTCGGGGATAGCGCACTGAGGAGCGGCGGAGATGTAGTAGGTCTTAGAGGTGTCCTCCTCATAGAGCTTTCGGAACCGCTTGATCATGTTGGCGTAGCCTGCAGCAGTCAGAATATATTCAACATGATTGATTGCCAGCCAGACGACTCACCCCAGCTACCGTGGTGCTCGATGTCAAAGTCAAAACCATCAACGACAGCGGCGCCAAAGGGACGAGGCTTGTCGGCGGCAGTCCAGTCGTCGGTCACTGGACCAAACGCTCCCCAGAGAAAGTCGGCTAGGTCGGTCGAGGCTTTGATGGTGTCGAACCAGTAGTTGGTACCAGCACCACCCAGGGACAGGAAGACCTTCTTGCCGGCGTTCTGGCACTCGCGGATATCATCCTCGAAGTTGAGGCAATGTGAGTACAGGGCGGTATCAACGCCATTGACCTTGTAAACATCGCCCCAGCACTGGTTACCGAAATTGCTTCCGGGATACCCAGTCTCAGGGTGCTGCTCTGGGAAGCTATCGATGAATCCGATGTTGATGATGTCGTAGGAGGTGTCCGCACAGAACTCGGCAAGTCGAGGTTGGTTAGCACCCTGGCCGTAGTAGACGGCGATGTTGGACTTGGCGTCTGCGTGGAAAGCAGAGGCTACAGAAGTAAGCCCTGAAAGGGCGGAAACGAAGGTAAGTAGTTTGGCCATTGTTGAATGAATGACTGCTGGCTAGGGCCAGTGGACGAGAATCTCGACAATGAAAGGACGCAGACAAACGTCTGCTTGTACGGCCTCTACAACGAAAGGAAGGGCTGGCGAGAGAATTTTACACTGGGGGAGGGCGATGGGTAATATATGCTTGCTACTAATCCCATGGGAAATTGCACAATCCGGCCCATCTGAGCCTCAGTGGAATTAGCCTGGCAAGTGGCGACCCATGAGCCAATGTCCAGGAGCCATAATATCAGGGATTTGTGATAGTATGCTTAGCGCCAGCCTGAATTCCCTGGAAGATGGCAGTGCCGCGGACGGTCCAGCCGGCCAGGGTTCGGTGTCTTGAGGAGGATAAGAGGGGGGCATGGGCATTCAACCATCCGGGTCTCTGATTCTCTGATAGTGATCGACTCTTTAGGTTCCTTATTCCAGAGTCTGTAGTGGACGACTCGCCGTAAAAGCGTAAACACAAGCGAGGGCCCTTGGATGCTCCATTATTATAAGTGGAGCGGCATGAGCGGACAGTCGGACAGTGCCCGAGCGAGCATAGAGCCGCATAAGGGTACACTGGATGAGATGACAGTTTCTTTGCCTGTCAGGATTCAGACGTCAGCGAGTAGCAGCAAAGTGTTTATAACTTTATATGGACTTATCCCCAGACCCCAGAGGACTTGTGGATTGGATTGCAAGCCATGGTGACGCCTCTTCTGTCGGGTGAAGCCCAGATTTGCCACGGACAGACGAGTCTGGCTTGATTCATGGAAGAATGGCTCGCTAAGCTTAGCTCGAGCAGTGGGGTTGGAAGAGGAGAAGCCTGGACGAGAAAGTCCAAACAAGTGCGAGAGACGAGAGGGAAATGGTCCGAGGATTGGAAGTTTGGAACGGGCCTAGCGCCGGAGGAGGCCTCAGGAACACCAATCAGGTGACAGGCATCAAGTCTGGCCTCAGTCCAAGTTCCCACCTCGAGTTCGATCAACAGTTCAACACAAGCGTCAGATTATTCCGCGATGAACTTCGGTTTGCACCCGGATCATCGGATCGCCGGTCAAGGCCTCTATCCTTGGACTCTTTAATGTCATCTTCTTAATTACGACAATCCGATATGACATAAATCTTCAAAAATTTCATTAGCTTGGTCAAGCCCAGCTCAGAACAACTGTCCAGCTGTTCATTTCCACTCTCGAGGACAGTGCGGAGGCGAGGTTGCATCTGGCACCAATTGGCAATAGGGCAGATGGGATCCATGGTGAGTCCGTGACTCCGTCCAGTCCCCGTCGCCGTCGCCGAGCTCGCTAACAACTTAACAAGAGGGTCCTCCGTTAGCGCTTGGCTTAGCTTGTTGATAAAATCGCCCTCTTACAACAAACCATTGTTATTGGACCCTGGGTTTGCAGACCCGTTCAAGGGAAATTGTTCATGAGCCTCATTGGCCCTTGGACCTGTATAGCCGCAGGCACCCTGTGCAAGTGCCTAATTCGACGGGTTCTGCCGACTCGTTTAGTTTTTTGCCCTGAGCCATCACGCCCCATGGTCTGCCCACGGTCCACCACTCATCCTGGTAGGGCGAAAGGGGACCGGAAGAGGTGCCGTTTGTGGCATTATTTTAGTCTGGAATACACAGGAGCCAACAGGCTGCGGATTTGAAATAATCCTCAACGCTATAAGGAGTAGGATTCTCGTCCTTATCACAAGCCTTGCTGTCCACTTTATAGTCGACGGACTGGACACTAGCTGTGAAAGCGCGGATGCAGGTCCCAACTCCCGGCCTCCGGCCCGCGCGCTGTGACGAGATGAAACGGTCATAATGCTCACGCCGTTCGAATTTACCAATCATCAGTCGGTTTTCAGGTCTTCGTCGACTCGTGCCTGCAGCAGCAGTGCAGGGATAGAACTACATAGAATGGCCATACCCCAAATGGGAAGGTGTTTAAATCCGCTCAGGAAATTCAGAATACTACGGAATGCCATGAGTATTCTCGACCCGATACCGGAAGACTTGTATGCACTGGATACAAGGGTCAAGGAATTATCCTACCATAGGCCCACGAATAACAACGGCCCCGTAACCAGCCCTGTCGCAATATAACACAATTCAGAATCACGGGGCCCTTGCGAGGCCGATTGCCGTATGGGGGTTTATGATAGAGCGGAGCGAATCAACAAAGCACGAGCCTGATGCGTATTGAGTCGCCATGCGAAGGGCCTGGTTGTCGGCTAGTTCACCCGGTTCTGGAGCTACTATGTCGTCCATGTCATCTCCGCGGCTCTCTTCATGGCCTACTGCTATCGTGCCTAAAGATCATGTCTATTATTACTGCTGTTGCAGGTCTTCTCAAGACTTGACTGACAAGAGTCCTAGGTTTCACCGTTTAGTTGGAAAACACCTCCTTCAACAGGTCACACATCAGCGTTATCGACCTTCTTCCCTCCTTCAGCACACCATCCATGGCCAGAAACGGATGCGGCATTCCCTTCATAACCTGCAAATCCACCTCCACGCCGGCCTGCTTCAAGTTCTCCGCATACTGCTCTCCCTCGCTTCGCAACACATCCAGCTCACCCACCATGACCAGCGCCCGCGGCAGCGCGGACCAATCTCCGGTATAGAACAATGGGCTTGCCTCGGGATGTGACCGGTCTTTTTCGCCGGGAAGGTAGTGATTGCGGTACCATAGCATCTTTGCCGCTGGCAGAGCTGGCGTGAACTCATATCGTCGGTAAGAGTCATTGCTTGATACTGTTGCCGTATTATCCATGACTGGCACGGAGAGCAGCTGCGCAAGGAATTTGACAGGAGGTGACAATGTCAACGCCTTGTGGGTGATTATAGCTGCTAGATTTCCGCCTGCTGATGAACCTCCCGTTGCTATCTTCCTTATGTCGATGTTAAGGGCTACTCGTCCTTCGGATATCAGCCACAGAAGAGCCTCCCAGCAATCATGCACCGCAGCTGGCCAAGGGCTTTCTGGTGCGAGACTGAAGCATACGTCAGTTATCATCCGAGAAAACGACCAAAGCGAGACGGAACGATACCGATAATCAACAGTAACAACCACACACCCTCCCCAACTGCACAGATTCGTACAGACCACATTCTCAGTGTTGATATTCCCCAGCACCCAGCCGCCTCCATGGAAATACAACATCACCGGCCATCCTCCCGCGGGGGCCTCGCCACTTGGCGTGAACGCCCGCAGGAGTATCTCCGGTCCCTCAGTGGAGCGTCGCTTGATGGTGATATCGACCGTCTTGCCAACATCTACGAGGGGTCCGCCACCGGGGATCAGAATACCGCTTGTGCGCGAGGCTTCAACGGGCTGGAGATGGACTTGCTGCTTGTCGATTACGTGGCTGTTGTAGAAGGCGACGTATTCGGGGTCTAGGAGGTCCTGGACAGAGGGGTGGAGGGGGTACGGGGGCGAGATGTTGCTGATAGACATCTTGTCGGTTGTGTATAATGATCTGGTGATTTAGTCTACCAAGTCTTTTGAGGGTTGACGGTGAAGAAGCATTTATAAGGCAGGTCAGCAGTCTTGAAGCAAGGTTTGGTCGGTCTCGTGTTTCATGCAAGGAGGGCTGGACAACTCATCCGCCTCTTTATCTCGCTTGGAAGAGAGTTGGAGTACGAGGACCAGGTATGGAGAAGATCACTTTCTATGGTTCTATGCTTATACTCGAAATCTATCATTGGTTTATCATATTATTACCACATTACAGCAACCAGCGATAGGCTTATCGTGGTCCGTATCAATGAGGGGACACACGCAAATGAGGGGCACGATGTCTCCAACTCCCTTGCAGGACACCGTCAACCTACCACAATAAATACCGCTTTTCTCTCTTCATCCTTTATTACCACCCCATATATCCAAAAGCGCAAGAAAGCAGCACAATGGCCTCTAAAACTCCCGTCCTGACCTCTAAAGCTCCCAAGCCACTCCCCGGTATCTACTCCCAGGCTATCAAGTGCAACGGCATGGTCTACTGCTCTGGCGCTGTTGCCATGGACGCTGAGACAGGAAAGATTATTGACGGTGATGTCAAGGCTCACACGGTACGTGATACCTCTTACCTTGGGTTATTTATTGTATTCATAATGGCAATGGGGCTAATACGATCGTGCTGCTCCGTAGGCCCAATGCATCAAGAACCTCAGCGCGATCCTCGAAGAAGCCGGCAGCGATATCACAAAGGTCGTCAAGGTGAATGTGTTCTTGGCCAGCATGGATGACTTCGCGGCTATGAATGAGGAGTACATGAAGCACTGGGGTGATGTCAAGCCTGTTCGGACGTGAGCCTCCCCAGATCTTGCCTTCCTTCTAGTCAATAAATGTGCTAATTGAGTGTCTCATTAGATGCGTTGCTGTCAAGACGTTGCCTTTGAACACCGATGTTGAGATTGAGTGTACTGCTCACCTGTGATGCCCTACTTTCTGGTTATAAAGCCGCCATGAGGATAAAAAAGAATTGAAGAGAATTAGGGTTGCTTAGCGTTTGTGCTTGTGCAGTATCTTGCTATGGTGCATGAGCCCTTCCAGTAGGTTCGCGGGAGCAGTATGACCTAGAAACGAGATGGACTGTCGACTTCAAAGTCGCATCTCTATTATATCAGAAACACCAGTAGAAGAGTCCTCCGTAATAGAAGCCTATGTGGTTTCAAGGACATTGCGAAGTGTGTTTTGTTCTGTCAGTCCGTAGGCCCTGAGGAAGGGCTTCGACCCTTGGCACTTTAGTGACCAAATGACAGGAGTGTGTCCCTCAAGAGCCCCTTGGAGTGAATCTAGGAGAGTGCAGTGTAGAAGTATACGGCCCTTAAGAAGGGAGGGGCCATCACGTGTCCGCCTTCCCCCTCCCAATTTGACTCTCCTTCGCTCCCTCCATCACCATCCTACATTCTACCACTTGCTTCCTGTCTCAATTCCTACATTGCCCCAACGGCTTCCTTTGGAGTTGACACCTGCATTTGACGTCATGCCACGCGATTTTCTCAGACTCTACCCAGGGCAGCGCCCTGTTGCCCTAAGTCAAGGGAAGGGTTAAGGGACTGACTAGTGATCAGCCTAACAATGACCAGGATACTTCGGAGTCTACAGGCTACTAAGGAAATCAAGTCCTTGACTTCAGTTCTTAATCTAGGGCCTAGCAGGCTGTCGCCGCATTCCTGTGCCGGACGTCAGACGCTTCCCGTGTAGGAGAATATTTCCTGCTCCTCCATTCCGAACCCCATGCTCGCGTTGACGCGCCAGAACTACAGCTCATATATCCTTCTTACGGCGCTGCCCTCGTTCTTCAATATCAGCATCTGGTCATTATCCATGTCTTTCTAGCGAAGACTAGCAGACACTTTCCCCAACTTGGCTTCCACACCCCAGACATATTTAGCCCACTTCATTCTCATATAATATCTCTCGCGCAAGAGGGGCACCGGCAGTCGTATTTTGCCTACATCTTCGTCACGACTTTTAGTCACCATTTTCTCATTACTGTCGGCCATGCAGTACCGGACAATGTCACCTAAGAGAGGAGGTGCTTGGACGAAAGTCGTCATATTCGTCTCTCTTTACGTTGCATTACTCCAGTCGCTTATTGAATGGGTCGTTGTGCTCTACCTCTATGCCAACAAGCATGTAGACTCCAAGATGGCGCCAAGTTTGATATTTGCTCTTGCAGCGGTAAGACTGATTCTAGCTATTACCACACCAAATCTAACCCGCTTAGTCGTTTCTCACGGTGTCGCTCGTGATACTACACAGCTTTCTTGCATGGCAATATAAAAGAGTACTTGGTTACGAGAGCCAGAAGGCTGTGCTGTACACCGTATCCACCTATGTCCTGAGGCTTACAACCATAGTCTGGCTAGGGGCCAGTGTGGCAGGCCTGGTTGTGGTCTCACAGCAAGCATACTGTCTTCCCGACGGTTCCAATGGCAGTTTTTGGAACGTTGGGGTCAGCTGTGCTCTTCATCGAGCAGTCGTCATCGTTTCTGTCCTAGCTTTGTAAGTACTCGAAAGACTGATGTCTACCGGTACCGACTAACTAGTTATCAGTCTCACGATTTGCGTATACTTTTGCTCCAGGGAGCTTTGCGAACGCCCATACGAGGTATCTCTGCTCGGTGTATATCGCCACCAACACTCGAGCCGTGACGATAGCATCCTCTCTGCATCCACTCTGAATAGCGAGAAGGGCCTGAAGCGAGACATCATATGTGTCTGCCGTCGCCCAGACATTACATATGGCCGAGCCCCCTATATGACACCAAGCGAAGACAGCGGAGATTTGAAAAGCATGCCTAGCATTCGGCAGCCTGCGCCGATACGTCCAACATCATTTCCACGATTCAGTCCAGATTCCAGAGCTGAAGCGGACTACTTGTCAGGCATGACTGTCACCCCTGGTGCGCATTCGGACTTACAGAGTATCTCTCGCACACCATCAGCTGCAACAGCACAAGACAGTTCTCAACCGCAAGATCTCTCTGAGCTGCCAGCCGCAACCCTGCGGCCACAATCAGCCCACACAAGGAATCAATCATCACTCTCCTCCTTTCGGCGGTTTCTTCCAAAATCCCTGCCGGCATCTGCACCTTTGTCATCAGATCCGCAGATCCGTGCCCTTGCTGAGGCAAGTGCCCAAGTAGACGTCGAACAGCAGGAACACCAAAAAGAAGAGCCAGCAACCGCAGAACCCTCAACAGAGTCACCACAGCCGCTCCTAAAGGATAAAAGTGTACCACTCTTCCCTCAAAATACCATGCCTAGCACAACCACATCCCTCCCCAGATCAACAACCATGCACTCCACAGAGGCCCCTGAGGTTGTTACGCTTTCTCCAGCTCCCGCTCCCGCTCCTACCAGATCAAGGACAGCACAAAACTTCTCTTCTCCTCCCACCACCAACCCTAATCCTAATCCTAACTACACCCCCAGACCCTGGTCTACTCTCATCGACCCTACTCATCACAACCCGCTACAAATGAACAGCAACACAATGCGCATCCCACGCCGACACAGCCAGGGCCAGAACCAGTTCGGAGCCCCTCCTATCCCACGCTACACGCAAAGCCAGCGCTTTCCCGGTCCACGAGGTCAGAACTGGTACAGCCGGCAGCTGCGCCGGAATGTTACGAACGTCCAGTATCAAACCCAATATCGGTATCAACAGCAGGGCTTGCGCCGGCCACGCAGCTCTACGTGCGGCAATATGAGCATTGCTTCTGTTCCAGGGCACTTGGATTGTATTCGGGAAACGGGGGCGTCGATTGAAGAACTGCCAGCGGGTGATGGGAGCATACCTCGTAGGGCACAGCATTATTGAGCTGCCATGGTTTAAAAAAATGGGTGTCTCAGTGACGGACGAGACAGTTTAAGACATATATATTTAACCATTCTATAGGTACTTTAATAGCCCGTTCCACCTGTTTTGAGTAAAGGGTATGTACTTTTATATATATATAATATTTTAAAAAAGACCTGGTATTTAAAAAAGCCTTTACAACGGCTTACCAATTCCCCAATTTGTAATGCTCTATAAGTAGGTCTGGATCGCAAATGAAAGTGCATGTAAAAACATCTAATAGCCTCTAACACCGAACCTAAGCCTGCCAACGGCCATTTCATTCTGGCCGTAAATACACCAGAGCCGTACCTAACCGAAGTAAATTGCAAACCAAACGCCGTACGTGCGCCTAGAACTCAGCCATCGAAAGCTTTGGAGAGAAACAAAAAGAGAAGAGCAGCTGACTTCTTTCGGCACTCATGTCCTCTTCACGTACTTATACCGATACGGCTGCCCGTGCCCGTGCCGTCTCTTCCCACCATCTTCAATAGTATTCTCCTTCTCATTTCCGTCACTGCCAGCAGCCTTTCCACCTCCTTTAGCCTTGTGACCAGTAGCAGTAGGGTTCTCCTTCTCTCCCCAAGTCCACAAAAGGGCCCTGCTCATCTTCTCACGCTCCTTGAGCAGCAACTCCACGCGACGCTCCCACTCGCGTTCCCGCTTTTCGACGGACTTGGCGATACGCAGGTCCATCGCGGCGGCTGTTTCTTCTTTGGTGGTGATGACAGAGTGGAGGCGTTGGATTTCGGCGTGGAGAGTGGTGATTTGGTTATCTTTCTCGTTGTCTTCGTCTTTGTTCTCTTTCTCTTCTTGTTCTTCCTGTTGTTCAATCAAGGAGCGGAGTTCGGCTTCTCGGCTCTCAGAGGCAGAGAGAAGCGCACGCAGTTTGCGTGTTGAGTCGGCGTGGGCGGAGCGGAGCGTGGAGAGGGCGGTTGCGTGGGTGGTTTTGAGGTTGGTGATTTGGGCTTTGTGCGTTGCTTCAAGCGTGGCGAGAGAGCTAGTTGGGTTTGCGTGGGGCGTTGAGGGGGGACTGGGTTGTTGGGTCTGGGATTGTGACTGGGCTTGGGTTCGTAGAGTGTCCTGGAGGCGATCGATGGTCTCTTGTGCTTCGGAATGTTCTGTGCGGAGGCGATTAAGGTCGTCGACTGCTCTGTCCAGGCTTGATTTGAGTTCATCTGTGTTCTTGACAAGACGGGCGTTCTCTGCTTCGATTGATTGGATAAGGAGCTGGGATTCTGCGGCTTGATCGTGGGCGTGAGTGAGTTGCGTTTCCAAAGTCTTGTTCGTGGTGGCACGTTCGCTCGATTCTGTGCGGAGTTTGGATAGCTCTTCGTAGATTTGTTCAAGGTCATGGTCCTGATCCTGGTCGCCGCCATCTCTGGGCCTCGTGGGCCGGTTGGTATTCGGCTGGCCAAGATCTTTGATCAGTTCGAGGATTTCGCTATATGTCCCGCCAGGGGCATCGGATGGTAGATCTGCTGCCATGGCTTTGAGGGCGTTTTCTTGGGCTGTGACCTGGGACTGGGCACGAGTTAAATCAGCCTCAAGGGTGCTGTTCTTCTCTTCCAGTGGCCGGTTCTTGGTTTCAAGCAGAACCATTTGGTCTTCAAGAATCCGGTATTCGCGGTGGGCGCGCGAAACGTCCGCTTCGAGCCTATCAATTTCCGCGCGCTGGGTGTCGACCTGGCCGCGGAGTCTGTCAATCTCGGCGTTCTTTTCGTGGAGCTGCTGCTCTTTAGATGCGGTGACCTGCTTCAGACTGGAAAGAGTCTCATCCAGAACAGCATCACGTTTCCGAATCTGTTCTTGAGTCAGCGATAGTTGTTGGCGCAGGAGCGCAATTGTCTCTAGACGCTCGGCATCGATATCAGCATGCGAGTTGCGGTTGTGTAGGTCTTTCTGCATGTCGGCGATTTGCTTCTGAAGGGCACTAAAGTCAGGCGCGTTGACCGACGATCTTCGAGCCATGATCTTCTCCGCGTGACACTCTTGGATTTCTTCCAAGAGGGAAGTCTTTCGTTGTAGCTCGGCTCGCAATTGCTTGAGCTCCTCTCCGACGGAGGCCGCTTCGAGGAGCCGACCTCGATTTCTTTCTAACTGCTCATCGCGATCCTGAACAGCCTGTCTCAACTCCGTGATTTGACGCCGTAAATCATCGTCTGGCTGTTTTAGAGGTCTATTGGCTGGTGATTTCGGCTTTCGAACCGTCGGCGTTGCTACCAGATCTGGCTCATCGTCTGGACTTTCCTCGATGTCCTCAAGATGAGTGACATCTCTAGTGGGAGCGGCCATACGTCGTAAAAGATGCGACGGGGTGGACATGTCGTCCGGCGGCCCAAACTCGCTGTATTCGCCCAGTTCCGCCTCATCCTCCACCGCTGGCTGCTGCGACTGGCCGGTAGTTGGTCGCTCTTGTTGTTCATGCGGTTGCGGCAGCTTCAACTCGCTATGTACCCCATCTTGTGGCTGCTCCTGGTCCTTATCGTCCTCATCAATGTCCTGGTCTATCGAGTCGTCTTCTCCGAGCAGGTATCGTTCCAAGTTCGCAGTGAAATCTTCAGGGCCGCCCACAGCCGATAACCTGTCGACCTCATCCTCCACCTCTGGTTGTTCATCTAGACCGTCGTCCGCATGTCCACTGGGGAACTGGCTGAAGTCAACGGTGTACTGGGCGAGGCGCGCATCGAGCTCCCTAGCCGCACGCTCGAGGGAGGCTTGGCGAGTAGACGGGGGTGAGCCAGACGGAGATCGCGCCCCAGGGCTGCTGACTGGGCTCGGAAGACCGTCAGGCGAATCGATCGGAGGATGTTCTGAAGGAGTTGGCGAGGCCGGGGAATAGTAGGGAGCCGCCAGGGTGGATGCGCCGACGGTATCGTGGGATGTTGTATCGGCCATAGTAGGCAATCGGCCCTTACATGGACGGTTCAGATGGAGATAGATGTTGTCAAGTAAGGTTTACACCCGGAAGAAGTGCTAAGATGCGGATAAGTAATGGGGTGACGTTGATAAACTTGAGTAGGAGAAACGCGACGCGCGGAGTCGCCTGAGATCTGAGGCTCCCGCCCGGGCGGGGCGCTGTTGACGATATGCTGGATCGGGTTAGCGTTGTTGCCGCCTCATCGAGACTTATTATTACACAGGCTGGGAATTGTTAGGGTGATTTATGTAGAAGAAAGCATTCTTTGATTGTTTAAACCTGATAGTGCCATTGTGCTTCGTAGACCGTTGTCGCTTTTTGTATTGGCCTCCATTGACAATTACCGGGCTCTAGAGTCGCTGTACCCCTCTACTCCCTATAGGGTTCTCCCCTCACCCTGAAGGACCAGACACAAAATGCCACCTATCCCGCCTCCTTCTTATCCCCATCGCATCGTACTGTATCATCAGACACTACACCCCGATGGAGGCCCATATGTGTCTCTGCTGCCGCTCCTTAACAATCACACCGGCACAACCCACGTCATCCTCGCTGCGTTCCATCTCAACGCTCCCAATCCCAACCACATCACCCTCAACAATGATCCTCCCGATCATTCCAAGTACGACGAGCTGTGGGCTGAAGTCTCTCTGCTACAGCAAAGCGGCATCAAGGTCATGGGCATGCTGGGCGGCGCCGCACCAGGCACCTTTTCGCAGCTAGATGGCGACGAAGCTCAATTCGAACAATATTATGTCCCTCTTCTCGGGGTTATTCGTCGCCATGGCTTGGATGGTATTGACCTGGATGTCGAGGAGCCCATGTCGCTTCCTAGCATCGTGCGTCTTATTGACAGACTGAAGGCTGATTTGGGTGAGGGGTTTATTGTCACCCTCGCGCCGGTGGCAGCAGCTCTTTTAGGTATCGGAAACCTTTCTGGCTTCGATTATCGCTTGCTGGAACAGCAGCGTGCCGGTAGCATTGCTTGGTACAATACCCAGTTTTATAATGGCTGGGGCCCAGCGCACGACCCTCGCATGTATGCGGCCATCGTCGCGCAAGGCTGGTCTCCAGCCAGGGTTGTCTATGGCCTCTTGACCAATCCAGGCAACGGTTCGCAAGGTTATGTACCGCAAGATGAGATTGGACCTGTGTTGGCAGCGCTGGTAGAACGCTTTCCGAATTTCGGCGGGGTAATGGGCTGGGAGTACTTCAACTCGATGCCCGGACAGCGACAAAAGCCGTGGGAGTGGGCAGCGCAGATGTCATTGAACATGGGCATGAATAGGGTGTTGCGGATAGCGAGGGAACTGTTGGCTTCCCGATTGGGGTAGTTTGAGGCTATTCCCGGATGACATCATATGATCTTCCGAGCTACTTTCTCCGCCTTTGCCTCAGCTCTTTTCCTCTTCAACCATCTTCGGCCTCGCGCATGCAATGTAAATAACACTATGTTAACCATATCCAGCTCTGTACTGCTCCGTCTTGCATCCTTCCTTTTCCTTCGCTGGGTTAGTCTTCCCTCCCATTGTACCCCGCACAAAACGCTTATATGAAGCAGGCTCCCGGCCATGCCTTTGTTCCCGTAATCTTCACTTCACTCGCCACTTATTTGACCTCTCTGTACTTTTCCTCGTCTCGGAATAGTACCAATGGCGTTGTCAAATCGCTGCTCACTGGAGCCCCCAGCCGTCAATCGTGGGCTACGCGTCTCACTGTCTTGATCAACCTCCTCTGTGGCTTGTTCACCATGGACTTTCTTTTGCGCGGCTTCATTCTCTATCCAACTGCCGGCCTGCGCTTCTCGCGCATAGGGCATATAACACATAGTACTGCGGGTCTTCTTCTGCGAGAGGCCGATGCTGCCCTGCTTCCTCTAACCGTGTCTTACAAGGAAGCCCAGGATGATGATAGTGATCCTACATCCTGGGTCCAAGCAGCCACAATCGATTCTTTGAACGAGTCAACAGACTTTACAACCACTATCACTTTCACCGACTTGAGTCCATCCTCGTCTTACCATTATGCTCTGTCCAATAATCAGACCGGTTACTTCGTGACCAACCCGGATCCTGACTCTTCCGCGGCCAACAAGCTCAGCTTTTTAACGTCCAGTTGCATGAAGCCCAATTTTCCCTACGACCCCCGGCGCCATCCGCTGCGTATCCCCGGTCTCGAGAAGATGACCACCGCTGTTTCGTCGCTCAGCCAGCTCCCTTCATTCATGCTCTTCCTAGGCGACTTTATCTACATCGACGTTCCTCAACGCTTCGGCTCGTCCGTGGACCACTACCGCAGCGAGTACCGTCGAGTCTACTCTTCACCCTCCTGGACTTGGTCAGCGGCCAATCTCCCGTGGATACACACCCTCGATGACCATGAGATTGCCAATGACTGGAACCGTGGCAACAATACGGCGCCTTACCCAGCCGCTATCGATCCCTACCTTCACTATCATGCCTCTGTTAACCCCCCAGCACCGAACACCGAAACAGAAAACACCAAGCACTCGTATACAATCTTCACGAACGGGCCCGCTGCCTTCTTCCTCCTGGACACCCGCTCCTACCGCTCTCCAGCCGGGGAAACAATCCTCGGCAAAGCCCAGCTGAACGCCCTACTAGCTTTCCTTGCCCGCCCAGAGCCCCCGCACGTCCACTGGAAGATCGTCTCCTCCAGCGTCCCATTCACCCGCAACTGGCACGCCGGCACAGCAGATACATGGGGCGGGTTCCTCTCCGAGCGTCGCGTCGTCTTCGACGCCATGCGTGCCGCGCAACGGACGCTAAACATTCGAGTCGTCCTTCTCTCCGGCGACAGGCACGAATTTGCCGCTACACGCTTCCCTGCGCTTCCTGAATCCGACCCCGGCGTTGATGCTGAATCTCAGTCACCACGTATCCAAAACCAGGAAGATCTCGAGTCCGGCGAGGACCTTGTTGAGTTCTGCACTGGCCCATTGAGCATGTTCTATGTGCCTGTTCGCACATACTACCAGTCTGGTCCGGATGACGTGCCCATTAAGTATCTCCCCGACGGAAACACGAAGTTCGGCCTCGTTGAGATTGTAGATGGAGATGTGAACGGTGTGCCAAGCTCTGTCCTCACGTACTCGCTCTATATTGACGAGAGCGTGGTATGGAGGTACAGGCTTAGTTTGCCGTTGGGACTGACTTCAGATCCGAAGGGCCAGCCTGCTGCATCCTCGGATGCGGCAGAGGGGTCCTCGTTGGCAGGGCCCTTGCTTCCACCTGGCGAGGTCTTGGTTGACAAGACTGTTGGCGGATGGGTGGATATCATAGCGAAGAAGGTGTTTGGGTGGAATGTTATGAGGTCCGAGCATCCCAATAAGAATTGGATTCTTTGACCTTGGATCAGGCATGTACATGTCACCATTGATATATCTAAAAGTGGTTACGTTCGTTCATTGATTTGATTTGAATAGATGAATGGATATAATCGTGAGATATGTTGTTTTGAAGACATCAAGGAAGTAGACTGAATAAGCACCGAACTCCTCCCATGCGGAAAAAAAAGCTGTGATCGTATAACCAACATACAGAAGAAATAAAAATCATGCCACAAAAAGAGGCAAGCCGAGACTACCGTCCCCGTCCCCTTCCACCTCCTCCTCCCATGCCTCCCATGCCTCCCATGCCTCCCATGCCCCCCATCAAGCCACTCATCTGGCTCATCATCGACTGTATATCCATCCCACCAAGTCCAGGCAGACCACCGCCGCCACCACCACCTTGACCCTGCAGCATCTGCATCATCTTCGCCATATCACCCATTCCAGGCATGCCTCCCATACCTCCGGCGCCACCCATGGACGCCATACGCTTCTGCATAGCAGCCAGCTGTTGGTCCTTGTTACCGCCCTTGAGCATGTTCTGTGCACGCTGCATCTGTTTCTTCTGACCACCGACGCGTTTCGCCATCCCAGCCATCATGCGGTGTTGTGAAAGTAGGTCCTCTACCTCGCGAACTGAGGTGCCACTGCCGTGGGCAATACGGACCATGCGGCTGGGCTGTGTGTCGAAGATCTTGCCGTCTCCGTCCAGCTCGACAGCTGACATGCTGTCGAAGATATAAATCATGCGGCGGAGCTTCATGGAGCCATCTTCGTCATCGAGGCCGGCGGTGAGATTCGATAGACCGGGAATCATGCCAGACAGTTTTGATAAAGGTCCCATCTTCATGATCGAAGTGATGTTTTCGCGGAAGTCGCGGAGAGTGTAGATGCCTTCGGCGATATGCTTATAAGTTTCTTTGGCGGCGGCAGAGTCTTTCGTGACGGCCTGAACATGCTCGACTAATCCGGCCATGTCACCCATACCAAGGAGTTTCTGGATAAAAGCCTTGGGCTCAAAACGCTCCAAATCCATCATGTGTTCACCAGTACCAAGGAAAATGATAGGGGTATGTGTAGCTGCGACAGCAGAGATTGCACCTCCGCCTGCCGCGTGACCATCGGTCTTTGTGATGATGATGGCTCCAAAGTCAGCGGTGGCCTTAAACGCCGACGATTGCACCTCCGCAGCCTGTCCGATGGTACCGTCCAAGACTAGAATAGTCTGATCAGGCGTTACGGCGGTCTGAATCTCGGTCATCTCCGTGAACAGCGACTCCTCCTGCTTGTGACGACCACTGGTATCAACGATAATAATCTCAAATCGCTCCTTCTTGAACTTGGCCACACCCTCCGCTGCTACTACAGCGGGATCGGTTTGTGTTAGACTACCATAGTATGGTATTTTGGCCTTGGTCGCATTCTGCTTCAGCTGATCAAAGGCACCAGCACGGAAAGTGTCTGCACAGACAAGAGCCGTCTTGAACCCGCGCATCTGATAGTGTCGGGCAAGCTTGGTACAAGTCGTCGTCTTACCCGCACCCTGCAGACCGACGAACATGATGATATTCGACCGCCCTTTCTTGGGGCGAAAGGGATCTGCATGTGGGTTGACGAGGGCCACAAGCTCGTCAAAAACGGCCTTCTGAATAACCCGCTTCTTGTTCACGGCTGCGGGGAGGGAGGCGAAGTTGACGCTAGCTTTGATAGATTTGCGGAGTGACTGGACAAGGCGAACGTTGACATCGGCGGAGAGAAGCGCGGCGCAAATCTCTTTCACCATCTCCTCAAAAGCCTTTCCCCGGACATTAGCATCCCAAGCTGTCATATGAGTAGGCGGGGCGCACCTTTTCGTCCAGGTTAGGAGACCGAGTCAAGTCATTGACGGCGGCGTTGATTCGCCGCCCCAGATCCTGAAGGACCATTGCGACAGATTCCTATGATAGTAGTCTCAGTGAACAAAATGGGATCTCTCAAGACGAGTTCCCTGAGAAGATAGAGTGTAGTTGGAGAGGAGGAGGCGAAGGCGAACAACGAAGAGGCCAACTTCAACCCCGCAACCAATCAGAGGCAGCGGGCTTTTTCCGCCCGCAAAAGAAAAAAAGTCAAGGCTTCAACATCCAACCACTTCACGAAAACATCTTGGTGATTTGGAACCCGCTCAGTTTCAAGATGCCGCTTACAACAAGTCAGAAGAAGAGAAAAGTTCTTGAGGGCTTTCAGGGCAAGACGGGTCGCCCAAACAAGAAGTTCAGAAAGCAGCGCAATTATCACAGCAGCTCCGACGAGGCCGACGACGAGCCCGCCGACTTTCAGGCGGTCGATCTTGCGGATTCTGACAACGAAGCAGAAAATATTGTCCCAAATAAATCCAACCAATCGAAGCGCAAAGAAGCAAAGAAGCCAGAACCCAAAGAAGATTCTCCAAGCGACGACGAGGAGTCCGCGTCCAACGCCGACTCCGATGCGGACGACGATTCAGATGTTGATGCCGATTCCGATGGATCTACGCCAGCTGGTGCTATTGGGAAGAGAAAAGTTCCAAAGCGCAATGACCCAACTGCCTTTTCCACCTCCATCTCCAAGATTCTTGCGACAAAACTACCGACATCTGCCCGTGCAGACCCCGTGTTGTCGCGCAGCAAAACCGTTACACAAATTACTACCCAAATAGCGGAAGATAAACTAGACAATGCGGCACGAGCTAAGCTACGAGCTGAAAAGAAAGAGGAGCTTGACCGGGGCCGTGTTCGTGATGTTCGTGGTATTTCGACTGGCCAGGCCGGTGCGGTGGCTGAAGAAGAGAAGCGACTGCGCAAGATCGCCCAGCGTGGTGTGGTCAAGCTGTTCAATGCCGTCCGCGCTGCGCAGGTCCGTGGTGAAGAGGCCGCAAAGGAGGAGAGGAAGAAGGGCACTGTTGGAATTGGTGAGCGGGAAAAGGCAGTCAACCAGGTCAGCAAGCAGGGGTTCTTGGAATTGATCAACGGGAAGAAGGGCAAGCCGCTCAACATTGAGGAAGCTTAATGGCTCTATTTTGGTGTCATCATTATGGGATTGGTCATATCCACGGCGTTATGGGTCAAAAGTTATGTACAGTTTGTTGGACCGGCTTCATGTCCTTTGAGATGATCAAATGGAGATGGGAATACCCTATTATATTACATCTACTCAAGTTACACCGCTGTATACTTCACCATATAATACATATCTCAAAGGCCGTCATTTCGTTCATTTCTTCGCCTGAAAATCGCTGGCCTGGAGGTTCCGGGTCATTGACGGCAGTCGCACCACCATTCCATCCAACTCCTTGCTCATCAGTACCTGGCACCCTAATCGCGATGTCTCGGTCAAGCCGAACGCCAGATCAAGCATGTCGTTTTCGTCGTCTGAGGGTTCCTCCATCTTATCAAACATATCAGGGTCCTCCACTATAACATGACATGTCGAGCAAGCGCAGGAGCCACCGCAGGCACCTATGGATTTCTGGAGTCAGTATTCGACGGAGAAATTATGCGAGAATGCCTCGAACCTTCCATCTCCAGATCATTGGCTTGCGCAATGTCTAACAAGTTGTCGCCCTCTGACACCTGGAAGTCCCACTTCTCGCCGTCCTTGTCGATGAAAGACACGTTGATCCTAGCCAATCAGCGCTGCTGCAATTACAGTATGGAAGATTTGTTGCAACTCACTCCTCCCCTGGTTTCGGGGGTGTGATATGGCCGTGCTGCATGCCCGTTGTAGCGGATAAGCTCCGCGGTGTGTCAACTTGCTTCCAAACCGGTTGCTTTCGGGGACGTGCTGTCTTGCGTGCAGTTACAGGCATCTGACTCGAGCAAGATAAGCGAGGGACTCGAACTGAGTAGCTGAGGAAACGCGCTGAATGAGAGCGGCAGGTGCGCTCTCCAGCGGCTGCATGACGCAGCAGGTTCAGGCTGGCGTCTTTCCAGAATGCCATTGAGGCTAGTAATATGATATTCGGGTGTTGGCTATGAAATGCGGAGTCCAAACAGGAGAGGCGGGCAGGGCCGTTGCTTTGGTGCAATAGTCAGAGGCAAAAAGCAACGAAGCAGGGAAATAAAAATCCCGAGCGAAAGGCGGCACCCTCGGACTTTTCACGACTTCACCTTTTCTCTCCTTCTCATCTCCGCTGCCCCTCACCAATCAAGCGCCATACAATAATAATAATAATTTTCGCAAACATGTCCTTTCGCGACGGTCCAAACCCCCTCCGTCCTTACTACGTTCCTCCCTCGATCGGTCTTGACCAAGACGCCGCGTTCTCCTCGCCTCCCAATGCTTCGTCCGCCCAGGTCTTCGGAGGCTCCGCGCGCGACCTGCTCCCCGATCTGGATTATTCCGATTACCTCGAGAGCTCGCCGTCCGTTTCAGGATGGGTCCGAGATGCTTTGGATAGCGCTGTCCGGCGTTATACCCAGGTCTTGACGGCGCAGCCGTTCGACGTCGCAAAGACGATATTGCAAGCATATGTGGTGCCCGATGACTCTTCGGCAGGGCAATTTCCCAGAGGCGATCGGTATAGATCAGAGAGGGGTAGTAGAACTGATTCTTACGATGATATGGGCTCCGATGAGGATGAAGAAGAGGTGGGTGCCTCTTCCGGGTATTGAACGGAGCTCTACTGATCAGATCTAATAGGACCTATCTTCCGACGATGAGAGCAGCTACTTCACATCTGCAGCTCCCACAGTCTCATCTCCGTCTGCTCGACGTACTTCTAAGCCCCGGCACCGTATCACCGACCGTAGCGGCTATATCGCGTCTTCCTCGTCCTCCAAGTCCACCTCGCGGCACGCGCTCACCATCAAGAATCCCTCCTCGTTGATGGAGGTACTTTCTCAGCTCTGGACCACCAGCGGCCCTACCTCGCCTTGGAAGGCGACCAACGCAACTTTCATCTATTCTTTACTGCTCCCTACACTGAACACATTCATTCGGAGTCTTCTGTCCGCCATCGTGGGATTACCGGAGGATGACATTACCACGTCCATGGCGAGCGATATCCTCACCTCGACTTCTCCGATGGCCACCCTGGTCCTCTCCTTCATCTCCTCTTCCCTGTCGGCCCTGCTCCTGTCTCCGATCGACACGGCCCGCACATACCTCATTCTAACACCCGTCACCCACGGCCCTCGCTCCCTCCTCCGCGCCATCCGCCAGCTCCCAACCCCCAACTACACTATTCCCGCGCATCTGGTCCCAATCACCATCCTCCACTCTGGTTTGCCCAACTTGATCACCGCTAGCACCCCGTTGTTCCTCAAATCCTACCTCTCTCTCGATCCGGTCCTACACCCGTCCTCTTGGAACCTATTCAGCTTCATCGGTTCCGGAATAGAGCTAGCTGTGCGCTTCCCTCTTGAAACCGTTCTTCGCCGCGCGCAAATCAGTACATTTACCTCTCCAAGCATCCGCCAAAACTCCGCTAGTTCCCGTTCCACAGCGTCAGACGCTGCAGCCCAGGCCGCGGAAATCGAAACTATCGTGCCTACACCACAAACATACCGCGGTGTCATTGGCACGATGTGGAGCATTGTCTACGAAGAAGGCGTCCAGCCCACCCCAGAAGCTCAACGTGCTCAGGAAATTCTCGGCAAGCCCGTTTCCCACCGCAAGCGGCAAGGTCAAGGCTTGCACGGCCTCTACCGGGGCTGGAGAATTGGCATGTGGGGTGTCGCCGGGAACCTAGGTCTCGGTCTACTTACAGGCGGTGCCGGTGGTGCAGATGATGGCCCCATGCCCAGCGGTGGTCGTTTCTGATTCCTACCCGGTTGCAAATTCTCTGTTGAAACCTCTATATACCCTTTTCTCTCAATCTTTTCCACCTTCTGGCCGTCTTTCTTATTCTCATTCTTCGTCTTCTGTAATACCACTAACGTCTTGATGGAATACCCATACCCTCTATACCCCACGTCATACATAGGGAGGAACAGGCGTTGGCTTGACTACATCTACCTGATTTACTTGCCTTCAACCTATGATTTTGATCTTACATTCGCCAGCTGCTGGATTAGCGCCTCTCTGCTCTCACAATTGCATATGCTACAATACAACACGGTCCATATGGTCCAATACTTCACTCAAACCTGTCGCCCTGATTACGGCAACTGATGTCTTTCACCGTAGCAAGGCAATCCTACGCTTTAGAAAATAAATTAGAGAGCGCTGTGGGCAGTAGGTAATCTTTTCTCTTTCCTTCATTCAGCCCACGTATAATGCGTATGCTAGATGCGTTTTATAGATAGCGTAACAGGGCTGAGCAGGTAGGTAGACAGGCCAATAGATTCCACCAACCCAAGCCGACATTATTTTGGGAGGTGAAGAGAAGTGAGGAAGACAGAAGAACGGCACGCTGTCATCTGTAAGAAAAAATCATTCACCCGTCTAATCATAGCAGTATAGCATCCGGTAAACAAATCAAGATGATGCGAAATGCATGTGTAACGTAGCAACATATCCAACCCGGGCTCGCACAGCCGAGCGAATAATCCCAATTCATGTCGTTTTCCCTTCCACAGGGATGTAAATTTTGTCATGTCCGGTCCTATCTATAGTGGTGAGTTGATTTTTGTGTGGAGGCCGCCGATCCCTAATAATCTAGGATGGCGAGCCTCATACTCGTCCATGGACTAAAGAGTCGTATAATACAAACTCAGACGTGAATGAGTCAGGTTTGGGTATCATAAATCAAAAGAAAGAAAAGAAACATGAAACGAAATGCAAAATAGATGTTTCGTCTATTTGTCGGCAAATCGTCGGTCGAAATAACGCAGCACGCCCATCACACTAGCAGCCTCGACTTCCATTGCGGCTCGGGAGGCGGGAGTGGCCTGGCTTACGTCTCTGGGGTTGGGGAGGGTATGGAGTTTGGGCAGCCAGGAGGCGAGTTCATCGCTAGCACGGGAGAAATTCGGGTGTCGAGAGAGTGTTGTGAATGCATCAGCGCAGGAGAGTGTGAGTGGTGTGGTTGCGCGGTCGGCGCTAGGACGGGTTGCCGAGGCACGGGGTTGACTCTGGCAGCATCCGCCGTCTGGGCCTTTGCCGCCGCAGCATCCAGATGGGGTGCCACTGGCGGAGCGGGATGCCGCTAGGGTCTTGCAAAATAGGGTCCGTCGGGGATCTGAGACGCATGCTGAGCACGTTCCCGGTCCATTGGCACAAGGATTAGCTGCAGTTGCCTGACTGATGGGCGGCAGGGTGACCTCTGAGCGCACATCACTGTCAGAAGGAGGTGGTGTGAATTGGGAGATGTTCTGAATTGGTGCTAGACGGTTGTTCTCGAAAGTGCTGTTCCGTCGGCGTTCTTCTTCCTGTGCAGCCATCTCGGCACAGATGCAGGGTGTTCCATCCTGGCAGAATCCGCAGGGATCGACCGGAGGGGAAGCGACTGGGCTGACAGTGTCTTCATGATGAGGCGCGGCGAACCGGGTGGTGAAGTCAATTTCCATCTCCTCCGGCTCCGGCTTGATCTTTGGCTCCGGAACGCGATTAAAGTCGATGGGCATTCCGAAGGCATCTTCAATGCATTGGCAATGCTGGGTTGAACACCGGTTACAGCCCAATGGAACTTCATCATCTAGATCGGGCTGGTTGTGTATTGGCGAGCTTTTTTCAACCTCCAGGCGAGCTCTCTTTGGGGCGCGGGGCGGCAGGGGCACCGCATCAGTGCTGGAAGTGTTCTTATCCGGCAAAGACGAACGGAACTCCTTCACCAGCGTCTCTCGTGCGGCCCTCTCAACCGAAACCTCTTTCTCTAAGGCATGACACCGATCGCGCCACCATCCCATCTCAGTTCGACATTGTTCAACCTCGCGGGTGAGATTCGAGATTTGTTCCTTGAACGTAGCGACGTGAATTTCATGCTCGTCTTCGATGCACTTGATCTGATCTTCGAGTTCATTGACCCGGGCGGCTCGACGTTCCCGAAAAGCTCTTTGGGCAGCGCGATTTTGGGCCTTGCGTTTTGTTGGGGGCGTATCTGTGGCCGGCTTGCGACCTGGCTTGGGACGGGGAGGAATCACCCATTCCTTCGAGGTAACGGAACCGGGTGTGCCGGGACCGGGTGACGGCGAAACAGTGGGCTTGGCGACCAGCGCGGGTGCCAAGGGAGCAGCTGAGGGCGCGATGCAGAGCGCTGGCTGAGCTGCCATGGTGTCAAACAATTATCTAGGGGTATTGCTCAATGAGTTCTGAGCTGAGGTTAGCTGTGAAGCTACATGGTGGGACGGGGAGGCGCACGGCAAGCGGAGGTGGGTTACCGCTTCGGCCGGAGGAGCGGATGTGCGTCTCCCAGCAGAAGCGAGGAGTAGATGGAGAGAAGTCAGCTGGATATGTGATTGGTATGTATGAAGACTTCCACATCGACGAAGATGTGATATGAGTAGCTGGAGTGGAAAGGAAGGGAGAGGGGAGAGTCGGCCAGTGTCGGGTGGGAGGGAGAAGAACTGGTTTTATTATAGCGAAGCACACTCTGAGCGTGAGTGGACTCGGGAATTGAAAAGATGATCAGATTAGATACGCCGACCTCGGACCTAGCGAAAGGTCGTCTCGGTGTGGGACAATGAGCGCATTATGCTCGCAGCTGATTCGCCGCAATAGGGCTAAGTCACTGAGGGCCTCCACTCGGTTTGCTCATCCTTTTTGCAGCTGAGCAGCTCTACCTAAGATAAGTTCCTAACGTTGGAGATTGACTCTGGAGTCTACTGTCTGGGTACTGCCACTGTCACCCCTCCATATTTTAGGGTTGGGATGTCATCTTGAGATCAGCATCACGCATTGCCTTTCCTTAGACTGTCTATCCGGACTCGAGAAGATTATCGCCAGTCCAACAGCAATCCACTCTGGCCAGAAAGTGGTGTCATGACTCTGGCAGAACCGTGTTTCCCCGTCCGTCTGATTTTTATCTTATCTGATCGTCGAATTCCCACCTTTCCTCTTTCGGGTGTCCTCTTCCTCCACTCTGCCAACTCGCTAGACTACTCATGAGCAATGATACCGAGGGGACTGGATACTCATCAGGGGTGAACGGATGAAAATTCTATTTCCTTTTACTAAGAGTTTCGGTAGTATGCCAATAGGGATCCTGTCTCACGGGGTTCGCGGCAGTCACGGCTCCAGCTTAAATGGCAAATGCTGCCCTCCATGGGCCGGCTTTGACCACCGAAAAACGGCGCGCCACCTCCAGGTAAAGCTGGCGTGAGGGGCTGTAGTATGTATCTGAACCTACTGCAGTCGAGAATATCCAAGTAGTCCTACTTTAGTCCTCCATGCCTGGAGCATGTAAGCAATATATAGTACCATGCACGCTCTGACCTCGTGCGCATGGCTACCGGTATAATGACAAAACAAGGGCAAATACGACTAACTCTTGCTCTGGAGCTGTACACCTGATAGTCATTGGCGTTTTCTACGCATCCGCGTGTTTAGGATGAAGGTGTACTCCGTGGGATGGGATGAAACTTTTATGTAGTTACCTAGTGCCAAGATTAGACCGTGTCCTATTTATTTCCTTGACGTCCCTTGATAGCGACTGTGCTACTCGAGAGGGTAGAACAATACAGGGAAAAGTGCGAAATAAGCAACCTACGACTGTTATTATTGTCCTGCATTCCAGATATACTCAACCGATCACCTCCGTCGCGTGGCCGCAATGAAGCGCTTGGATCGATTCCTGCGGCACATCCATGCCAGAGAAAAACTAGAACAAGTTTTCTCGAGCAGTAATAGCCAGGAAAGTAGACCCGGTTAGTAGACCCGTCTTCCTTATCATTCCCGCTCAGTCATGGACGGGTTCACTTTCTGTCAACACTCCTTACGATCGCCTATCCTCTCCATTCCCCCCTCTGAACTGGAATGGCTCATGCTGCAGTGCAAAACTGCTGCCCTCAGCTCTCTGTCATTAGCCATTCTGGTATCCGTTCGAAACAGTTCTCTATGATGCTCAGATGCTATTTGCCCATCTAACAAAACACCGCACGTAACTAAACGACCTTGGATCCAGAGTTGGTTAGGGAGCTTCCAATGACTCCATTCCTTGCTCCTTATAATAATAATGATACAAGATGGTTATTTACTTACTTTTATCAATATCTCTAGCTCCACCGTTAGCCTATTCCCAACCCCCGCCGGGTGCCTATGGTCAATATGCGCCGCAACCGATTCCTTCGACGGAGCCATTGAGCGTGTTTGCTCACTTTCTGGTAGGTAAAAGTCCCAGGTATGGAAAATATCATCAATGTTGATTATCCAGGTTGGAGTTGCGGCATCAATGTCACCTGCCGAGTGGGAACACGATATCATCGAGGCCCAGAAAGCTCATATAGATGGATTCGCCCTAAACATCGCTCCTCAAGACGATTACACAGACCGTGTCCTGCAGACGGCCTATGATGCTGCGGAGAGGATAGGCAATTTCTCGCTCTTTCTCTCATTCGACTACGAATCCGGGGGCCCATGGCCGCAAGATCGAGTGATCGCCATAATCAACACGTATAAGAGCAGACCCGCACAATATCTCTACAAAGGAAAGGCGTTGGTGTCTACCTTTGAAGGTGCTGAAAGCTCCGGTGACTGGCCGATGATAAGACACGCCACGGACTGCGTGTTTGTTCCCTCGTGGACCAGTCTTTCCCCTTCGGGTTTACACAATGTCCACCATACAATTGATGGCGCATTTAGTTGGGATGCTTGGCCGGTCGGAGCACAAGAGAAGGACATATTGAGCGACAGGGCGTGGATCAGTGCACTTTCTGGCAAGCCGTACATGATGGCTGTTTCCCCGTGGTTCTACACCAACCTCCCTCAGTGGAATAAGAACTGGCTTTGGCGTGGCGATGACTTGTGGCATTATCGCTGGCGCCAAGTGATTGACTTGCAACCAGCCATGATTCAGGTATGTTCGATGACTGTTCTGCGAGAAAGGGCTGACAAGCTTGCTTTTGTAGATCCTCACCTGGAACGATTACGGGGAAGCGCATTATATCGGACCTATTTATGATTCAGGCATCCCGGATGGAGCATCATGGTATGTGAAAGGATGTCCTCATGATGCTTGGCGTGAATTTCTACCTCATTACATCGACGCCTATCGTCGTCGAGGCGCGATGATTCGAGAAGGCGCGTTGAATCCCAGCGCAGTGACCTCGTACGCACCTAGACGCCCTCTTTCCTACACAGACAAGATAGTGTATTGGTATCGGCTCAACCCGAGTAACTCCGGAAGCACCAATGGTACAACGGGGAACAACCTGAACATGGGACAGCCCGGATTGGAACCGGGAGAAGTGTCGCAGGATCGAGTCTTTGTTAGTGTGCTGGTCACAGAGCCGAGCCAGGTGCATGTTCAGATCGGACATGCAGCACCTATTGTCCTGTTTGCTCATGAACCCGGACTAAATCACTACTCCGTACCTTTCGATGGGCATTCGGGCCCAGTGAGGATTGCGATTGTCAGACATGGTAGGGAAATTGAGATCGCAGTTGGACCTGCCATAACGGAAAACTGCATCGAGGGTAAGGTGAATTGGAACGCATACGTTGGATCAAGTTAGATTATAGAAAAGATAGAAGAAGAACCTGTGGGGTAGACGTTCTGTAGGTAGTTCGGGTGGTGTTGCAATCTCGGGGGCTGTTGTCGCCAGGCGACCAGGTCCCAGCCACTGATAAGCGCTAACTCGTCGAGTTCTCCGCATGACCGCATCTTCCGTCTCTTCTCCAACTCTGTTTCCTCTACGGGGTACGTCGCTGTCCTCTTCTTTCCTCTCTCCTCTTCGTATCTCTAATTCTATCCCTGATTTCTATCTAATTCTATAACACAATGGCCAAGAAAACTTTCTCTGAGTTTCATCACCAGCCCAACTTGGCCTACCGCCAGTATGCTCAGCTGCCTGAGACCCTCCACCTCAACTACCAGCCTCCTACTGCTGCCCCCGCTGCAACCGCCGCACGCCCCAGCACAACCCAAGAGACGATTAATCCTGAAGATTATTCGCAAGCATACTGCGATTTCATGACCAACCACCCCACCATTTTCCACGCTGTCGACGGCTTTTCTAAGCAACTCGAAAGCAAGGGCTACAAGTACCTATCTGAGCGGGAATTGTGGGCGCCGCAGCTCCAGCGCGGGGGGAAATACTATACTACTCGTAACGGAAGCTCGCTGATTGCATTCTCTGTCGGTTCGGAGTATAAGAGTGGTAATGGTATTGCTATCATCGCGGGCCACATTGATGCCCTCACGGCGAAGCTCAAGCCCGTCTCCAAATTACCCAACAAGGCTGGCTACGTTCAGTTGGGAGTTGCACCATATGCCGGTGGCTTGGGAAAGACATGGTGGGATCGCGATTTATCCATCGGTGGAAAGGTTCTCGTTCGCAATGTGAGCACTGGCAAGATCGAGTCCAAGCTAGTCAAGCTGGACTGGCCAATTGCACGCATCCCGACGCTGGCCGAACACTTCGGTGCTCCCTCGCAGGGACCCTTCAATAAGGAGACACAGATGGTACCGATAATTGGGGTCGACAACTCTGACCTCTTCCAGTCTGCCGCACCAGCGGCAGACGAGGGTATCGAACCGGGTACATTCGCTGCCACACAGCCTCCGAAACTCGTCAAAGTCATCTCCAAGGAGCTCGGCATCACCAACTACAGCAGCATTCTCAGCTGGGAACTCGAACTCTACGACAGCCAGCCCGCTCGCATTGGCGGTATTGACAAAGACTTCATCTTCGCCGGTCGCATCGACGACAAGCTCTGCTGCTACGCGGCCCAGGAAGCACTGATGGCTACGTCAGATCACACCTCTCCTGCGTCTATTAAGATGGTTGGCTACTTTGACGATGAAGAGATCGGCAGTCTGCTCCGCCAGGGCGCCCGCTCCAACTTTATGTCCAGCGTGGTCGAGCGCATTGCCCAATCCTTCGCTACAACCTATGGACCCGATCTTCTCGCCCAAACTGTTGCAAACAGCTTCCTCATCTCCTCAGACGTCATCCACGCCGTGAACCCCAACTTCCTTAATGTGTACCTCGAGAACCACGCGCCTCGTCTCAACGTCGGCGTCTCTGTCTCCGCAGACTCCAACGGACACATGACTACCGATAGCGTCAGCTACGGATTCATCAAGCGCGTTGCTGAGAAATGCGACTCGCAGTTGCAAGTCTTCCAGATTCGAAATGACTCGAGGAGTGGTGGTACCATTGGCCCCATGACCAGCTCACGGATTGGAATGAGGGCTATCGATGTCGGTATCCCGCAACTGAGTATGCACAGTATTCGCGCTACCACGGGAAGTCGTGATCCTGGGTTGGGTGTTAAGTTGTTTAAAGGGTTCTTTGATTACTTTGAGGAAGTTGATAGTGAGTTTGCTGACTTTTAAGCTCTGACTCTGTCTTCCGCTTGTATGGTCTTTCTCTGGCTTGGATTGCATCGTCTCGGTGTTGAGATCTGCGTCTTTGGCGATAGATGATTTCATTGAGTATGTTGGCTCGATATCTACGTTTGGCACTGGGGTTGGAAGTCATAATATAGACGCATTACAAGGACGAAATTTGAGATCTAGTGACTAAACCTAATACAATAATATTGAGAAATAAAATCCTCATGCAACCTCATTAATAACGTCCTACACCCGCTCTAAACCTCACGTCAAGGCTGCTGAGCGCCCTGGATACTGGCCCAAGAGCCCTAGCCTACTTCCGCTCCCCTTCCACATCCGCCAAAGGAGACGATGAAGAGGACGATCAGTGTGTCCTCACTTGCGTCCTAACGACAATACCCTCATTCTCACATGTACCGATACGTCCTCCTTCCCGCTCCTCCCCGTCCTTTGAGCCGCCCCGCACAGCGCCCTCGCTGTCCCTCCCCTCATCTTCATCACGGTCATCCCCAACATACACCCGCGCCCTTGCACTCTCGCCTGCAGCTGCAACCCCAGCGCCATAATTCATCGCCAAAAGTCTATACCGATCCGCATCCCCCTCGCATGTGCCATACTCCAGATCATCAATATGTGTCGTTATCGTAGTTGACACTCCCATGCCCGCAATACCCCAGTATGCAGGCGGATGTATCTCATGTGTATGCGCGAGGCTGCGGGATAGCCTCTTGGACTTCGCTCTGGATCTTGATCGAGGGTTGTGGTCGGAGGAGAGGAGTCGCGGGATCATACGCGAGATTAAGGGGCGTAGGGTTGGCAGGCAAGCGCATATTATGCCGACGTTGCATTCGACTGCGGACCAGGTTGCTGCGCCCACGTTGTCGTCTTTTTGGTTTGGTCAGTTGGGCCCAGTCTTTTAGGGCTGCGGCTGGAGGTGGTACGTACAGGTTGGGTCTGAGGAGTCGGAGATTTTCTTCAGAGATATCAAGCGGCAGATGCTTGTTATGCAGACGCTAGAATATCAACCAGAGAGTTAGCCTGCCGGTCTTTTCCTTTGAATGTGCTAGTACGAAAGATGGAGAAACGTACAACCCGCCCACCGCAAAGATCGAAATCAGAGCAACCTTCTGCTTTCTCGGCAACTCTAGCTTAGCTAGGGCTGGGATGGGGATAACCAGGATAGCCAGATCCGTGGCGATATGCATAGACGCATTAGAGAACCACAGGCCCTTCGAGCTAATGCAGGATCCTGGAACCGTGGGATCCCAGAATCGAGCCACAGGAATGCAGTTCAGGAACCCGCTAAACACGGCCCAGGTGCCGTATGTGGCGAGGATGCCAATCATAAACCAGCAGATATGGCGCATGCGTTTGGATGGGAAAACGCGGAAATACTGCATTAGGATTGAGGCCTTCGCGCAGAGAAGCGCTGCGTTGTAGAAGGGTATGCTTATCCAGAAAGCCTGGCTCATGGGTTAGATCTAGGATTTCTGAATAATATATGAGACGGGGCCGTAATTACCTTCATCTGCTCCAAGAGAATTGGCTTCGGAATGTCGACTAGGTGCATGCCCATGCCGTTGAGAGATTCCACTATGAAGAAAGACATGAAGACAAACGATAGAATCTGTCTTGTCTTATTAGCAGAATATGGCATATGGCTGGCCAGGTGCTGCCTACCATTGCAATAACTATCATCCAGTCGTTGGCTTCCATTCGTTTGATCAGCTTCGTTCGAGTATATACACGGGCAAGAACAAGGAAGGCTCCGAGACTGGTGAACACGACGCTGATAACTAAGCCCTGGGTTCCTCGGGAAGAAAGATAGCTCGTTGCTTGCTCCTCGCGAGCATAAGTGCGATGAGAAAATGATACTGTCATAGTTGCGCATAAAAATGAATGATGAGGGACCACTAGATGGTTAAATGACTGTTCAGAAGAGACCGGGTGGGTTTTGAAAGGACTGAAGCTGCAAAAGATGATATAAGTAATGAATGGCGCATATCATATTAGATACTAGACTGAAGGATTGACAGAGCCTCGACATTGCTAGCGTCGAGTTGTTATAAGATAACATCTGTCGTAGGCAACCATACAGAGAGCCTACGGACAGGTCAGTATGTGGCTTGGGAGCGATTGAAGCTGCCAGCTTCTATTTTAATTGTATCGCCGTTGAGTCCCAAAGCGAAAGCGAGATCCGAACAGGAGTCGATGCAAGGGTCAGAAAATGCATATGATCAAAGCCACATTTAGCTTAAGGAGAACTGATTCAGTGCGAAGAGCTAGAGGCTGCCGCTTCAAAGGAGTCGTGGCCGAGCTGAACTCGATGGCTTTTCAACGGTGCCAGAAACCTGAAGCTTCTTCCAACACTACATCAAGCGGCCACTTCGATGTAGGACACTTTCCACTGTCAAAAGTGACCAATCACTGAAAGAACGCCACTGGGGTCTGGAAGTTGGACTTAGCGAAACTTTGCTTCTGCACGGACAGAAATCGAGATGCACATACTCGGGTGTTGAGGGTCCATGCATAGTGCAATGGATATCACATCTGAGGATCGTTCAGTTGGGACCCTTTCTTCGTGCGGTCATGCAGAAGTCATATTCTGCACATTCTTGATCCTATAAGGGCAGTCAATGAGTGTCCAGTACGATGGACTGTCAAGTCGACTTATAGCACATACCCATATAAATGTTCATGAGCAGTGAACATACATAAATTGGGAGCAATAGAGTTTCTGGAAGGTCACAAAGGACGGGGTGAACTTGACCAAACTTGTGGAACAGTGGCTTGTTCGCCTATGCTGACTATGCTCGCTTGTTGTTCGGAAACAAAGTGGACGTATCACATCGAGTTGTCGGGAAGCAGTGGCTCTCAGCCTCTGATAGTCGAACCTAGAAGCCTAAAGACCTGAGATCTCAAATAGATCTGAGTCTGACCAGTCCGGAATGTCAGGCAGCGCTCGATAGCCAGCTGCTCGAATTCTCCGAGCCGCATACACGACGTCCGTTTCTGCCAGCATCCTCCAAATCTGGCACATCAATGCCATTCAAAGCTACAGCAACGAGATTTGGCGGGGTGGCCATATCAACTGTTGTTTTTGCTTAGCAGACTCGGGCCCTGGGCTTTTCAGTATAGCAGAGCTCAGTCGGTTCTCGCGAGTATTGGCAATGACACCCGCCGAGCGTCAGTAAATGGTGAGTTTAACCGGGTGTCATTTTTGTTTCAAGAATGCTATCATCGATCAATGGACATAACTCAGGTAGTTCTAGTTATATCCCCTTTATCCTGTCGTCCGAGAAGACAAGTGTACCATAGCAAGACGTTGAAGAGGGGAAGAAGAGGTAACGTATATCCACGTAGATAGGCGAGGTGACTACCAGCCGTAGCGGTCAAGGGGAATCATAAATGGCCAGAACATATAATGACGAGGAGCATTTCAAGGACTCAGAGCAACGATTCCAAACTTAGATGCTTAGAACATACCTCACGCCCACAAGCTCCAGATACAGTCGCGCGATTCTGCATTCTCCATGCTATTGGTTGCGTCCATATACACAGGATACCGAGCCAGTCCTAGCCACTCTAAAAAGCTGATACCATCGTGATTCGTGACGTTTGTGTTGTCTTGGCTAAAGTGATTGTGATTTTAACGAGCAAAGTGGTTCTCTCTGAAGTGGATTCACCACCCCGAGCTAACATGATATCAGCACAGGTTGGCTCTGTTATGCTTAGCGAGCGTCTCCTAGCGGCCAGAGAGCATAGTATGAGTGAAAAGTAGTTCTATAAGACACAGGAACACGTCTGCACTTTCTATGTTTATGAAGGTGGCGTGGATATATATGCTATCATCAGACAGCACATACTTGGCCAGAAACAGCCAATTGCGGGGGCCGCATTCGGAGGAGCTAGATAGGCTGAGTCTCAGAAGGATTTGTGTTGAGCAAAAGAATTGGTATAGTGCGATTCCCCGTTAGCAACGTCAACATGATACTGATGTTGTAGAGCCCGGACCCATGTTCTGAAGGAGGCATGTACGGCGGCCGATAGCTAGCACTCCGTCAAAGTGGCCGTTTTAGGGATAGCGTGTAATTTGTGACCAGGACTGCAAGTCACGTGGGTAATTTTTAAGATATAGGTTTTTCTTAGCATTATGTATCCCTTTGGCCTAGTTAATAAGGCACCTAAGTCCGGAAATAATAAGTATATACATGTACACACAAAGGATCTTTAAATTTTAGCCTTTTAAGACTAATTACGGAAAAACTAGAACTTTAAGGATTTATAAAAATACTTTTTATAATACTTTTTACTAGTAAGAACCTAAAAAAACTATTAAAAACTAAAAATTCCCCCCCTAAGGGGCTTAAATAAGCTAAAAACTAGATTTTTTAACCCAAGGCACGTGATACCTAAAGGTCCTTAATTTAAGCCCGGCTAGGACTAAATTTTTTTTTTTTAATTTTAAAAAATTAAAAAATAATTAAAAAATTAAAATACTAAAATTTAAATTAAAAATTAATTAAAAAGCTAATTAGAAAAGAGAATAACCCCTAAGAATATAAAAAAAATATAAAAAAAATATAAAAAAAATATATAAAATATAAAAAATATAAAAAATATAAAAAATATAAAAAATATAAAAAATATAAAAAATATAAAAAATATAAAAACTAGAAAAA